GCGACACGACCATCTTTTACAATTTGTCAGAGCCTCCCAAAAAAATCCGAACGAACTGTGTAAATTCCCTTGACCAAGTGTAGAGAGAGAGAAACAAACCAAAACGAGATGTCTTCCGCGCAGATTGTACAGACAGTTCCTCTGTCTCAAAAAGTGCCTCTGAAGAATGTTGGTTCTGCTCTCAATTTGACCAAAGAAACTCCCAGCTTATTTCAGGTGATTTTGCTTTTTGCTCATCAAACTGCCTTCGTTCATGCTAACTCTATGTTCTCTAGCCAATCAGCTTTAGGAACATGACTCTGAAAGTAAGGACGGCGATTGCTAGGCCGAAATGTGATTGCTTTCTGAAATTGATTTTGTTGAACATTTTGATGACCAAACATTCATCGCTTTTCAGAATCGTCTTGTGGTATCGCCGATGTGTATGTACAGTGCTGAAGATGGAATGATGAATGTCTTTTCTCTGGCTCACCAGACTCAGTTTGCTGTAAGTTCGTGACTATTTAAGCTTGAGCAGTTGAGCAGTGTACTTTACACTGCTTCTTGATGGACTAGGCCTTTGCTGCGAGAGCCATTCACGCAACAGAAGTTTGAAATCGAAAAACGTCATATTCACTGCATTTTCATAGATTCGAGGCGCATCTCTCGTCATTTTTGAGGCTACTGGTATCTTGCCAAATGGAAGAATCACTCCGGCATGTGCCGGTATATGGAAGGATGAACAGATCGTGCCTATGATGCCCTCTATTGAGCTTATCCATCGATATGGCGGAAAAGCCGGCATTCAACTTGCGCATGCTGGTCGCAAAGGATCAAATATGTCTCCACACTTTGGTCTTCCAGCCTCCCACGATACTCTGAGTCCAGAATCGGAAGGAGGATGGCCAAACAATATTTGGGGTCCTTCTGCTATTCAAGGATTTCCAACTGCTGGTATACCCAAAGAAATGACAAAACAAGATATTGAAGATTGCAAAACGGCGTTTGTAGATGCTGCTTTACGAGCTGACAAGGCTGGGTTTGATATGATTGAGATTCATGCAGCTCATGGCTATCTGATTCACGAAGTATGACGATCTTTACACTTCAGAATCTGAGTACTGCTCTGAAATCTTTATTCCTAACTAGTTCCTGTCACCTGTGAGCAACAAACGAACAGACGAATACGGTGGCTCATTCGAGAACCGTATTCGATTTTGTGTTGAAGTGATCAACGCAGTTAGAGCTGCATATCCTCAAGAGAAGCCAGTCTGGTTGCGGATTTGTATGTCATAATTTAGTCGGAACGCTATTCTTGGAATGGATGTTAATCTCAGTATTTTTCCTAGCTGTATCCGATTACATTGAAGGTGGTTGGAGCATTCAGGAATCAGCCAGGCTTGCTGAGATTGTGTATCCCCTGGGCATCGATCTTATTGACTGCTCTGGTGGCGGTCTAAGCCCGGCTCAAAAGGTTTGATATTTTTAAATATTCCCAGCTTTTTGGTCTTTGTGGTCTTAGTGCTCAAGTGCGGAACTTCTCGCTTAGGTTCCATACGGTCCTGCCTTCAATCTACCTGGAGCAGAAGAGATTCGAAAGGTTGTGCCGTCTGGAGCTATTGGCTTGACTGGTCAGATCACTGACTCGAAACAGGCCCAGACCTTCCTGGACGAAAAGAAAGCCGACCTCTTCATAATTGGTCGTGAGGATCCCCACGTTGTAACAAATCCAGCTCAGCATTCGTCTAATCGTTTGTTCTATAGGTGAATTTTTGCGCAATCCCTCCTTGGTCTTGACATTCGGCTATGAACTCGGCGTTGATGTACAGTGGCCCACTCAATATGAACGAGCCAAGAAACATAGAGCTTAGAGAATCCATCATACTGCAACAACACAATTCTCATGAGTACATATCTAAACACGTCAAGTATATTCTGTGGGGTTTGTACTCTATCTTATATAGAAAATAAGAATTTGTCTCGCATATCAGTTCCCTGCGATAACAATCATACTAGGAGCCTGCACACCTGCTCTGGAGATGTTGATTGCGTGCATGACTTGCGAATTGTCAATCCAGAGTATATCACCACGCTGTAGAGTGATATTAGCACAGTTTCCCTTGAGTAGGTTCAGCACTTGGCGCATTTCACGGCCATCGAACCTCGTCGAGTCACCACAGATTACAGATTCGTTGGAAAAGTATGCCGGCAGTATAGAGTTGAACCATCTTGGTTGGGCTTGTTCCAGTCTTATGGCAGGTAGTGTAGTCCTTGCTCCACTCAGAGACGTGTATGTAACTCCGTGAGCTTGCAGACTGCTGGAAAAGTCTGGTAATTTGGCTTCGATTACTTTGAAAGCTGTCGTTCCATGTATGAGGCAAACTTCACCACCTTGTGTTGCAAATGGAACGCGTAAGTTGATTCGTCGTAAGAAACTGAATTCATGTTTCCTATTTCCAGCTTGCTTACCAGCAGCAGGAGAAGTCTCACAATACATCAACACGTTCCCACAACACTCGTGCGTCTTTGACAATACATCTAAGCCATATGCGATTAGACAAGAAACTAGACAAGGTAAGTCAAACGATGACAACTCACTGTGAAATTCAACATTTTCATATGTAGAATAGGCTGCTCTTCCATTGATTCCCAACACTTGACAAACCGTCTCAAATTCCTCCATGTTGAAATTTTGCTGTCCTCGAAACAGCACAGCACCGTGCTGAGAAATTAACTCTCGGAGCCTATCTCCATTTTCTTTCAAGTATTTAACAAAACCACAATATCTGTTTGCTGATGATGGTGAGAGCACAAGTGGCAATTCATTGTCTTTGACGGTTGCGGAATTCGGAATAGTTGTTGAGAGGAATTCAATAGAGCGGTCGGTAATGATATTGGTAATACTTGACTGTATTGGCATCTATTTAAGACGATTCAGATATCTATGCTGATGAATTTGTCGTCTGTTGCTGTGCAAAGCGGTTTGCGGCAAAAACCAAACTTCGAAGGAAACCCATAGATTTGATGAAATCAAGAAACAGCGAGCCAGCAATGAAAGTCACTCTTATGATGCTTTAAATGGAAACTAATTAAGATGAAACCGTAGCATTCTTGTATGCAGACGCTTCTACAAACTGTTTGCTTCTGAAACGGACAAAACATCCTGAAACTATGTTGAGAATTGATATAAAAATGGGTCTATTGATAATTTGCGGTTGATGAGAATTTGAACCTATTAACTGAAATACTTTTAGATATCTCTGCTTTCTCTACGTTGAATCACAGCGTTCTTCAACACATCGAACTCTTCAAACAGTTGAAAAAAGTCCTTAAAGCTGTTCTTGACCGTTATGTGGACACCAGCCACAACCTGGCTTCCACTCATGTTGGCAACTTGAGAGATGCTTTCCTTGATAGCTCCAAGCTCAGAGCCAGAAGATAAATTCTCAGATGACGACGAGATATCAACCAAAAGTCGTGGTTGAAGTAACTTGGATGACAAATTGGAAGCAGTTTCGTTGATTTGCACTTCAAAGCTCTTGGTGTGAGTAGCAGATACGTGGAGTACAGCATGAGAGTATTCGTTTCCGGTAGAGCAAGCAACAGCCAACATTGCTGAACGAGTCGGTGAAAAGTATTTGTGGGGGCGAGAGGCAGTTGAGAGTACTTTCATGGCTTGTGGGAGAGATTCCATAGTAGTCTATATGACAGCTAGAGTATTGAGCACATGACGTCTGTCGAAAGATGTTGAAAGTTTGGTTACCTCTATTCCAATTGGCATGGGAACGCCACTTGCTAAATCAGGCGAGCAAGGAATAGCCCAAGATACCAAATCACCAAGATAAAGAGGAGTCGTGACATCCACGAAACGAGTAGCGCATGGAAGACCCAGTTGAGAATTGACCATTTTTAATAAGGATCTAGCAATTCGCAAGCCTTCATTGACCTTGTTTGTGGGTGAGCTTTCACTTGCAAGAGTAGACCAGCCTGATAGAGTAGTTAATAAGAACGGCGTCAGAATGGTAACATAACGACCAAAGTTCGAGAGTCCAATTTGCCAACACGATGCGAAGAATCATACCCGAACTAGCATCGTTCGAGTCCTCGAGTTCAAAGAAGGCCCTGAATACTATGATCAGCTCCTCTTTGGATGTTTGAGCATAGGCTGACAGAGCTTTAGCAAATGCAGTAGCGTTTTCCATATTATCAATGGTTTCAGGTCCGACAATGACAATCCTTTATTAATGTTACGAGTTGAAGAGTCAGATTCAGGTTTCCATATGACGTCATGCCTAACATCATTATCTGGATAAAAAGAAATCCAACAACTGAACTTACATTCTGTCGTCTTGTTGACGAAGAGAAGCCTGAATAGCTGCACGACCAGACAACACTGTCTTGGCAGCAGATTCGACCATGGGAATTTCGAAAAGGAGACATGCGGGTGGCAGAATAGGCTGAACACCAGAGATATGAGCACCAGAAGGAACGTCGGAGGTTGGGATTGTCTTGTCCACTGGTGAATGGGGAGAAGAACCGTAGCTTTCTACAGTTTTGATTTGCTGACGGATAGCACTAGCAATTTGTACTCTTAAATTGTCGGTAATTGCCATTTTGTTTAATGTTGGTTTTGGAGGTTTTTGGTCTAAAAGATGGAGGAATTGGATTTTAATGTGAGTAACACTATGGCAACAGCACTACGTGTACAATAGAAATTTTCCTACGTGGTTATGCTCAAAACTTCATAAACCCAATCACTTCGGCTGAAAGTATGATGAATCATACCACAGAAGTTTTGATTTGTGATTACTTCATAATTTTCATTCATCGTAACAAACATGAACAATTTCCCTTCGGAGCGACAAGCAGAGGAATAGCAAGGATGGTCGTAAATAACTCTTATAATACCTCCATACTCCAGCAAGCCAATGACATCCGTCAACGTCGTAATGAGAACAAACGAAACCCATCAACTCTCTCAAAGGAAGTTCGGTTTGGAAGCTCCGAAGTCATTGACACCAAGTCGCCACGGAACATGATGAAGAACTTTATGACCAACTTCAAGCTATTCTGCAAGCTAGCCCGTATCAAGTACTTGATTGTCACCCCGTTCTTCTTGTCCGCTGCTTTGCCATACGTCTTGATTCATGCCGAACAGAAATTCTCATGGACAATCTGGGTTGCTTGTCTGGTAAGTATTTAACCCATTTACATCACTGTCTGAATCTTGTTGGAGACGTGATTTATGTTTCTCTTCAAGCATTATCACTGTTTAATTAAAACTGACATGGACGCAAAACTAGTTTACGGGCTTCTTGGTACAGATTCTGGCAATGCTGTGCAACGAATACTATGATTTAGAAGCCGATACAGCCAATAAGACTCCCTCAAGCTTGACTGGTGGATCAAGAATCTTGGTAGACGGACTCTTGCCAGTTTGGGTTGCATGGGGTGGTGCTGCAGTATCAGCTCTACTTATTCTCGCCCTTCAATCCGTTGTACCATATGCACTTCCTTGGTATGCTCGTGGTCGTGAGCTCATGATCTTGGCAACACCATTAAGTTGGTCATACTCTGGTCCACCGTTCCATCTCAATTACCACGGATTAGGAGAAATCGATGCCGCCATAGTAGTTGCTGTTATCTGCCCCATGTATGTATCAGTCATGCATCTACCTGTATTCGATACCAAGTCTGTCTTGTTGGCCTTCATCAACCCATGGGACGCTGATGGAATGCTACTCCGAACCACTCTATACGCAATTGCTCCATTCCCACTTGTATATATATCCAGATACTGCTGCCTCAATATTAACGACATGGAAGGTGACAAGGCGGCTGGAAAAGGAAACTGGGCTGTCCTCGTTGGTGCTCGAATCACTTCTCGGATCTCTGTTGCTCTGCAGTGTCTCGCTCTTTTAATCGTACTGGATCAAACTTTGGAAGGGTTTATGCCAGCTTCTGTATATCTCCCCATGCTCTTGATCGTATTGCCGTTTGGAATCTATGAGACTTCTCGTCTGTTGTGGTTGATGCCTAAGCAAGACTGTGATATTCCAGCATTTATCGCCCGTCATCCCGCTAGTAAGCGTGCCGTTGTCAGATCGACGTGGATGTCGCTTATGGTGGCCTTTGCTTTGTGTGCTGGTTGGGTTGCCTCTCGTATAGACTTGTAAATATTGTCTTCTCGTTTCAAGTATAATCTCTCAAATACATATTATTTTGTGATATACGTCCTGTTGTTGATGCTCTATAGGACCGTATCCAGTGGCTAACAAACCGTCCATTTGTCGTTGAAAACCAATTCTATGCTTCCAAACCTGCAATAACTTATTCTATCCATACAAGAATCATTCGTGCACATAACATAGTAAACAGACTATTCAGCACTATTACAGCACAACCAGCGGATCCAAAAAGCCTTTGGGTTTTGTCGTGATGCTCTTGGTGACGATTTACATGCAACTAGCAAAGTGTCTATCTTACAAATTCCACGTGGTAGTACCTTAGCAGTATTTTTGTCAGGTAGTCTGTTATTTACCATCCAGCTGGCTGGTAACAGATTAAGTACGATTGTGGGTGCTAGGTGCAGTAGGCATGTTTGTAGATTTGTGATGAGGCGCGAGCTGCGACATGCGCGACATGACATAAAACAGCATATCAAGTTTCTCTGGTAGCATTCCCAGCGTGAGAATTTCTGACAATGTGGTCATATACAAGAACCGACTGTTCAACCTCTCCAATTCCATGCCAGTCTCCCACGGCATGTACGCTCCAACACGAATATATATGAAACATCTTACAGCTGCGCCGACGTGTTGACATCTTGACATCCATACGGATCAGACGCGACTGCACCGACAGTGGATAGATGGGAAAGGGCTCCAAGGCCAAAGTCAGTATCCGTAGACAAGGCATGTAGCAATGCTTTCAAAGCTGTCCCGAATTCGTTCGTTCTAGCAGTCCCAAATTGAGGTAGTATGAGAAGTAGTAGCAACCGCTGACTGAACGAGTCTTGGAAGGATCTAAAGCAACGTTCTTGATTAGTGTTTGTACCATGTAGAAAGATATATTCTGTCATTTTGACCAAATGCTATTGACACTTGAAGGTCGTATCCCTAGACGACGACGGTTTGATATTTGATGCCTTACGAGTATGCAACAATGTGGTGGTCACTGAGAGAGAGAGAAGGGGCACCAAGCTCATCCAGGAAATGCATTCAAGCGTTTTTGCGATTAAAATTGTACTGTTTGACTTACTATAATGCTGCCATTAACATTCAAGCCTGGAGTTTGGCGTGAGCCCCAAGCAGCGGATGAAAAGGATGGAGCCGATGCAGCCAATATCTTAAAGTCTCGAAGTCAATTGCTGTAAAGAGATCTATAAGGTTTTGTTTCCGATTCTGAAAGACGGAGATCTGACACACTGACGACGACCGACGGGATGGACCAAAAATAGTTCCTTACTAAGATAGATCAAAGAAATCCAAAGTAAAGCAGATGGAGCATAATTATAATATATGTAGCTTCGATTACAAAAGCTACATTGGCGTTTGTTTTGGTAAGCTTGCAGTTGATATTTACAGATATGTGCACTCCTGCTTTCCTACACTCTTGGAGAGTACGTTGGCACTTCTAAGGCTAGAGCTTGTAATGTCCGGGACATATCTTCCTCCTCATCATCTGTATACGGAGCATTACGCCCTCTCGTGCGAGTATCACTAGAATTATTTGTCGAATTTGGCTTTTCCAACATAAGTTCTGCATTCACACGTCGTCTCATGTCTTCACGTTCTCCTTTACCACCACCAGGTGCCTGGGCGTCGTCTGGTTGAGTAGGAGGTGGAGGCAACCTGACTTTTAGGGAAGGATGTTTACGAAACGTTGGGTTTCCATTCCATAGCCATTTAGGTAGAGACTTGCCAATCTCGAATTCGTATTGGAATTTCTCTATAAATTCAGCCTCGTCGGATCCAATGACACCTTCCTTTACAAATCGAGTGAATTCTATAGTGGCAGAGGGTACATTCCAGCACTGCAGCTTCCTGAGACACATTATGACGACTCCAGTGACTATTACACCGTCTAGACAGTGTATAAACATGGGTAGATTGTTTGGATCTATTATAGTATTGAGTAGAGCTCCGACCTTGGCGTATGTTAATGGTACAGAGTCCTTTGGCTTGTCGACTCTGATGTGTACTAGCTGTATGGTGTTTTGGGATGCGAATTGGTACATGGAGACTGGTGGTGGCTGTGGCGTCAATGAGAGTATTGTCTTTAGATGTAATCGAAGTAAGAATCGATAATTTCTCGGTTTCGGCAGAGCTGTTAACATAAAGTGCGAATAAGATAAAAGCGTAAGTTTGGGTAATAGAATCGTATAAATCAGTTTATCTCAGTTTGAGATCACAAAGGAGTTTACCTCCTCTGAACAGATCTTCTTCGACTGCTGCAAATCGAAATGGCGGATATAAAGGCCTAGTCATGATGGAAGCACTATAAGTAGTAACCGATTTATATATCTATAGCCTAGCAGATAACGATGACGGTAGCTTCTCCTCCGGAGCTTGGATTGAATGGATTGGCTGTAAACAACGTGGAAAATGAAAAACACGAAGAGCTTCACTCTCACGTCGTCGATTACGATGAAGCGGAACTAGACGAGACGATCATTGATCCGAATGATGATCCAATCATCACTTACGGTATTTGCTCTAAAGGAGTTCTCGATGTACAAGACATTATCGACACATCAACTTTGACACCACAGACATCAAGCTCGTCGGCAACTCCTGTAGTAGATAAGCTAAAAGATGATTTGGAAGCTATGGGATTGAGCACGAAAGGAACTAAAGCTGAACTCAAAGCTCGTCTTTCAAAAGCAAAGAAACGTGCAAAGAAACCACCTCCTCCTAAGCTACTCAACTACCACTACGAAACAGGTCATGTGCGTGTGATACGAGACGATGAAGATGCTACAAATAAATGGAGGCAATCTCAGCTTGGTCGCGATTGGGATGCTCATGAAGCTGATGTCGAAGACGATGACAACTTAGATCCAAACTCTTCAGACAGGTTCGTCTCCTTGCAGCGTTCGCTCGTACCTCTTCTCGCACACTCATTCTTTTCTTTCTGATGCAGGAAGCAACCTTACGACTTCATTTGTGTCTTGGATGTCGAGGCTACCTGTGAAGGCGACTCGAGTGAAGACTTTCCTCACGAAATCATTGAACTGCCAGTGATACTCATTGATGGCCAACGTGGAGAAATCATCGATGAATTCCATTCCTATGTCAGGCCTGTATATAATCCCATCTTGTCTTCGTTTTGCAAGAACTTGACTGGAATCACTCAGGTAATTTACTGTTACTACACTACCAACGCTCGCAAGCATGGAACACTAAGTTCACAACTTTCTTATTCAGGAGCAAGTGGATAGCAGTCCACCATTCCCAACAGTAGTAGGCATGCTAGATCAATGGCTCGCCAAACGATGTGGCAAATATCCATTTCGTAGACTTTTGTTTGTTACTGATGGCCCTTGGGATTTACGTGATTTCGTACGAAAGCAATGCGAAATAAGTATCATTGACCGACCACCATACTGGAGGCGATTTTTAGACTTGAGACGTGCCTTTACAGGTGATACATTGGGCCTAAGAAGCTTTTTCCGTCCCTTCTTCGAGCTCACCGCTACCATTTCATTTCCTATAGATTCTTATCCACATCCACGATCAAGTTTGTCTGGTATGTTGAATTGCCTAGGAATGACATTTGAAGGACGCGAGCATTCTGGAATTGATGATGCACGAAATATTGCTCGTATCGTTTTGCGTATGATGAAGGATGATATTGTCATCAAGGAAAATGTCGAACTCAAGCTATCAAAGAGGAAGCTTGGGAAACGAAACAGGGTATGTATGGACAGAATTCAGTGATGTCCATCTCTCTTGGCCAAGGACTGAGAGCTGATGCTTGCTAAATAGGTGCACTACACCAAGGGCAGCAATGAAAATGAAGGTATGTTGTATGGTGTATGTTCTCTGGAGATCGTTTGTTTTTGAGCTTACATGACTGAACTGACAACAGTCCTTCCGTCTGAGTGCGTTTGTACCAACTGACCTCATTTTTTTGTTGATAGGTTGGATTGAAGGCAATCACGTCCTTATGTAGGCGATGTCTTATGAAAATAGTCAGAACTTTGTAAATTAAGTATATTTCGCATTGCAACTGAGTTCTTTTGACTGTGCTCGCGCTATCATGTTTAACTTTTTGCTTGCTTCTCGTACTTCAAATGCACTCACACCTTGTGAAATCAAAAACACCCAAACACAAACAAGAAAAACCAAACTATACTATCAAACAACACAATCTCGTCTCATCAAAATGAATGTCTCAGCTCTATTGACTTTGTTCTTCATGCTCTTCATTGCATTGGTCAATGCTGACGAGGGTGGTTCAAAGATTGCATAAAAGAGCTTCTCTGACTCCAGGCCATTCTTTCAAGCCAATACTGCAGCCAAGGTATCTCAAATGCACACTTCTCTTACACCGATCGCTCATTCACAACACCCAACATCTGACCAACACCTTGCCTCAAACCTCAAAATATCTCTCTTCTTCCAACACAGGATGCCTCAATAACAACTGACTCCAATGGTAACGCAGCTGATGACAATGAAGCTGCTCAACGAGGCGGTCGTGGAGGTCGTTACGGAGGAGTTTACGGTGGGGGCGATATGGTAGAGGAGAGAACAGGTTGTAGTGTAACAGCAGGGTTTTGCTCCTCGTGATGAATCACTATCGGTGCTGGTGTTGAATCGGACATTGTTGTGCTATTTACATCCGGAAGATCGTTGATCCTAGATACGGGCTCGTCTTCAACGTCTATAGTCATACTACTAGCTCTGGGTGCTTCAGCTTTGACTGACTCGGTCTTCACTACTGTTTTTTCTTCGGTTACGACCAGCGCGCCAGCATCATGATCAATCACTTCGATTACTTCTACCTTGACTACGGCAACCGCTGGCTTTACTAGAGCAGATGACAGTTGTGGTTGTGCTGGTAGATTTACTACAGAAGCTGATCCAGATGGAGATAACAGTCCTTCGCTCACTGGAGTAGCTTTCGTTCCGATATTTGCATAAGCTACAATATTGCTCTTGACCTCATCTACACTCTTTGGTGCTTGTGGTGGTCTAAAGCGAGCCTTGAGTTTCAGTTTGAGGGAGGGCAAGCGAGCAGCAGGTTGTAATATGACGACTGGTGCGTGTTCTTGATGATGAGTGATTTCCGTTCGGGATGATGTTGAATTGGAACTTGTTGAGGTGTTTACATCAGGAACGCTACCAAGTGCTGAGATAGCACCATTGCTATGACTGAGTGTTGAAACAATTTTGTCTTTCTTTGGCAGCGATTTAACAAGCAATGGTTCTAGTTTAAAGATCGGATAGTGTGAGTTCAACTTTTCAGTATGGAATAAATTCAACCCAATTCGCGTTGTACCTGCAGCAAGACTCATGTCGAACTCCTCCTTCAAAATGACCTCAGTACTAACTGCAGATGTTTGACTGACTTTTTCCACCTTTTTACTCCAAATGCAATCCCAACAATCCTTGATTTTGATGGCTGCCTTTTCCAACATAGATTTACGGTGTGGTGGCGATGAAGATGGTGGTGCAATTCCCTTGCAAGCATCAACCATACTACTAATGTTAATAATACAAAACTCCAAGGCTCCTATAAGGTTGGTTTCGGCTTGTTTTCTGCTCTTAGATTCTTCATTGCCTTTAAGTTCCACTATTGTGAATCGGAATATGGCGGCTAGGTTCCAGCTCGTCATTCGAGTGCTAGCATGATGAGCACAGAAGACATTACATATAGACATGACGTATAAAAAGGTATCGTCTTTACTACTAGTCAAGTGGGTTTTGACGATATCCGAGATAGTAGGAGCCGATAGATGTGTACTTTTAAGTCGTTCTAGCTTGTGCACAGAGCTGCGTGGCAGGAGGTGTTTGAGATGCAGCTGTATATATAATTGAAATACGGCTCCAACCGAAGCAGCGTCGTATTGATTGCTGGAGTTCAGGAACCCGTCTCGTTGCAAGATAGCTTCTTGTACCACTTCAGTGACAGAGAAGGCGGTCGATACATCCTTCGATAGGGCTTTCAAGAGATGGTTGCACACAACAGCAGACCCGTCGACTCTGTGGCAGTGGAGAGATGAGTAAAGTAAATACGATTGCAATTGATAACATTCAACCCAAAACTTCGAAAGCCCATCTAGCCATTACCTAAATATACTGCGAGTCTCTGTTCCATGCTCAATTATATAATCACCCATCTTCACCAATGCAATCGGGACCTGAAGGTCGTATCCACTCACAACGACACTTTGACATTTGATGCCCTACGAGTATGCGACAATGTGGCGGTTAGTAAGAGTTAAAGGATGCAGCATGTTCATTGACACATATTCAATATTACGAGTCCCGTCAGCTTACGTTGATGATAGTATATGTCGAGTTTGAGTATGTTTGGTTTGTTATGTTGTGGCTGCTCGATGGTTGAGCGGTTGAGGACATTATGAAGAGCAGATTGCTTTCTAGTAGTGGGCTTGCTAGGACCGTATCGTAGTCTTTTATCCTCAAGTGTCCTGCTTAGTGCTCCTACTATGTCTGGTTGTGAATTTGGATTTGAGGTTTGCTACGGACGACAGAAAGTGCTATAGCAATGCTAGAGTAGAGGTCGCTGGGTATACGACATAGTATACTTATTAAACGCAGGCTTCATACGCCCCTGCTGCCATCGCATTCGAACATAAGACAGATATCGGCTTAAAGTTCGCAAAAGGAAGGCGCTATATAATCAAAAAAAAGAGAAAGAAAGAGGACACATCTGGATGACGGAGATATTTCACGTGTATCTAGTAACGTCAGTCGGCGCTGTCTGATACACAGAAAGAGCTAAAAGGGCTGTGACTTGCTTGCAGACTCGCAGGATGAGTAGCGGGAGCCCAGACCGTTGCAACAACCTGTCCTTTTGTATGTATACTGGAATCTTGTCAAATCATGAGCCAAATTTCTCTCTCCCCTGTCGCTACTTGCCGTTTTAAGGCATTTTTATGGGCGAAAGGACACCGAGAATTCTGAATTTGGTTACTGCAATCTCGATGGAAACAAGTGAGAGTACACTATAGTTCACAGATCTCACGTGACGAATGCTACCAAATATTACGCCATTGGTCGTAGCTTGTATCGCATCAACAATTAACACCAACTAAACCGCATTCCACGACTATATAATTCAAGGGTTATGGGAGAATGCTACATGGAAATAACGAAACAAAAAGGAGGTAAAAGATCTTCTTGGACTTACCTCAAGACAAATCGGATTTCTCCAAAGGACAATCGGTCGAGTTGTTGGTCTTTGAGAGAGTGATTGAGAGGCTTCAGAACTCACTGCTCTGGTCTAAGTCAGCTGCTCACGCAAAGGCCAAGCTCATTCTCGGCATGTACAAGAAATTCTATGGCTTGTTGAATTGCATTAGAGGTCTTCGTGAAGGACTTGGCCCATGCTCTCCATTTTGTGTGTTGGTTGTGAATGCTGGCTGGTCGGTGTCGCTTCTATTGATTTAAAACAAGGGATGCCTATGATGAGGATGTCATGAATTGAACATGATAAGATGACACGTCGTCTCATTGGGCATCTCGGACCTGCTCTTGTCCGAGACAACCCGCCCACATCCTCGAGTTCCAGACAATGCAGTAGCCGCTACTATGCACAGTCCGTGTTGCCATTGAACGCGTCTATACGTGATCTCTGGTCTTATATGCTTAACGTGAACAGCTAAAGATGGAAGGAAGTTGAGCATCAACATAACCACTTATTTGTTAAAAGAACATTTTGATTTTCCGTTTGCTGCAGCTTTTAACCACACACATCACTGGTGAAGCCGCTGGAATATTGGGAGAGTGAGATATCGGTGTGGGCCTTCATAGCACTCTCAAATCATGCTGCAAGGATTACTCTTCTCTATCACACCCAAAATGCTACTACCCCGGAAAATATTTCCTAAATCTCGCTGGAACATGTTAAAATGGACGCAAGTGCAGATAGTACGAATGTAGGAAGCTAAAGGGTACCATGGGAGAACAGATTTGCTCAATGGAAGTGAAATTAGGTGCTCAATACTACAATCTTGTAAGTGTCCTAGACCGAACTAGTCTTTTATCTCTTTTTCTGTTGGAGAGTTGTGATGACCAAATTGGGTGGGCACTTTGAGATGTCCGAGACATAAAAAGCACAGACGTGCTCGTTTTTTACGTGTTTAGTTCTAAACAAGGAAGAGGTACGTATAGGGATTGATCATTTCATTGCCTCTTGTCACTGGTCACTGTATGGAACACTCACGACTATTTGGTTCAAAACTTCAACAATATTTACATGAGCAGTAAATATAGAAATTGCCGGATTCTAAGCCTATATGAATGTTAACATGAAGATCAAACTATCAAATCGCGTTTTTCGCAAGCGACGAGCTTTGTCTGTGTCAAACTTGAAAACACCAAAAACATTGACGAATGATAATCTTTGACAAAACTTTTAGAGGAAGCGACATATCCTATCATCTTCATTTTACATATCTAAAGATTCCAAAGGATATCTGTCCTCCAGTAGTCTCCACTTGGACAAGCTTATGACAACTGAAATAAAAAAATGTCGAGCCCGTTCCCACCAAAGATTGTGTGGTTGTAATGGAAGGGCCTGTCGGTGACTATACATTCGAATCGTATCAGCTTCTGGCTGGACTCCCAGGCTTTGTTCGTGCTCACTTTGGTAAGCTTTGACCAACATTTGGTTTCGTTTGTTGTCGTAAACATTTTGGCATGCATCTGCATTCAGTGTACTAAGACTTCTCTTTTGTCTTTATTGAAATAGATACCGCTACAAGCATCAGGGCGCTTTTTCTTGCGAGTCAAGATGCTCTATCTGCTAGGGACTATATTAATACCAATGATGATGATTCATACACTGCATATGTCTCGAATGAGACTTTGCCGTCGGAAGCCAGACCCAGCCAATTCAAATCCTCGACTGGTGGAGCAACGGGGCTCCTCGAGCTAGTATGCTCCAAATTCATACGAGCTCAAGCCTTACTCTCGCTGGTTCTCCTATTCGTACCATCAATAAAGAGCCCCAGGATCTGCTCTCATTCTGGAAAACGATTCTTGGATGCCTATGTGTCTGATGATGCTGAGCAGATTGCAAACGCATTTCATGCCTTCACCAACATTGAATGCATCCATTCCAGTGCTGGGTGTTTGCATCTTGATTGCAATGTAGGCTCACGGTTTCATTCAGCCATATATAAGAAGATAAACTCTGCCATTTACAAGCCGTGCGTATCGTCTACTCTGGTGAGAATGAATCATGTTGTCGGAACTAAAAAGATTGGCCGTTTATGTAGAAATCTTGCTTTTGTCGGAGCGAGTTATATCGGTAAAAGCTGCTTGGTCAACGCATTACTTGGCAATCAGTTTTCAGATGTATGTGCTTTATTTTCGAAGGTTGTCTTTATCCCATCCAATATTTACCACACATTCGCTTGTCTAGGACCATCCCGGGACTATAGTGAAGACACATAAGATGGCTCACAGTGGATGGGCAGGGTTCCTCTTCAAGAGTGTAACTCTATCAGAAATAGGTGGTCAGCGCCAAATCGACGAGATTCGACGCTATGAACTTTCACGTGCTGATGCTCTCATTGTGTGCTTCTTGCTGAGCGATATGGAATCATTTCTCAATGTCACTGAAGGAAGGGTGCGATGTTCTTTTTGGTATCGTTGGGCGCTATAAATTATTGACCAAGTCCCTATTGTCACTTAGATTATGTCAACCATTAGCTCGTCTCCTGTAAATCCCGAAAACATTTTGCTAGTCGGACTTCAATTGGACCGTTTGACTTCCGTCAACAACTCGAACGTCGTTACGATAGATGTAAGAACCGAGTTGTCGAGTATTGTTTCAAAAGCGTTGTACTCACTTATTGGCTTCACATTCCTACCTAGGGAAAGAGTCGAGCAAAGTTGAACGGTTGGCGAGGGTTCGTAGCAGTGTCAGCCAAAAAGGAATGGAATCTGTCACAGGTCTTGGAGTTTATACGCTCAATTAAACCCTCTCAATATCAGCCCACAGCCATAAACTCCTCGATGGACTCTACAACCGCTCCCAATATTGTCCCAGTTTCTACTAAAGACGCCCAAGGACCCTTTATTATTCGGCAAGCTGCTAGAATACCCGCTCCAAATATTGGAACTCCCGTAAAGTTATCTCCAACAGGTGGAAACGGGTCTGACAATAAAGCACAACCCAACGTTTCAGCTGCTGGTGCCACGACAAACGATTTTTCCTTCAAACTCTCACCATCAGCTCCAGATTCTTCGATTGAGCGTACATCATCGTCATCAACAACTTCAACGGAAGACACCGCCGTTGATAGTAATAAGAATAGGTCCAAAAACTCAACTACTGTGTTAGTGGTCAAAAATCCTGAATTAAAAGGACTTGACCCAGCTGCAAAGAAGGATGCCAACAACAATGGAAAACCCCCACTTAAGGCTATAGAAGGAACCACAATCACCACCTCAGTCATCACACCAACGTCGTCTGTACCATCGTCAGATGATATCCGATCAACGGAAAATGGGTCCAACATTGTCAAAATATCCTTGTCGGGGCAGTCGGGTAGTGATGAGCTACCTTGGTCATCCACTCCACAAATCATCGTACAGACTGAAAGATCAAATGGTTTGGCTGGAATAGCTCCTCGTGTTGCTACAAATGGTAAAAGGTCTTTAGAAACTGTATCTGTGGCAGGAAGCCCTGAAGTACGTGGAGAAGTTGTCGTTGATTCACCACCGTTGGCTCTAGCTGCAGAACAGTCTAATACGCAGAGTCCAGCTCGCAAAACTGTGCGTTGGTCTGATGAGCTAGAAAGAGTATCCACATTCAAGGATACTGGATCATCAAATGATAGCAGGTCCACTGAAGATGCGTAAGCGGAAAATTTGTCTGGAAAAACTTATAATCTTGCAAATATTGCATTTTATTTGTCATTTGTAAAAACATATGTACGAACAAGGTCTTCTTTCCTTGCATGATTTTGATCTTATTTAGTACGCTTTCCGTTGCTACATAACAGTAGCACTCTCTTTACCCGCATGTGGTAGAGCCACTTCTCCAAAATCTGATGGATCCCATTGTGCTGCCATATCGACTAGTTGTATTTTGGATGGTATTTCGAATGGAAGTTCAGTTTGAGCTTCTTGATGACTACGAAGGCACTTTGGTGTTATTATTGGAGTGTTATCTACAAAGGCGGTTGGTGCAGTTTCTTTAGATTGTATCACAACTGGTGATGGTCCGTCGATTTCTGTGATTGGCGGTGAAGCCAGTTGAGACGCCTCTGGATCTTCTACGACCGCTGGTTGGGCAGTCACCGACACGCTCTTTTCTGTTGATTCTGGCTTTACGGGTTCCATAATGGCTGGTATTTCAGGGCTTGGTATAGGTTTCTCCCTTTTTTGATACAACCGGGTGACGGCTCCTTAGTTGCTATGATGACAAGGAGCAAGGCAAGGTCTGCTCAATTTGTACCTCAGTCAAAAATTTCGTGAGAAGGGTGACAGGTAAGGAGAACAGCATGAGAAACGGTTGAAATTTTAAGCACCTGCCTTGCAGAACCTTAAGCTAGCTAGCAATGTTATCAAATGTTTGGTATTTGGGTTCGTAAAAGTTAAAAGTACTTTCGAGAAAATCCAAGATCCAAGATCTCACCAGTTCTACACGCTCTTGTTTTCGTCTTGAGTCATTTCATCAACTTTTAGCTGACTCAGTCGCTTGTCAAGCCTTCAAAAATGGATAGGATGATTCAGTCCAAAGAGTAACACTCTGGTTATCACTAATAAAGGAGATTGGACGGTTTACGCGTCATATTGAATCTTGGGCATACGCTCTCCCGAATTCAGATCGAAAAATGCACGAAAAGCCGTTCCGACCAAGCAAAGACTAGTTGTGTTCTGCAAAGACGGCGACTTTGGATGCGACCCGAATTTCAGGGGGCAATGGCAGGGTCTCAACAATAAATCTCATAAGAGACATATCACGACCGTGGTAAATGCTGCTGCTTGAAGCGACTTTGGCAAGTAATTCTATTCTTCAATATCTACCTCAAGAGACACGACCAATTATATATGTTCTATCGAACACCTTCCATCGTTTCATTTGACACGCTACAATGGCCAGCCTAATCAGAGCCATTGCAACATAACCAGCGAATCCAAGCATATGTAGGTTGTGGTGGTGATGGTGGTCCAACTGTCTCGCATGCATCAACGAGACTATTAATATTGATGATGCAGTATTTACCGAATGTACCGTCTGAGTGCCTCGGCAACTGCAGCTGGTTGATATTCGGCGGAAGAGTTTACATAACCGTCTCATAGCATGATGGCTTCACGAACCGCAGCACTGACGGAGAGGGATTCAGTGACGTCACCATATAGGACCACTATTAGGTGTTCTACCACAGCTCCGCTTCCATCGACTCTGAAGGGATAAGGACGGAGTGTAAGGACTTGTGACAAAGTTGTCAAGCAAGGAGACAAAAGGAAACACTTGTAGATTTTCCCTGAAGATTAAGTCGATCTCAGTGCCATGTTCCAATAAATAAGCACCCATCTTCACCAACGCAATCGGGACCTGAAGGTCGTATCCATTCACAACGACACTTTGACATTTGATGCCCTACGAGTATGCGACAATGTGGCGGTTAGTAAGAGTTAAAGGACGTTCATTGACGCATACGACAGGATATGAATACTGTCTACTTACATTGATGAGAGAATATGTTGAGTTTGAATATGTTTGGTTGCTTGCACTGCGACTGCTCGATGGTTGAGCGATTGGCGACATTATAGAGAGTAGACTACGTTACATTAGAGGGCTTGCTATGACGCTATTGGCTTTATTTTACGACTAGATAGTCTGTTTTGATGCTCTTGCTAAATCTTGAGGGTGAAGAGGAAATTGCTTGCGATTGGGTACGGATGACAGACAAGTTATGTCGAATCGTAGATGTATTAAAAGCATGCTTTGTACGCGATTGCTGGCCTCGGACTCGAACTTAAATTATCGCGGTTGAGCTTACTCTGTTCGTTGATAGTGACCACTAGCTAGTATGCTCGAAGTTTGCGAAAGGAAGGCGCTGTATTATCAGAAGGGGACATAAACCGCAATACAATTATCATTCCTAAATTTTCTCAAGACTTTCGGTTGCTGTACAGGCACATCAGAGGTTGAAAATGTCCGTTATTACAGGAGCGGCTGTTGGCGACTACTTCAAAGAGCCGTTCTAAGGAAATCGGAATCAACCGTTCAAAGTCATACGCGCCTTCTCGACAGTCCTCGGCACCGTCAGAGTGGGGTCCAAAAAAGTCTGTCTTGTCGCGAAATGTCGAAAACCTGAGACAGCACACTAATCGTTGGCTAGCAGATCTGGACAGCTATTTTCTCCACGGATTTGACGTGTTTAGCACGTCGAAACAGTTCTACTATGCCTCCGTCAACAATAATCACATTTAACAAAATTAGCAGCATTGGCAGCAGCAACCAGTTACGATCAACCCTCCAACAAGGAGAATCCTTCCTCATAGACTCCGACAATAATGAACTTGGTGAAGGTTGGATTGCAACAAGGGCTGCAGCAAGACAACCGTCCTCTTCTCTTCTTCATTCACGGATTTATGAGTAGTGGTGAATCATTTGGAAGCTTTCCTGTAGATGTAGCCCAATATCTAGCTCAGCAATATCAAGTAAAAGTAGACGTGGATCTGTATAATTATGACACTCGGGGAAGTAATCAAGCTCGTGTCAAACATTTGGTTACGTGGCTGGCATCAAATGCTGGCACCAGCAAACGACCTTGGGTCGGCTTGATAGCTCACTCCATGGGGGGTATACTCTCAGCTGATGCTGCCAGAGCTATAGATTCAATTGACAGTGGCAAGGGCTGGGGATTTCCTCCAGCGGATAACGTTGGAGATAGTAGTCGAGATGATCCCGAGCTCTTGGCAAGGATACGCGCTGCTAATGTCAAGATCAGACTCGTTCTAGGTATGTAAAATAGTCTCCTTTGCATATTGAGTGTCTCAGGCTCCTGGAACTTGCGAAACGCTGGGTGCAATGCTATTGAATGTCTCCAATCAGGAAGCCTTAGACACTCTGCTCGCAAAGATGCCCGAAGTTGTTATATGATTTTTCATGCTTACTCGCATTCACTACTTAGCGTTCGATTCTCCATTCTATGGTCTACATCAAACCGTAGTCACAAATGCTGCTTTGGGGAGGATGAACGATGTTGGTGCAGGCATTACCAACAGCTTCAATACGATGCGAGGAATACCGCCAGCTGGCATCACGACTAGCACTACAGAAACACTCTCAAAAACCACTACCATCACTTCCACCACACTTGTAAAAGAATCTACTCTAGCAGCAGAGTCATCATCAGCCAGTAGTAGTACCAATGCTGACGTCACAACCAGTACCAATGCTGCCGTGACTACCAGTACCACCACAAAGGCCCTGTGGGGAATAGCAGGAGCTTTCGCAGCAGTAGGTGTCACCGCTGCAATGGCATATTCAGCAACAGCAAGGGATGTAGCTGGTAAATTTGCTGGTAAAGCATTCGAGGCTGGTCACTCTGTAATATCGCAGCACGCCGAATTCTTAGGACCATTAGTACAGGTGAAAGATATGGATATCAGATTGGGAGCTCTGGATAGGATGCAAACAGAAGGAAAACTTGTCTTTCAATGCTTTTACATACAGGTATGTGTATATGAATGTGCCTGCTTTTGAGTGGAATGCAACACCGTTACAATACTCCACGCCATTAGCTGACTTTTCCCTCGCTAGATCAAGAAGACTGCTCCTCCATCGGCCAACTTGAGCTCTGGAACCACTCAAATGCTGCAATTTATAAATAGTCCATCATCACCAGTTTATACGCGGTATTTCAAACCGATTCAATCTCTGGGGAGAGACGAAATCCACGGCCACCAGAAGGTTGGCGTTTCTTCAACGTTCAACGTTCCAAAGCTCTTGACTGACGCTCGACTTTCAAATAGATATTTGACATCAATGTCAATCCAAGCAGCTATCCAATTCTCGTCGCCGATTCAGCCGCCTTTATTTCTAGGGTCGCTAGAACATTGTAGACGTCCCTATGGACAATAGACGTCACTGAAGTAACTGTATAAAGACCGAAAAATCATAAACCCAATACGGAGCACTGCATAAAGCCCGAATCATCATGATGCTGACTATAAACTTTATGTATATATTGTGACAAATTAAATAAAGGCCTCAAAGACGGAAGTGCCATTCCCAATCAAGAAATGTGCTCATTCAGGACGTCTTGCGTATGGGACTGATCGATGCTCCTTTGAAGCGTTCTTCTTGCGACGACGTTCTAGTGCTCGTTCACGTTCGCCTGGTTTCAACGATTCGAATTTTTCAACCAATTCCAACTTTTTCATATCAGCTATTTTCGAGAGAAGAGAGTGTTACCACGAAGTTCCACTCGAGAGTTGAGTAAAAATCAAAAGCAACGTACACTTTTTCAAAAAGTATGGATTCTTGCCAGTCTTTAGCACTGCCTCCTTTTCAGCCTTCTTCCAATCTCGCTCAATCTTCTTTCTGCGATCCTTAATCTGGCGTGCTTCCTCCAAAGATATCTATACAAGTGAAGGTATGCATGAGCATTGGGTACAGCTACAGCATGTCAGATGGAAGCTACCATTCTCTGGACTAGTTTCTCTAATCGATCCCTTTCGGCAGGATCTCGTTCCTGAGCAGCTTGCTGCTTTATCAGATTGACCTCCGATGCTTCATATTCCCGTATGAACGAGTACTTTTGTTCAAAGAGGTCAGATCTGAATTCACCTGATAGAGATTCAAATCGAGGATCTCGTGCTTTCTATATGATTTAAACGAGTCAGCGTAATGTAGGATATGGCCACAAAGCGCTTCGACGTGTACTTTCTGAATGACATCCACAACCTGTCGATGCCTTGGGACTGCTCTCTTTGACGTGACCTCCGTAGGCCTAACGAGCAAGGAAGAGATTAAGAGAGTTTCTCAACTATCAGATAAAGGATGGATCGCTCACTGGTTCTTGTTGGCTCGTTTGGGTAACGATGGTCGACTAGTTTCAATTCCTTCAGGTCGATGCCATGAGGGCACATTCTCATCTTCGTCACTATTATAATGTTGGCTCTTGCCTTTACTAGTACTGCTCCGGCTATTAGCAGTACCTTCAGAGCTCCTTTCGACCTTTTGTGACGCTGACAGCTTTTTCTGCGTTGCAAGCAGTTGGTGGAATGGAATGTTTGCCAGCTCATCTTGAAGTTGTTTCTACCAGTTGGTATGCGATTCAGCGACTAGATAACTATAAAACTGTTGTTCACATGAAATTGAAACGCTCTTACCTCTCGTTCATCATCAATGTTTTGGGTTTCTGATGTCGAGTCAAGCTCGTCATTGTCGCCGTCAGAGCCATAGTCCTCCGTAGCATTCTCTTGCCCTTCGTCTATTGGACCATCTTCCATAGACTCTTCATCTCCATGTATGCTTGTCAGTTCGTCATCGTCGTCGTCGTGATGGCGTTTTGCAAAAGTAGGTTTGACCATGATATCGAGAGAACGGGCAGGCAGTCCCGTGAGTGTAATCCGGTTATAGTTAGTATCTACGGTAGAATGTGCTATTGGATCAACTAAATTGGCTTATTTGTCCGTTCCTCTGAGCTCCTTGAAAAAAAATCATGAAGGATGGGACGATCTACCCAAACTTTGTTTCTTTTTCTTTCATACTAATTGATTTTATATTGTTTGATACTAAGATATTTACTAAAATTATTTACTAGGGCTACCTTGTTCACTATTTTTAAGCAGTCTAGGTTGTTTTTGGTCCAATGACACGCTAATCGCGTTCAATTCTGAGCTAGACTCCTCCTTCGACGTGCTTTCTTCAACCTCAGCATCGAAAGTACTTCTTGGAGAGTCACTGCCACTCAGGCTTGGTGCAACTCGTCCATCAATTGCTAGACTCACGCTGACCCGTGACGACTTTCGTTGACGTAGCCTATAGATGCTAGTAGATGCTGAAGCTGACACGGGAGATCCTGCTATAGACGTAGTTCGTGGCTTGGTGGCTACCGGTGGCAGAGACTTTGTCGGGGCGGGTGTTGCGGTATATATCGTTAACACGTCACCCGTTAGCTTTCTCAGCAGCCACGATTTTGTTGTGTTATCGGTTGATGGTATTATTTTTTGCGTTTTGGTGACTGGAATACTGGTTGTTGTTACTGTGGTACTGTTGTGTGTATGTTTCACTTCGGATTCTGGTTTTGCGGGTTGAGTGGTGGTATTATCATTCGTTTCGTTAGTTCCTTTGGTATCCTTATCTCTATCTTCCTCCCAAAAGTCCGGGGCAAAAGTAGACAAGCTGTCCAGAACCGCGGTGTAATCTATTGGAGCTTCAAATAGGGACGAGGTTCTCCTCCAATCATCGATAGAGAGTCTCCACGAAGTATGACCTGCTAGAGGAGATCTTGGCGGTGTCGGTGTGTTGTCTTCCTCTTCTATTACGTCTTCCTCCTGTTCCTCCTCGTCTGCGTATGTAGTTTTGTCCACGTAGGAGTAGCTGCTAGTAGTATAGTCGATACTGCCTTCAGATGAGGCTTCAACGCTAAATTCATGTATTTGCGGCTCAGCAGCAAATGAAACCGCTTTGCCGTTCGACACTGACTTGTTCTTGGGTGCTGGCAGACCCACAACCACTCGTTTTTGGTTTTGAGGTTGTGCAGCCGGTCTATGAGGCAGGTTTCTACTACTTGAAGCGGATAGCTCTTCATCGTAGCAGCACATTATACTACCACAATGGCGAAGAGTTGGGGTTTGTGGTGAGGTGTGTGAATGATGTTTCGTATCTGGTAGCAGCTATGTCTCTTGCAGTAGCTTGAGCGTGTATTCGACGTGACGTTTACGTAGTAAATGTCGCGTTCTAGAGATGTGACTGCCGGTAGATTATTACAATGCTTGACAAGATAGTGACAAGATGGCCAAAAGCGCAGACCGTCTACTTTCACCAACTAGAATAGAATAAGTCAAGTTCCACGTGTAAGCAGTACTAAACTGATGCGGTAACGATACTGGTAAACTAGCAATACAAGGCAAAGTCCAAGTTTTCTAGACAGCATACACAGTTCCAATCTCACAATTTCATTTCCACACAACAGGAGAACAAGAATGGCAAACACCAGCAATAATAGTAATGGGACACATCAGCACTCGAAACTATTCTCATTCTTTCAGCCCTCTCCAACCCACTACAACACGATATCCGATGATGAGCTTGATCAAACATTTGGGAGCGGCAGTGAATATGTGTCGTTAAGAGAAAGGAGAGAGCTGTCGCCTACCATAGATCAGAATTCATCTAGTAGTGCTCTGATACAGTCTGCTATGGCCGGCTCACCAACAATTGTTACGGCACTATCACCTCATAATAGGTCAAACTCGATAATAGAAGCAAGTGTCGCACTCCTCACGCCCATACTCCGCAATGATGCTGGAAGGAAATCTGGCGTTCCACCTGAAACTGACTTCCTCTTTTCGCTCATGCACTGCTCCACGCTGGAAGATGCTCAAGACATGGCTAGACATCGATACGAGTATCTGCGGCACAATGACGATGCGGCCAAGCTGCATCGGTAAGTTATTGAAGTACTAGCAGTAGCTACATGGTTTGATTGGACATATTCATTTTCGAACAAATCTCGCTCGACAAAACCCCACTGCATTTTTTCGCCCGAGTACCAACAAAGCTTCCAATTCTTAGGACGCCATTCTACAGAGTTGCGCTGTATAGACTACCGGCTATATGTCTGACTCTCTTTCTGGAAGTGATTGTTGGACTCGTCATATCAAAATATAGCACCGTGTTAGAACGGCACATCCTTCTGACGTCGTTTATGCCGATACTGTCTTCGATATCTGGAAATATTGGACTCCAATCGTCGACGTCAACGCTACGGGCCTTGGCAACGGGGCATGCATCAAACGCCCAAGTAACGGACGTGTTGAAGGTCGTTGTAAAGGAATTGGCATCCGCCGTTTGTGTCGCTGTGCTGGCTGGTATAGCATTAGCTACGCTAGGTGGTCTGTGGGCTCACACGTGGAGATTTGCTGCTGTCACAGGCACGAGGTAGGCATCTTGCTTGATGTTTGATCAGAACGTCCACACGGGCAAGCACGATAAAGCAGAGAATTGTGGTTGAGCTGTGTTATTCTCTCTTCTGAATCGAATCGGCCCGCATTCCAGACATCTGACACTGACCTTCGAAAATAAAACCTTGTTTAGTATCTTTATTGGTGCATCGCTGGCTGGAGTTAATGGATCTCTAGCTCCACTGATATTCAAAGCATTCGGAATAGATCCAGCTGTGACAGCCGGTACGTATTATCTACCAATGTAACTTAGAAACTACCTCGATAACAACATACTAACCCTTTCCAAAACGTAGGTGTAAGTGTATTTCGGCTCTATTAATCTGTCCCGGAAACCAAAATTTCATTAACACTCTATTGTATTCAGCCATTTGAAACGTCTGTGCAGGATCTCATTGGAATAAGTATTTATCTATCTCTCGCGAGTTGGTTTTTGCAAGACGTGAACGTCACAACACCAACAAGTATATAGTTGCATGTCTGTCTACCTCATGCATCGATCGTAACGATGCCTGAGCTCTCATAGAGCCTCGTCCGATTCTCGGCTGAACTTACACATAGAGGTTGTAAATTGATGATACCACCACATTATAAACTATCACTAGCACGGAAATGCGTGTTTATGGACAGGAATACGCGGGATTCTCTCTCGTTGCAGCGTAAATAGGGTGTTGTCTGATTTCGGAGAACACATGATTTTATCAGCACTCTTCAAAAAAACGAGCTTTTGGGCAAACCAAGGTACAAGCAAGAGCGACGTAAGTCCAGAGACCCTTGACAAGGTTGTATGTTCAGTAGCCAACACTTTGACCGTCTTGCTTATACCAGAAAACGCCTCCAGAATGGGCAAACTCTATTTGGTCTGGCTCGAAGCACAGAAAGTATTCGGATGTGCCGATTGTGGAACCCATCTATCGTCTCTTGATCGTCGAGAATCAGTTGTAAGTTAATCGTGCTTTTGAATCTAGCAGAATCCATGCTTGCTTTGACGGTGTGATAAGCAAAACATTCCGTTGGTCGTCGGGTGGTGTTTATGTCTTTCGGAACTGGATGCAGGAAGCTGTAGTGATATTGGTACTATTTTCATTGCTGTGTCGCCCGTTTACTGACCTTTCATCCATTGTTTCATAGAGATTTCAAGGTGTGATTAAGATGCGTGATACAACGGGCAACGCTTATCAGATCACTGCATTTCTGACCTTTTGAATTTCGAAATATAGGACACCATGGCGCTGCATGGCTCTTTACTGAAGGTTGGAACTTGATTCTGATTTGGTGCGAGGCTTATCATGTGAACTAACGCACATACACATTATGTAGTCGTCAATGTGATCGAAGGACCACTACAGGACCGCTCAATGAGTAAGCACAAATCTCGTTTCTATGACATGGATATGTCAAGAAATGCTCATGAAGATATTTGGCGAAAACACGACGAAATGTTTTGCTGAAGGTGTGGCTTCCGTGATGCGAATCTCACTGCTACCTTTTCAACTTTAGCAACCGGCATGCACACCGTCAGAGACATTTACTGTACAAAGTGTGGACAGCTCCTTGGTTGGCGATATGTGAAGGCTGCCGAGGAAGATCAAAAGTACAAGGAAAGAAAATTCATCTTGGAAAGAGCCCTCGTCCAGGAGATACCGAATGCTTAACAGCCGGACGCCAGAACATTCTCTTACATAAACTCATCGTACTGAAAAAGCACCCCATCTTAAAGAAACAACCCCCACAAAATTATAAAAAATGAAAAGAGTCTTTCATCTTTGGCAATCATCATTGTACAATATACGTTAATTTCAAATGCAAAATCGATTAATAAACATTGTGAGGGTCGTAATAATCTCCAGCAACGTGTTAGTCCTTTTTCAATGTTCGTTGCTTCTCTGCATGCTCTACAATCTTCTTTTCGACAAACATTCCCTAAACAGTGCGCCAGGTATTAGTAGACTTCTTTTCCGACGAAAAGGAACATTTCGAATCCTCGACGTGGTTTTGTTTTACCTTGCGCTTTCTAACCGCATCGACATACTTTCGAGCCAGATTGTCTCGATCAGCCTTCTCTCCTAAATCCTCCAATTCCTCTTCAGTATTGGGCACCCAAAAGGGATCTTGATCCAATACTTCGAATCTACAAAAGCAGAGAAAAATGGGTCACATGAAGATCAATATAACGCAAGTGACGGTACTCGGAAGTCGTGCATATCAGAGATGGTCATACTTACCCACTGAATATAAGTTGAGGTATCGCAGCACCAGAAGTTCTTTTTCGTAGTTCTGTAGAAACGAATAGAGCAAACAGTTGAAAGACAGGCAACGGATAAATTATATGGATGCCAAACCATACCGTCTGAGAATCCAAAACTTTCCAGAACCGGCATCATAGCTTTGATATTGAAGAATGGAGTACCCTCCTTCATTTCTTCAGACAGGATACGACCACGACGTCTTGCCAGGACAGCATATACTTTGCCAAGAACCTCAGCTGGATGGGTACCAAAGTAGAGATGTAAGCAACTACTGTTCACGAATGGTTGAGTTTAGAAACACAAGCATTTACATGGTGCCTGTAAGTCACAGGAGTACATGGCGAGCATGAGTCTAGGTGACCATTGCAAGAATGCTTGTCTACATCCTTCCTTCATCGTTGATATGATCTGTCCCGATAGAGAAGCGAGCAGGTTTGCCATTCCTCAGATGATGAGAAGATATGTGTGAGTATGCAAAAACGACGACGAGTCACAACCAGTTTCGTACATTCATACCATCTTCTGATTCTGGTTTCTCGATTCGACATTCTTCAATGACCCATGCTACTCCAACTACAGGTTCACCACATAATGGACCTACTAGAGTTGACAACTGGAACCCTGAGTGTATGCTACCATCGACGTCTTTGACAGTGGGGTATAGAGATGTTGGTTCATCAGAGGTTGACAATGATGTTATAGACTGTGCCAAGTTTTCCACAGCAGTCTCGTCTAATGGAGACGCCATAGCTTCTGGTGTCTGTTGTGGCAAGGATACGATCTGTCGTGTTCGCGATGTTCGAAAGGCTTGCAACCACCTATGAGGCAAAAACGAACCGAGAAGCGGTTTTGTTAGCACGAGATTTGCTTTATCCTACCGCAATGGTCTCACTTACGGCCTTCTATGATACCCAGGAATGGCGTTAATCAACATGTTTGGTCCGACACGTCGAGGTCCTAAAGCCCATAACTTATCTACCGCACTTCTCCAAAATTCTGCGCCTCCAACTACATCTTGGTCTTCTCTAATAGCCGTTTCAATCTCGTTTTTAATACGATCCAGAAAGACCAATCCTAGTTGATCAGAGTCGACATCGTCAGAAGCTTTGCGTAAGGTTTCTGACTCATTTAATAGAAAGCGTGTAAGTCTTTCTGGCATTGGCAGAGCTCTAATTCTTATGGATGCCAGCTTGTTCGGTGTGTTTACTATGACTGTTCCTGGCGGCAGCCTTTCAGCAATAGGCACATTGCTGTTGGTATCTGCTGGTGCATCGGAGGACACTATTTCTGGCAGTGTCAGAGCACTTGATTTAGATATGGTCTCTCGATAAGGTACTAGAGGTGGTGATGCTTGTATTTGTATCCTGGCAAATCGTTCTCGCAGATCCTTGAGACATCGTTCGAGATGTAATTCACCAGCAGTGACTATGACATGTTCTCCAGTCTCTTGGAGATAGACTTCAACACATGGATCAGCTTGGTTGAGTAGCTTAAGCCCTTCCACTAGTTTGGGCATCTCGGCTAATTGAAGCATATCAGTAATGTCACAACAAAAAACGACAGACGCTCTTAGAGTGGCTCTTACTTGGATCTGCTGGTTCTAAAGCCACCCGGAGAATCGTAGCGTGCTCCATAGTCAGCCCTCCAAAACTAGGAGTCTCGCTTTCACTTGCCAGCGTACCAGTCTTTAGCAAATGTCCATCTAGTCCACCAATTCCGAAGACGTTGCCCGCCGGTACTTCTTTCAAGTCTTGCAGATCTCGGCCCATCATCAAATACAGTTTACTTACTGTTATCTCGGATTTATGCTGATTTGGATACCTTGGATCATATTTTGGGCCTAGCACATGCAATTTCTGTCCTATTCGTATGGTCCCGGAATAGACACGCGCAAAGCCTATTAACACTTCAGCATTGGGATCTACGTCTACTGATTCTTCTGCAGTGGGATGCTCTGACTGATCGGTATTGTTTTCGTTTATTACCAGTACGGCAGGTCCGTCATCTTCGATTGTTGGAGTAGGACTCACGGCAGCAGCTTCACGACGTAGCAGTGCCTCACGGCGTCTTTCTCGCATCTCTTCAGCTGTGAGCTGAACACGACGATGGGTGGGTAACATGTTGGTCGGCACACTAAACATTTTACTGACATATGCAATAACTGGTGCTTCATTATTTGCGTCACACGCGTACAGTGCACGCTCTATCTTTTGACGAATGGGCGGTAGAGATTCCACAGTCGGCGGTGTGGTTTTTGGATATAAAATTTTGGGTATACGTAGAGCTTGAGCCTGGATTGGTGATGGCAATAGTTCGACTACAGCTAGTAATATGCTGGTGGACAGTGGAAGCCACTGACCTAAAATCGTCTGCAGAAGGTATTTGCTGTCCTTTGACTTCATATCTCGAGCTAAAATTTTGAGATTCAAAGTCCTGACGATTTTTTCTACTCGTTCTCGGTCACTACTTGAAGAGAGGACGGCATCATACACAGCCCACAGATTATCCAATATAAATTGAACAAACATGGGTTTTAAGGATCGGCCTTTAAGACCTTTTGGCCCTACTACTCGTTTCGTTTTAGGATCGAGATAGAAATCACCCCAAAGTACTTTATTCAGCGTAGTTTCCTTGACACCTAGTTTGGCAGCATAGATGCTAGCAAACTGGTCTACTCGGAATGCCCATCCATCGATAGCAGAAGAAAAGATTACATTTCCTTTTTCAGGGGCAAAATACAGGTGCGAGTCATCCCGATCTTCTAAAAACCAGTCTTCTTCACTGGTTGTTTCAGGTTGCTTTTGCTTTTCTTCATAATCTCGAGCATCATCTGCTATTAAATCTTCAGCATAAAAGGTAGCCATAATGGCATTGGCTTGTTCCAAGAGCTTTGACATAGCGATGTAAGCTTCTGACGGAGTGAGCTTTAATTCTGTTATTAGACGATCAATCTTGTTGATCACCAGTATAGGCTTGACGTTCTCTAGCCATGCTTGTCGTAACACTGTATGTGTCTACAAGCATTGAAGTCAAAACTAACGTTTGGTCAATGATGGTGACAAACTCGAGCCTTACTTGTGTCAGTACACCTTCGACAGCATCAACAAGGACTAGAGCGCCATCACATAGACGCGACGCTGTAGAGACCTCACTAGCAAAGTCCACATGGCCCGGTGAATCGATTAGATTGATCAAGTAATCGTCAGCCCCGGACAATCCTACCAAAGGATCAAAGCTAATTCAGTATCCACATTTGAAGCAGACTGATAGAAAGCAGTAGCAGATAGCAAACCTGCTTCAGAAGTAGCTGGTGATATCACAGAACGAAGGTGTCGAAAGAAGAGTGAAATCCCTGATGATTTCATAGTGATGCCTCGTTCCTGTTCATCTTCTCGAGAATCTAGATAGCGTACTTTGCCCGATAATTTGGCACTGATGATCCCATTAGACGCCAGCAATCCGTCACTGAGCGTCGTTTTGCCTATTTGCAAAAAGTCTGTTTCAATGTTGGCCTTATTGACGGAAGAGAGCAAGTTCGTACCATGATCTACGTGTGCAAGAATGCATATATTGCGAATATTGCCTTGCTGAGATTGCAGCTTTACTAGCTGTTGCTGGGTAATCAATCCCATCGTTGGTTTTTTTGGAGCAAAGTCAAAGCGACTAAGCTTGAATTTGCAGCAAGGTGACTAAGGAACAGACCAGTATCAGATGAGTATCAGATGTGTTCTATTGCAGTTCCAGGCAGTCGTCACGTTAATGGCAGCAAAAGACTGGTTTTCTATTGGACCTGTGTTTTCGTCAACTTTGGAAGGTTGGATTGCACAACGACAAAACGACGCAAACAGACATGATAACGCGACGACATCCTGTTATGGAAGTAATTTAAGAGACACCAAGACACATGGGTCTCAGTGCCTGTGTCGGACGAGTCGGCGAAGACCACTACACTTCACCTTTTTAACACACTGCCTGTCTCCGGCTTTCGAGTCTACTTCTGAGGTAGTTGTTTGGGGACATCAACACAGTGCTTTGCAACAAATATGAAGCGAAATGCGAAATCTATTTACACATTATCTTTATGTGTAAGCTCTAGCGTTTGGAATCTAAAATATGGACGATGGGAGATGCTCGTCTCTTCCTATAAAAGTTTTGTCAAATGTTATCATTTCCCTTGTACCTCGTTTAGATGTACCACGGCCACCACCAGACTTCTTGACCTCTCGCTTCCTATTGGATTCAGTCTTTCGGAATCTAGATGTGGTGTGAGGCCATCCTCTACGCCCACTGGTTAAAACTTCAGATGGTGTCATGATAGTACCAGCACATTCTACATTAGCAAAGGCAGCTAAAGAGTTTTCGGTTCGGCTACTGTCGCTAAACCAGCATCTCGACCGGGTCGCATACATGTACACATGATGGCATCCTTCTCGCCACATGCTGAAGTGTTAGTACGAGTGGAAACCAATGTCATCATCAAAACACCACGACGGTCTCATGAAGCTGTAGTACTGTAGGATCTCGAAATATTATAAGATGCACCAAGGAAGACACTCAAACATATGGTGAACTCAGATTGGAATTGAAAAGTGATACACTGTCACGTCGAATCCGCTCATCCAGAGCCTCTGGGCATGGTGCTCAACGAGGGAGTTACGGCTGGTATACAGATGTATGTTTGCTATGGGGGTGGCTGTTGGCCAAGATGAAGAATGCAATGATATGGAGCAAAGTGCAGCTGTCTCAATAAATCTGACTGCTTCCAACCAGTAAGTGTTCTCTGCCGTTGAGCTGAGCTATAGACTTTGTCATTCTAACACCACTTGTTGATTTAGTTTTTCCAACAAGCAATCTCTGCTACGTATTATGAATCTTTTGGTGTCGGGCAACACGTAGTGCGGCTTCATCGCTTACTCGACGGCCGTATTGCGGTTTCACCTGACTAAACAGCAGCGAAAGTATGTCCAGGATTTGAAACAACTTGTGTCTACTTTTTATTTTGCGTTGCTTACATTTTTTGTTAATTAGACTGTGTTTCAGAGTCGGGATAATTTATATACTTATGTCGGTGCCGTCGCAAAGCCTTGGCTTAATGGCCAAGTGTTTGAATCCACTGTAAGTTGTAATCGTGTGTTGCTGGCACAAAACGAGGCTTCACTGACATGTATCAACTTAGATCGTCGATGGTATATGGAAACGAAGGATGCTGGGACATGCTGTTTCCCTGAAACTCATGCTCGCAAAACTCGTTGAGGCCATTGGAGCTGATGCTCGAGATTATTTTGTCTGTGGTGCAAATTTGGGACTTGAGGTAAATATGTCACAGAATTCCAGTTCGCGGGCTTGGATCTGTCGTAATAACGCTCTCTCGTCTTGCAGTCTCGGAAATTAAGTCCAGCTTTGGCCTGGCTCTAGGATAGTAGTGTCCCTTGGAACGACCTGGGTGTGGCAAATCTTTACAAAACCGACGATATGTAAAATAGTACCGCTGTCAAGGAAGCAAGCCCCTTGATGATAAAAATGCAACGTTTTGATGTTTTTTCCTAGTACAGTTTGATATTTTTTTTTGTGGTACAGCAGGATTGAAAGTCGAATGATTTAGATGCACTCGTGTTTCCATTTGCGAGAATAAGGTCTTGGAGTAAGCTGTGGAATATTCGCGTTCGTGGGAGCATCATTGACGCCACTATTCAATTGATTCCAACGAATTCAAAGACCAACCGAAACTCTTTCATCTCCATGTCATCCAAATTGAGGTATTACGGGAACTGAAACTACGTTTCAAATGTACGTTTACACTACTCATGTGGTCCAAATCCACTAAAGTATACAGCAGGTTTGCGACTCGGATTACAATCCAATCCAACCGTCCCTTGGGCAATGACCACTATATCACCAGCCGTGACATCAAAAGCAGCAAAATTACGTCCTTCTGGATATCTGTTGAGCGCCAGCAGTCCATACTTGCGATACCCAGGCGATAACTGCATGAATTTGCCACGGGCGTGCAATATGTCGTCAAAGACGTTACGAGGCTGGCATTCCGAATCCATGCAAGTATCAGGTGGATGTATAAATGCTTCTGACAGGATTATATAAAAGTCATCGTCCTGCTCATCTGGTATTATGGGTCGACCGGTAGAGTCCAGTGGTCTTCTAGCATCTAGTATGCTTGTCAAGCATTCGTATATACGTGACGAGCAGTCTCGCAATCCAGGCCGATCATTCCAAGGGTTTAGATCCTCTGTCGATGTTGCAATACTAGTCGTCGTACCAACAACCTCTGTAGCAGACACCGGACTCATTATATTCGATGTCCCTTCATGGATACACTGTGCATAGTCACTCCATACGAAATAAAACCGGGATCTGAATCGGGTGTATGGGTTTGTTGGTGTAGATACCCTGGGACTTGACATATTTGATGGCGCAACTCGACGAGACAGACCTAATCGCAGGAGATCATCCGTGCTTGGAGTGGTCTGACATGGAATCTATGGTTCAAATCACATCAGGACATTGATTCTGAGAAAGCTGGAAACTGATCGTACCATGCAAAAGAGAAACCTGGGATTGTCAGTACCCAAGAATCGCTCCAAGTAATGCGCCTTCATTCCAGCAGAGTGTCCAAACATGAGACCTATATTTTCGCACTTCAGTTTCGGTTCTCTGTAACGACAATGTTGGTTGGGCTTACCACTGTAAAGACAAGCATTTCTATCTCGTTCACCAACCTCCTTTTGATGATGCAAATGAGGACAATCCCACCACGAGTACCCCGTTGAATCGTCACTAAATGTATATCCTCGAATACATGGTTCAGCAGTTGCGACTTCAGACCCCATTTCATTACGTCCAAATCCTCGCCAAAGTGGATGAGGAATAATTTCACTCAGTTGATTCGTCCTAATACGTAGGCAAGTTGTAAGTAAGATGACTGAAAAGAGGCTTTACCGCTGGAATTCCAACCTAACAGCATGCCATTTCTGTATCGCATCAGATCCAAGCTCGAATAAAGCATCTCGTGAGACCGATTCTGCTTCAAATGCCCCAAACGAATTCGTAACAGATAGTCGTCCAAGATTAAGTATAGCGTTTTGTAAGGATTCCAAACCAGATGATCCATCTAAAAGTACACCACTCGAATTGCGGCCGTTCGTCGTTTGCACAGTTACAAGGCTTCCTCCGTGCAGAGTTGAGTGCTGACATATCCTCATCTTCCATTCGTTTACCTCAAGAGCACGCTGATGCTCATTCAACCTTCCGTTCACTAGTTGCACATGGAAAATGTCTCCGCGCTCATTTAGTGTCTTAGATGGTATGCCGTTATCAAAGCTGAGTTGTGCTAGGTTTCGATTTACATGTAGCAGTTTACTGGAGTCCAATAACAGTTGTAGAGCACCGTCGTCCAATACTTGGAATGCGCAAGATCTCCATTGCTTTGATAGCCGAGTGATTGTAAAGATGTCGACCAAGTCGGATTCGACAAACAGGATTGTAAGGATTTTGGCAATGATTTCGTTGGGAAGCTTCAGCCTACGGTCTTCCGCTATAGTCATCTTACCGAGTATGAGGTTGTTTTCAAAGTGAGACCTCGTTTTCAAAAGTTGAAAGATGAGACGTTGAGAGCAAAACGGAAGACGAAAACACCAATCAAGGTCCACCAAGAGGAAAGCCAGCTGTTCTACTTACACACCAAAAGTCTTTAGAAGTCAAGAATCGACCGATCGCTTATAACACCTATTTGTTTCTCTTGCAGGCGTGGTTGTGGTTGACAACCTACTCCGCACACAAAACAAAACCTCTGATGCTACTGAAGATCAAGCAAAAGCATATATTTTCTCTAAAACAATTATGAGAACATGGCTCTTATAATGGCGCATTGGTTTTCAATATTGGTAAGCCACTTCCGCTTCTCTGCAACCGATGCAGCACGCACTGTAATGATTTCTTCACCAAAAACTACTTGGAAGCAAGAATCATCTGCACCATCCATTCTACCAGACCCCATGACTGGTACCTCACGTCCAACGATATCGGTAAGATACATGGGCTACATGATATTGTTTTGTGAAAAACACGGGGTTAGACTCGGTACTTCACCAGGAAAAAAAAAAGTCATTGCTTTAAATTACCCTTCGATAAAGAATGTACTGGAATCCTCTGGCATCGGCCTTAGTCTTGGGCTCCACAAGCAGCAATATGTCATTAAACAGGTAGCCATGCAATTTCCGACCTGATTTGGTCTTGGCCAATGGTCCTTCCAAGACGAGAGAACGAGGACCCATAAACTTTGTAGGACTAGACAAATCAATGTTCTAAAAAAAGATTAACAGGCGGTTTTTGCCAAGTACCTTAATGACAAGTTACCTCATCACCAACATCAACCAACTTCGCAATCTGTATAACATGAGCCAAAGCCTCCTTTTCTCGTGCAGCTTCATTCACACGACCAGCAATCTTTTCACTCAGATTCATTGCCAGAATTACATTCTGATGATCTGGATGATTCTTGGGCGTATAATGCAATACCTTTTCTAGGAGTATCGAATATCGCAATATACGTTGCATGGGTTCCAATAAGAAGGAAGTCAAGTCTAATGCTCGACATTTCGGATTTTTCTGACACGACTTTAAAAAGTCTCCTAGTCGTTTATCGTCTTGCCGAAGCTTTTGCAATAGTTTTGCAGCGAGGGATTGATTGCCACAATAAATGCTATAGCATTCCAGAGATGGCGACTACACAACAGAAAAAAGAGGTCAGCTAACGGCTTTACGACAAAGAGAGTACAACGTTTTTTTAGCCAAATCACCCACATGCTTCACAAACACATCCCCCACACTTTGAATGTAATAATGAGACGCTTCTTGAAGAGATTCAAAATCCGATAATATCAACGTGTTCGTAAATAAGAGCTCTTCAATGTTGGAAAAGATTCCGTTCAGCTTGTCTGGGGTCACTAGACCAGACATCGGATGATAAAAAACCTAAATTTGAAATCGTATTTGAGATTTTTGGCAATCAAATTGACCAATCATTCAAAAAAGCATACCTCAATAATGAGCTGAAGATCTCGTACATAACTCTTTTCAGTTGAAATCAATTCGTATATAGCTTCTTGTCGTTTGCGTTCATCAGGATCCAACGAGTCCAATAAAACAGGATCGACCTGATTCGACCAATATTGAGCAGTAGGTCCAGAATTCTATCATAAATGCAGGATTGTCATTTTCATTCCGTTCCAAGTTGCGTTCAACTCAAATAAACGGACTTACGAAACTTGGTCTAGCTCCATTCGTAGAAAGCGAAGTCTTACGAGACGCCACATTCGAGGAAGCAGTATTGTCAGCAACCAAAAACGGATCATCACCACTAGCAAACGGATCACCATCAGGTGAAAACGGATTGCTAGCTGCGATAACAGCGGATCTGGGCGGACTCGTGACATAAAGTCCAGGGCTACGTCCACTAGGAGACGTTGCTGCACTTCCTGGTTTACTATTTATATTCATACTATCATTCAACACACCACCAACACCACCACCACTGCTAGGCTTTCCTACCACACTAGCCCCCGTCTTGCTACGTACCGGGCCTGGTCGTACACTGCTTTTACCACCACCAGGCCCTCGCTCAAAACCCGACGCTACTTCGGATAGATATGTTGCTGGAACTAGTCCACTTTCTTTGAATTGATTTTCAACTCGCCACCAATCAGCATCAGACTTGTCTATTATACCGACGTGTTCTCCTTGGATGACAGTCAACTCATCTTCATTGACTCGAGCATAGTCGTACAACACTTCAGCCATAGGACCTGAACTGCCTAGAAACGAAAGAAGCAAAAAGGAAATGTGAAAAGTGTCAAATAGAGAGTCTAATCACAAACATGCTATTACCAGTAGCAGATCCATTGCTTGCTGAACCACCTGGAACGGTTTCTACGTAGGTTTTTGGGAACCATCCAGAAGATCCATTCTTGGTTCCAAATAGCCATTCTCCTTCTTCTCGTTCGACACCAACCACATCGCCTTCCATCAAACTCAAATCATCAGCTTTAGCTGCATCATAGTTATACAAGGCTCGAATGGTATACAGGACTCCTGCGTGCAGAGATTTTTGGGTGAGCGCTCATGCAAAAAATAACGAGCAAGTGTTCGGATACATACCTGCAGGGTTTGAAACAACCTCCCAATCGTCATCTACAGGCTTCTTGGTAGCTGCAGAACCAGAAGAATAAACACCAGCGACATTACTTTGCAACGACTTCATCTTGTCACTCATTTTGCCTGGAGCTGAAGTATTCTTTGGTTTATCATCCCATTCATCATTATTGTCGTCATCGTCTGCACCACCCATTCGATATCTGGCAGCAGCAATAGCATCTTGCACGGACTTATTAGCACCAGATACAGGCGGAGCGCTGACAGGGATTGGTGCTCGTGGTTGAGATGGTTTTCGTGAGATTGAATCAAATGGATTGGGGTCATCACCAAATCCAGATGGAGGCCCTCCAAAAGCATCATTTACATTATTACTGAATGGATTCGGAGAAGAATCGAACGGATCATCATTACTTCCAAATGGATTAGATTCAACCTATCATAAACCGAGATCAGAGCAGCAATTTTTTTGTCCACCTTACGAAGACTTGAAAGATCATTTTTCATTGTTCTCCCTAATTACCTTGATAGGAGCTGGTGCCGGCGTTTTAGGAGCAACAGCTTTAGATTCTTCTTTGGCTTTAGCCATACGATCTTTAGCGGCTTGAATCGCAGCTTGAGCTTGAGCAATCACATTCTGTGTACTAGCACGTACAGGAACACTTCCACCTGCAGCACGAGTTGGTACGACAGGAGCTGGAGCTAGAGATGCAGTAGCTTCTGGAGTATTAAATATACCTTGATTGAATCCACCACCACCAGAATTTGGTGGTGCAGTTCGTATGGCAGGACTACCAGGCAAAGTACTTGGATTACTACTAAACATATTACCAGGTTGTGAGCCCATGAGTGGAGTAGATAATGGTGTTGATGACATTGGACTAGATATGCCAGATATTGGTTGAGCATTCAGCTCGTTGGCTTGGGCATCTAATGCCATAAGTCTAGCCATCTGTGCTTCGAGTTCATCATCTTCCTTTGGTGCTGGACGGGGAGCAGCTCGTTGTTGAGGTATTGGTGCTGGCGATACACCACGAGGAGGTCTTAAAGGTGATGGTGCTCTAGCTGGAATTATGGCTGGTTGAGGAGCTGTTGGTGTTGCTGACCTACGTCCAGACACTATATCTTCAGGGGATGGGAACCTAGCAGATAAGCTGTCCACAGATGGAAACATTTCTTCAGCTCGTGAAGAAGCAGCTGATAACGATGGTGGTACTGGAGGGGGAGCTGGCGATACTGGTCTAGGACTAGCTCCAGGAGTTGGTGATGCACCTGGTCGTAAAAATGTTGGTAGAGCGGCAGCTGATGGCTGAGTTTTAAGTGCTGGTGACGTTCTAGAAGGAGCAGAGGACGGCGCAGTGGTTCTAGCTCGATCAACTATTCCTTTAGCATCACTACTGGTCAATCCAACCCCATCTTCGTACTTGCGACGATCCTCGTCGGAGGGTGTCCAAGAGTGATTGGAACTACCACTACCCAGACCACGTAATTGATCTACTACACTACGAGCATCACCCAACAAGTCTTGAACTTCACGTTCACGACGTTTACGGTCTTCTTCGACTCGAGCTATTTCAGAGTCACTACCTGCACCTCCGAGAGCAGCCATACGTTGAGACAACATTTGTGCAGCTCGATTTGCTACAGGATCACTTCCTGGTGCTGTTGCTGGAATCAATGATGATAGGTTTACATTGCCACCAGCACCACGTTTGAGTGCATCTGTTTTTCTCTCAGCCAGACGAGCTTCAAGAGACCGACATTCGTCGGCTAGACCGCGAATCTCAGTTTCCATTTGCGATACAGCGTTTAAATCAAGACCACCATTGCCACCACGAGCATATAAATCGTCACGAGTACGAGATTGAGAATCTAGATCGAGTTGCAAGCTCTCTACAGAGCGTCGCAAATCGCGAATCTCATCTTCCATTCGTCTAGCGTCTCGTTTCGTGTCTGCAACAGCGTCCTTGGCATCTCGGACTTGACGACGTTTAGATTCTAGTTCAGATTCTAAATCTCTACGACGTTGAGCACTCTGTTGATCTTTTACTTGTTTATCTTGTGGAGATGGAACAGATCGTAAAAAGGCTGGTAACGAGGAATCAGCACCGCTAGCTGCTGCGGCTGGAGCACTGGTCTGCTTGTTTTGAATATTATTTACGACTTGTGCCTTCATCATGTTGGCCATATCATCCAAATCTCTAGTTGAAGGAGGAACCAATTCAGGAGGAAGAACTCGAGGTAGATCTTGACCAGCTAATTTAGCATATACAAGATGCATGGCCACAGCGAATTCATCTGCATTCAGCTTTCCTCTATTCTGCGTATCACAAAGAGTCCTAAAAATTGGGAAGAGTCACGAATTGCTGTCTTTTTCAGGATGACGTTCAAGCTTTCAAATACCAGATGTGCCCCAATAAGTCTGGTGAAAGACCTGATTGCAAAAAGACATTTCTAGCTCGCTCTCCTGAATGGTTGTTTGAGTTAGATATGAAGAGTCACAGCTGGGCGAAAAAAACCGATCATCTTCAAGTATCATACCGGAAACATAACCGGTAGTTTGAGGATCCCAAGTCTTGAAGATCTGATCCCATTGTTGCTTTTCTTGTGGAGTGATGGCCCAGCGCACTTCAGGTACTGGAGCGGGTGCAGCCAGGACCATATTAGCAGCAACAACTTGAGCTTTTACAGGATCGGGCAAGGCGAATGGTGGTTGTTGACCCGACATTTGTAATTTCGTAAGATACATGGCCAATGCAAATTCAGGGAATGTTAGAGCTGTTCCTCCTGAAACGTTTGACAATGTCCTAAACGCATTAAAATGGGGTGTTACATTAAATTGTCTTGCTGACTGACAACCAGAACTGGGTGAGCTATACCATATACGACCCAAAATATCTTGAGGAAGGCCAGATTGTACCAAAACATTACGAGCGGTTTCAGCTAGAAGAAAAGTACTGTCGGAATCGTGTCCACATACCACCCTTCAATTACCCTGTTTTGTCTTACCAGTCAATACACCAGCCTGAGTTGGGCCAGACTGGAAGAACACACGTTCAGAGTCCGCCAATTCAGCAGAATTGATGAATGGCAACGAGACTAACGCGTAAAGAATCTATATTAGCAGGTTGCACCACGTGTATGGGGTTTATTAGCATACCCTTGCTAGATACACCCGGGCCGACAGCAGATACGGCCTGAGTAGTTGGTGCCGGCTGAGGAGGAGCAGGTTGAGCATAAGCAAATGCTTGCTGTTGTTGCTGTGGGTAGCCTTGTTGCTGTTGTTGAGGCATGACACCATAAGACGGCTGCTGCTGCTGCATGTTGTTGAAACCTTGTTGGGGCATTTGCTGTTGAGGCATCATTCCACCTCCTTGGTTCATCATTTGAGGTTGAGGTTGTATGTAACCTTGTTGCATTCCTTGAGGTTGGAATTGTTGAGGAAATTGCTGCTGTTGTTGTTGAGGGAAGCCCTGTTGTGGTTGAGGGGACATAAATCCTTGCTGTTGTTGGCCATATTGATTAGGAAACTGCTGGCCTTGTTGGCCATATCCCCCTTGATTAGGGTACATTGCTAACAGACGGTCAAGAATTGTTTTGAGTACAATGCAATGTAAGAAGCTTTGACTGTCAAGAATATATATCATGCGCGGCAATACCTTGATCACGCTTGACTCAGAAGCAATGCGAATTGTTTCTCCACGCAGCTTGCTTCTCTTGACAGAATGTTTGGTGGGTTTGAGGGATTCTGACAATCTGCAACATTTGATCGCAAGGCAGCAGGATACAGATCATTACGCGTACTTGCGCGTGAACATGTGAACATAGCGGAAATTGCCTTTTCCATGGTGCTATTCACATAAACTGCTCGCAAGCCGCAAACTGAATGGCTCTTGGATCATAAACACGATATGTCATTCGACAACCAACATTTGCGATAATTAATGCTTATAGGAACAATGTCAACTAGCAAATGGAAGCAGACCACGCTCTCGTTTGGTCCAGCTCCCCCTCAGAAACTGGACTTGAAGCCAACCAACTCTGGAGAACAAGAATCGTCCCCCTGCCGAAAACGTAAAGCTGAAGACGACAACGAGGGCAATCCTGCTGATACCATGTCTAGTCCCAAGAGACACATTTTCCAAGAAGAAGCACCGAGAGTAGACGTGGAAGGCGTAACATCAACCAATGTTGAACCTCAACCTTCCAATGATGTCCAAGACGTAGATCATAATGTCACATTGCAGAATGAAGCTCAGCCTTCCAGCAATGTCCACGACAAAGATGCTGACATTGTTGAGCAGAATGACCTCGTTGAACAGACCGACTTTGAACAGAACGATACTCAACCTGGTGTCCAAGAAGATGATGCTGTCTCCTTGCCTGACACAACACCTGATGAAGACTCTTTGGTATATCGTGACGGCAGATTATATAATAGAGCTGGTGAACTGGTGCGGAACAGCAGTGTTGATCAAGATGTTGGTGAACATCAGACCTCTGATGTGACCGACCATCATCCAGAGACGACTATAGCTGATCACATGTCTGATGATCCAGATGATACAGTTGATCCAGATCAGGACGATCGCATGGAAATCAACGGCCTCCTTCATACTATTCTACTCGAGGTGAATACTATGGGTGTTTATTTGTGCAACAGCATTAACCCATCTTGACATTATCGTTCTACTAGTTTGCTGATGATTCAACCGCAGCTGTTGAAGACAGATGGGATAGGGATCACGTTCGCTTGCCAAACTCTCCATGCAACACGTACATTCCTCAATCGTTTTCTCCTCCAATACCGAAATGGGCTTTGATTGAAGACACTCTACGCAAATTCATCAACGATTCTCTGTCAGGTCCATTGCAAAGTGCAGCTGCTATCGAAGTTAGATACACCAGCAATGAAGCTTTCGTTTTGTTTAGCGGAAGCAAAATTTCTGACAATATCGTGAAATAGGAGGCAATACTCTCATACAATCAAAACTACAGACGCACCTGGAGATTTGGAGGGCTATCACATTATCTGGACGTCGTATCGTCGAGGCCAAGAGCCAATTTCCGGCGGATCATTCCTGGAATTGCCCGTCTCGCGCTGGATTTACCCAAGTTGATCAGGCAGCCCATCCCTCTATTAAAGCAAGGCATGAACATTGCAGTCACTTTAAGTCAAATGCAGGTATCCATATGCGAAGTCAAGATGTTCATTGTCCTTTCGAGCCTCATTCATGCCTACTCAACCACCAATATGGCGCTTTAACTCATCTTTCATTTTGAAAATGATCAGGTTGCTTCACTTCTCGCCAACGCCTTCTTTTGCACCTTCCCTTGTCGATCTGAACAACGTAATGGCTCCGAATATTATGGATACCCTTCCATCAACTTTAATGATTTCTTCAGACTTCAAACCGGAAGAAGCGCCCGACCTCAGCAAGCCAAATTTGAAGGCATTCTCAATTACTTTGAACGAGTGCTGCAAGATAGTGAGTAAAAATGATGTGTGGTTTTGATCAAGTTTAACTAAAGTAACTCGATGCCGTCATATTTAGGACCATCTGGAAGTATCACATTCCAAAGAAGGGCTATACCATCGTCAGAAATGCCTATCTGGAAGGAGACGGCTATCCCATTACGAGGCTTGACAGTCTCTCCTGATGGTAGAATCGAGGACGATGGGGAAGGCATGCTGCAAATGGACTTTGCCAACAAGAGTATTGGTGGAGGTGTCCTCGGCCATGTAGGTTGCAGTCTGACTCTTCTAGACATATATGGACGATTCCATTACCCGCACCACCAATGATTCAAAATAGGGAGCTGTTCAAGAAGAAATCCGGTTCATTATCTCCACCGAGTTGATTCTCTCTCGTCTCTTGGCTCCAGTGCTAGAGAACAACGAGACACTCTTTGTTATGGGATCGGAGCGCTTTTCCTCATACATAGGCTATGCTGAAACATTTCGATGGGAGGACAACTTTGTTGATTCCACTGCTCGGTGAGTATGGAAATTTCCTCAATCCTTGTGCTTTAGAGCGACTAACAGCCATTCACATGTGTAGTGACGGACTAGGCAGACGACGAACAGAAATTGTGGCTGTTGATGCTATCGACTTTAGTAGGAAACCAGCCTATGATCAATTTCGAGAGAGGTACATATTGAGGGAGTTGAACAAGGCTTATGCAGGGTTCCTTCCCTCTACGCTGACCTGTCTTGATGAAAATGCGCCGATAGCCACAGGTAAAGAGTCCGGCATACACTTTATTCTCACAGCGTACTTATTTTTTGCCTTTATTTCATTAGGAAATTGGGGTAAGCATCAAGAACGCATTTGAAATATTGCAAAAGGGTTGCTAATCCAACACTTCAACCACTATAGGTTGTGGAGCCTTCAAAGGAGACCTCGAACTCAAAGCAGTCATCCAAATGATGGCAGCTTCGATTGTAGGACGAGATTTGGTGTACTTTACGTTCGCAGACCGAAGACTGCCCGAGGAGTCTTTTGTGAATATGCACAGCCTACTAAGACAACGAGGTGTCTCGGTAGGCCAATTGTATCAAGCTACGATTGCATACCACAATGAACGTGAAAATAGGAGTTTATTTCAATATTTGATTGAGAAATTCAACTAGAATTGTATTCTTGGTCTCGCCAATTAAATTTGTTCAGTTTGCTCTACCTCATTTTCAAAAGTAATAGGATACAAATATAAATTGCATTTTTTATTCTAGACGCGTGAAACGAAGAATGTTACCGGAGTGTGTTATATCTCCATTTTGAGCAACTTTTCACACAGTCACCACTTTCAACTCAAAAAGCCAAACTAAAGATGGCCAACGCGGTAGCGAAAGCAGATATAGTGGAGGTGTTCAAGAAGCTCAAATCGAAGCGTGATAACAAGGTAGAATAGCTGCAAAAACATTTCAAAAGTTGTTCGGAGTGGAGGTGATTGTGTTTTTGGGAGTTGGAGGATTGAGCGGGGGCGAAAAAGAAATCAAAGGAGTAGAACTGCTATCTCTCAGCTTCCACTGCAATTTACTAAACTGATCCTATCCCATCGTAATGATAGGCCTGTTTTGATTGTGGAGCCAAAAATCCAACATGGTCATCAGTGACATTTGGTGTCTATTTATGCTTGGATTGTAGTGCCATACATCGAAATATGGGTGTACATATATCCTTTGTTAGGTAAACATCACCTTCTACTGAAAGCTCTCTTACGCACCTTCACAGAGTTGTCGAACTTGTGGTGTCGTGGCACCTGTTTCCTTCCTAAAACTCAAATTCAACTCACACAAATACGATAACGTGCATAGATCTACCCTGCTGGATTCATGGACATTCGACCAATTACGAACCATGAAGGTTGGTGGTAATGGTAACGCTGCAGATTTCTTTAGGCAGTATGCTTCATCAGGTGGCAATACGAAAGACGCCAAGGCAAAATACTCGTCAAAAGCTGCAAACTTGTACAAAGATAGACTTAGAAAGCTAGTGGAGGATGATGCCAAAAAGTACAGATTTGACAACCTTTCAGTTCAATGTCAACTGGAAACCATCGTACTGACCAAAACCACAATGCAACCTAGGTATCCAACTCGAATTGTGGTAGACGAGGCTGGAGATGAGGAATCTTCATCGGCAATCCTGTTTGCTCAGGGTAAAGAAACAGATTTTTTCGCTGAATGGGATGTAGGTGATTCTAGACCCACTCATAAATCAGTAGAAAGGGCTATGGCGCATGCTTCTGCTGCTAATCCGCCTCGAGCTTCTTCTGCACCGCCAATGACGCCGGAAAGCTTGACACCACCACGATCTACTCCAACCGCTACCTCTGATAATGCCCACACAACCACAACCACCAACAATAGTAATAAGAATAGCAATAACAACAATAATAGTAGCCCAGTTGTCGCACCAATACCATTACGTGCAGCCACATCGAATTCTAGTATCAGCACAGCAGTAACAGCAAGTAATAGTAACGTCCCACTACCTGTTGCAACAACCGCAAGATCTAACGTCGAACAACCGTTATCACCCACCACTACCACGACATCAACCATCCCGGCATCAGTAACAAGCGCCCTACTCAAACCAAACATGAAGAAGGGCCTCGGTGCCAAAAAAGCAACCAAAGTAATCAACTTTGAAGAAGCCGAACGTAGAGCTAAAGAGGAAGAAGAACGTCGTATTCGAGAAGAAGAGGAAGAAAAGAAACGTCGTGAAGAAGAAGCTCGATTACGTCCCTTTGATACTGCTCGTGTGTTGGGACCCAGCATGTCATCACGTCTAGCATATAATGATCCATCGTCGTCAACACCATCTACATCAGGAGACCCCAAACGTAAAGATGAGGAGGATATGATGGAACGATTGGGTATGGGTATGGGGAAAGTTTCGGGAGGCTTTGGATTTGGATTTGATCCGGCAAATGCTCCATCACAACAACAGCAACCAAAAGCATCTGCTTCTTCAGCTTCGTCAAATCAAGGCAATTCGAATGGATTTGGTGGATTTGGTGCTAGCATGAACAACAGTAGTAAATCGTATGCTTCTCAAACCACCGCTGATGGTGATGCCGTCAAGCGATTTACGAATGCTAAAGCTATTTCAAGTGATCAATACTTTAATCGTGGAGACTTTGATGAAAATGAGAGGTAAGTGCTGACGTCGAATATGGACGTGTTTGATGGTGTATTGGTCGCTTATTTGTTGACACCTTCGCTCTCTAGTGCGGAAGCAAGGATGAAACTAACAGCCTTCCAAGGAAAATCCGGCTTTGGATCAGCAGAGTACTATGGTCGAGACGAGTCTGGATTCTCTAGTGATGGAGCTGGTGGACGAAGGCCATCTGATGGTTCGCGAGTAGTAGAAGCTCTATCAACAGAAGTCGGTTACCAAGCACGAGAATTCGCTTCCCGATTCGCTAATCAGGCTGCTGAAGATCTAGCTGGATTGAAACGTATCGTTACGACAGGAGGGAGCAGGCTAGGGGACATGCTCGCTGATATTCAGTCGCGCTATGGATCATAGTAATTAAAACACTAGCAAAACGCAGAGTAAGCAAACAAAAAAATTCATCCAGAATAGAATATATGCATCGCTCGCTTTGATAATTGGTACGGATCAATTGACACAAATATAGTATTTGAATACGATTTTCACTTGAGCATATTATTGTGTATCGTTCAGTACCACGCTTGAATCTGCTGATAGAGCAGCTTAAGTGAGGGGCTTGTTCGAGAAGTTGGGTGTCAGTCATTGATGTCTCACGGTGCCACACGCGTTTTCGGTCTGTGAACTTGCGCATGGAACCATATTGAGATATTGGAAGAGGATTCTCATTTGCTATGTTTATTTTGTAACGTGCAGAAAGATAATATATTTACGACTCTTGAATCCGGTGATTCCGGTGAGAAAAAAGCTTATCGATACTGAGTAAATTGAGGAGGTTTACTAACGGCAAAAAAGTCGGATATTTGGCTTTAGCAATTTGAAGTCTCAATCAGTGCCAATATGAAACGGAACTCACCTGCCACCAAATGCTGATTGTTGCGGTTGTTGAGATTGCTGGCTTCCAAAGCCTGGTGTTGGTTGTGAACCAAAGCCTGGTGGTTGCTGTGACCCAAAGCCTGTTTGTTGCTGAGATGCAGCTCCAAACCCAGTATTGGTATTCGCGAAAGCTCCAAATCTAATTTGTTCAAGCAGTCAATGACAACAGAAAACGGTAAGACGATAAATCAGCAGCATACCCTGATGTGGTGCTAGTCCCTCCAAGCGCTGATGATTGCGGCTGAGCTCCAAATACACCTCCAGTCGAGCTAACAACATAGTTTCAGCTTCAGTGTGAATCAACCTGTCAGTTTGGCAGGCCAAGGTACTTACGATAAACCGAATCCACCAGGATTGGTATTTCCAAAGCCAGTACTTCCAAATCCACCTCCAGAAATAGCAGATGAGCCGCCGAAGGGAGAACGATTAGCAGTAGGTGGTGCCATCGACCCAAATCCAAATCCAGGACCGCTGGCGCTCAATTGAGTAGGACTTCCGAAAGCTGGTGCTCCAAAACCAGATTTTCCAAATGCAGATGCATTTGGAGCACTGGAACTTTGTGATCCAAATCCAGTTGAACCAAAAGCACTACCAGCTGACCCACCAAAGGCAGGAGTATTGGCTGCCACCGATGCAAATCCTTGGGTCTGATTACCTCCAAAGGAACTGAATCCTTGCGTTGGCGATACGGGTGCTTGTACAGATGGAGCTGTTGCTACTCCAAAAGCACCAAAAGATGATGTAGAGCTCGATGTATTGCCGAATCCTGCAAAACCTCCACCACTTTGGGCAGTTGGTTGAGCGGATTGACCAAATGACGAACCGCCAAACAAGTTTCCACTTCCAGGTGCACGACCTGAAGAATCTAACAAATCTCAGGATGAGTAAACCAACCCGACGACAGGAGCTTGATGTTATCTACCGAGCTCACCTCCAAATCCAGATGTAGGCTTGTTAGTAGAGGGAGTACTGTTATTCGTGCCAAAGAATGAAGTATTGCCTAATGTAGCTCCTATACCTCGTGCATCATCCTCCATACGACCATCATCTGACACTTTGTCATCATCCATGGCATCTTCATCATCGTCCAGACCAGGAACTGGTGCACGTCGCCGCGTAGAAGCTGTGGCTGAACTGCGAGGAGCACTACCGAATGAGCTAAATGATTGTGCTGGTGCTTTCGTAGCTGATGAGCCAAATAATGCTGCAGCACCCGTATCTGCAGTGACGCTACCAAATGAAGGTGCTGAAGATACTGCACTTCCAAATGCCATACCACCAAACGAGGTGTTACTGGCAAATGCTGGTTTTGGAGCTGTAGTTGCGGCAAATCCAGAAGTACCGAAGCCTGCGACACCAAATGCTGTTGGTGCTGCAGTCGATACGCTACTTATACTCGGACTTGCGCTGCTTACAGCAGAAGATGCTATTGAGCTACCAAATCCACTAATGCTTGTTGAGGCGGGCTTTACGGCAACTGGTTCGGGACCTTGGTTTTCTTCCTCCATATCATTTTCTTCATCAACGAGAGGAGGTACTGGTTGGGAGACGGCTTGACTAATCTCGTTGCTAACTATGGGTGTCGTTGATGCGACTTCTGATACTACTGGAGCAGCTGCTGTTGTCGATGGTTTGATTGGTGATGCTGGTGCTGGGGATGGAGACTTTTCAACTATCACATCCTTCTCTTTGGCAATATCAGTTGCAACAGGATCTGTTGGTTTCTTGTTCTCTGAAGTCGACGCTCCTAAAAACGAGAATCCAGACTTGCCTATTGGACTGCCAGTAGAGTTTACAGGTACGCGAGAGCTTTTTCCTTCTTCAGCTTTACCAAATGGTATTCCAGGCGGTTTCGTTTCTGATGTCTTATTATCGGCGGGAGGTTTTATAAACGAAAACCCAGAAGCTGGAGGCGTACTAGATGTTCCAGCTTCACTTGGTTTGTCAGCAGCCTTTACAAACGAGAAACCACCAAATTGAGGCACTGGAGCCGCAGATGACTCTGCCTTCTTCTCAGTTGATGGTTGTGGTTTGTCCTTTTTGTTTTCTATGACAAACCCACCACCTCCAGCTGGAGGAGAGAAGGCGAAATTCTTCATGTTAATTGATTCTACAGAAGAAGATGGAGCAGGTAGACCAGATGGCACCGCAAACGGTGAGGCTTGAGGTTTAGGCGATGCTGTAGAGGATGAGCCTGCAAAGGCTGACTTTTGCCCAAAGTTAAATCCAGTTTGGGGCACAAGTCCAGATGGTGCTTCTACTGCACTTCGTTTGTTTGGAACTACTACGGCATCTTCAACTTCTGATGCCTCTTGATCAGCATCCGTATCTACCCATTCTTGTGAACCTGTTTCGGCACTGCCTTCAGCACTTTCACCAGCGTCGTCACCTTCATCATCATCTTCTGCACCATCTTCAACTTCTTCTTCCACCTCATATTCCCCTCCGTCTTCATCATATTCATCTCCGTTTTCATCATATTCATCCTCTTCATCATCATACTCTCTTGACAACATTGGATTTGGGTTGACCCCAAATACCAATTTCTCAAGAGATGTATCTTTTGGTTTCGGCGGAGATGGATCTATAGCACCAAACAGATCTGCGGGTTTCGTAATAGGTGCTGTTGATTTAAAGATGGGTGGTGCGGGTTGTGCCATAACTGGAAAAGCGGAAGGGAATGTGAAGGAAGGAGTCGATGGCTTTTTATCATCCTTCTTCTCGATATCCTTTTTATCATCGTTTTTATCAAGCTGTTGCTTATCGGTACTAGTTGTTCCAAACGATGGGAATTCAATTTCAGATCGCGTTGCACTGCTACCCAAGATAAGCGCAGGCTTGACTTCAAGTGCCTTTGATGGCTCTGAAGGTAGCTGAGTAGATGAACCAATTACTGGTATTGCCGGTTTACTGCTAAATATGCTAGTGATGCTACTACTAACACCACTACTTGTGGTTAAGGCTTTCTTTTCTGGCGATTCCTGCATCAGACTAGGCACTGGTGGTGCTGCTGGTACAACTGGCTTGGATTCCAAAGTCTTTGTAAATGCGGCAGCTCGCTCATCTGATTTCTGTTTGAGTGATGCTGAGATCTCAAGAGGTGCTTCTTTTGCTATCCTTCGAGTTACTACACTACGTTTCGGATCTTCGAATGTCTGTCGTACAAGATCTCGTAGATTCTTCGCGTCAGCCAAATCCAGAGTCGTTAGACCTTCAGAAGACATTTTGGGCCCAGCCACAATTACTAGATCTCCATCCTCAAGATCTTCTGTTTGCTCTTCACGACCAGTGATCTCTTCTTCATCCAACTCAAATTCCGAGTCCGAATCGTCGTCGTCGTCAATCAATCCAAACGAGTTGGGTTTCGTGGCAGGCCTCGTCTTATGAGGCGAGCGTTTCTTTTGTTCAGCACCAACACTCTTGAGTCGTTGCATTACTGAATCAACAGCTTCAGCAATGGCAATGGTTGAGTGAGTGATATGTTCAATCGTTCGACAAATAGTATCAAAGTCTGGAGATCTGATTGGAACGAGAATTAGCAAGAAGAATGACTTAACGGCAACTCCTTAATGAGGAAAACACATGCCTCAAACGACTGTCAAGCTTTTGCTTCCTTCTATTTTCCTTTCGCGACTGTTCTTCCAAGAAGACTGATACATCTTTTACTCCTTGTTCCAAATTCTATTTCGAGTCTAGGTGAGAAGGCAAAACCAGACTAAACTCGATTAGTGGTACCTGACGCTTGGTGCTCAGCTGCAACCTCAAATCTTCCATTTCAGGACCCAATTTACGAACAGGCAGCATCGTTCCAGAAGACGGATTCTTGATAAGGTCCAAACGCCTCTGTGACTCGTCACGTTTGCCTTCCACTAAAGCGAAAAAAACACTCTGATTAAAACGCTAATCGATGGCTTTTTGCAGTGCCGTGACATACCTATTGCTAACCTAGTGCGTAACTCATCTCTGTCCTTGTCAGAGTTGGCTACTTCAGCTTGAAGACGAGCGAGGTCATTTCGCAGGTTTCCAGTACTTGCAATCAAATCTGACACATCAGCCAGTGATGATTGATTCGCTCCCGAAGGAGTCTTTGATTGCTGAATTGCAAGAGACAAGCTTTCGTATTGTTGACGTAACTAGTAAGGGAATGTATAACAGGCATAAATTACTGAAGTTTGAATGAATGCAAGCAAACAAAAAAAGCTTTGAAGATTAGTAAAGCGTGGAGCTTACTCGCCCTATCTCCCCATTGATAACATTTTGTAACTCGTCAAACTTGCTTTGAACAAGCTAGTGGAGTGAAGTGAAAGGTCAACTGCAATCAAATCAAAAATTACACAGCAGCTGGAAATACCTCCATAGTAGGGGTCTGCTCTGATGGCTTCGTTTCTACAGCTCTGGGTTCTAAAACACCAAATGATGGCTGTGATGTCTTTACTGGTTCCATAGCCTTGGAAGTTTCCTTAACCTCTGGTGCTTTATTGAAACTCAGTGTAGAGCTGGACGGGAACGTCATCGATGGTGCTGGTTTGACACTGTCCGACGCACCAGGTATTTTGAAGCCAAACAAGGGTTGAGCAGGTATAGGTGTTATAGGAGTTGAACCAATACCACCAATTTTGAATCCACTACCCGATGGGAGTGTGAATGCTGGTGGAGTCACGTTCGCTCCTGATAACGCAGGCGACTTTGTCACTGGCAGTATAGGTGTACTAGTAGTTGGAAACTTGAACGAAGACACTGGTGCTGCTGGTGCCTTTGTCGTCTCTGCTGCTGCTGCTGATGGCATTACTGGGTTTTTAGTTGTTGCTGCAAACGACGGGAATGATGGAAGAGTTACGGCAGATGCTACTGGCGATACCGGTACTACAGGATTTGGGAATGCTGCGAATGACGGAATGGGTCCGGCCAATGTAACTTGTGTCGTTGGAAGTGATGATGATATACTAGGAGTTGCTGGCAATGGTGGTAACGAAGCTGCTGGTATTGCTGGAACAGGTTTAGATGCTACGGGAGCCTTTGCTCCTGGTGGAGGACCCCAAGCTGCTTGCTTAGCGTCAGTACCTGTTAAAGGACGAGTAGCTGGGACAGGCTCAGGCTCTGTCATGCCCTCACAAGCTTCCTTATTCTTGATGGCTTCCGTATTGATAATGTGATATGCCATCAGCTCACCTTCATTGTTCAGAAGCAAGAGCATTGGTACTGGTGGAGTGTCTTGTTCATATTCATTTTTGGCTGATATGACTGTCTGTGAAGACATGTCAATAGACATGCCCACAGGCCAAGTATCAGTTCCACTAGTAGATGAGAGAGGGAGGGCGGCACGATGTGTTTCGCCAAGTGACCAGGTTGCCCAAGAGCCATCACTATTACATCCAATAACTCCTACATCTGGTGAGCACACATTTGCGAATATCATGATGCGTTCAGCATGATTGCCCCTACAAGGAAAGAGGCGGTGCAGTCGTTATAGATAAGCACATTACGACTACCACTATAATGAATTACCAATGCTTGAGACCATCCATAAAAAAGTGGGGATCTCGCGGCGCCATAAATGCCATCGTTGGATCAGGAAAGGTATAATACAGATTCTTTTTCTAATCAGTGAATGCGTTAGGTTTGACGAAGGATTAAAGGCAAGATGAACTCAAAACTAATCACCTTTGACTCTTGCACTACGGTCGCAACTGTAATATCTCCATCATTTGAAACATATATAATTCCATACACAGAGTTCTCAAACCATAGTAAGTCATGAACTATTTGAAGAGTTTTGAGTGCAAGCCGACAATGAAGACGTTTCAATTCGTAAACAGATACCTTTGACTTGCGAAGACCCTAACGCTAGATGCTTGGCAACAGTCCCCTTACTGGTTCCATCAGGAGTGATCAAGACCAGATCTCCTGAACTGAGACCACAGGCCAATTGTTTGCCTCGTGGACTCCAAGAGACTGTAGTGCAAACGAGTTCAGCACAAATTATCTAGTTTATCACACAAACGAGGGAACAACTCACTTGAAGTCACATCAATTTGCTTTAAATCAGCGATGGTTCCATCCAGTTTCATGGACTTGAGGGTACCATCTTGTAACAAGACTGCAATCACATCTCCAAATGTTTCCGGATTGGGTTTCACATCACGGATCGAGTCTGCATCACCAAATTTATGTTGCCTGTATGGTTGTATAGTGCTGACCTAGAGACGTAATGAAAATTACGATTGGAGGCGAGATCAACTGAAAACTTTGTTGAACGAAGTCCATACATCAGTAGCCTTGACAATCTCTGGTACATCGTAAAGCAGGATGCTTCCAGAGTCAATTCCAATGACAATAGTCAGGCTATCAGCGCTCAATCGTACGAACTGAACAATTCCATTTGAAACATTTAAGTCCTTCTTGTTGCTCAAAGTTCCAACTTGTCGTTTGGATACGTTTTTGAAAGCAGCGACGATATCGGTAGTGTATACGAATCCAAAGCCTGTAAAAATGAATAGTTGGCTTTATGCTCGACCGACGTTCTGGCTGTAGCAACAACACGCCTTAAGGTTGATTGCCCATTGGTTTTTACCTTGATGTGTTGCATAGACACAGAATCCGTACTTGTTGGATACCGCGAGAAGTGCAGCGTGCGATGGAACTGTATACGAGTCGGATATCTTGATCCTCGAATCCTCTTGTAATGCGACGAATTGCAGAAACTAGTTTCGATGATTGTTTTAAATGGTAGCATGTGCAACAGAGCTCACAGCTTTACGATTAATTAGTCAACAGGACGCATTGTGAATGAAACTTACTTCTGCTTGGAGCTCTGGTTGCTCTCCTTTGTCTTCGTTCTCTGCCATGTTGTTGTGCTCTGGGTTCTGTCGGTTCATGAGAGACAAGTGACTTGACACATGCATTTCCATCTGGAATTTGAGTTTTAAGATGAAGAAGATACAGATATATTTTCCGTAGTTTAATGTGCAGATTGGGTATAATTAAATACGAAGATGCAATAAATTACAAAATACATTCAATACCTTCAACATTACGACACCCATAACGCAGGCTGTTGGACTTGGCTGCGAATATTGCCACCACTACTCGACACTGGCAGATCAGCACGTGGTAGGGTAGGTGACGTATCTACCACCTTTACGTGTTTAATGGCAGAGCTAGATTTGACTTCTGGTAAAGGTTCCCCTCCGAAAACCCAATTCAAAGCATGTGTCCCAGTCCGAGTAATCGCACGGCCGGTTTGCTTTACTTTAAATCCAAACCAAAAGCTAAAGCCTATCAGGGAGATTACCCATGCTAGCAGCACATAATATATCTCAGTCCACATGCCTAGAGCCCGATGTCCCACAAGGATTTTCTGGACACCATACTCAACAGCTTTGATGCGTTCCGACCAATCGCCATTCATTCGCCTACTGAGCTGCTCCAACTCTTCTTGCATTGCTCTTACACTCTCACTTGTCCTAAACACAAAGCGTGAGGTCTTGTTGAAAGTAGATCCGCATTAATATGGCGAGCTTACGATGATTGAGACTGAGAGATGCGCGTCACTGACACCTCCAATTCTTCTAAGTCAACTGTTATCGCCTGGAACCGGCCCAACATAAACTCTTCCGGCAGGAGAGACCGTGAGAAGACCTCGTCGGCCGTACCAATATCTGCTTCTGGCTCAGCATATGTAGATGTTGGCGATGAGAGGGTAGTTGCTGACACTGGATATCCAGAAGCCAATGACAAGAGAGACGGATTTGAAAAGTTTCCAAACCAAGTACGACTGTTTCTGGGCGATGATGGAGAATTTGGTTCAGACAGTTGAGACATGTTGGTATCGGCTCTATGTAGAGGGGCCATGGATGGCGTACGATCTGGAGGTGCTGTGGATGACAATTGTGCGAGCAAGTCTTCTTCTTGCAAAATCTGAACCTATTATTTGACAGTAAGGGTAGGAAAGATTGAGCTCGGTTCATCACAACACGCAACAGCAACTTTTTTCCTTCGTCGCAACTACCTGTAAATCTGCCTTCGCTTTATCCATCAGCGTGTTCAAATCTTCGATTCGTTTATCCAGACACTCAAAAGCGGCAAATAGCCTGCGCAAGAAAATTTCGTCAAAGAAGTCGATGGCAGTAGCTTTCTTCAGTCCTGTGACAAATACGTACTCTTTTTCTTCCACAGTCATTTGCGCATCCTCCTGCATGTTCGAGCTCACTAGAAGATGAAAAATAATTAAGCTTTCCAAATTCGGAATTGTATCAGGAGGGCGACAACTTCTTACTTGTTCGAGCGCGTATGTGATTTGCCATCCGTTCAGGCAAGTCTGGGTCAGAAGGTGAAGATTTCATACCACTATCAACAGTGGCCACCACGTCTGATTTACTGCTCGGACTTAGCGGATCCGAGTCTACAGATAATCTTTTGGCTACTTTGCCAGGAATAAACGTATCCTAAGTGGAAGATACCTTAGACATAGTGCTCAATCAAATCACGAGACGAGATACTCACCAAAATGTCTCGTGCTCGATTCAATCCCAAGATGTCTGTGCCTTCATCAATCATGCTACTACGGCGACTTTTACGTTGATGTTGATTCTTCTTACGACGACGTTGACGATTTTCGTTAACATCGTCATGATCATCTGACTGCATATAATCTAAAACAAGTCCTCCTTCTACGGTTGTGGCTCTCTTCTTTAATAAACGTTGACGACTCATCAACTTGTTTGACTTTACTGACTCATCTGCAGATACAGAGTTCGGAGGTCTGGGATATAGAGGTGGCATAGGGCTAGTCCCAAACTGCTCTGGAGTATTTGACGATGAGGCTTGTGTCTTTGTTGAGGTTACAGTCTTGCTTCGTGGTGGGGTCATAAAGTCTGGAAATCCTGCACTGGTCGGAGTTTCTGGATCATTTGACGAGGTGATTGAAGGTGGCCGTTTAGGAAGAGCTAACTGTTTAAGAATGCCAGCTGAGCCATTTCGATTATGTCCAAACTTGGCCTTTGCTTTTACATCCTGTTTAACAACCTCATCATTTAACGGGCTGGTCTCTATAGTTGGTGATGCTTCGGTAGTCACGATTATCGGAGCCATCGTCGTCTCATCTGCTGCACTTGCACCGATATCATTCCGTTTAAACGGTGGTGGTTGACTAATAGACCTTCGTCCCTTGCTAGAATCAGCATCTCCTCCTTCAGACTCTGTAGGAAACACAGGACTTTGGCCTGGCAAAGGTGACGGCCTTCCCTGACCAGAAGACAGTGGTGAATGATCCGCGTCTCCGCCACTATTTATGGTACTACGAGGCGAGGCAGCATTATCGTCATTAGGTTTCGGCTTTTTACGGAATTGTCTCAATACTTTTTGCATAACGTTCGATTTATGGTCATCTTCTGATTCGACTTCGGACCGAAGGTGGTGACTATCTCGTTCATGGTCCGACAACGATGGTGGATCTCCAGACGAGGCCGTAGAGTATCTATTACCATTCTTCTTACCCCAACTACCAAAATGAAGAATATTTTTGGGCTCTTTGAATTCATGTGATCGAGCACTCATATCACTCAAAGACCGCGGCTTCTTATCTATTGTCAAATAATTTGCTTCTGCAATCTGCAGGTGGTCTGATGGCACGTTGGGGATATATTGAGAAAACTGCTCTGTTTGAGTCTCTCCCGGCAGTTGATCCGTCAAAAACTGATACAAAAGCGACGGTCCGGTATCCTCACTGTCTCTGTTCGGTTGTGCTGCGAATGAGGCATGCGTCTGTGATGGCCTTAGTGGTTGCCTGAGTGGTCTATATGATTCTGGATCATTGGTTGTTGACGTTGGCATATCTGATGAGGAGTACGACGTTCCAAATATCTTGGACTGTTCAGCCGTCCACTGAGCAGTTGTTTCCTTGACTAGAGGTCGGCCTATATCGTGATGAGCCGACTCATGACGTCTCTCCTCACCTGTCTGGCCAAAATAGTGCGTATGATAATCAGCTAGATCTGCGTTTGTTGCGTCCCAAAAGTGAGTGGTGCGGCGTTTCCAATTTTTGCCTGGTCTAATAGAGCAGTTCAGTCAATATGGTTTATAACTCCACAAAATAGCAAAAGTAATTCTTACAATGTACTCTTTTCAGCTTGCTGCCTCAATCGGACCGCTGCTATTGGATTATACCGTATATCCTCAGCTTGCATCTGTTCTATATAATGATACCTTCTAGCCAATAACTGTTTTGCTTTTTTGGATCGTTCGACGGTTTCGAGAGATGGAGCGCTCAGTCCAACTAATAAATCGGGTTCTGGCCCTTCAGATTCCGATGTACCACGGGAATTGGAGGCAGACCACACACCAGGTTCAAATACAGAAGAAATCGAGGTGTTTGCAACACTCACTCTTCTAGCGACAAGGTCCGTACGATTTGTATCAATACTGGTATCTCTAGTAGGAGATGGCGGCTCTGCCTGTATTATTGGTTGAACAGTCTGCTGCCTTCGTACATCCTTTTGTTTTTCTAGATGGTGTTTTGTAACCATACCCATTACTTGTTGCAAGTAGGGGTCGTCATCTGCTAATACAGTTGAATTTGTATAAGATCCATGTGAAGATAGCCGTGATGTCGACCGTGTAGTAGATTCGGATCCAAAATGAGTGCTCTGACTCTCCGATCGTGAAGTTTCGAGTCTGGAAGGCTGTTCAGACGGCACAGTGAGACTATTACTACTGTTTATAATAATATCATCCGGCATATCTTTGACATTGGCTAGATTTTTCCCGAGCCTATTATGTGCCGATTTTGTTCCATCAGATACAGCTCGAGCCCTGGTTCCAGCTAGTTTAGAAGACGTAGGTTGCACGTTCGAGATCTGATCAGATTGAGCTGGAGGTGTTGATAAAGTTGATGGTGTTCTGCTCCTAATTGATGTCGTTGCTCGACGGAAAACTCCAGAGAGAAACCGGACTGGCGGAGAAGCTACATGGACCTGCTGCAATACTTGCTCGGTTGAGTTTTGGCTCCTGGTATGATCCATCTTAGCTTGCCAATTCAAATTGTTCAAAAGAAACTGTTGGGAGGTGTTTCGAAAACTACAATGTGAAGACCATAGATCAGTACGCGATCGCAGCCGTAAAGGAACTCAGTCAATCTGTAACGGAACTACTTCACCTCTATTCTCATGTAGCCTATAGCGGACACAACATTCGACAAAGTTAAGAGTTTGGTGTTTGGCGTTTGAGAGTCGGCAAATGAGGCTGGCGACACGAAAATAATGGCTGGCGACGCGTCTGGTAATGGAGCAAGGAGCAACGGGTAACAGCGTAAAGGATAAAGCGTCGCGTAAAGGACAAAGCGTCCAAAGGCGAAACGAAAACTGAAACAATTAATCGAGTTTATAACGTATACGACACAAGGGACAATAGCAATACAGTGAGATCTGATGCCTACAGTCTGAATACATGCCTTTATGTGCCAACCTTAAACGCATGTAGAGCTAAATTTGGAGCAAAGTCTGGATAGTTCTCGTGTACAACAGTACCATCCTCCAAATCATCCGCAGCGCCAATCACCACAGCCACAGGCATAAAATGCTCTGCCCTCGGATGTGCCATCCTGAATACTGGTAGCTTGGTGAGAGCAGCAACGCCTTTCCTTCGATCTTCACCGTGGGCTGTGAAAACCTCAGTCAAGGCCTCAATGAACCCGGTCGACCATGAAGCTTTTGGACCAAACAATTGACGTAGATTGTGGACTAAAAGAGTTTAATATGGTAAGGAGCGATCGGAGGTTTGGCCAACATTTTGATCCATACCTGCACCACCAGATCCTAGAATTAGGATTCCTTCGTCGCGCAATGGCTTGATAGCTTTGCCAACAGCAACGTGGAAGTCTGGATCCAGCGACGAGGAGAGAGACAGTTGTACGATCGGTACAGTAGTTTCGTTGGTTGGACCCGAGTCTGGAAACATGAGCTTCGCCGCGACCCATGCGCCGTGATCGCTAAGTAATTTGTTAGTCAAAATCAATAGGTTGGCACCGAGACACTGAACTTACAGGCCACGCTTGTTGTCCAAATCACAATTGATGTTTTGTTCGGTCAAGGCCTCTTGCACACGTTTCCCTAGCTCTTCAGAGCCTTGAGCGTGATATTCAACTTCATATAGTTTATGAGGGAATCCATAAAAATCTAAATAGATTCGACTTGTTAGGATTTTCGTAGAATTTGGTATCAATATAATTACCGTATATCAATTCAGGGTGCCTTGCAGTCGTAACAGCTACTCGTGGAGCCTGCAGTCCATTCTGATCTTCTTCCCAATGAGCAGAGCATATAACGACTCCCTTTATTTTACCAGACCCCAACAAGTCCTTGCCGAGATCTCGTAAGAAATCTTGAGTGAGCTTTTCGTTGTCGTTCGGTAGAGCCATCATAGGAGACCCATGCGAGACAAAATATGTCGGAATTCGAGTAGTTGACATGATTGAATGGCTTCTGGTGATGACTTTAGGTGCTGTATACAGATATCGAGCAAAAATTATGGCGGATGCCAGGAGGAAGAGTTCTACGACGAGAATCGTGACGTCGTTGTAGAGAGAAAGTACGGATTATTCTCGAACGAAGATGTTGGTTGAGTTGTTACAACGAACGTGACTCCTTTTGTTGCCAATCCGTCTTCGAAATCGAACCGGAAGAGCACTTCTGACTAAAGAGCCTTAAAAAGAGCTTGCGATCCGCTTTCTCGACTAGTCTGAGGTGCACTCTGCATCTTCACTTCGTCGTTTGACTAGTCTTTGTTCAGAATGCCTCTATGTGCTACTTGGTAAAGTTATAATTCAGAACATTCAGAACCAGTACACCGACCAGAACACTCAGTCAAACTAATTGACGATTCGTCGATTGAAATTGTGAAATTGTAAACATTTAGCAGCTCAGGACACGTTAACGACGTGACTACTTTTTGGATTTGGTAGATTGACGTTCAACTGACGCGATACATGACAACTGCCAACCACATGCAATAGAGATCTATATACATTGATGGGAGAGGAGCAAATACTTACCCAAGTGTTATTTCTTGCAATTTATAGAAGTTAGGATTCAGTGGACACCATACACTGTTTACACTTCACACAATTCTAACCCTAGCACCTGTTTTAACATTCTCCAGAGAGCACCAATCTAATTTTGCAGCATCGCCACCCGTATTACTGGTCTTCAAGAAGTGTCCTTGTGCTCTAACCAAAGATCGAAATCCATACATGTCACTGACCGTGAATTCTACAATAAGCTTCCCTACCAAGTCGCCATCACTATACCGTCCAGCTATTGACGGCAGTATAAAGTGCGGGGAGGAAAACCGTAAATCTTTGATCTGGTTTGTTCGTCCACAACCTATCGATCTAATTATGTTGGGCTGGACTGCGATGCTCTGTATAACTTGCTGGTGGATTGATTCACAATACGAATCGACATTCCGTAGAGTGGTGAATGAGGGGATGATGTAGTTCTTGAGGAACTCGACTGAATAGGCAGCTAATGGTACCGCTTCTGACTGCGGTATGATTAATGGCATCGAAGGAGTGAATTTGATCTCAGTTAGGCCGTTATTTGCAGGAGCCGATATAGCCTTTGTATTCGACGGTGGTGGTGGCAGCTGTATACGATTTCTGGCGAGCTCGTCCAAAAAGTCTACAGGTCTAGCAGCCGTCGTTGGTTTTGTCCACATATAAGCTTCTACCACGCCCCGAAAGACAGCATATCCTCCAAGACCACCCAACGCTATATAAAATAATGTTATCAATGGACTTCACAACGTGCGATCAAACATCGCATAAGGTAACGTGCGATCAAACATCGCATAAGGTAGTATTGATGTCATAAAATACACCAACCACAGCAGGTTACAAGGGGTACGTAGAAGAGGCTCACCTGCAAATCCAACCTCGGGCAGTATCCAAGCAGTTCCAGCCACAGCAACGACCGCTATCTTGAGAAGTTTTGAGGTTCTAGGCGTCGATGCTAGAAATGGAGTTCCACGACCACCGTTATGCGATTGCACGGGAGACAGCGCATTATCCTGTGTTCCCAGTACCATACTGAAGTCATCTACACTTCATAATTAGTGATTTAGCCAAGGGTTGACGTTTTCAAAGATCGAAGGTCGAAAGTGAATGGAGGTCAAGTTGTATCGACGATAGAATAGCTCATCACGTTCGACACAGCCGGATCATCACGGATCTAACTTGTGGATCAAAGAATACATATTTTACTAGGCGTTTTGGTAGAGCGACCGGTTGAAACAAACACATGTCTCCATCGATTCTTTGTCACCAACACCTGCCGACTTACATCAAGCAACCATGCCTACAGAGAAGCACGTTGGTGGAATACAGCTGTATCTATACGATGACGTCGCAAATGCTGCTTCGAAACCAATAGTTGTTGTGTTTCTTCTCCACGGTATGACGACCAACGTTTTGGAGTTTTAGCCCCGTTAGTCTGCCTATTGACTTCGGTTTACTCCAATAGGTCGAGGCCAATCTCACAAAGACGTTCACTCTCTCGCCAACAGGATTACAGCAAGCAATCAAAATCCAGACAGAAAAGCACACATTATTGTGTGCGCATTTGATCAACGAAACCATGGAAGTCGTACTGTCGACGCAAATGCAAACGAGACTTGGAATAAGAACAAGACTCATGCTCAAGATATGTTCTCTGTGCAGTACGTGTGGTTGACGCTCATCAATATTTTTGGGTCGAGGTGTTGTTCTCAATCTGTTTGACATAGCTATGGCACGGCCAAAGACGTCTCATATCTTGTTGATGTCTTGCCAATGAACTTGGGCGTGGAAATCTCAAAGTTTGTGGTAGCTGGAATAAGCTTAGGAGGACATGCTACACTTCACGCCATGATACAAGGTCAGTGACTGCAGCTACTCTAAATCAAACTCAGGTCTCTAATATCAAATTTTAGAACCACGACTCGCTCTGGGAGTATGTATAATAGGATGTGGTGACTTCTTGAACCTAATGTCCCATCGAGCAGGCAAAATGCAAAAGTACCTTACTTCTCCAGAAAGCTGGCCTCCATCGCCAGTGTTTTTGAAAGCACTCGAGCAACTAGATCCAGTGCATAACGTCCCCAAGTTTGCCGGTCGTCCACTGCTTTTCTTGACGGGAGCAGAAGATCCATTGGTACCTCCTGCATGCTCTCAGAAGTTTGTTGACAAAATGAGGGCGTCGTATGCAGCGATGAGACGTGCTGATGATTTTGTATTTGATATGGAACCCAACGCAAAACATGAAGTCACGAAACTTATGGCCGAAAGAACGTGTAAATGGATATGGAAGTATGCTGGTATCTTGCCTGATTCTAAACTATAGTCACGTCACCAAATAACGTATCTGATGCAGAATTTTGCTGTATTCGATTAGTAGTATCAAATAAATATTATGATCCAGTTGCACCTGCTGAATGTTGAAAAGCGACATCAGTAGAAATGCAGAGAGGCAAAAGAACTTTGGAGACAGCCACCATACCAGACGATTCCGAGCCTTTAGATAGGAAGAAACACAAACAAGCTGACCAGCTAGACTTCCTTCACATCTCCAACGAATGTAAAACAGACGCAATTTACAACCACTACCAATCTGAATTCAGGAGAATCGCGCACGGCTTATTAAATGGAGCTTGGATACTCTCTATAAAGTCATTGGATGGCGTGATGCACCAGTATAAGATCGTGGAAATTGAATTTTATCTTCGACATTTGCCACAGCATATCGACCCATTCTCACATGCACGGGAATCACAGCTGGAATTTGGCAAATTTTGTTTTCATAAGCGTGGAAATTCATATGCTGGTGGTACTTGGAAGGTGTGACTCGTCTTTTGGCTGCGTGAAACCTATGAATTAGTACTAATTTAACTGCCTCCCTTCTGATGACTTTATTACATGGATTTTAGGGCCTAGACATCTCGTTTGGATGCTCTGGAGATCCTGATACGCCAGCTATAGATAATGGCCCGCGAGGGATTATGAGAACGAATGCATTCCATGCTGGGATTCTCATCCGAAGTATAATGAATATCGAAACAAACGAGGTAGTCGAAGGACCTTGTAAGTGTGTCGACAAGATACTCAAAATCCTGAAGGCAAAAGATGTAGCTGATCTGGTGTCAAATATCCTGGACGATGATCTAAGTATCACCAACAACACGTCGTCATTGTATTTATCCAAGTCTACCATCCCTGTAGTAACGAACGAGATATTTGAAACGCCGAGAATCGGTTTGTATATAAGAAAGACACATAAGGATTTGAAGGAACGGTTGGGATATGTGACTCGTTTGTATCGCTTCCACACTCAAACCTTGAGTAAAGGTAAAGCTCATACAATAATTGGTATATTACTGCCAAATAAGCAGAAAGCAGTGAAAACTGTGATAGACGACATAGTTGAGAAAACAGGCATAAGTAAAAAGCTAGTATCTGAATGTCTCGAAGCCTTTGCGAAAGGAAGCAAAATGCCATACACCAAATTCATCGACATGGACAAGGGCTCTTCTCAGAACATATGCCAGTACTTTGGATCACTTTACCCTCATTGTAAATGCTAAATATACATATGATAAGACTCGCAATCTAAAAATCTACAATAACTATGGTGCAGTGGCAGCCCTATTTACAGGTTCCGTTTCATTCTTCGTATACTTGTCCTTATAAATCCAACCTACATGTAGAAAGGATAGTCAACAAACATATTTCATTGCAGAGACAACAGGTCACTACTTACTCTCATTCGGAATGACAATTCCTTGCATTGCTGCCCTACGTAACCACTTTGAAGCCTTCTGTTTATTTCTGGCGACTCCAAAACCAGACGAAAGATATGCCAGTCCAAGTTCATTCTGCGCATCAGCATCTAAGTTATGACGCACAATGATAAGTCACAAACGTTTCGTTGAGATCTGCGATACAACAATCTCACACCTCCCAAGCACGCCGCAAAATGTAAGTGGTAGAGCGATGCACGCTTCGACTAGATACACAGAGAAATATCAATCAGATAAGTTAATTGTGACCCAGTGTTCCAATCGCCAACACCGCCATACCTTTCGTGACCCTCTAGCAGCATGCGTCCTATAGCAATGTGAAATCTCCAACAATGGCAACGAAAAGAAATCTCTCACAGAATGTATATCTTCGTCCTTTGTATACTCGCCAGAACTGCCTCCAACCCTACTGAATCCCAATACACTTCCAGCAAACGATGCAGCCGTGCCTCGTTTCCCCAGCCTCCTTATTCCCGACTCTGATGCTGTAGGAGACGTCGGCAATGCAGGATCACCATCACTGCTGCTGCTTGTTGATCGAGCGGTTGTAGGTGACGATGCCTCATGTTCATCAAATGCTTCTTCGTCAGAGACTTCACCCTGACCTTCTGGATTCCAGTTTATAGCTGGATCGCGTTTGCGTAGGAGGTATAGGACGTCTCGTGTTTGTATGGCTGATTCGGTAAGGAGTTCGAGGGCTAGGTGTTCGTTGGGCTCGACACCGAATCCTTCTCTGACGACGACTCCGAGTAAGTATCTAGAAGAAGCATAGAAAATCAGAAACGGAGCGATACAAACACAGTTCAAAGAAACGTACAGTGCAACAAGCGGTTTTGGTTTGTGGCAAGCTTGCACCAAATAATGAGCCGACAAAACTAGCTCATCCTATTTGAATCAGATATGAAATATCAATCAGAATGAGATTGTACGTCTAGCCTTGAAGCGTACTGCCTCACGCACATGTTGATGCCAATATATCCCTTTAGCTAGATCATCATCCTCTGCAACTGTTTCATCCTGAATGGTGGGAAGTGGACTTGGCAGGGCCTTCAGTAATACTACTTGTGACGGATCTGCTAGTTTACGTGGTCCAGTACTAAATGTTACGAGTTTTCGGAATGGTCGAAAAACAGATTTGTTATGCTGAGGCTCTCCGCAGTCGGCTCCTTCTGATACTTCTGGTGCTGCGGCTGATGGCGACGCAGCCTCGATCTTCTTCAGTGACCGCTTCTTCGATAATGATGTCCACACTGCCTTCATCCTTCTTGCGGTAACCTCATCGTGAAACATGTGAAACAACCATCAAAAACTCAAACTCAAAACGTGGCGTAGTCTTTATATTTCAGTTTCCTGTATAGAAACGTGTTTTAATTTGAAGTACTGCCATGATCACTAGTCCTAAGCTCGCACAGTCGAAACGTCGTGAAAGCAACGTGAAAGTGACGTGTCAAACATTGCGCTATATTATTTACACCAAACGGCTTTGCTACAATTTACGTGCGTTCAATCGTCCTCCTCGTCATCACCTCCTTCGGCCAACAACTCATCCACCGTAACCTCTGGTTCATCATCAGAGAACTCGACGAACGAGTCAGGTACCATACTCGTATTCTTAACACCCAACCAATCCAATACGGTAAGCCCACCCAATCCATTCTCACTACGTCTACCAGCCTCGGTAATAGAAGCCTTGGTCATCATTTTCAATGACGGGACTCCGAATACCAGTGTTGAGAGCGTATAAAAGATAATGACAACGGGATGCACGCGCGACCATATACCTAATACAATGCATACCAGCGATTCGACTCCGTGCAGTGCGAGGCCGGCAACGAGGCAGCGGACATAGAATTCTGGGCCACCTGCATATGTTCTCATGCCTTCTAGGTGAACAAAGACTGCGTTTGTCTGTGGCAGTGGTGGTCCGTAAGCGCCGTATGCAGCCATAAACCATAAGAAGAGGAAGAGAATGATTGTGGGAGCGTCTGGTAATTCCATGGATCGGACCCAATATGGTGTGGAAGGTGGAGGAGCTCGTGCTGAAGCAGGTTTGCCTGACGGATGTGAAGCCTTCCCGTTGTCATGTTTCACCTTCTGTACAAAAAGGGAAAGCAATCTGTTCAAATACAATCGATCGAGATACGAATCAGTACCGGAAAAGAACGTACAATCCCCAAGGCCTTTTCAGCGTCCTCTGCCATTTTCACCAACACTGTTCGAGCCTCTTCTCTAGACTTGAGAGGAGTCTCGAATTGAACCCATACATCCTTTTTAGGTCCATTTATAGTCTCTTTGTACTCGACAGTGAAGCCTATGTTGCATTACAAAAGTTGATCAATAAATTGTGACGACCGAAGTCAATCAATGAGCCACATACCATCAGATTCAATAGTAGTCATTGTAGCATCGAGAGCAGTATCCACACCTGCGAAATGCCTTGCATATGCAATCTATGGTAAAAACGTGTAAGTGACAAAAATTCCAAAATTTAGATTCAAGTAAAATCACATACCACCGAGTCTGGATGGTCAGTGTTCATATGCCCCATGATTTTGTCTGCAAACGGAGCAATCGGATCAGCTCCCTTCCTCTTTCTTATTGACGCCATCTTGTTTGCTAGGAGTACTCGAGGATTTGATTTTGGCAAGTGTGAATCAAGGTGAGAGGAAGGAAAGACAAGGACTAGTTGACGTGTTTCTGATTTTTAAGCAGTCTCATTAGATCTGATTTGCGTTACTTACATTGGGATCTACGTGATTTCTGTCGCGTTTTCATCCTCATCAAAGTAGAGACAAGAGCTTTAACTGCCGTTGTCGAATATGGCTCTCCCCGTCGAATATATTATCCTAGGACTTGGCAACATTGATCCAGACTACAAATACACCCGACACAATGGTATGCTATCAAGCCAGTTCCAAAGGCTCATTACCTTGTATGCCTTTACTGATCAGAACGTTGATAGCTGGCTCCATCTTCATAAACTACCTCGCAAACGCAATAGCCATGACTTCAAACCCTGCCGGAGCTGCTGACGGCTCATACCCAAAGCCCGTATTTGTTAGACGCACGGATCTCTCAGCAGATATACACGATATCACATTCAACCTGTCTGCAACTTCTTCTATACGAGTAGTACTCGCTAAGCCGCTGACAGGCATGAACGATAGTGGGCTTGCAGCACAGAAGCTTCTTGTGCATTATGGCATGACGGATCTGGCAGTCGTTGCCAAGAAGCTCATTGTGGTATTTGATGATATCAACCAATTGCCCGGATCGATTGCTGTACAAGACGGTGGTGATCTCAAGAGCGTACAAGGACACAAAGGTTTGGGCGTTTGAGTAGTTCAAGAAGAAGGACTTTGGACTAAAGGGAACATTATAACACAGGAGTTGAGAGTATCGCTACAGCCATAAATACCAATAATTTCATACGGTTTCGTATTGGAATTGGACGACCTACTGCTCCTGTTACGGTTGTTAATTACGTGTTGACGCAATTCACTAAGGAGAACAAGGTAAACTGAGGTTTGAACGTAATTAATTTCAATGGGGTTGCTTTATGAATTTTTTTTGTTGGGTAGGAAATGGATTTGCTTGGATATTCACTGCAACAGCTTGTTGAAGCACTTCGACACTTGGCAGATACTCGAGATCTGAAAGTAAGGGGGTATTGCTTGAAAATCTACTTACACTATCTCATTGGCATGCAAATTCTCGTAGTCGACCAAGAAAAAGTATGCCAATTCTCTCAAGCTACCCAAGAATCTGCCAACAATGGCTGGGTTGGAGTTTCCAGTTGAGGTAAGGAGTAAATTAATTCACTTGTCTATCATAGTACTGACAGTTCCATTCACTCTAGACTCATGGTTTTTGACGAATTCTGCGCATATCTCTGGAAAGTATCTATCTCGCATTCACATCATTGTGTACAGAAAAGTGAAGACATACAATAAATCCATCTTGTTATGAGGGTCCATGAGCATATATATTTGCAAGAATTACATTTCAGTCGGCGGTGGAATGCGTTTAACATTACGAACATTCTCAAACATCTTCAATGCAGACGTCACCATGGCGCTGGCATCCGCCAAGTTTGCGGGCACCACGACAGTCGTCCCTTCTTTACCTATATGAATCGATTCTGTGAGTTTCGTGATTGCTAAAAAAAACTCGTGATCTCTTTTGTACCTATTTTAGATAGAGCCTCCACATACTGACTTGCTACAGACAAACTAACAGCATCACGTCCACTTTCTCCAGATTCTTGTATGGCTTGTGCGATTCGTGTTATGGATTGAGCAGTAGCATTTGCACGTAGCATTATCGCATCTGCTTCACCACTAGCCTCATTCGTTTGTTTGGCTTTTATAGCTTCAGAATCAAGGATTGCTGATTGCTTTCGACCCTCTGCAACATTACTACAAGTATACATTAAAAATTAATGAAAGGTCGATCAATCGGCGGCAAACGACATATTACATTGCAGATTGACGCTGTCCTTCAGATTCTAGAATTTCTGCACGCTTCCTTCGTTCAGCTGACACCTGCTGGTGCATGGCAGCCACCACATTCTCAGGAGGATGGATATCTCGAATTTCATACCTCAAACACTTGACGCCCCAGTCTGCAGCAGCTGAATTAAGAGCATGGACGATATTAGCGTTCAGCTGGGTACGTTCAGCGAGTGTTTGATCCAGTTTCATTTGACCCTGTAGTTGCAAGCCAAGTCAGGGATATTATAGTCAAAAGACGGGAGGTAAGAAGTCGTCAACGTACGATTTCAGCTCTCATGGTAGTCTGTGCGAGTTGGCTGATAGCATACTCGTGGTCTGCTATGCCGTAAGAGGCACGATACGGATCTATAATCTTGTAGTAGAGCACACCATCAAGTTCAAGTGTCACGTTGTCTACAAATGAGATCTGTCAGCTTGAAGCAACACTAAAGAAGCGAGAACCACGATTTCCAAACCTTGAGTGATGGCACTCTGAGAAGGTATTTCAATAGCGACTTCTTTCAGGGACTTTACGTATCGAATAGAGTCGAGAAAGGGTACGAGTATGGCTAGACCTGGTTCCAGCACACGAGAGAATGCACCCATGCGCTCTACAATCCATGCTTCTTGTTGCGGAACAAACTTGATGATCTATATAGTTTGCTGAAATGTCAAACATGATGTTTGGCGAAAAGCAGTAAAGCAATTGATGCAACAACAGAAAGAAGAGAGGCATGCTTGCCGTATTTGTAGGTAATGGTTTATTCCTTCTGGCGAATGAGTTGTTGAATCCACTGTTGCCCGTGTAATAGCGATTTGACGAAAGGAGGAAGCTTGTGGTTGGTAAAAGTGACGATCTGGCGACAGAAGACCAAGGAGTCGGCAGCCTAGCCAGCGCTGTAATGTGTCTATGTGCCTGCATAATTGCAACGATGTCTTTTTGTCCACTATGCCGTGTTGATGGGAGCTGAAAATGCTGGTCGTGGCAATTGCAGAGTCCAAGCTTGACAGCATCAATATTAAAACTGTGTCAGATATGTGATTTATAGGTTGATTCATGCACCTTTATATCGTATAACGCGTACAATTAAGTTTCTCCAGCCTTCATCGTCAAACGAAACGTTGCAGCCATTCATTTAATCACTATAATGAGCAAACCAAAGGAGAGGCCGCCGTTGCGGTCAAAGCTACCACTGCCAGCAACTACTAGAATGCTTGCTCCAGCCGCAGAAGGCCACTTAAACCCGTGGAATGCTGGCAAAATTCGCCCTCATAAAAAACAACCACAGCTCGCACTGTACCAACCACAGCAATTCCCAACTATTGACAAGATCTTGACGGAGTATCATCATGGCAGCCACAAAACATCTAGATCTTTATCGTTTACTAGAGCATCAACACTTTCTGAATCAACTCAGACATTAAACAGCAACGAAGAGGACCTTCTCAGTTTTAAGATAGATCCAAGCCCCGTGACAATCCAAAATACAGTTCCGTTTCTTGTCTCGTATACAAAAGTCGATCACCCGTCGAAAATACTCTCTACGCCCCTGGATCCTGCACCACCCGGTGTTATAGTGCCTGTCGAACCTGAGAACGCAGACCCGCCGCCCTCCAACCCGGTTATTGTGGACCTGCTGCCCGCCAAACCTATAATTACAGAGACATTGAAGGTATCAGCATGTATTTCAATCCAAAGGGCCTATAGATCGTATAGAACGAGGATAAAAGAAGAAGACGAGGTTAGAGTACTTCCAGTATTTGCCAGAAAGATGATACAACGGTGGCATGTATATACCCAACGCAGGCTGCACTGGAAGAAAAAACTCGGTTGTAAAGCTCTCTTGTATGGTGACGAGGAGCTCCATGTGCTAGGATTGAAAGCATGGACGTCAGCTTATCGTATACAACTGTCAGAAGAAGAAGGTCTTTACGCATTTGCAGCACAATTCCATGCGTGGTGAGTTTCATTTCAATCTGTCGATTGATCTCCATGGCCTGACAAAGATTCTCACTCTAGGAAAGTGGCATGCAAGTGTTTGATTAAATGGCAAGAATTCGTGGAAAGAGGGTTGTCAAGTCAATAATGTAGTATATATTCTATTAAGATGTCAAATGACCAAATTCTATAAACCTGTAACTTAATAATACCGGCGAGAACCAAAAGACCTCTTGAACTTTAAAAAGCTGTAAGGGCGGCACGTGGTGCTCCCTTTTGAGGTTCTGTTCCTTGCATTGCCTTGATTGCAAGTTCTAAAATCGAATGAGTGTTAATAAAAAGGAGTCGCACTGATTGCAGTCAAGACGCTTTCTACCATAAGTTAAAAAGGTTGCGGCGTTCTGCGAAAAAAATGAGAGTTAGCTGTGGAATAATCTCACTTGTGCAAGACTGGTTCAAAGGGCCTCTTACCGCAGGAAAAGCTCGAACCATAGTTGGGCCAAACCCTCTAAAGAATCCACGATAGCTTCCCTTCCCTGACTTGATGATTTCACGAACATACTCCATAATCGGTGCATTACGGGTATCAGATTGTATCCTATTTATCCATTGAATTAACGTTCCATTTCAAACCCAATCCATGTACACTTACCTGGACTTTAACACATCCTGTGGATAACACGGCAGCCATGCAGCAATACCGGCAAACCCACCAGCCAAAAGTAATTGCCACGCAGCAAGGGGCTCTTGTGGATTCGATCCAGCTAACAATCGTTTCGACAACTCATAAATCCCAAAATATCCTGCAAAACTGGGTATCTCTCTAACTATACATATCCCAAGTCCTCTATATAACCCTCGAATACCATCTGCTTTCGTTATCTTTGTAGCAGCATCAAACACGCCTGTGTATCGTGGTTTGTCGATGATGCCTGACGCGGTGGTCGGAGGAGCAACACCATCTTTCAATCTCTTTTTAACTGTATACTGCGTTTGTAATCTAATTTTCAGGAGATCGACAGGACAGTTGACGAATGCAATTGCGATTCCTGATAATGCGCCAGCCCCAAAGTGTTGTGCTAAAAAAAACAGAGAAGATTGGCTGATGTCTTTGGACGAGTAATTCCCACACCAGGTCAATTACCTATAGACATTTCATCTGATGACTGGCCACCACCCAGTGTCCTCAAATTGAAGCCGTGAACTGTAAACAAGACAGCATTCCTATAGAGCAAAAAGATTAAATACGTTACCAAAAGACTCCTGTTAGCGAACATTCGACTTACGCAACACCAACACCCAGCAGTGGACTTGTAGCCCCCTTATACAATGCCTGAAACTAATATACCAAACGAAAACTGAGCTGATATTTCGACGTGCTTGCGATAACCAACTCTTGCTACAAAACACACAAAGAAACTTACACCCTCTTCCTTGATTGATTTCGACAGACAATCCATAGCATTTCGATACTTGGGCGGATCTCCTTGCGTTTGCAAACGCACCTTCTAAAAAATCAATTGTGAAAGGATGTACTTTAGCGTTTATGATTCATCACACAAAAAAACGCACATCCGCAGCTATAAATGTTACTAAAGCAAGAGATGAAGAGAAGCGACTTTACCAGGGTATCAAATGGATGTCCGGCAACTAGGAGATGATGATCAGGTTAGTTGATGATAAGGGTGACAAAACCCCAACAAAGAGTTTAAGCTTCATCGTTTTTGGTTTGCTACATTGAGGTCGTCCAATTCTAAGCAGTCATCTAATTCATCATTTTCTAGACAGAACTTACACACTTGAGCCCATCCCCCAAATGTCCCTGCTATGAAATCCTTTACAGAATCCGCCATTTTTTGCTACAGAGTTTGCACTTTGTGGGTTTGAAGGTACAGCTTACTGTGTGGAGCGTCAATTAGGGAACTACACGAAGAGAATCATGCATCTTTACAAGATCTATTTTGAACGCACGATTGACCTCAAACAATTCCTCAAAACACTCTGGATCAACCGATTTAAGAATTGAATGGACTGTGTTTTCAATGAATTGTGATCTCGCATAGCTAGACAATGCCGACTACAAATAAGCATGCTCAGCGGGACCGCAACCAAGAGCCTTTCAGTTGGCGATTCGCCTGACTGATGCATCCGGCGTTGCCAGTGTTTGCGTTGCTGTGATCTCTTCTCGCGTTGTGTTTAACTCTTCACTCTACCGATGCCGTGGCTAAAATACACCTCAACCAAACAAGATCACACCAGATTATTTAATACAAGTTGAGTCTCTTTGAATATATAAGTAATTATACAATAGCTACGAGGCTACTACGTTTAACAACAGAGTTATTCGGCTTCAAGCCGCTGTCCACTCTTTCCTTCTTTGGGTATAATACATTGGATGACATTAGAAGAGTAACCACGACCCAACTATTTGACATTATCCAAGTAGTTAAATATTACGTTGACTTTTGGGAAAGGGCAAAATCGACCCATCGTTTCTTGCCACTTTGCCATAACTAAAAAAAAAACATAACAATTGTCCGACAAATACAAATATCCGTTTAAAAAGAGAGCTGGCATCCTGGTGGCGATTTTCTTTTTATAATACTTATGAGACTTCTGTTTTAAATTTTGGTGATTCCACGTATTGTTGTTGGTGTTTGTGGTTTCGAATAATGTACTTATGTGGTGCCTTTGTTATACTGGGATTTTGAGAGTCGACTTATTACGACATATATACGGTAGGGAAGTGTTCGAGCTGATGGTCATTGGCTCGACGTGGGTGTTGTGGTGGTAGCCTTGTCTCCAACGAAGCAGTCAACAAGGCCGATGTAATCGATGTCATTGATGATATGGATGCTGACGATGCTGCCGATGAGGTTGATGAGGCTGAAGAGCATGAAGATTGCGATGATATTGATGTTCCTAGCAGTCCTCCATATGCTGCTGTTGCTTCTTCCTGTTGTGATAATTGAGATACCCAATAGGCCGGTAGAGATGAGACCATAGATGGTGATATTGGTGTTCGTGGAATATCCCAACTGTTTGCTGGAGCAGGTGCTGGCAACGGATATTTGGGCGGTGTTGGTAAACCTGAGTATGCTGGAGATGGAGATGGTGATGGTTGACCAATCAAGTGTCGATTGGGACTGGGACATATTCAAAAGTCATTGTCAGTTTAAATGTTGAAGTAGACTGTTTTGAATAAACGAGGCCAAAGCCTCGCAGTCGACACTGTTTATGAAAAACATGCAAAATGATACATACCATCCGATTTCGACCCAGTTCCGAACGACAATAGCAGATCGTAAGAACTTGTTTGATGCAAACTTCTTTACAAGAGTTTCTGGTGGTTGCATCAAATGTTCAGACAAGGCTACCATGCAGTCACATAAATTAGGATCACTAAAATTATAGTTATGATTACCACGGATGATTTCAGCCACTAGGATACTAGCAGTAGCAAGCATGGATGGTGGGAATACGAGGAATTCTTTGTGTATGAGGGTAAACTCCAATATATATCGAGCCAATGCTCTTGACTGTGGTTCCACACAATTCATGAATCGGCAGTTGGCCTTCAAGAATGCTTCAGCAGTTGGATGACCCAATACAAACTTGATTTCGTTGAGTAGAACCAATTCCATCTGGATGAATTCACGTTCTGGATACGAGTCACAGCAGATGCTGTAGAGTTGCTTCAATGTTGGGACACTACCATGGTTTTCTTCATATTTGGCAGCAATCCATAGAGCAGTTACACCCAAGAGTTGATATTGAGTACGTGGGACTTTACGTAGAGAGCAGAATCGGTCGAGTATGTTGACGGCCAAGTATAGAGTTTCTTGACGCAAGTGATATTCCGAGTGCACCTCAATCAACCATAATACGAGTGTTTTCCTCATCTTCCAAGTGACTTCAGGCTGTTCAGACATGTATGTTGGTCGAGCAGCGGTTTGTTCCTAGAATTTGAATGTTGCACAAAAAAATCAGCATTCATTTTCAATGTCGAGATCATTATCACGAGGCTTGGACTACTCCAAGATCAAGTCCCATCATGACCAATCAAGCCATTGGACTCATTGATCCCACTCTCCTCCAGTTGGATTCACATGTGAGGTTACACCCTCCGCCAACCCATAGAAGGCTATCCTTTATATTGTCCGACCCACGTGTTGATGTCGCATTTGAAAAACATATGAATCATGATCATGCATGATTGAATTTAATTGCATGTGATGATTAATTTGAATGCTCACCTCCAATTCCTTCATAACGAGGGCGATTTCATGACCGTATTCTTCAAACTCGGACGAGTCACTAATGTCTTCTAGAGCATCAAAGGCAGCAGTAGATCTGCGATCAGGAGGAGGAGTCATTGCTTGTGGATAATGTGTAGAGTAGAGTTGTGACATGTGTGTTTGTTCTAATCGTGCACAAGGTTTGTTGAATGAGGCTGCCATTCACCAGAGCGTGTATGCACTCGTTCGTGATAGATCTCGAGCCAAGTCTAGTGGGTACTAGAGGTAGTAACGATAATCCAGACTTGTTGCAATTGCCGGTGGCCTCCCCCTTGTGCGATTTTTGAAACTGGTTTTTAATGGGCGGTGTTGTTGTGAGCGAGAGATGGGCAGTGCTATGATTATATGTGCGATTCCTCTATGTAATATCGATTAGTATTTAACTAATATATCAAATCATCATTTACACCGAGTGCATCGCGTGTCTTTGCTTGCAGTGGTACACACGTTGCTTTGGTAGACGATATGCCATAAAGTGACTAGGGTACTTACAGATATGCAAATATAATTTGATTACAAGTTGAGATGATGGTAGCAACTGTCCTGCTCACAAGCGCCTTGCCCCTTTCGAGTTTCGGTCAAATGAATGAAATTCTGCAAACTTTCTTGCATACAAAATGAATGAAACGAACGTTCGCTTGTGAAACGTTGGGTAGCGTGCTGCCGGCCCAATGAATCAATGGGTATGAATATGAAGCTCACTGAGGCACTTAAAACTTTTTCCATGGACGCGAAAACTTGCAACGGTCTAGTCCGACATGTGCAATTACTCGCTTCCTCTCTTCCTTCACATGGGTCTGACCTCCTGGCAAGAGAATACCCTAAAGCCGCCAATATGTAATGGGATGAGCCTTGTACCCTTGTATATTTGTCACGAATGGCAAACCACACTTTAAAACACATTCGTCATAACTGCATAACAGCTCCTACAAAACCAACTGTGCATTGCCACGCGAAGCTAACGTTGTCAGTTACAATACCTGTGGGCACAAGTAGCAAGTCGATTATGGAATCCGCAAGCCCGTCTTTCATTCATTACCCACTCAAAAAGAGTCACATTCGAGGTGCAAGCGGAAACCGAAACTCGGCGCACCACAGAGAGCCTCTGGCAACTAGTGAGCTTGAATTTCAACGTCCCCAAAGACCATTCCAAAGATTCACTATCACAATCACTCTCTTTTATTGTGAGAAAAAATGCTGACGTGTCCAACTCCATTACTGTGAAGCGTGAGCAATCTGGCAGAAACCATGCTAGTATTGATGTGATAGTGTCAGAAGAATTCTTTAAACCATTCTTGATGTTGACGTTGGTTCACCAGCCTCTTTGAGTCAATCCACCTCCCAACAAGGAGCACAAGTTCTTCGTGACTTGATCCCATCAGTGTACGAAGGGAGATATTGCAAAGCATGATTTGAGCCGTATAAGGGTTGAACATTCCAAGCCCTGCCACGAATCGTTCCTGCTAGAAAGACATGGTTTGATAAACTTTGGTTACAAAAGAGAAGGCTCAAAATACATGAAATGCCGCTTTAACACTTACCAGTGTCTCCTCTGATGACATCCAGTCTCTTTTGCGCCAGATCATGTTGTACAATGGGTCAGATTCCGAGAGACTCGACTCAATAGTATCACCAATACATCTAACATCAAAAGGAGTTTGGCTTTTGCAACCTATTTCAAGCATATGTACCTGCATACCGAATGAAGTATGCAGATTGTTCAGTCGTTTGAGCATATTTGACTCTGATACTACCCATATGCTTCGAGCCAAGCGATGCAATACATACATAGAAAGTTGCAGATGGACGCAATGCTCTACCAAATGATACCCTTTCCATGAGAAACAAAATGGCATGGCGCCACATCTCACGTATATCATACACTCAACTGTTGCAGAATGACGAATACTGTATCAAAGGAAAGCATCAATTTCTCCAATCTCAAAGTCATTTTTGACACATTCACGTCCTCTTCATGAGTCTCCGAGATATACAAGACTATGCAATTCTTTTCATCTACAATGATATCAGGCTGCATTTGATTCATATCTCTTTCGACAAAGTCAAGGTAATGTGACTCATTCAACAACTTGACCAGTGCCCTTCTTTGCAAAATTTTTGTCGAGACAATGTATTTGAATCGCATGTAATCGGGTTTGAGGTCAGATATCTGGCCCCAATCGCCCGTTTGCTCACTGGTTGACAAATCGGCAGCAGCACTAAGAATGGGTTGTTTTGTGGGTGCTGCAGCTTCTTTGAGTTTACGAGATCTTAGTTTCGCAAACTCTGCTACTCGGTCCTGCGGGGAGAATGAAACGTTGGGACCCTTCCCCGCATTCTTCTCGACACCCTTCATGTCTTCAGCCACTACTTTTGGATCAGTTGCAACCTTCTCTTCATCAACCACATTGAAATCCACCTCCATATTATCTGCTTGCGCGCCGAAATATTCACGATCTATGCGCATCAGACTTTCCATCGATACTGGCTCGTTAACTTCAAAAAGCATATTGGACGTGTTGAGCACTTGTCTCATATATGAAGTGCTCAGTCGAGAAGGAGACATGGTTTCAGAGCAGGCAGCATCAGGCGGTACAAGTCGTGAATTCTCTTCATTCACTTCATTGATGTCCTCTTGACTAGGTTGACCAAACGTATCAGGTGCTCCAACCACGGCCCTCGTTTGAATGGCTTTTGGTGACTGACTAGCTAATACAGCACTGACATTTGCGACATCTGCGGCAACACAATTATTATGAGCTCACCTGCGTATGTGCGACAACATTTACTGTGTAAAGTGGCTATACCACTGTACGTGATGTTGAAGCCATTGTCTCGTCATCAAATATCCGCGGTCTTTTCATATTCCCATTATGGATAATATTGAAAAGAGGATAGCGGCGCGATCCAGATTCTCACCTTGTCCTGTGACGTTGGAAATCAAAAATGATTCATCGTCGTCAAAATCGGATGGACACCGAAACAAGTCAACCGATGCCAGCACGTCGGCTAGCCTCACTGACGAACGAGTCAGGTCTTCGATAGTCATCTTGAGCAAAGAAACAGCTTCCGACGAGAGCGATGGAAGGTAGGGCATTCTGCCGAAGATTTTGTGAAGTTCAAAGTCAGCCATGTTCGAAATTTAAGCCTCCACCAAATAAATTGAGAGGAAAATTTTGAACCTACAAGTCGAAAGCTGGAGCCTTCATTATTGGCATTTTAGACACGATAGCTTCAAGACTTGGAATCACAGATATGGGAAACTTTGAGAAGGACTGAGTCTCGAAATATGGAAGACCTAACAAAATCAGAAGACAGTCACGATCCTGAGCCTCCAAACGAGACAAATAAATGCTTTTAAAATATTTACGAGAGGTGATTTCTGTTTTCTGTTGAATTAACGATTCCAATGTGTCTGATATCAATGGGTTCACAATAGTCTCAAACTCTTGATCCAATTCATTTGAGAGTAGTCCAATATCAAAAGTAGGCTGTTCTGGTTCTAGTTCGTCCTGAGCTTGGATATTCCAGTCGCCAAACGACTCCAGATCTGAAATAAACAAATCAGGCCAAAAACAACATTACATTATTGCCACTCAACTTTTACTGTTGCGTACCATCATTTGGCAAATTCAGTTCCTGTGCTATGGCCAGAAATCGCATGGCCTCATCGCCCATCTTAGTGGAGATCAATTTTCTCTTCCGCGAGAGTTTGGAAAATGCGAAGTTTTGAAGAATGTGACTGAAGGAGCGATGACGGTCCTTTTTCACGCGTCTTCTACTATCGCATCAATGCCTAATGCGACAGATTCCGATTTCAAATAGCTTGGTTTATATTCACAGGCACGATATTCACGAACAGAAAAATTGCGTATGATTGCTGCTAAGAATGACACTATTTATCTTATACTCTGATTTGTTTCTTAAATTTAAACCCATGTTTGCGACGTATAACACACCACCTCCCATCCGTTCTACTTTAAATTTACCTGATGATCTCACTCATCAAAGCTGGATCCGGATTGAGGGCTTCAAAAAGTTCAAAGTCAAAAACTTTCTGTCCGTATTTAGGAAACCTCGGATCACGAGGACCATCTTTGGCATCCTTCATGAGCCTTTGTGCCATCTTGTCGATTGCAATTACAGACAAGACAGTCTGAATATAGGCGTCAATCAGGTCATCAACACCAATACCCAACTGGTTAAAGTCTTTACGATCCATGAGGACCAGTCTTTGCGCTTCAGTAGTCCATTCGTCGTCAACCTTGACTGACAAATTGGTACCCAACATTTCCCATGAGGTCACTGTAAGATTGACAATCTTAGCAACACGAAATTATTGGGAAGTTATTACATCGACTACAAACTGTTTACCTGTAGGATCATCCTCCAAGCGACGTAATAACGGCTTACGAGTTCTACGGGCATAAATAGCTACGGGTCGGAATCCCTTTGCATTTGCTGTCACCATCATCCGCAAATCCGAGACATATATGTGGTTTCGTTTATTCGGAATGGTGCCGACATGGTAGAACTTGCCAGTTCTCGTGACGGAAGACCATGAAGCGTTGCCAACCAAAGATTGTACAATGAACTTGTCATAGTGATGATCTATGGCCATAAAGTTTTGGAGCTCGCCAGGTGTGGTGATCGTATATACACCTTGACCTGAACGTTAATAGAGAAGAGTTAGAATTTGATGAGCGTTTGGGACTGAGCAATTGTTGCAAAGTTGAACCACAACCCATCGAAACATACCGGCGTTGGAGTAAGGGACTTTAAGTACAGCGTGGCCACCCATACTGTCAATCCACAGTGGAATTTCACTCTTTGAGACATTCCTGATGGTTTCAGGCATCTTGATGGAAAGACCGGTACCCTGAAGTTCAGCATTCAGGAACTCGTAGGCTCGAGCCGCCATCATCTTATTACGGCCACCAGCCAAACAGGATACAATCTATGAAAAAAAGAGACAAATATTGGTTGATTTCGTTCAAAGAAGATATGCGTATCAATTTGTCTTTACATTATTCAGAACGTAGGTCTTTGAGTTGATTGGAAAACGGTTCCAGGGTTTCTGAGTCACATATCGGAAGCAAGCTCGGATGGGGTGCCATTCTAAACGCAAAGAATGAATATTAGCTTCAGTTAAACCGCATCGTTGAACAAACCCAGGTTCGCGAATACAACGAAAACAGACCGCAGCTGAAGCCTACCTTTGGCTTCATCTCGTACAAACATGATACCATCTTCCCACTTGACAGGTGGATCAGGATCTTCATCGAAATATTCCACCAACCACACACGTTCCTTTGAAGATTCAGCCATGACTGCAGCATAACCTGATGCTTCCATCATATTCTTATCAGTCAAGACAGCTAAATCACCCAAAGTGGGATCCAAGTCTTGAATCAATTCCAAGAATGTGCTATCAATGACTACTCCATAACCTCCATGTTCTTCACCCATTTCAGTCAATAGAGGCATAGATTTTTGGCCAGATGGACATGAGTTTGTTTCTATTATAATCATTTGGCGAGCTCCAGCCGAAGTAGTGACATTAAACAAGTCCGAGCCTATATGAGTCAGGTTTTAGTGAGTGAAGAGAGTTGAGATGTGGGATTTGAATGGGGGAACAAAACAGAGATCAGCGACTGACGGGCCAGAACGATATGGGATCAAATAGATCGAGATGAGTTGTAATCCACATGAAACTCCTTTTCAGCCTTCATGTTTATGCAACAGGGCACGATCAGTTCATGTGACTATTTGAGATTTCCATCTTTTCCAGTGGATTTACTGACGATCTCGACCTCAATGAGATCATGCACGACGACATTCCGAAGTTCAATTCCATAATGAAATTCTTACCAGCCCAGTTAAAGTATTTGGGTTGATAATCTAGCAGGGTACGTAAAGCATCCAAGTCCACCTGTGGATTGAGGTGCGTATATCTAGCGAGGATACGTTCATTTCCGAGAGCAAAGAAGCTTGATACGAGTGGATGAATATTTGCGTTGAGGACACGGGGGTAGAAGTGTCGTTCTGGTTCAAATTCACCGTTTCCAACGGGTTTGGCAGATAATCCAGTTTTGCGTTTCTTCTCTTTGGGTACCAACGGACCCAACGGAGGAATGGACGATGTCTTCAATACTGATTCTGGATTTTGATCTTCATGATCGCTGTACCCATCTGTTGATACACTCGTCCGTCGTTGGTGCAGATTGCCGTTGAGGTTCATTTGATCAGACAAGGACGGCTGGACCAGCATGCTGGCTGCCATTCAATGGATCAAAGATCTGTGATGTGGTTCTTCGACTTGATTTATTCCCTGCCTTGTCCTTGCCTAGTTACTGTGCGATATGTTTGGAACTGCAAGTTTTGCAGCAACACGTGTGTCAATTGTTGGAGAGCATATAGAGGATGAATTTGCTAGGCCGCAAGAACGCGAATGGAAGGATTCACAGCAAACATAAATTGAAAAGATGCCATTTGAGGTATCTCCAGTACAATGTACACGTAAATCGGGGTTCTTTCTAGTTGTTAAAGGTGCGACCTAACAGAATAGCCTATTTTTCTTGGATCGGTGCTCCGTTCAACTGCAAAATATTGTATCAAAACGCGTAAATTTAGTACTGAGAACTGAGAGGTTCATTATTTCGGAGTGTACTTGAATGTAGGGTTGTCTACTACTTGTCAATTGGTTTGAATGCTGACTGCCCTGGTTTACGATTCGGGCTCAACTTTTGTATCATTAGTCCTATTTATTCAAAGGCATGTATTTTTGATAATAAAGTTCGCGTTGAACCTTGCTGTGAGTGTATGCTTGATGATGACTGGAGGTTTTCTGCCAACCGCTCCTACAATCAAAACTATCAAACCATCGAAAATAACAGACTTGAACCCAGTACAAAGCCGACACCAACCTTGAAACATATCAATCGTCCTAATAACATATTCAATATTAATCGAAGCCGTGCCCAATCTCATTCCAAAGACGTCTGGGTCCTGTATTGAGACATGAGCTTTCGGATTGATTTCCTTTTGCAAGTTGCTGCTGAGGAAGTCGCTTTCGAAGGCGACACTGGTACGGTTTTTTGGCATTCCATTCGAGTCTTGCCGTTGGCTGCTTCTTTATATTCTACTTCAATTCTATATGACGAACATCTTACACTTGACATCAAATCTTGGTAGGTTGCAATCTTCCCAAATTATGGACTCTGATCGAGGAAAGGCAGCGAAAGGAGATTGAAAAGGAAAAGAAAACTCGTCCAGGTATATCAAAGCAAGATCCTTACTCTGGTATGTGTCTCTTTCTTTTTTTGGCCATGTCTTGAATTCTGTGAAGTCACCTTTTTTTGTGATCTGTCAAACTAATCTCTCTCACAACAATCGCTTAGGACTTGACAAGTATCTCCGCACGCTATTATGGCCATACTTGACTCTGCTTCGAGATGTTGAGTTCGTCTTTCTCGAAGAAATCGCTGCTGGTACTGTGATGGAAGAACCACAAGCAACCACTTCCAAGAAGGCCAAGAAACCCAAAAAAGCCATAATGAGTGCTACTGTATGTGTATGCTATCATGCGTCTTTCCTTTTTTCGCTATTCGATGCAGTCGTCACCTTTTCTGCGTATAGATTCAACATAAGACAGTACCTGGGCCACCAAAGACGGAACTGGGCAAAATGTCTCTGGCTCAAGTAGAAGAGGTCTATGGTGACCGACTTTACCTTGAAGCCAATGAGTCTTCTCGACTCCGTGCGCTCTACGGCAATGATGTAGGTTGCAGTTTGAAACTTTCTTGCACTCATTTTCTGTTTTATACACACAAAACTCTCAGAATCAATACGTTTTTGACTACATAGCCAAATATATCTGCCAAACTCATGACTGGATCGTTACACATGGTCATGACTATGATTGTCCGAAGTCGTGAAAAAGGTGTCCCTCAGTCAGAGATTGCAAAGGCTACTGGTATTGATCCTCGATCCATGTATCATCACACCAAGGTTGGAATTGAAAAGAAGATCATGTAAGTACATTAAACTTCTGCACCATCATTGATGTATTTCGGATAGCAGCTCTATTGAGAAGCCACCTTTCTTTTGTTTCTGATTTCAAATTTCTAATTCTTGGACTTCCATTCTGTAGGGTCAGGTTCCCTATAACTCACAACGGTACACGCACGCATATGTGTGTTCATACTCGATTTGCAGACGACTGCCCTGGCTATCGGGACTTTAAGATATTGCAAACTGGTGGAACTCTGGCCTTGGAAAATAAGCCTGCTCCTCTGGATCCAAGCGACTCTTCAACATTTCCAACCGAGCAGCTCAAATACCAAATCATGCAACTCTTGATGAGGGCCAAAAATAAAATATTACGATATGATGATGTCAGAAAGGCCATTGTAAGTTTTCACCATTTTCTGGGCAATCTCAGTCAGCAACTCGATCACATTCTCTTGCTTAATCTTTTCCTTTCTTCGATTCTTATTGTCTAGACCACCGCTTTTAATGTTGATCCTCCCGAAGGCCGCTGGTTTTCTCGCTTGACTACAACCCTAGAGAATAGTGGTTATCTCGTAGAAGTTCAAGTTGGAAATGACGAATCGTCAGTCAAATGTCTTCAAGGAATCAAGCAATTCCATGGCACTGGAGTCAATACAAAGTCCAAGTATCTTGCCAAACGACAACAAGAGAATGATGATGAGATTGTTGGCCCTGGTGGTTGCTTGGCCGATGTGCCATTCGATCAACAGATCGTCGACTTGATTGCATTGTCTGGAGATCGAGGAATCACTCAAGCTGTAAGTGAATTTGAAACTTTCAACGTCCTGTTATTGTGTTCGTCCTCTTGAATTGGCCCTCATTTATTTATCAATTGTTAACATTTTATAATATCACGGTAGAGCCTCGAAAAGTCGCTATCCGGTGCTTCATCTCGATTTGTATATCGGTTCCTTGAACGTGCTCTCAGAGCCAAAGATGGCGCTCCTGGCACTCCTGGAATATGTCGTATCGCTGAATTCTTAGGCCGAGAACGTCGATACCGATATTACTCTGGCGATGTTTATGATCAGTTGCCTGCAGACAAAAAGGGTCGTGGCCCAACTGATCATCGAAAGCCAAAGGAAGAGCCATCCGAAGATGTAACCAAGACTCGATTCGAAACCACCCTTGAACCTAGAATTGATATAAAGGGTAAAGGCAAAACCAAAAAAGCCAAAACTACATCACGTAAAAGGAAGGCCTTTATAGCAGAAGACGAAGAGATAGATGGCAATCAAACTCCAGAAGAGGAGGAAGATGATGTCGAAATCTCTGAGAATGAGAGTGGAAACTACTCGGACGACTCTCAGGCTGATGAAGGTGGTAAATCAACAAAGCCAAAGTCTGGTCGTAAGGATCGCTCCAAACTCCCTGGTGGTTCTTCTTCATCTACTGGTGGGGCTTTGGCTGACGGTGTCGTTCAGCTAGATGATCCATTAGCAGATACGATTGTGATCAGTACAAACCCTACCGTCACTCGTAGTGGCCGTGTAGTCAAACCTCTATATAGACCCGAAACTCCAGTAGCTCGATCTCCAACACCGGGAGGCTCAGCCATAGAACCACCTAGTATCCCATCTATGCCATTATATGAAGGTGACGATGAAGATTCTGATGTTGAAGGTGTCAGTAAGAGAGGTCTAGTATTGCCTACTCTACCTGCAGGGGTTACTTCTGCTGAAGATGAGCCTGTGGATGATATAGATATGGTCTGCGATGGTTGTGGGAAGAGTGAAAATACTCAGAAGATGGCAACATGTGCCGCTTGTAAAACACTTAGACACACCTATTGTCTTGACGACACACCAGTCCGTACCGAAGGATTGTTCTACTGCTGCACTGCTTGTAGTTTAGGTCAACCAAAGCCAGCAGCTGAACAAATCCATCTGCCTATCCCAGAATATGACGACGAAGAAGCTGAAGGAAAGACAGCAGATTCTGGAACTGAAGAAGCACCTAATACTGCTCCACCATCACCAGAAGTAGCCGACAGGCCAGAAGTTGGACTGGAAGATGTAGAAATGGAGGATGTTACAGTTAATACACCCATTGCTCCAGCTGCTGTGCCTGCAAAGGTTGCTCCACTTTTAGCTCAGGGTAAGCCTTTGGATGTGCTGCTTTTCCCTCTTTCTTTGTTTTAACAATATTCATTCTCACGCTGATGCTTTCGATGCAGTTACTGTCGATAAAGGTAACAAGGCCGCCACAATTTCTGGTGCATCTCCTATGAGCTTTGCCAAACCACGGATCAAAAATGCTACCAATAATGTCACTCCAGGAGCCTTATTGGCACCGCCTGCAGCAGCAGGAAGCCCTGCTCGCAGAGCAGTGCTAACAGAAGCAGACAGATACGCCGTTGTCACAGAAATTCTTGAACAGCATAGTGTCATCGAGTATAATGAGTTGGCTCGATTGTACGATGAAGGTATCAACAGCAGAGTCACTCCAGCTACCGCCTACCAGACTGATCGTAAGACCATCATCAAAGTCTTGCTTGGTATGGAATCAATATCTAAACTCCGTCGATTTGATGTGAACATTCCATCCCTTACTGGACACTTTACGAAGAAAACTCTCTACCTCCTTCCCGATCTCCAACAGACAGACCCTGTCGTCAAAGATTACCTTCTTCGCCTTCGAGCCAGATCAATGACGCAAGGTCAAAAGAATGTAAAGAAGTCTGGTAAAACAGTAGACGCCGCAGCTAGTGACATTGAGCGACTCTTTGATGATGACGGAAAGAAGAGGAGGAAGCCCTCTGCAAAGAAGCTTAAAGCCAAAAGAGATGCCCTGGAAGAAATCGGAGGTAGTGGGTCAGACAATGCAGCACTTCCTGATGTATTTGCTAGTATGCAGCCACAATTGAGTGTACAGGTTGCTTATGGATATATTATGCCAAAAATGGGTCGTGCTCGATTGTTGCATGAATTCTTGTTTGACTTGATGGTCAAGCCACGAGAAGAACCCAATAATAATACAGGTGCCAATCCTGGTAGTCCATATAAAGATGACGGTGTCTTTAAGACCTATGACATCTTCACCGAATTTACTGTTGGCTTATATCTCAAGCTCATTGGTCATGCATATCCATCACCTGAATTGGATGACTTTATGCGAACTGCTGGCTGGGAAGACGTAAAGATCGACAAGGTACCACAAAAGATATACTCTATCATCTTCCATCCTAAAAGCAAGTTGAGGCCACAACTATATATGTTGATCAATGTTTTGCTCGCCTTGAATATCATCGAAGAAGTAGATGTAGAGTACATCGGAGACAATCAACGTGCCCGTCTGGCCAATAGTTATAGACTCCTTACTAAAGTACCCATTCGAGCCTATTGTGAAGAACATCCACCGCTTCTCAACTGGGTCTATCTTGACTCTCGAGAAGTCTTCCGAAAGTTTTGGATGCATCTTGAATTCTATACTCTATCAAAGGATGCATCGATGGTCGTGGTACCTGAACAGATTGATGAACCTGCTGCAAGGCCAGAGATCTTGACATTTATGGTCCGACCATCGTATTGGCATATAAAGTATGGATATACAGGAACAGTACGAAAAGCTTTGGAAGCCATGTGTAATCGTGAGACTGGTAGGACTCCTCTTGCTGATGAAACCAAATGTCGAGAATTGGCTTCTCAATTGGATATTCCCTTGTTACGAGTGAAATACTTTTTTTCTCGAGTGGAATACTCTTATCAATCGGCTACTTTACGAAAGGAAAACAGACGAGAGCTATACCGTCTAAATAGACTAAAAGGTACCATGGAAGATGATGGCGACGGTGAAGATCTTGGCTCCTTGAAACAACCGAAACGAGGCCGACCTTTCCGCAAGAATCAAAAAAATAAACCTAAGTCTAGTGTACCTGCTGATGTCTTGGCAGCAATGGGTATGACTTCTCTGTATAGTCCAACCCAACCTGTTAATCCATACTTCAACCAACTGGACTTCCAGTTTCAGACTCCAGCTCCCTCTTCAAAACGTAAAGCTGATGACTCTACATTCGAGACACCAGCAAATAAAAGGTCGAAGAAGAACAAGGGTAAAAAGCCAATGCGAGGAGACTCTCCAGACTCTTCCCCACAACAAACCGATGAAGAGTCTGTTGCTGGATCTGCCCGAAGTACGCCAGAAGCTAGAATTGGTGAAGTCAATCCAACGCAACCTAGGTTCCGAAAACGGCATACTTGGAATACTGCCAAAGATATGAGGTTGTTGGCCGTCAACACTATAGTTGCTCATCGAAGTAGTATATGTGGCTTGAAAGTTCGTGAATGGCCATCACTGAAACATGTGTTTGGTGAAGACATGACTGTAGATGCTGCCAGACGTCGTGTACTCAAGCTCAACAAAATCTTTTTGAATGTAAATGAAAAGTCCCACATGCTGACCAAGATTTGGGAAGTAGCATACGAGCACTTGAGGCAAGGAAAACAGTCTAATGTGAAGTTATGGTCTGATGAGGATGATTTCGCTGAGTTTGATATCAGCCCTATCGTCGCATTCTTGATTGATTGCTATGAGAACGATACACTGTATGTGTTTTGTTTCAGTGTTAAACAAGTGGATTCAAAAGTATTGAATGACGGCTCATTTTGATTTTTTTCCTAGTGGCACCGGAGCATCATTCACCATCACGGATTTGCCAAAGGACATCAATCTCTTATCGAAATACTTCACCATCAAGCCAATTACATCTCCGGCAGAGAGTTGGTCTGGCATGGTCGAAGGACTGGCGAAAAGTGTGTCCGGCCAAGCAAGAAAAGCCTTGTGGAGCTCACGAGGATTGACTTGTGGGTTCAATGGTTACGATATGTTTGATTTGCCGCAGACTGATAATGAGGTTGAAAAGAGGCAATTCAATCTTGCCAAGTCTGCCATCAAGGTTATAGGAGCTGTGCACGTGCCATTTTTTGCGTTTCCCCCTTTCACACCACTTCTTATAGATGACTCATCTTACTCCATCCAATGACTATGATGCGGACAAGGCTCTTGCTCTTCTGGATGCCTTCTCTGGACAACTTGTTGAAGATGCTCAAGATGAGCTTCACGCTGATAAAGTCGTTGTTGCTAGAAGCGATGGCCAAATGCCTGGTCGCGGTGGTGGCCTCTCGGACGAGTAAGTTCGATACACAAAGTTCATTTCAACCTCTGTTCTCCGACTACGTTTCCCATCATTCAACAACCTTTAGAGCGTCTCGTGCAATTTCGCTGGAAAGGTATCCTGTCGGCCTGATTGATCAGGCCCTCGAACTCCGTGCAGAGCTAAAAGCGGCAACAACTGACCACGAAGCATATAAGCTATCGTCTTTTCCTGAATCTGGCACTATTGTTGCCTTCTTGGACATGCTGGCTAGTGGTGAAATTCAGGCCAGTGCTGTTTCCGACCGCATCCTACCACCTGAGATCTTGTGCTACCCAATTGGAGATGAAGAAAGTAAATTCAATGCCTTCTATACATTGTTGAGTCTTTACCACTCCTTAAAGCTTGCCTACCTTTTTCCTTCGTAGGGCCAGACAATGTCTTTTTGGACTTTGACATATTCATAAAGACCAAAGAAACTCCTGTATTGATGCCGGTTGGTGGTAGTATTGCTATTCCAGGAACTCGCAAACGAGCCATGATGAGCATAGCGGAAGGTAGCAACACAACCAAAAAAACCCGTGCAACGCGATCAAGTCGATCAAAGTCACCATCAAGGGATCCAACCAAGCCCTTGATTGATGAGTGCGAAACTGATAGTCAAGAGATTCATAATGTAATGTACCAAGTCTACGATATGATTGTGAAGGGTGGTGAGACTGGATGCACTATGGAAGCTCTTAATGTAAGTTTTCAGTGCTAAAATTGAAACATTTTTTTCAAATTATCATTCTTATAGCAATTTTTCGTATCTAGAAATCCGTCTCTCGTCCCATTGCCGATATGCACAAGGTCTTGCTATTACTTCAAAGTCTTGTCCTGGACAAACCAGCTATACCGATTGTCTCTATGGTTGGATATACTGTACCACACTTTGTATCTCATCATCATCTCCACTTGTGGACTCTTTGCACTACTGTCAGTCCTCCGTCTACTGAAATGGAAGTGGACGAGGGCGCAGGAGCATCGACTCATGTAACCAAGAAGGCTCGTGAAACAGCCCAGGACTTTACACCTGCTCGTATCTGGTACTCTGTACATGGTGAACGCATGAATGATGTATACAAGAAGGCCATTGATGCAGTCATGTTGCAAATTGTTTGGTATCCTGGAAGCAATCATGTAAGCAGACAAGAAAATGTGGGCTATCAGTGAATCAAAACCGTGATTCTCACAATATTTATTCTCTTATAGCACTTACTCTTGAAAAGGCTCTCCAATGTATTGTCACCAGTCGAATTGTTGGATATTCTCTTCATGTTGGAAGATCGTGGTGCAATCACTCGTCATACGACATTCCTGGAACATCCTCCAAACATTTGGGGCGAACTTGAACCTGTCGAAATCACTGATGATGGTACGTTCAGTATGAAAATTGAATTTATTCTTCCAGGAATTGGTCCTAACAATGGAACGATTCTTATAGATTCTCGCAAAGTCACCTTCTACTTCCCAAATCGAAATTGGTATAGCAAGCTGGCAGTAGAATAGGCACAAAACGATAAACGGATAGGAACATATATAGCATTTGTACAGACAGTTTTCAAAACACGACAATATTTAATTTTTCCGAAACATAATGGTCAGATTTTGTTGCGAACGGGAGGAAACGGATATATAGGCATGCCAGCTCCCAAGAAGGATGCTGTCTTTGCATTTCGGACTATACCCTGTGGAAGCTTTCTTCCTGTATACCCTCGACGTAACTGATGAGGAAGGACAGTTTGCAGTTTTGAATTGAAAGCCAGTTTCTACGTACCATAGTCGACTTTGGCAACATTGGGCGCACCTGAGAAGCAGAAGAGCAAAGTGCAGATCACCCCTCTTCATTTCTCTCTCTTTCCTGACGTTCAGCAAACACCCAGTCAAGTCCATATTTAGCTGTCACATGTACTGATAAAAGCAGAGTCTTTTCAGCCCACTTGCCAACCTCCCTCCCCTTAACAGTGTTAAGGCGTTTATCAGGTAATCTGTTTTCAGGCCCCAGGGGTCACGCAAGAAACCAGTATTGGGCTTTGAGAAGGCAACGTCGCCATCGAGACACGTTCTTATTTCCTCCAAAACGAAAGTATCTGGCAGTGCTTTTGTAAGGAAATACTGAGGAGTGCTGAGTTGCGACCAGGTATTTTTGATTCGCGTCCTTGAGTGGAATATAATGTAGTAGACGGCACACGTGAAGTTTCGTGAAGAAGCATGACCTTAGAGTGAGTAGAGGATCTAGTAGAGATCGAGTAACTAGCTGCGAGACTTACATTCGTAGAGTCGGCAATCCACATTGTTGAATTTGACACGAATTCGACGTGGACATGCAGTAGCATCGACCGAAAATGTGGATCTTGCTGACATTGGACCAATGACATGCATTTTTGGCCGGGCAACATGATTAGCGACTTGAGCGACTCGATTTCCAGCATTTTCGGCCATGATCAGCAGAGCTTTCGCATAGCTTTGTAATGTGTTTCAAATGTTACGCGTCAAGATGCGATTCTAGTAAAATACCACTAGAAGGGTGAGCAAGTAGCAAGTAGAATGATAGAATTTAGAATCTAGAATTCAAAGAATCCGAGAGCTTCCTCTCAATAACTTCCACAAAACTCTTCGTTCGAAATCAAACAGCAACCAGAGCTCTGTCCCGTAACGAGGAGCTTCAATGCAAGTAAATGGAATTGCAGAAAATGCACAGGATTCACTTCTTACCGACGCGACAATAACCGTACGCTTAATCAAAAGCTTTGAATTCAGAACGTGCAAGAATTTGGTTATGCATCATGTCGATCTGACGAAGACTACTCCACGTGATTTGATGGCTTCTATACAAGCTGGTAAGTTGGATCGCTATGATCGTGTCAAGATCTATTGAGATTGCTAGGTGCTTGTTTTTCTGACCAACATCAACCATTTGCTGACTCTTTTTCAATTCTTATCGCAGAAATCAAGACAGAGTCTGGATTCAAGCCGTATCTTGTAAACCGGTTTGGTAGGTGTAATGAGTTTGCAGATCTGTTCCTATGCAAGCATCGCCTGCCTTTTTCAAATGGACTTTGTTGCTTGTTGCATCATTAGACACGCTGAAGATTTACATGCAACCGCATGGTGCCAAGGTACTGTAACAACTCGAGAACCCTCTGTGATTGCCTCATACTGAACTATCACTGTTGGTTTATCAGACACAAAACTTGATCATCAATTTGGAACATGATGAGGATTGGATTTTGAAAGAAGATGTTGCATTGTCTGAGCAACACATTGGTAAATTACGGAGAACATCGCTTTCATCATTACTATTTCTCGGATGTCTTGCTACTAAACTAGCACGACACGGTTTTTTGTAGAAAACGAGACTGAGATTAGCTTTTACAACCGTGAAGCCTATAATCAATTCAAATCGCACCCGGAAATGAAGTGGTGAATGGAGTGATTCGTACCTGCTCGTGACTTGAAGTACAGATAGTCGTGCCTTGAGAGCCCGGCACATTATGGATCTTGGACTTGTGCGGCAATACACGTGAGCCTTCCATAGAACCTTTACAACCTCAAAATTCTTCAACAAGTAGAAAGAAAAATGCCGTAATATATTACCCTCTCGCTCTCATTCAATTCTGTTATACAAACGTCTTTACTATCATGCCACTGACCCATGTCTATACAATTTCACAGTAGAGTCCGCACCACCACTTATCAGTGTATCATGCAAAGTTGGGTGGAATTTCACCGACCACATACCCTCATTGCCCTTCCGTCTATGAGAAGAATACTCTTGCATACAATTACGTGATGATAAATCCCAGAATCGCATCGAGCAATCATGACCTAGATGGGAAAAAAGGGATTATTGATGTAATGTACAACTCTGTCAGCAAGACATGATTCACCAAACGTACCACCAGACACTAATGAGAGACCCAGAGGATGTATGTCCAGAGAAGTCACAGAGTCCAAGTGCGCAATCATTGAATGTATACATAGGCCTATTAGACGAAAGAGCAATAATCAGCAAAAAGAAATACCCTCGAACTTGACGAGAATTTCGTACCCGAATTCAGATCAAATATCCTTATACACTTGTCCTCGTGAGCAGTAAATGCCAACGACATGGTCGAATGACATATTATCTTGTTGATTTGGGTACCTGGTGTTCCATCTGTGAGAGGAGAAAAAAATCAACAAAACGTGAAGATAGCAAACAGCACAATCCTCACCATATGATTCAGCACTCTTCAACGAAAGTATTTCAGACCCTGTTGTAATATCAAACACCTTGGCAGTAGAATTCTGGTATGCAGCTATCAGCCTTGTTAAATTCGACGGTATCCAATCTATTGATGTGGGATTCGGCGAGTCTGACAATGATGGGGTGGTGATTGGCGAATGATGATCCGAGCTTCCTGCAGTTCCGTTGACTTTGGCTCCACCATACCACAGTGTCGTTCTTAATCCACGACTTGAGTCCGACGTATTCCAAAGTTTTATGGTTCCATCGGCGGAACATGATGCGAGTATTGATGATTGCGATAAAGACGGTTGAGATCTGACATCCCATACAGCGTCCGAGTGGCCAACATAGGTATTTACTTTGAGTTTTGAATCTAAAGTGGATAAAAGTGAGCAAAGAATTATCAAAGGAAGTATCCACGTTTGAGCAAGAACACAAACCATATGGTGCGTAAACATCTCGAATCAGGTTGGGGATAATCCATTCACGTATTGTGGAGTCCATACTGGCAGTGAAGCATCTCTCTGGTGTTGAGCCTGGACCAAACGCAACTGACGTTATAGGTCCAGTATGCCCTCGATATGTAAATATAGGTTCTAAATCTTGAGGAGGCCTAGGAAAAGGAAGAGCCAAGTCATTAAATATTCACATTGTCTTGCCGAGTGTGCCATCATCAACGACTGACTTTTTTGTTCCCATGTAATCTTGTAGATTCCATAGTTTGGCTGTATGATCTTCTGATCCAGACAGCGCTGCGAGAACTGTAGGATGCATCGCTACTGCTCGAACAGCATCCATATGACTGTGTAAGAAAGACATATGTCAGTGACAATAAAAACGGACGAGGGACTGGCATCATACACTAACCTCCGAAGTGTTCCCTTTGGCCTCCATATCACCTCTGTGGATGTCAGATCTTTGGATCCCGCCGATTTCTGGTTTTTGAAAACACGCCACGTCAGTTTCTTCGCTTTGAAGAAATGACTGTAATGATGCAATACCTTGGTCGTTGAATCTTCTGTATCTTCTTCAGACAGACTCAGTGACGCCAATGGATCATCTGTATACAGGACGACACTTGTCATCAAAAAAACCGAAAGTTATTCTCAGTATGTGATTTTTACCTGCAGACCGTTGCACTGGTGGTTTTGCAGCCCACTTGTTCATCATCTTCTGCGTCTTTCCATCATTTGGCAGTTTCAGTTTCTCTTGCACCTCCTCCACGGACTTAAAGGCGAATGGCTAGTTAGAAAGCCGAAAAAAACGAGTTCACTTTCCAGACTATGTACTTACTGGAACTTCCTGATCAGCACCAAGGTCAGCAGTCCTACCAACTCTCTTAACCGTATTCTGTCTACTCAATGAATCAGAAAACGTCTCGCTAGGTGACGGAGATGGGGGTGTACCGTCTAAATCTCCTAAATCAGTGGTTGGTACAGGTTCTGAAACACCATTTGTGGCTGGTCTGGGTGGTGGCGGGCGGCTTTCTACAGGTTTATTATTATTACGATCGGGCATGGATTGTTGTTGGTGTTGAGGTGGAAGCGGTGAGTTGGTTTGAGGTGGCATTTCTCGTCTTGAAGTTGTATCGGCGGAGGACTGAGGTGCAGACATGTCGTCTTCGTGTGAGCGTAGCGGAAGACCAGCCGCCAAACTGGGTGATGTTAATTGTCCAGCTTCTCGTAGATAACTAACAGACAAGCATTAAAAAGGGAGTCGGCCATTGAGCACTCTCATTCAATACCACTCACTTTTTCAGTATTTCTCTCGTACGCATATGTCCTACACCCTTCGAGAAATGCAATAATGTACCACCTTGACCTGGTCCCATTGTATTTTGCCGACTAGCCATTGGGTCACCTCGATCTAGTGTTCCTGTATCAGGTGGTATATCACGATGATCGGTCGTCAATGGAGCTGCCCCAGGCTCTGGCGACATTGCAGGTTCTGACGGCGTTTCTGCTCCTTGGGCTGTATTGTTTGCATGCATTGTAGAATACTTGTTCCTGTATTTTGTTTGGTATTGAGTTGAGATTGGAAGTGGATCCAAAGCAGAACAGGACTGTGCGCCAATATGGTTAGAATTGCATACCGTTCTTGTCTGAGAGCATACTCGAGCATCTTGATTCTTCTCAGCAAATCAGTCTTCATATTATCCATTCCTCGTCGTTCACTTTCCAAAAAGGCTATTTTAGACTGTGTAGAAATGCAAATAAAATAGTTAGCAGCCTAGTTTCGGATCTATCCTCTCTTGAACGTCCCAAACAGGGGTTGTGGGTTTCATATGATATCAAAACACATCCAAACATAACAAATTCTTGATGCAAATTGCAGCAGAATAGCTGCGACACCCAGAGGGCCCAAGAGGAATAAAGCAGGAATCAGCGCATCCCAGTACCTTAAGGTCAGATTTCTCGATTTCCCAGTCATTTCTATCACGCTCGAATCTCCTCCATTCCAGTTGCAAGAAATGTAGGACTCCTGGTAGAGTGTATCCTTGCGATGGCATCGTGGTTGCTCCCGGCTGCTGCTGCTGTTGCTGCTGGAAGCCTGACATCCTTCTATCTGAGTGCACTCTAGCAGGGCTAGTGCCGTTTGGGGGAGTTCCGTCTACTGTGCTGCTGTGTTTGTTTGATGACACTTTTGTCACCTCGAGCTAGGCAATGAATCTCAGAGTTCGCAATTGTGAGGACTAATCAAACAATATGTACCAGTTTCAACGTGTACGTGATCACGTGATCACCAATGAACGATTTATCTGACGCGTCGATGAAGTTTTAACGAACACCACACGCCAAACACGAACACCAACCGTTACAGCTGGGTCTAATTTGCTATTTCAGTCATGTTTACATAGTCAGATTTACAATATGAAAGTCCAGATGCTCTTCTATAAAAGTTTGAATAAACCAGTACGAATGATCGTATCCTTCCTGAGAGTCAAAGAGTCAGAATTTGGGAATACAATGAAGAAAATTGCTGGTTGCACATGCTAATACCAGCCGATCAAGAAACCTATAAACAACTCATGTCCTAACTCACCTGCATCCTCATATCAACATTCACATTCTTATTCCCTTCACAAGCCTTGGCAAAGTTCTCAGGCTTCAATTCCTTTTCCAAAAACGAGTCTTCCGTCCCTTGATCAATAAGTATGTTTCTCAATGGACCAGAGTACTTTGCTACTACTTCACATGAATCGTATTCCTTCCATGCTGCTTGATCTTCTTCGCCAAGATAGTTCTTGAATGCATGGATACCCCAAGGCGTCTTTGTTGGATTTGATACTGGTGAAAAGGCACTGATTGACTTGAATTTGTCTGGGTTCTTCAAACCGATTGTCAAAGCACCGTGTCCGCCCTATTGGCGGTAAGGAAACCGTTAGCCTCATATTTAGCTTTAAGCTTCTCAGGGGCTCAGCTAGTTATGTTACCATAGAGTGTCCCATAATTGAAATCTTGTCTGCGTCAATAGGTAGTTCCTGCAGCACAAGCTTGTACAGCTCGTCAACAATATACGAGTACATTTTGTAATTCTTTGACCATGGTTCTTTGGTAGCATCAAGATAAAATCCTACAGCACTAAAAAGTCAGCTAAACCGTTGAAATAGACCAAAGAAACGGCAATATAGCTCACCAGCAGAAACACCAAAAGACCAAGTCTCAGAATCTCCAGGTATAGGCACACCACGCGGTGACGTGTCTGGACTGATTAATGCAATTTGGTGGTCACTGGCAACTCCAAAGGCTGTAGATTTGGTGGGAAAGTTCTCATCGGTACAAGTCAAGCCCTAAAAGGAGTTCAAAAATATGAGGAATCGGATTTTAGCATTTAGACCTCCAGGAAACAGAGGTAGACAATCAGACGCATTCATCTCTGCAGGTGGCGGTATGCATGCCCTCTTCAATTCAACAACGGGCAGGCGTACCGACAAGAAGTACACTGCAGGACACTTTGATGTTGATGTAGACAATGGCAGAAAGACAGTAAACTTCATGTCGCAGCCTAGGACTTGCGAAACATGTTGATATCTAGAAATAGGGGACAAAGTTAGCGAAAAGAAAGCTGCACGTGTAGTTGAACATTGCAAACTGTAAAACCTGACGACATGGCCATCAAAGCATTTGGATTTGGATAGTTGTTTTAGCATCGCGTATTCGTTGAGGTCTTGTAATCTCGTGAGCTAGAGTATCGTGTTCTTGTGAGGTCTTGCGGTCTCTTGAGGCTTGAAGCTATAACGCACGTTTTCTAGGTTTCGAGTTGGAACTTTGGCGATCGAAGCTACAATATCTGAGTCTCCTGACGTGTTTAAACACGTATGGATGTATTATGTATTGATGACGATGAAGGCAGGTTTGAAATCGAGTTTGATTCTTTTGTTGTTATGTGTATGCAATATATACTCAATGATAACTACAAGCGTACTATCAGCTCATCGCTGATTTGATTCTTCTACCCAAGATATTTCTTAATCTTGTTGTTGGTCTCTGATGAGACAATCTTGGAATTCTTCTTTTTCTTGCTCGCAGATGACGAAGACGATCCACCGGATTGTGTAGCTGTTCTCTTACTAGCAGATTTCATTTGATTCGTGGTGATAGATGATGACCTTTCCGTTGAATGGATCGACATCGCAAAGTGCCAATCATTGTGTTCTTCAACATCAACGATTGGAATCAATTTGTTGCACTTGTCACATTTGGTTACTGTAGGATCTCGTTTTTCGTCAGTGGTCTTCATTTCTTCGTCCTCTTCGACACTCGTTTGGGGCTATTATATCGAAATGGTTGGTTGAAGTTGACTCAGTATTTAGTAGCATAGGCAATGGTGCTAAAAAAAAACCTCGTTCGCAGGGTACATACTTTGAAGAAGTTTGTGATTGCTCGATTGTCGGTCTCTTCCTTGATCAAGCCTTGTGCACCAATTGCTATCCTAAAACACGGAAACTTGTGGTCTGATTTTAGCAAATCCATTGCTTTTTCCAGCAAGACATCTGGCGAGTTCACTATATGTCGAATGGGGAAGGGACATGATTTCGACCTCGATTTTTGAGCACCCGTAGAAATATTCAAGGTGAACGTCTTGGGCCACCTAACATTAAACGAAAACGCTGTTTAGGCTTCCGGTTCTTTTGCTTGTTGGTATTTTATGATTCCACGAACGTGCCTCGAAGTCTCTTCAAAGTCGTCCGACACACGTGAATACAATTCAGCAGCTAGCACCCCGACCCAATCCCTGAGCTTGTCGTCATTTCTCACAGGTGGCCGTAACGACTTACATGCCTGCATTCCCTTTTGCTAATGGGGGATGAATCATGAGAGGCCTTCTCTTCGAGTTCAAGGTGTTTTTTCAAACTCACTTCTGTACGTGGGTTGACCGAAACATGACATGTACCACGACAAATATCATACAACCAGACTCCAATATCATCGCCTAGCTTTTGTTTCAGTTCAACTTCCGAATATTTCCTATTATCGATTTGGTTGATCTTATCCCAAGCATTCAAGAAATGCGTTTCGTTAGCACTCACCATAATTCACCAGCAGTCTCCACATTCTCAAACTCTGACTCAATTACTTCTCCAAGCTTCCCACCAAGACCTCGTATCTTGTTGAATGGCATGTCCTTCATGAATGCTTCAACTTCAGACGGTCTCATCACAGTTTGCTTATTTGGTTTGTTTTGCGACGAGCATAGTTTGGCAAGTGTCTTGTTCTGAGCAATACCAGCACTCAGGGTGTATCCTAGTTCTGTAGTGACTGCGGTTCTAATCTCTAGAGCGACATCTGCTGCAAGTGCTAGTTGTACGTCTTGCCAACCTCTTGATTCTGGTTGTGGATCAACACCATATAGAAATCCAGCTCCATCCCATTTCACAAGTGGCCCTCTTTCTACATCTACGTCCCTCCATTCTTGATCCAGAATACGTTTATTGACTTCGTCTGATACGTCAAAGTAGGCTTCATCAATAGACGCCCGTTCCAACTTTGCATCATACATTGCAGCGTATCGTTTGAAGATATTGAAGACGTTCTTTGACGCTGCCCTGTAGACGTCAAGGGAGACCTTATGGGTCTTTGGATCTGGAGAGTCGTGATATCTAGCCACTGTTTCGCCAGTGGCGTATGTTGCAACATGTACGAATTCGACTTCTGGGCAGAGTTCTTTGGCTTCAGCGGGAGATGAATGGCGCCTGATACCAGCAGCACGAGCAGCATAGCTTTTGAAAAGAAAAGGGCGATTGTTAGAAAAGAGTTTGGGATCAAGGCAGCGATCTTGTACTTGACAGCGATGAGTCCATTCCACTGGAGAACGCAAAGAGGTCGATCTTTGGGTATATTGAGGCGAATGTGCTCGACCATGACATAGAAGCAGTCCTATAAAAGGGTTTACGATGTGATTTGCAGAAACGTGTAGTTGTGTTGTCAGATTGAGCTTACTAAGTCTATGTGAATGATAGTTCTCCCTCTTAGATGAGCAGATACTGCAGAAGGCTCTCTTTTCCTTCTATTCGGGGAGCTCATCATGTCGAATTCCTGTTGTGATGTTTTGTCACAGCAGAAACTGTCAAGTTGTTTGTTGGCTATGAATCCAAGCACGTCATAAAGGAGAAATTAATATAGTATACGCAATTTATAATGATATTACACGTAAAGTCTATATATGTCGTTCGCGGCGTTCGCACTTCCATCGTCTTAACTTTCAGAATCCACAAAAATCACGTTCAAGATTCACATAGCTCATACAGAAATGTCTAGGAGACTTGAAGACAGCAACGATTTGTTCGACGGCAAGCGCAAACGCGCTCGGGAAGATGACCACGAGGACCTGGTAGATGTTGCCCATGAAGCTCGTAGCAAACGTAAGAATGTTAGATTCAGTGACCAGGACGATGCCTTCAAACCGTCAAAGAAAGATGCTCCACGTGCTTGGGACGACACTCAGGACGATGACGATGATGAAGATGACGATGAACTTGAAGCAAGTAAGTGCAATGCTCAAAGCATCTCGTGTCACATTTGTCCTTGGGAAGATTGACTCTGTCAAATGCAACGAAACGCAATATTATGGATAATAATCGAATTTTAATCTTCCACTTCTCCCTTAGAACGGAAACGAAAAGGCCAAGTCAATCTCGAGTTCTCAGACGACGAGGAAGAAGACGTCAACTCCAAAGAAGCAGCACCTGCTGACGACCAAGACATGTTTGCCGCCGAGACTCCTGCCGACAAAAAGCAGGATACACAGCCAAAGAAGAAGGGCGTCATTACATACATGGCCCCTACCCAAATCGAAGGCCAAGAATGGGATGCTGAAGCTGAAGAGTTTGATGAAGAAGGAACCAAAATGGAGCCATTCAATATGGATCAGGAGCTGGAAGAAGGGTACGAAAAGTGTCATTCACCACTGACCTCCTTGTCGTCTTTTTTGCGCCGCATTCCAACTGTATTTCAATTTTCGTAGTGGATTTGACGAATCGGGTCATTACATTGCAAAACAGGACGATCAAGCTATACACGACAATTGGCTTCAAGGCGTGACTAAAAACCAAATGCTGCTAGCTAAAGCCGCTCATGATCGTCAAGAAGCTCGTGCCAGAATAGATTTTGTCGTGGAAGAAAAGACGCAAGGAAAACTGGATGCCAATATGATATGGTATAAGATTCTAGCTGTCATGAAGCCTGGAGAGACAGTTGCTGGTGTAAGTGCATGATCTTGTTGAAAGTCAGTCTCGGTTTTTTGCACTCTCGGTTCAAGTCATCCTCATACGTTTTATTCTCAATTCCAGGCTATGAAACGATTAGGAGCCAACAGTGCAAAACCCAAAGTAATAAAAGCAGGATGGAAGAACAAGATAAAAAGTAAATATGCTGAATCTCAGTCATCGGATGCTATGCAGGTGGATCAGCAGGCTGCTGAAGAGCAAAGCAAACAAGCTGTAAATGAATTGACATCCTTGACTGATCAACTCATGGGATTTGGAAACTTTGGTAATCGAAGATGCATCGTCAGCATGTTACGAGGAAAGCTTTGCTGACGTATTTTTTCTACGTTTAGATGTGTTTGAGCAACGATATGAGCAAATAGTACGTATTCTTCGTTTAGCAAACTTGATCAGTAAGTTCATAGCGCAGCCCTTTATTTTCTTTTGTTTTTGGTTCTTGTCACGTCCTAACCATCCCTCTCACTTGTAGAGGAAGATTGGACCAATGGAGACCCACTTCCACCATTATCACGGGCAGCAGCATCAGATGACGCTGAATCAACTGAACTATTTTGGGAATACAAGAATAGTGAAGATACAATGGAAGTTCGCGGCCCACATACTGGCGAAGAAATGGATGATCTCGTCAAAAGGAGGCAGGCTACAGAGGAAGGTCAAACTGGACCATTATGGATTCGTAAAGTTACTCGTCAAACATCATTGGATCCGTTTGTGGGATTTTCAGTTATGCCCAGTGGGTTTGATTTTGTACATGGTTGATAAGTTGGAGATGAGCAAGTGTAAAACGTATATGCATGTCGCTATGTAATAAACCTTGAGCTCAAGCTCATAAAAGCAGCGGATCTGATTCTTTTCTGTCACTCGTGTATTTATTCAGGCCATTTTACAACATACAGTTTGGTTGAATAAGATACTGCTATCTACTTTCTTTTGGTGACGTAGTTAGATTAAATAATCACCGTAGAGGGTATATGTTTATATTAAATATTTACGCGAAAGCCAAACCCGTCCCCTTCACCCGCTTGTCGTGAATGTGTTTCGGCCACGATGGTGGTGGTGACGGTAAGCCCGAGAAGCTCACAGTTCGTGTATTCAAGGACGGGTGGCCAATCAGTTCAAGATTGCGACTAGAATTAAACGGGAGAATTTAGTAGATAGACCAAAAAAATCTAATTGTTGATTATTCTATAGCACAAACACATACCAGTCTTTATCAATCCACTCCTTAACAACACCAGCCGAGTTCAACCACTTTTGTGATGCAAACTTCTTGGCCAGACATGCCGGTGGCTCCTTCAACTTTCCAGCCAAGGCAATGACACAACTCGACAATGCCGAGTCATCATACTCATAATCGTGATTCCCACGAATACTCTCAGCCAAGATGATACTAGCAGATGCCACCACAGATGGCATATACACGATGAATTCCTCATAAATAACACTAAACTCCATAATATATCTCGCCAAAGCCCTCGACTGCATCTCAACACACTTTACAAACCGACAATCTGCCCTCAAGAATGCCTCAGCAGTTGGATGACCCAATACGAAATGAATCTCGTCAAGTATCACCAACTCCATCTGTTTAAAATCACTTTCCGGGTACGAGTCACAGCATATCTTGCACAGCTGCTTGACGGTGGGTACGTGGCCATGGTTTTCGGCGTATTTGGCTGCAATTAGGTACGATGCGACACCCAGGAGCTGGTACTGGTTGCGCGGGATTTTACGGTGGGAGCAGAAGCGGTCGAGGATGTTAATAGTTAGGTAGAGAGTTTCTTGGAGTGAGTCGTATTCTTCGAGGACTTGGATCAGCCAGGAGACTAGGGTTTGGCGCATCTTCCAATTGATTTCGGGCTGATTGTCCATGTAGTTGGGTCTTGGAGCGGTTTGTATCTACATATACACCAAAAAGGAGGTTATTCAGCAAGGTAGTATGATGTAGTATAATTCTGTTTGCAGATCCCTATCATGCTTACCTCCAAGTCCTTCATATGGCTTGAGATTTCATTCGCATATTCTTCGGCGTCTTGAGAGTCACCAAGGTCTTCTACAGCGTCAAAGGCAGCTGTCGAGGAAGGATTTTCTATGAAAATTTGAGGGAGAAAATTGAATTTCTTTCCTATTTTTTTTCTGGCTCAAAAGAAGCAATTGAGTATAAAAGCTTACTAAAAGCAGCAATTATCGCCTTTCTCGTATCATCCGTGAATGGCGGATCTTGATTATCTTCTGTCTGTAGAGCCGGTGCATTATAGTGCTCTACGAATAGAGGTGCTGGTATAGCATCGTCTTGAATGACCATCAGCTGAGCGTCATTCTGCACTGCCCCTCCTCCCATGCCAGGATCATTGTCATCATGATCACTATCATTATCTTCATCGTCAGAGTCCGTTTTGAATGATTCGGGGAAGTCTGTATCTACGCATTCGGCATCGTTGTTACAAATCTATGCCAGCTAAAAAGCAAAGCAATTAAAACGCAAATACAAAAAACGTACCCGAATCAGCTTCATTGTCATCCTTGTTGATGTCGAGAGCTCCAAAAGCCTGGTTGACATTGTCGGTCTTATCCCAGGAAGCCCCATCATAGAATCCACCATGATCGAATGAGCTATCGAATAATCCACTGGGCATGTTGGAGCTGCTTCCAGGTCCGTGGGCACTACGATCAGGTCCTTTGCCCTTCTCGATACCACCATTGCTGTTGGCATCGTCTGGTTGGAGGTTTGATGGGTCATAGAGCTGTGTCGTGATGATTACTGGTAGACTATGAAAACCCGAAAAGGCATCAGCTCTGCACGTATTATGCTTCAATGTTGACGAAACCAGCAGTTACCTGGATTGGTATTCCAGCTCAAAGCATAATCCAAGATTGACAAAGAAGGAGCAGAGTTCTTCGGGCCACAGTTCTGGTGCTGGGAATGTTGTCGCATGAATCGATTCAGGCAGTGTCACTGCATCGTAGCTTGTCTCTGCTTTCATTCTTGAAGTCAGGATACTCGCAAAGTGTTGAAACAGGACTCGCATCAATTCCTAAAACGATGTTAGCGAAGATCAGTCAGCAAAAAAAGCATGTAAGCTGTCAATAATGTCGACTTGTTGCTTTTCAACTGACCGTTGCATCTTCCCAAGAACACGGATAATTCTGGATGAAAGAAGCACTCCAAATAATAAATCCCACCGCATCTGAGACTGATACGAAATCAGAAAGATAGAATGCCAGCAAGTGAGTCAGAGGTAAAGTTGCTCCACAGCGAACCTACAATTTGGACATGTTAAGTTTCGAAAGAAGATCGGCTTTGGGAGAACTAACATGGTAAAGAGTCAAATAATTGACGAAGGAAATCGTCTGCTGTTGATATCTCTCCATAAACCAATTACAGCGCTTCAAAACCTCCACGGAGTCAAGAACATGGTCCAGGAGATTTGGCAGAGACTCGGGAAGAACTAGAAAGAAAGTTCATGTAAATTGCAACACATTTTCAAACAACATGATCTGTGCCAATTCCAAAGAATACACTTACGCAATGATTGAGGAGGAGACAAAGATCCTACTGAATCGTTACCACGCGATGATGACCCAGAGGAATCAGCCGAAGTGTCTGGGGGTATGACCTCAAACTCCAACAATAGGTTTGCGATTGCATCGTCTGAAATGGTGGCCGGATGAGACGGATTTCGAGGAGTGCTTCTAGATCTCTTGTAACTTTTGCTGGTGCCATCCTCTTGCCCTTCTTGATCATACAGCAACGTGTGTTTTAATGACGTTGAAGGTGCAACCAGAGTAGATCCTTCAAGCCTTGCTGGTGTTCTGCTTTTGAAAACGATTCCAGTAACACATTTCTGTAAATGTGCTTTAATATTCGTGATGTGGTCTACAGACCAGTTCGTCAGAAACATTGTGTGAGTAATTTTCAGAAACCCCACGTGAAATAATAATAATTACATTTAGGAGTAATGGTTCCGTTTGGGTGCATCCATTGCTGAGCAATGCAAGTCAGTTAGAGGCGTTACGAACATACATCTAACTTGCTAACTTGTTTATACCTTGCCACATCCCTTGCATTCACACGCGACTTCAAAATTTGGTTGGGTTGGCCAATAGATTAATTGTGAATGGTAGGTATCTGAATTCTCTCCATTGCCAATTTTTTCTAGCTTTGAAAGTGGCAATGGTAACGTCTGCTGCATCGTTCTCTACGCCCGACTCGAAGACTCATCGAGTTTTACAAAAAACCGTTTCTTTGCAGTTAGCAAGCGAGTGGGATGCAATTTCGGCTGAACGGTCGTTTGTCAAAACGCAGTGCGAAGTTGATGCAGATTTGAATGTTCTTGAGGATGATGCCAGATCAAGATATTATAGGTCATGCCATAGCCTGTAATTTCTAGCAACGATATGCATGCTGGAGTCTTGCGATCTTGTTTAAGGGCTCATTTCAGAGCAATGGTTCCAATTGCGGCCAAGTTGGGGAAGGTTGTCAACTGGAGTGAATCCTTCAAGTTAAAGCAGCTTCGGCATACAGTAAATGAGCTTTGAGCTTTGATGACAAGAAGATGCAGGAGCGAGTAGTTTATGTAAGGTGGGTCCAACACTGGGGTTTGCCAGGAAAAGACAAAGTCTCCACGGGTGCAGTTACATTCACACGTTCTAGGCACAAAGTGAGACAGAGGGAGAGTGGGACTAGCTGGGGCCACTTGCATTGTAGTCGAATTGGCATTGTACGCATAGTCATCTGATTCTGGTGGCTGCTCTTCTTGTAAACAAGACTTGCACCAACTTGGTTTTTTTCCTTGGTATGCAACTTGCAACAATAGCCCTCGGTCTCCTACTAGCAGTGAATACAGCTTCAGCATTCTCGTTCAATCGTCCTTTCGTCGTCAGCTATTGGGGACAAAACTCGTTAGGGTATGCATGTTGTCTGAGCTTGAAATTTGCATCTTTTCTCTTGACTGACAACTGGACATAGTAACGAGGACTCAATCGACGATTATTGCACTGATAACGGACCAAATTTAATAAATATTGGATTCTTGGATGGTATGTGAAACCCTCTTTCTCGATGTTTTAACTGACATTGTCGCAACTGACGCAAACACCACAGCAAAACCCTCAAACGGGAACTCTGGCGCTAATTTTGCAAATCACTGTGATGGAACATACTGTACGCAATGGAACCGCCCCATACTGACGTGTCAAGGACGAGGCAAACTCGTAATTCTGTCGATTGGAGGAAAAGGCAACACTCTGGCTCTTACAAGTGCTGCTGATGCAGTATCGTTTGCGGATTATGTATGGGAAGCATTCCTGGGTGGAGCATCTAGTTCCGTCATTAGACCATTCGGAAGAGTGATATTAGCTGGTGTTGATCTTCAGCTGGAGAACGTGAATCCACTGTATTGGGATTCGTTCATAAACGAGTTAAGGACAAAATATGCTGAATCTGGAGAAACTTTCTATGTATCTGGTACTCCTCAGTGCGTCTTCCCAGACTCGTCGTTAACGACAGCATTGTCGAATTCGTACTTTGACTTTTTGAACATACAGGCAAGCACCAATTTTACTTTCCTGATTCTTTCCCACTTTAATTGGTTCATCTGAAAGACCCTAACATAAAACTTTCCACACAGTTCTATAACAATGACTGTGGTATCCATAATCATCCATTTATAAATAGCAACGGTGGTGGAGCGTTCAATTACGCTACTTGGGTGAATTGGGCAAAGAATGCATCCGTAAACAAAAGCATCAAGCTGCTGGTTGGAGTCACTTGTAATCCAAACACAGCTAGCGGCTTCGTCCAACCTCAGCAAGGTGCAATTAGAAGAAACCCACAGTCATGATATCCAGGATTAACGACTTTGCACTCTAATAGTTGGAATGGTTGCTCGGGATCTCCAGAACCGGTACCCTGCCACGTTTGGAGGGATAATGTGCTGGGATGCGGAAGGAAGCGCTTCAAACACATACCAAGGGGGCTTCTTCATCGCCAATCTTAAATACCAAATACAGAGCTGAATCAAATATGGATAACTATATGTAATGTTATAATGTCACATCCTCATTAACAAAAATTCATAATTTACTGTCATAGCTTAATATGCCAATGAGGTGGCTGGTTACACCTTAATATAGGATTAGTCAAATAAGAATAAACATTGTCTCAATCTATACTTCTACTTGTGTCTTGCATTTCTGACTCTATTTTAGGGCTTTCGTCTGATGTAGGTGACATAGAGTGATCATCGGTTGAAGGGCTGCGAATGGGACTGGTATCCACTCCCAGACTATTTGTCTCTGGTATCTCTTCAATCGGTAATATACCATCGTGTGTGGGGGAAGACATCTCTACTGGCTCTGGGACTTCCTCCGTTGGTATTGCGGGTAATGGTTTACTGGCTCGAGGCTTCTTTAATTGCATTTCTTTACGTAAACCTACCAAAACATAGAATCAGCATACTGTGCTTGCTCTGACCTAGCCGTCAGTAGCGAACAACAATACAGAAGCTCTGTTCAATCAGCATTTACCTTCAGCAACACGCATCCCCACAGCACTTAACACCTCCTCTGTAAATCCATCCACTATACTCGGCCGACGTTGATAATTCGCGATATTATCAGACGGCGTTTCGGGCTCTACTACTTCAGGGGGCAGCGTTGATGCGAATTCTTCATATATCGTAATGACACGAAACAATCTAGCTAGCGTCAATTGCATTTCTTGCTGATCACCAGATTCAACAAGCTGTTCCTCATCTGTAGCTCGCATCAAGACATCATTTTGAGCGTACAAGTCTCGTAATGCTCTTCTCACGTCTTGCGGTCGTTGACTGGATAGATGGGCGGCCTCACACTTTTCTATAACTATTGCCACTTGTTTTAACCGATCATCCAGCAATTCCCTTGATCAAAAAACGTCAGTAGCGAATTAGAAATGAGGCTCGCTCTTGTTACCTTCGTTGCTCATCAGACAAGAATCCCAGAGAAACTACTTCACCATTACCAATCTGTTGAAACATCTTCCATCTAGTTCTCATCCATTTTGAGAAGTCCTGCTTCCTCTTGGTATTTGCAATCATTCGAGCTCTCTGCACTATTCCAGCAGTATGTGATCTCATCATCTTTTGATCTGAAGCTGTTATGAGTGGTTGCACGATTCGTGGAGCAGTAAGATATCGAGAATCCAATTTCGAGGGGAAGGCTTGTATGACTAGCTTGGCATCTGTGAAGGAAAGGAATGTTATTACACATCAGGGCTGTTCGCAAAAAAAAAAGAATAAACCGTACCAGAATCAATATCTTCAATACTGGGAGCCAGCGCAGCAAACGTTTGAGTAATAGCATAAGTTGGATCAGTCAAGAAGGGTGTAGCTTCCTTTTTGATGCGTAGTTGAGACCGATTCAACTTTGCCTTGATACATTCATCGAAAAACAAGATCTCATGATCTGTTTCAGGTCTCTCAATCCTATCCAAAGTGAATTGAGCAAATGCTTGAGTGTCGACCAACATTGTCATGAACGTCTACAAGAGAAAAAAATAAGCTCTTTATTGTCTGGGTGAAGCTCTCGTTCTAGCGAAAACACACTTTCGTTTCCCGTTCAACAGCAGCCAAAAAATCCTCCTTTTTAAACCACTCTTCCATTGTTAGATCAAGTCCTTGAGTATCTACTAACGATCCACCTGAAATACCACGTGGTAGGGAAGTTGATGCTTTGGTTCCACTCTGTTGTACTGGTGATGCTTCGATTATGTTTTTGACTGAGTCTGGCACCGTCAGACATGACCGATATGATTTCAGCAACGAGGTAAAGACCTTCAAAAATGCATTTCTGACTTTGCGTTCATTGAAAAGGGTTGGGCATGGCCGACACTCGGCGAGACCAAAGCAAGTCATATGACATTTCATATAGCATACTATGAGTAATGGCCAAAAAGGGCTTAATCGTCGATAATAGGTTACGTAATTTCAAATGCTTCACTTACATTCACATTTCAAGGCCTTTCCTGCTTCATCAGTTCTCAAATCAACCTGACAAACCCGACAAAGCATCGCACCATCCTGAGTCACTTCTAAATTCTCTCGAGCCACACTAGGTTTTGCATACTCGCCATCACCATCATCCACAGCAACATCTCTAACCAATTCCGACACATTGACCTCCCAAAAGACGTGTCCCTCTTTACGTTTAGACTGCGGCATGGCTACCGGTCCTACTGGTGTTACGGGACTCTCCCTTTCTGAAGATTGTGATAATCGATGTAGTACTCCTGCTACTCCTCCTCCTTTACCAGGAGAGCCCCAACTTGCGACAGACTGTGTTGATTCTGGTGATCCAACCATTGGTGATACCACATCACCCATGCCGCTAGTCGCAGGAGGTTCTGGTGTCGATGATTGTCGTCGAGAGCTAGCCGACAAGAGGTCTGGGACTGGTCTTGGACCTAGAGGTGACATTCCTGAACTATTTCTACGACGTTCAAACGGTGGCCTTTCTCTATCTGGTGATTTAGGCGATGCTGCTCCTTCAGACATCTGATGCGGCGAATGATGATGATGGTGTTGGCGCTGATGATCATTTGCATTGCTGCTAGAAGGCACGGTAACTTGCAACGAATGTGTTCTATGATGACCAGGACTAAACTTGGCCGTATTCGAAGTAGCTGATAGTAATATAGCATCTGTTGGTAAGTGATCGGCCGTGTTCTGATCTTGATGCGACGAAGCTGAAGACATGGAGTGTGTTGATGCTGAGGTCGAAAGCTCTGGGTGAGCCGGATTTTCTGATGAGGAAGTACTCACAAATGAGTCTTCATTCATCAAGGCCGATGGTGGTCTGCGTTGGAAGAAGGATTTAAAGTATTTACTGGTCGAAGAATCTGCAGATTCCACCGAAGACGTTTCTGGGTCACGGACTATAGAAGACCCTGTCAGAGACGGATTGGATGATGTGGCTTGTGGAGAGGATGGAGATAAGGACTGCGGCATCATGGATGCCAACCAAGACCTACTCGATCCTTCAGACACCTGTCTTCTGTGACCCGTCCCACGCACCAAACCTGGGCGACCAGAGATCTCTGAGCTAAACCTTTGATGGCCTCTTTCAGGGCTGCCGTTTAATATGTCAACGGTTGACGGTGCTTCTACTTCTATGCTGACTTTTGTATCGCTTGACGTAGGAAAGTCTCCAAGAGGAGATGGTCTGCCCGTTTGTCCTGTAGCTGATGATTTACGTTCAGGAGATCCTGATGTTGGAGAACCAGACACTGATACTTCTCGACTAGGTATAAATCCCCATGCAAGAGATCTTCCTGGCGATTGCAGATTACTTAGAGGTTCACGTCCTGGTGCTGGCATTGGTGGCGGTCGTGATGCAGGAGGTATTCCTGGACCGAACGACGATGTTCTAGACATTCCACTACTGGGCGTCGCTTGATCGAACTCCATAGAATCCATCGACTCTTGAGACTCTCCGCGGGCAAGACTACTCATAGATACCGAGGTCGCTAACGATCTCAGTTTACCTAAAATACTTGCTGCTGCAGGTGACGGTGTTGCTGTTGTCATGGTATTCAGAGCACCAGATGATCCCGAGTTTTTACTGTTTAGACTCGAACCCATCTGTAACGGCGTCAAAGCTCTAGCCAGTGTCTTTGGCCCAGGTACTGCTGGCTGTGGCTTTTGATAAGACTCGGTATAGTCATTGATCACTCGTTTGTAAGAGTCAGCAGTATTTGGACATGTTCTTCCATCTGGGAATGCTCGTAGTGATGTATATGGTACACCACGAGGTCTACGAGATGATAAGGACCCAGAGCTTCCACCTAGTGCGACATTGACTGTCAGCAATCCTGTAGCTCCACTATATTTATGCAGTCTCGTCAAGAGCTTCTTTCTTTCGTGAGTTGGAAGCATTGTTGGATAATCTTCCACGGTAACCACATCGTTATCTAAATCAACAATAGCTACATCTGATGGTGGTGCATCTGGTCCAGTTGCATCAAAGTATTCTCGTTGGACACCGACGATATACGGCATTGGTGCCTGCAAATAACTCAACAAGCGAGCAGGCAATATAGGGATGTAGATATGCTGCCAAGCGAAAGGATATACAAGTACTGAAAGTGTCTCAGCAGCTAGAGTCAACATGACCAAATGCGATGATAGCAAGATGATTTTACGTTCAGCCAAAACTAATTCAAAGAGCGACACCACATGAGGTATAGAGAGGGTTCGAAATATCGGATATATAGAAAACTAGTTCTGGAAATGTTAGATCACAGCTGCTTTGACGTAAGCGAGCATACTCTCACGTTTTGGATGACTGAAATCGTATTGGCTGGTGGTCTTGAACAGTACAAGTGGAATCTGCCCACAGATATAGACACTTCGAGCTTTCCTGGAGGCGGCAACGGTATCTCATGTATCAAATTCACCAAATACCTATATGGACCATTGTTAGCACTCGCCATTTGCGACATGTTGGTGCTGAAAATCGATGTTTTTACCGTTCTAAAGGTACTCGTAGTTTTGATACAACATTCTTGTACCGATTCCTAGTAGCATCTTCAGAAATAGTATTTTGATCTCGTAGACAATATACGACTTCAGTCAGCCAGTCCTTTAGTAGATCATGCCATGGCCAATGACTCATGAGTCCTACACATCGTGGCATGTATGCACCATTGGCATCAAACAAGACATTTCTACGTAATGGAGCCAACAAGTCCACGTAAAGAGTGACTTTATCCTCCAGATCGAAAATTGTCTCTTGTACATCTTGATCCTTTTTTGTAGGATCCGACTCTCGAAGAGTTTTCAAAGTCGCAGTGGCTTGATCTAGCTGTTTTTGTATGTGTTTAACGTATTCGACATCGCTTGTAACTATATTCTCGAGCCTCCACGCGGCAACCAGTATTTCCAGCTGACGAGTCAGTTCTGGTGACAATTTCTCGTATAGAGTCAAGCAGACTCCGTACAATCTTGCACCTGTTTCCTGCGTTATAACCTGTTGTGATGGTGGTTAGCTTACGGAGATTGTACCAGAGACGAAACACAAACGTACGAACGAGTGATAGGTTTCTGGAGGTCGAAGACCATTGTCATAGCCAAATCTCAGATCATTTGGGAAGCAAAACATGGGAGTGAAGGCAGGAAACCGTTCTGGATCACTCCAGTCATGCTCTGGATATCTCAAGAGCAGCTCGGCCTGATAGCCAAAATCCAACGGGTGAGGTTTCTTGTCGGGATTCACTAAGTGTAATTTAAACAAGATGGTGGGAGAGAGTTGAAGGACGGAAAACTTAGATGATATACCTGGAGTTCTGGGTGTTTGTGGTGGCATTCCAGAATCATTGTTGGCCAATCGTGCCTAGTAAAGATTGAAGAATGTTTTTGTCAATTTGATGTTGGTACGTTCTACACTCGTTCTGCAGCTGATCTTGATAGCTTCATACCTGTTCTGTAGGAGAAAGCAATTGTAAATGAGAAGGAGTAAGAGTTCCACGCCTTCTAGTACTTGGCGAGTCAGCCTGAAGTGGATTTTTGGTCAGAGAGGGCCTTGCAGATGATGGGGGGGTGTATGAGGCGTTAGTTTTCCTTGATGCCAGATCAGCATCACTAGATATTCCAGCTACATAAAAGTAATCGACCACCCTGGTCGATTTGGTCGCCATGATGTCCTAACTCTTTTGACCAACAACGAACATACTACTTATAGAAGTTGGAAGTTGTGAATAGGGGGGGTTGGGAGACAGAACGCGACAGTACAGGTTGCAGTGAGCGATTTTCGATTTTCTTTATAAAGAGTTAAAGAGTCGCGTAACTGTCATTAAATCAAGTAAATCGTAAATCGCGAAAGTCAGTGAGATTCCTTGACACATGTTTACCTGGCTGTTTCAATGATGCTTGGTGATGTTGACCACTGAAGTGGATGAGGTATTAATTGCTTGATAAGTTGATGCTTTGAAATCACATTATAAACGTCAGCGTCTACTACCTAGATCGCTAGTTCAATCACCAAATCGAGATCTCCAGCAACCAAGCACAATAGTACAGATATCAACATATTGTGAAGAGATCCTCGCGTAATAATAAATTTTATATCCTGGGATACTCTTAACAACGCCGCTTTTGGACGTAGAGTTATCAGCCTCTGTGATGCTCACACCTACATTCACACGTTTGCAGAAAACTCAAGCGACATCGACACGACATTGAACAAGGACAAAGAAAGAGACGGTAGTCACCCCGATATTATCATTATGAATCCAGAATAGTAAGTATACTACAAAAGACTTGCTTGGAGAACGCGTGGAAGACAGAAATATCAGAACAGCCACCCTCATATTGGAAGAGGAGGGAAGAAGAGGCACATATGAAGTGCCACATACCAACTAGACAAGCTCGGCTCTATCTCAAAATGCTCATATTACTAATATGTGCCATCCAACACACTTATGCAATGGCCTGTCTTGATGGGAGCCCTCTCCAAATCACAAAATTTAAAATTGATCGGAAAGATTGCGACAAACTCGCACCAACCTTGGTCTCTTTGCATACAACTACCAAAAACTTACCTATTCAACTCATCCAATTAGCGACTATCTCTTCAAATTACTCTTAATTGGTGACTCGGGTGTTGGAAAGTCATGTCTGTTGCTCAGATTTGCGGTAAGGCCGCGTCTCATTTTAAACCATTTGCTCCTACTACTCCCTCTGTTGTGCACTAATCCATATCTGCTTATTAGGATGACACCTACACTGAGAGCTACATCAGTACCATTGGAGTCGACTTTGTATGTCTAAAACTCAAACTTAAGCACTTGCATGTTAAGCTGATATGCTTTCCCATTGTTATTAGAAAATCCGAACAATCGAATTAGAAGGCAAAACTGTCAAATTGCAAATCGTGCGTATCTTTGACGTCTTGCTGCCTTTGGGTCCGTGGAAAAACTAGACTGAACCTCTTCCTCAATAATAGTGGGATACTGCTGGACAAGAACGTTTCCGAACTATTACCTCATCATACTACCGCGGCGCTCACGGAATCATTGTCGTATATGATGTGACTGATCAAGATACCTACTCAAACGTCAAGCAATGGCTGCAAGAGATTGATAGGTATGCTAACGAAGGTGTCAACAAACTACTGGTCGGAAACAAGTCAGACTTAACGACCAAGAAGGTCGTTGATTACCAAGTGGCCAAGGTATGGCATATACGTAGTGTTGGATGGGTGGAAGTTGAACAGCTGATTGACATGTTTCCTTACAAACTTAGGACTTTTCTGACCAACTTGGTATTCCATTCCTGGAAACATCAGCCAAGAACGCCACCAATGTCGAACAAGCTTTCTTGACCATGGCCAAACAAATCAAGGATCGGTATGTCCCTGTTACAAGTTCAAGATGTGCAAAGTGGGTTAACATTCAATTCTTCATACTCTAGTATGGGTACTACAACAGCAGCATCTCAAGCGAAACCCACAGTCAAGGTCACTGCTGGCCAAAATGTGGCACAACCTCAAAGTGGAGGCTGCTGTTAAATTTCTCTCGTTTGCCCACTTGTTGTGATAAATATATTTGTCCGATCATTTGATAACTAGACTTCACTCTTTCGTTCTCTGAATAAAGTTGCAATTTCTTATAATCGTACGTGATAGTTTCTATTGCAAAAAAGGCGAGGTGTCGTTGCTGGCTCCTTGTTCACAAAGTTTCGCGATTAAACAGTCAAGGCAAACCACAGAACAGCAACCACTTCCTAAGGCTATGGATCTCATACCTTTCATCTTTCACGAGAAGCAAGAGGGCTCTCTATGTGCTCAACATGCTATCAATGCCCTGCTGCAAGGGCCTTACTACACTGCGATAGACCTTGCAGGTGAACATCTTGTGATGCTGTTGAAACCGTTGTTATCTCGTTGGATCTCAACATGGTTTGTATTATAGACCTCGCAAGAGAGCTGGATAGGCTGGAAGCTGAGGTGATTAGTTTGACATTTACACTGTGAAGGTGCAGAACCACACCTTGTCTTGTAGAACAGACTATGGGAAAGAGAATTCTGCTTCTCGTTTGAAGGAGAGGATAAATTGAATTGCTTTGCACTTGCTGTGTTGTTGCTTCACACTCGAACTTGCAATGTCGAGTACACGACAAGTCACGTCGAGCTGAGGGAATGCAAGCCTCATCTTCTTGAAAAATTGAACAGGATTGATGAATCGCGCTAGTTAACTCGACCTAACTATTCATTATCATGACTTATCTCTAGGCAATGGGTGAAGGAGGAACCGATACTGCTGAATATGCTACTTTTATGGCAGCACCATCAAATAACTACGATGACTCTGGTTTCTTCTCGCTCGACTGTATTCGAAAAGCATTGACTGTCTGGGGCTTGGATTTGGATCCAATAACATCGCCAAATTGCTTGCAAATCCGTCAAAATCCTACGGTACTGCCTAAAACTTATTATTGCATCGAAATCAAATTAAATCAAATCTAAAATGCGATTGTTTTGCAGGAAGCAAACGCCTTCATTTGCAATCTCAATGAACACTGGTTTACTCTCAGGAAATTCGGCATATCACCAAAGCGTTGGTATAATCTGAACAGTATATTCTCCTCGCCACAATACGTATCGTCCACATTCTTGTCGTTGCAACTGCAACAGCTCCAGGCTGAAGGGTATTCCATCTTTGTGGTGCAAGGTATTGAAGTGAAAAACATTGACAAGTCCCCCAAAAAACTAAATAAGATTGTTTCAGACCTGGCACAAAAACAATAAAAACTGAATGAAATTAAATCCTATCACTAGGTAAAATCCCACCATCAGAAGCTGACAATATGGCTATGGAAATGCTAGAACCGTCAGCCGCTGATATAGCTGCCGCCTCTGCTGCATCCAGTAAACCAGGACCAGCAACACCCTCATCCACATTCTCTCGGAAACGATCAGTTCCCTTTGACGATGATCAAGATCCAGAATTGATGGCTGCTATTAAAGCTTCCTTAAGTGAGGCTGATGGTACCGATAAAACACTTCAGAATGTGTTGAAGACATCCCGTAGTGATGCTGGTACGCTCGATCTTGCAGTGACGGGTAAAGATGTGTCCGCAGGTGAAGCAAATGATATGGATGATGACGACGAGTTGGCAAAGGCCATTGCCATGTCTCTTGATCGACCTGAAGGACAACAGAAGCCAGCAGAAGGTGTGTATGCACAAAGCTTTTCTAGCTTTTTTCGCACATTGGACTGCTATTCGATCTGATTCGTGTTTTCTCTTTCTCTAGGCAGGAGAATCCCAGTGCTTGAACCTTCTGGTGGTCAAAGTCCCGCGTCTACATCCTCAACACCTGTGGCACCTACTGCAGTACTGACGCCTGAAGAAATGAGGAGGAAGAGGCTTGAACGATTTGGTGCACCAGCTGTAAGTCCAGCAAATCCTTCGCCTTGAAAAAATACGTGGACGTTAGAATGTAGAGTCTGTTTATAGTGACAAACCCATGAAGAAATAAAAAGATTGCATCAGCATGCTTGTAGTATGTTTGCCCTTGCATTTCCTCGCGAAGAGCGTGATCAGAGCGAATCTGTTGTGGTCGCAGTTGTCGTTGTCCTGCACAAGTTTAGACGGAATTTGGCTGCTAAAGCTGTAATGAAAACCATCCCGTAGTGTTCCATTCGTGTCTCTCCTCACAAGTACAAAGACGACAGCTGCAACTCACTGGTCAACACATCCCAGTGCTTGGAGTGTCCAGTGCTTGGAGTGTCCAAGCAGACGTAGATCGGTAATATTGGGCATCATGTCAGCTAGGGCTTTGAATTGTTGTTGTGTGTGAATGCTTTTGCCATCCAAGCCTAAGATGTCAAAGCACCTTACAGTCGATAATTCGTGTGGGACTTTGGCGAGGCGGCGGGCACTGGCGCGTCTGTACGGAGATGGCGTAGATTCCTGCAAGATACTGCGGTATTTGATATATATATACTCAACATTGAGAAGGAAGCAGGTTAGAACTGTGACGGGTGTTGCCAGTTGTGTCAGTTGGGTTACAAGTTCAAGACCGACACCAGCTCATACCAATCCAGGACCTTGATTTCCTCAAATATACTCTGTACACCGTCAAGATTACCACTCTGTTGAGCAGCTTGTCTCGCTCTATGTATACCCAACAATTGGAGCGTTCCAAGTTTAATATATTCTTGTCCTGGGATATGTGGAGGCCAGCAAAGAGGAACTATCCTCCATAAGTACTTGGTAGATGATGGGACATCAGATCTACTCATGCGATTGCTGCCGTGATAAAAAAAACAGCCATGTTCTACTACTAGATCTGTTCCGTCAACCGCGTTGTGAGGTAATGGTGGTAAGGGCACCCAAGTTGGAGACTGGTATGGCCGGTCAGAGACACTTTGAATCGGTGGTTTGGGCATTATTGAGTACAGTGTAAACCATTCATGAAGAATCCTAGGTTGACCTTGCATTTGGATTGTTGGGACTGGTACGAGGCCGAGTCTGATACACAACAAACCATCGATGTGAATTGCACTTTCAAAAGTGCGCGTGTCCGCTCCAACTGCCCGTCCCACATTTCTTTGGTGTGGCGGACGAATGGTGGAGGTGAGTATCCAGCTGTACCAATCAGTAGTCTCTACTGTAAATAATATAAATAGATCTCTCTCTCTTCAATTTCAAGTGCTCTTCATTGCGATTCGTAACGCCTGCGACAATTCACGTCTAACATCGACACGACTCATACTTCATCCCTGCAAACACGAACGAAGACAAGATGTCATACTCATCAGCACGGGCCATGTTCCATTCCATGAGAGGCAAGTATCCATATCTACTATGTCGTAATCGCTTCAATCCTCGCTGCTGATAACAAGCAATCCAAATTCCAGAATATCTCAATCCTCTACTAAAGACATCAAAGTTCAAAGAAACCGGAGTATTGACTCCCGAAGAATTCATCCTAGCCGGCGACTTCCTAGTCTACAAATGTCCAACTTGGACGTGGGTCGCCGGGGAAGAATCAAAACGCCGTGAATATCTGCCTCCAGACAAACAATATCTCATTACTCGTAATGTGCCCTGTCTACGTCGTGTTAAAGCTATAGAATACCGCCCTGAAGACGAGGACCGTGAAGAACTCGTCCACGATGACAATGCCGAAGATGGCGAGGATGATTGGGTTGCCACTCACCATGGGAATTCAATGACGAGAGCTGGTGCTATGGACGCTGAAGGGGACGATGACGTCGACAATGTACCTGCTACTGCTGCCGCCGGGATAGATGGCAACAACACTACCACTTCCACCACATCACCAGACAATGTCAACACCGAGGCCATAGTATCTTCGATGCAAGAGGCGCAGATAACGTCAGAGGACGATCAGCCAAACTATGACGACATACCAGATATGGATGATGGTGATTTGGGTGTAGAAGAGGAACATGATCCTGCTACTTTGACTAGTCACGCAGTCAAGAAAGTGGACTCGACTGGTGCAGAGGCTGAAGATAGTACTGTTGATGGTGGTGACAATGACAAGATATTACGTACTAGGTACTGCTATAGGTCATGTCCTGTGCTGTTTCATTTTTTCTCATCACACTCATTTCCTGTTTCTCAATAACCCATCTAGGACGTACGACATGTCAATCACATACGACAAGTACTACCAAACGCCTCGAGTCTGGCTATTCGGTTACGACGAGCATCGTAGACCATTGACCTCACAACAGATATTCGAAGATATATCACAAGATCATGCTAAAAAGACAGTCACCATTGAAACTCATCCTCATGAAAACATATCAATGGCTTCTGTACATCCTTGTCGACATGCCAATGTCATGAAACGAATCATTGATCATCTAGTAGACGAGGGTAAAGAAAGTGAACTGAGGGTGGATCAGTACTTGCTCTTGTTTTTGAAGTTTATGAGCTCGGTTTTGCCTACAATCGACTATGGTGAGTAGTTTCGCATTTTGTATTAATCCCAACATTGGCTAACAGACATCAACGGCATTCTAGATTACACGACCGAAACTGTTGCGTAAAACACATTATAGAGTTTAGTTGCCAGTTTATGCATACTGTTTATAAATTACAACATCAAATAATGCAAGCGAAGATATGAGGGTATTTTGAGCAAAAATTACAAACATTGTATTCGGGTTTCCTTTACATTGAGCACCAATTCACCATTCCAGATTCTTCAAACACTCTTGCCACTTAAGCTGCAAGTGCTGATTCGACTCAACGACTTTCCGAACCTTGACTCGTTCATACATGATTGGACATTCAACAGACCAACATGGAATATCAGAGTCAAGACTGTTAGCAAACCCACTACAGTCTCGACATATTCTCATTATATCCGTATGTTTAATTTCACTTGCTGATAAACGATGCATGACACTCGCATTGGTTTGAGCTGGTTTGCTACGACATTCTTCACATATTGATCCTGCGAAACGAAGTATCGATCCCAATGAGAAATGAAAGGGCAAAACGAAAAATGTCTTCAATGAAGAAAATGAGCTCTTACCAGCCTTTTTGGTAGCACGATGACAAACTGGACAACTATTTGATGTATAATAGCCATCAATGGTATTGTTCTTCCTGTTGAAATTGGTCGATTCACACACGTAGACAATAGCTCTGTCTACTTTTGGCACTTCTCGAAACCACGCCTTGACATCTATCAAGCATATACACTTCAGAATGAGAAAACACATAATATTTATCCCTTATAAGACGTAATCACCGCCCGACTTTCACTTACCAGCTCCAACTAGGTTGAACAATCGTTCTATAGGTTTGCGTATCTTTTCTTGATACTTGCTCTTGTTCAATTGAAATCCCCTAGATAATCGAATCAAAAACGAGCTCAATGATGCTTGGCATAATAGCAAACAAAAACCTTACAGGTTAGCTGCGGCAAGTTCAGGAGCTACACTCAATGTTGCAATGGCGGTCTTCTTATCCGCTGCGGCTGCCAACACAAATGGCTTTCGTTCAGCGAATTGTGGTTGAGCTCTGGGATCAAGTTGGAGCTCCCGCTTGGCCAATTCAGCACCTGCGGGTAGTGTCTTGGCCCTATCAAAAGCATGCATGATCAGCATCACTCGTCTTGAACCGAATATTGATGTCAAAAAACAGCTGTAGTTGCTGACCTATAACTTCCAAGTCTAACTTCACTGGAAATCAGGAAGTCAATCAACGACACTTTGCCGCTCTCCAATTTCACAATCTGGTTGATGATAAATTCTTTTACGGCTGATAAATCAGCAGTTCGAAACATGATTCTGCATAGACAACAACGATGAGCGTCAATCAATGAAATCAGGTAACCGAGACAAAGGATTCATACTTGAGCGCACGCTCTAAAATCTTGGCCACTGCGGGAAATTGATCACGTCTCACTGTCTCGATTCCTTTTGCATCAAATATAAAATCTTCTTGTTCAGGGTTCTCGAATGAAGCTCCAACATATTTCTTCTTGGCATATAAAAAGCATGGATGATACACCTGGTCACGTAAGAAAGTAGCCAAACGATAATTAGTCGGTGTGATAGGTAAAGTATGTCTTGCGCAAGAGGAAAGCGGGTTGAAACAAAACAAGCTCGAAATTCATTGACATTGATGAAGCATACCTTCTCAAACTTAAGCTTTACGGGATGAGGATTCTCGTCCGTCATGGCAGTAACAATATCCTTTGCAATATCAAATGCTTTGGATCGGAGACAGCCTTCCAGCACCACAAACAACGAGTCAGTATCTCCATATTGGACTTTGGCTCCCCATCTTTGTGGACTACCGTTGATTTTACTGATACATCGTTCAAGAGTATCGCGTCCTGTTTGCACGATGGCATCGGCAATCTCTGCACAAGGCATTCGACCTATTTTTGGAAACATGTTGGTCTATGCTAAAACAACCGCAAAACGAGAGCACAGGTTCAATCAAATACCAGTAGCTGAAGCTCCTGTGTAGCCATAAGTAACATTTGCAATCAGTTTCAGAGCCAACTGTCGAGATTCCAAAGTCTTGAGCAAATCCTGGACCCAAACACGAGTATCAGTCAAAGAGACTTAATACATAAGAATTGTCGTGCTGTTGACGCAAACCTTATTATCCTTGTAAGTTTTCATTGCAGCCTTCACCATGACTCGAGTATCCAAAATCTCTGTCAACATTCTAGCAAGAACACTTTGGCGAATGTGTGCTTTGACAAAGACCAATCCATTCGGTGCAACTGATGGTGAATTGTAAGCACATCCGGTAAGATACCGCTCCGCTAGAGAATGACCGGTGAGAGAGCTTCAAAACATACCAATCAGATGCTCTCGCAAAGCGGCGACTGTTTCTAGAGGCACTTCAAACTTGTCCAAGACACCGAGACGCTCCTTCTTTCCAATACACGGAACACGACCAATACAAGTCGAGTAACTTCCAAAAGCAAATGTTAACAGACAGAATAATTTCCAAGGGATTGGGAACCATTTGTCTCACCAATAATTGTAAGCAATCATAACCGACGGATAAAGCGATTGGAAGTCCAAAACCAATAATGGATCAGGGTAGAAGCCTGATCGTGGCTCCATGACAAGAGGTGTACATTCTAGAGCTCTTTGTTGACGCACCTAAATCATTATGGACATTAGCAAAAATACGAGATGCAAAATGTTTCAATACTCACTTGCTCATAGCTGGGAGAGAGCAAAATCAGATTCTCTGGACGTGTAATGCGACTCATGATTGCTTCAACACGAAATTGTGAGCCACGAGTGAGCACAGAGTAGAATGGCATTCCAAAGATTCTCGCATATTCACTATCATAAGCCAGTTGTCAAACTCGATCATTGTGTAAAAATGGTATGAATTCTACCTTGTCCTTCGTATGAAATCTGTGGCCTCCAGAATCTCAAGTGGGTACTGCACTCGGTTCAGAAAATAGTCAACAGTTCTCCACCTTGTCAGCATTACTGGTAACCTCCCGCCTTTCCACGTAGCAGTTCCTTGCCACCATTGAGTCAACGTTCGAGTTTTAAATACAGGTATACGAGAATGAAGTACATGAAAGACAAGAGTCGGTAGAGAATAGCTCGTGAGGTTGAACTCTCCTCTCATCAGTCTCCACACATTCAAAAACATTCTACCAGAAGCTTCAGCGATGGAATTCTGACGAAAAGCCCATTCAGTCTTCTTTGATGGGTTGCGAGGGGTCGCAGAATCTTTTATCAGTCGAGATAACTGCGGAAGAAGATCGATTTCTGTACCAGCAGAAAACGTTCGTTAGAGAAGCCTGCAGAGAAACTGTGGAAGCGATGAGAGGCATACCAAAAACCGCTGCTCTGTCAGTAACATAACCCCATGATGCATTGTGAATTTCGTGTCCGCTCAATATATCTGGATCAAAGTCTCTGACTAATTTGATCAAACCTTCAATTATGGCTCGTTCGTTATCTACTTGCATAATGTTGCAATCTGATATTGCTGTCTTGTACAGTGGATGTTCGTCCTTGACAGTTATGATACCAACATGATATCTACAACAAAAACTCAAACTAGTGAGAATTCTTTATAATGGTCGATACATTAAGAGATTTCGACGAACCCTTCTTTGTGACCATTCGTTACATATCGGTGGTCATCTTCACTGTACAGACAATAGAAGATAGCGACGATTGGATCTTGTTTCGGATCTGGAAGCAAATCACCTCGACTCGTAGCTGTCAATAAGCAAGAACCTGTAAGTATACGACAAGGTCAACAAAGTCAACAAACTGGTGGTCTATCGTACCAAAGACTTCCAAGGATATCACGCGCAAATATTCTCGTTCTCTCTTGATGCTGTCTGATTTAGAGGTATTGAACTTGAAGCCGTATTTGTTAGCAGGTGTTGGACCATCAATCTATGCAACTCGCAATATCAGAGTAGCGTTCAAATGACAATGGTCAAAGTATGCAAACCTGAGAAGGTGCTCCTCTAGTGGTTGTTGACACTGGATCATCATCTTCTTTCTCCCTCATCAAAGCAGGTAGTGGAGCACCAGAATCGAGGACTAACAAAGCAGTACAGTCGGTACATTGTATATGAATGAATCTTCTCAAAGAATGCTCTCACCTGCATTTTCATGTTCTAAGAGTTGTTCTACTGTGCCATTTGAATGCATGTGAATCCAATTCGCAGCTTCAACATAAGAAGGAGGTGGTTTGGCAGGGCCCCACACATTCCTGAATTCTCGAAGCGTACCACCACCTACTGCATTTTTATAATACTCTATACGAGAGATTGGAGCCGGAGTCTCATCAAAGCCGATTCGTGGATTAAACTTTGGCAGATCCGAAACTTGATTTGACTTTAGCACTCGACGAGTATTGGCATACTCCAAAGCATGTTGTGGTACATCTTTCGGATTGGAGTAATACGGGATTTGATGTAGCTGTGCTTGTAATCCAAAGGCTTTCATGGTACTGATTGCTTCTTCGGCAGTCGGTGCTTCATTAAGACGGTAGACACCATGACGTGAAGGAGAGGTTACGGAAGGAGGAGAGTGATAAAATGACCATTTTTGTTCAGGAGCCGGCTTCGTGGGTGACCATAGTTGATCAATAGACGTCGAGTTAAAAATGGTTGGAGCTGGAGGTCTCGAGTCGAAGATGGTTCGAGCAATAAGCGCTGAACTGAGGACCGCCGGTGCAGGTGGTTGATCCTGAAAACGCACTCGTTTCTGCCCGAAAAATATCACTGTAAATCTACAAGAAGTTCTCAACCCGGAAAAACAAGTAGTGTGTCAGGCACTTACACGTGGTTGATCAGAATCCTCATGTCGCCTCTTCTTCGTAGAAAGAGTTCTTGCAATCTCTTCATCGTCGTCATTGGCACCATCGTACTGTGGGATTCTATTACTAGCAGATGGCGAGGTCATTTCCTCGTCATCTTCTTCTACAATGTCGTCCGTGGCCTCTAGATTATCATTGTATCTTTCGCTATGGTCGACGACTTCTTCCTCTTCTTCAAAATCCTCAACGATTTCGTCTTCACGGTCGAGTATTGGTGGAGGAACGACTTGAGGTCTTCTCACCGGAGAACTTAATGAAGTTTTCTGACCAAACACAGGCCCATCAATTGGTATAGACCTGGGTGGCGATGTAAACTTTGATGTATCGAGGCGTGTTTTAAATGGAGAAGTACTACTCAGCGGAAATCGAAGTCCTGTCGCGTTTTGACGACTTATCGGTGGTGGCTTGACACCCTCGGGGGATTTAGCTGCAGATATTCCACCATCATCATCATCATGAGACTTCTCACCTTCGTCCTCTTCAACATCACTAGTGCCAGTTTGGTCAGCATCACTCTCATGCATAACCTCTTCATTATTAATTTCTTCTACTGCTGAAGAGTAATCTGCTTCACTCGACAGTTCTTGATCGTCGTCAGATTCGGAGAGGACATCTGGAGCATTGTCCAATATTTCTTCTTCCTCCTCGTCTTCGTCCAGCCTCGAATCGACAACCTCGTCGTCATCAGGTTGTACTTCAGACTCTTCCAAATTGCGCAACGATTCAAGGATACTGGCCATTTCGGCTTGTGACGATGATCCTATTTCTCCTTTGGGAGTTTGTTGTGAGGCTGCTTTTGAAGTGACTTGCGATTTACGATCCTATAAAAGCAAAAGATCAGGTCAGCACTGTAGCGGAAAGTAGGAAATGAGCAATAACGTACTCTCGATGCTAAAAGCTCATCTACTACACTGGTGTCAACTACATGCTGGGTCACATTCACGCGAATTGAGTTTGAGGATACAGCTTTGGAGTCGTAGAGTGCCGAGACACTCATAAACAAGGTCTTGATTCCATCCTTCTCATTAAATACAGGGAAATTACGGTCAGGTTGTACACTGCGTTCTTCGAGTAACCTATCTAGTTTAGCTAAATCTCCATCCATTCTCTTCTTCCACGGTATTTGAGGATCTCTAGCACCTTTCTGGCTTGCTGGCGTTTGTATTTGAGTTTGCAGTCCAGCTGCATGCCGTCGTCGCATCTCATCCTACGAAAGGTGTTCGTTGTTAGAATTCCCTTTCGTTGAGAGGCTCTTGTGCCTGCACTCCACCTACTTCCCACAACACACCCAAAGACGGGACAAGTTGTGTAATAAGAGGAGTGCTTCCATTTTGCAAGTCTACTAGAGCTTGAGTTGGACGTTCCTGTAGAGTAGCTCGATTCAATATGTCCATAGGCCAGGCATCGACTTCCAGCTCACAAAAAGTCAGCTTTGGGACGTCTGCGCTTGTCGGCCATACAAGTTTTCGTTCGGTTGTGGCGTTTGTATAAAAGATATTGGGCAATAGCGGGTTTGGAGACGACGGGGCACTAGCTGGATGTGTATCAACTAACAACGAATATTGTCAGATGAGGAGCCAACTCTGTGCAGTCACGGGAGCTTACCATCAGGAAGAGGTTCACGAAACCGCGCATCAGATAACAACAAAAAAACGTTTCCAAACAGATTGTAATCGATAAAAAGCTGTTGGATAAATCGAATATGTGCCTCGTAAACTAGAAACTTTTCGTTCATGACAGCACCCTTCTCTAAAATCTCGACCATGGGCGTGACAAGCCCCGGGTTGACGACATAGATCTTGAGAAAGTAGGAGTAGCCACTGTGAAATCCATAAAATGGAATTGCCTTCACTGGTACAATAGCTCTAACATGCGTTTGTGGGCGTGGTGATTGTTGAAGGGCATTCATACAGACATTTATGGAGTGACCCAGCTGAGTTTTGAATGCTTCTACTGGTGTTTTTGGGGAAACCATTGTAAGTCACTGACGTCTCGAACGATCAAAGTCCGTCCTTCTTACACTCATCGATCGGGTGCGAGTAATTTACTAGCAGGTATGGATACAGCTATAAACGTGAATTTAGCGTTAGGCTTTCGCTCCACAGTTCGTTGCTCAAACTTTCGCTCAAACACCGAACGCAAAAGCTTCTACCAAATGTCACTTTCTGATGTATGGACCAAGATCAAATCCAAGACTTACGCGATGAAGAAATACACAAGCTTTCTGGCCGAGTGGAGTACTGCCATACAACCTTACAATAGGAGCTCTTGTGATTCTACCAAATTCACCGTCCTCTTCATCTACTCCAGGCCTCACGGGTGCTTGAAAGTAGTCGCAGCTGATGATCCGAAGTGCAAAGACAGCATCCTTCTTGGCGGCTGGCATGCCTGTCTATCTGTTTCCTTCCATACGCAACATAATCAACGCATGATATTTTGGACGTTTAGAGGCACTGTCGAGGAGTTTGAAAACTGTGTGTACAAATGCTATTTTGTTTCTGTCTATTTATTTGTTTATGCCTATTCCAATGCCAACTTGTTGTACCAGTTTCGGTTGGGGAAAACCAAGATGATTTTGGCGAATCTACATGAATTGTTCCATTGTCAGACCAATTCCTTTCAGAATACAATCCACTTCAATAGTGAACATGCCATGATCAGTGATTTCTTCAGGTTCCAGCTCACCCCAGATATTTGGAGGTTCTTCCATAAATGTCGTGCACCACGATCGTCCAACATTAGGAGAACATGAAATGCTAATTTACTCCCATCTGTTTATTCTTTTATTCCTATTCCACTGCCAACTTGCTGTTTAATCGTCGACAACCCATATGACAATGTCCATTTCAACTTTGTCGTTAAATCAAACATATCATAACCATTGAAAAGTGAATCCTCGTGAATTCCTCAATGCTTTGCTGTCCTGGTCGGATGGAGTCTTTTCTAATTCGCTATGCCAGACCAGCTCTCTGCTGGAGATGGAATTGGCTTGATGGTGGTAAAGCATTTCGATAATTGAGGAAGGTAGTTTGGCAAATCCATGATGGTAAATAATGCTACAGTGTCACTAGCAATACATATGCGAAATCAGCCTCGTTGTTCAATACTTTGAATCGACCTGCATAACGCCTCAAGGAAATACGTACATTGTATCGTTCTCATAGCAGTCAATCAAGAATGCGACGACATGGTTGATATCAAACTCAGCGGAATCATCAACTTCCGACCATAATCTGACATTAGTGCCTTTTCCTTGCCTCAAGTGCTCGTATGCTACTTCCCATATCTTGGTGAGCATGGGAATCTTTTCATTTACATTCAAAACGACTTGTTGAGCTTGGGTAGACGACCTCGAGTAGCAGCTACAGTCATTTCTTCACCAAATACATTTTTGAGTGATGGCCAGAGACGACTTTTGGAGCCACCTATCTATTCCGGCGATAGGCGACGATAGTATTGACGGCCAACAACCTCACATATTTGGCAGCATTCCAAGTATGTCGTTTTCGGAACCTAGGTTGCGTTTGATTGCCTTCACCAACACTGACCGCTCGTGTACTTTGGGCAATTTGTGCAACAGACTCTTTATCGGTTTGTGGTGCAGTAGAGTCTCCTCGTACTGGCTTTTGCCAATTTTGTTCTTTGGCTTTTATTTGCTGCGTGTCGAATGGAGGGTCATCAGCTTCACGTTTGGAAGATTTGGGAGCTTGAGTGTAGAATTGGGAGTTCATTCGGTCGTTGTTAAAGTATGGATTACCAGATTGGTTGGACTATATAGCGAAGTCATACCCATTGCTGCCCAGGCATCAGCAGCTTGTCTAGACTTTGGTTTGTTCGCTTTATCGTTGTAGAATGGTCACCAATCTTTGGCCTAGAAGGACAATTGAGGTTAGAAAACTATTATCGTAAAATCTAAAAGGCTATAGAAAATATTCATATCCACTGTCTCCGGGTCTCCTGTTGCCAATGATTCTTCCAAGACGACAAAAAAGTCATTCTTACGGCATACAGTGTTTTGACCAAGTCTAATAGCCTTTGAGAGCCGCAGAGTCCCAGAGGAAACGAAATGAACTTACTTTCCAGCAGCCACAGCTCGTCCTTTGTCACCACTAGCAATTGTCTGTATCGCTGCCAAACTTTTGATGAAAGAACGAAGAAAAATCAATGTGACCAAAGCACGGTCAGTAAAACGCCACGCTCTCAATTAAAGTGAGGGATGAAGGAAAACCTATACATTGAAAGACACTGACTATCTTTATTTATGTACATTGATTGCCGGCAGTCTTGCAAAATTCAAAAACTTGTTTTGTGCCTTCGCCAGTCAACGCCTTACAGCACCAGAACCCAGGTATACGAGGTTGGACCGATCTTCAATCAAAGCAGCTTTAATTTTTCACGCAGCGCCTTCCTCGTATTGGCTTGACCGGACGTTGATCGCATTCTTCAACACAAAATAAACAATCAGACACATAAGACTTCTGCAAAGTTATATATTCGACATATGCTTTACAAATAGTATTGCGGTAGTGATTCTACTCTAGTCTTGGCCACTCTTCCGAGATGCTATTTCATATAGTACGTCCTCCTATGGCCTAGCACCATTTCATTTCCTTGCTATCTATCATTGCTGTACTGCGAGCACTCAATATGATTCCCGCTGGCTCCTACGCCGACACACATGACTATTTGATATTTGGCGTTCCTTCTCAGGGCAGCGTCGTCGAGCCTGAAGGCGCCATTCAACATCTTTTGAGCATCACCAAATGGAATAGAACCATTGGGAGGAGGAGGTCCATCACAAAGCCTGCCAGATACGAATTTTGACGGATCAAATAGAAGCAAATTCCTTTTGTCGCTCTTGATCTTTTCTATTCCTACTATAGTGCGAGAGTGGCCTTGATGTTGTAAGAATAGACATGGGAGGTCCTGAGACACCCTGATACCGTTCATTGCTATTGATGGCCTGATACGTATTGGATTCTCCTCGCCCTCAAAGTACCTACGAAACGTGGATTTGTAAGTGTAGTTTATAAAGGTATTCTCAGATACACTGTCTTCAACCACAGAAAAAGCCGCCAAAACCAGCTACCTTTGCACAAAGTCCAATAAAGACGTATGCGAGCCATCAGGATCGGGATTGATGATTTCCAATACGTGGATCTTCACGTTGAAATATTTGAGGAGAGCGGCTGTTTCTGAAGCTCCAATCCATTTCCGTGTATCGACGAGACGATTTTGCAGTTGTCGAGCACCATCCTGATTGTGGATTTGCAAGCTTAGCTGTTCTATGCTTGCAACAATTTTGTTGCGAAAGAAACAACGCACTTACAGGATCGATTCCTTGCTTCCATGCTCTCTCAATATACTGTTGAAGTCGCGGTATGCTCGGTATTTTCAATTCATTTGTTTTTTCGAGCAGCTGCTCTGCCAGATGACTTCCATATTGACTTCCGAGAATACTCGACATCATATTTTGTAGATTGAGATATCCACAGCAACCCCATCTATCACCAGCTGGATAGGGAAAATACGTGGTAGCGGGTAAGCACAAATAAGCACTTGTAGTTGTGTTAGGTGAGGTTCCCTTCGTAGGACCATATTGCGAGATTTTCAACACAGCTTCCAGTCGTGGAATGATGCCGGTTATAGATCTAGGGCAGTCTACAAGAGCATTTCTGACTAGCTCTATGCGAGCAGAGTTTGGAAGAGCTGGCTTATTGCTGGATGAGCCGGCATCTGAGGACTGTTGAGTGACTGCTGGTGTTGTGGAGGACGAATCACCAGCAGCACTTGAAGGCTGCTGTCGACCAAGGCTAGATTCCATCTCGGCCCAAGGCATTTCAAATTCAGGATTTTGGGTCTCTTGAGCAACAAGTTCATTCTCCTCTTCCATAAGCTAAAGGTGAGAGCTTTGTGAGTTGATGTCGACTTGAAGTTCACGTTCCATGCAAAAGTAAACAGCGAGACTTAACTGCCAAAGTATGCTGCATGACATGATCATCAAATGCATCAGATGGAACTTGTAGCATACAGTTTGGACAAGCCCTAATTGTTGGCCTTGCATCTTCAAAGTGCGAATTGACGTGGTTTTCTATAGATTGCAATGGTACAAGCCTACTGCATACAGGACATTCGCTATTATCTTCCATTTTGAGTCTCTTCGCTTGCCTTTCCTCCATCTCGTCGCAAACTGACAAGAGCTTCGTTTGCAACGTTCTATGCCGCAGAGATGCAAGAAAAGCGTGTTATCTGGATATATATAAACGTTGATAGTGTTTAAATCCTTCAGGACGCGTCGCCGGCCTTTCGCTCGGGATAAAGCAAACATCAAACGCTTCTTCAAAATTTCGGAGATTGCAAACAATCCTTCTTGACGAAACAATCCAAAGCGGCATCTACTAAGAGCGGAATCTATATTCTTGTCAGTCGAAAGCCATGGCACAGAGACCAAAGAGCTCGTCCAATTCCCTATTGGATGATGCATTCGGTGGAGCGAGTGCGCAAGCAAGAACAGGTACGATGCCCATCTAAACTGCATCATCTGAACAGTCTGAACAAAGCCTTTGAGCCCAGTCTCCAATTCTTGACCTGGTCTCTTGACCATTTCTCTGTTAATCGCCCTACTTGCCTCGTCTTTACAAAATCATTCAATTTTTGATATTGACTTGCCGCATCGTTTTGCCAGATGCCCTGCCATTTCCTATGACTGTGGAGGAACAGACTGCGTACGAAAAGCTATTTAGAATCGCGGACGCTGAAAACAAGAATGTCATTACACCGCAAACAGCTTACGAATTCCTATCCAAATCAAAACTCCCACAAACTACCCTATCTGAGGTATACGATTACTCAGGGTCTACTCCGTGTCTCATCGTTGCTAACTGTACGTGTGTCTCGCGTCTCTTAGATATGGACTGCCGCTGATTCTGAAAAACGTGGCTTCTTGACGAGAACAGGCTTCTTCAAGGCCCTAAAGTATATTGCTTTGGCTCAAACGGGAAGGCCCGTCAGCTCTGGTTTGAATGGAGGTAATGAAACAGAATAATTGGGACTCACAAGTTATCGCTCGTCTCTAAACGTATCATTCACGAATCGTAGCAACTCCGTTACCGGCACTTGAAGGAATCACAGGGCCAGTAGCTAGTCATAGAACCGGAGATAAAGCTGCCGCCAATGCATCATTCGAGTTGACTGATAGTGAAAAGGATAGGTTTCAGACTGCATTCCTTTCTTGCAAACCAGCGAATGGAACGGTATCTGGTGAAGCTGCAAGAGACGTCTTTCTCAAATCAGGTCTACCAACGGACCCTCTGTCCAAGATTTGGTATGATCGCGGGATGCTTGCCGGGTTTCGTTTGCACTAGGTCAAGCATGCTAAATAAATCGATCAACTAGGACTTTGGTGGACACGTCAGGCAGCGGCAGATTAAATCAAAATCAATTCATGGTGGCCATGTACCTCATCTCAAAGCTGAGATCAGGTGCATTGTCCCAAGTACCACCATCAGTTCCGCAAGCACTTTGGAATATTGTTGCGTTGGCAGTATCTCCTCCCGCTTCGCCCATGCCTACTTTGGCCAGAACACCACCATCTACACCAGGCCCAGCAAATGGAATGCCTCGCCCCTCACAAACACCACAAGCCATGACTCCACAGTCTGCTGCTGGTGATTCATGGGCTGTCCCAATGGCTGATCGAACATCATATACTGCATACTTTGAGAAACTAGATGTTGGTAATCGAGGTTATTTGACTGGTGAAGATGCCTACCAATTCTTTGTCAAGTCAAAATTGCAGGAAGTTGATTTGCATCGAGTTTGGTAAGGACTGCAAAAAAGTGAAATGTAGCAAATGGATGCCTTCTGAGCAACCCCACATTGATGCTAACATGCGTACATTCAAACAGGGACTTGTCTGATGTTAACAAGGCAGGAAGATTGACAAAGGACGAATTCATTTTAGCCATGTTCTTAATCAATATGAGGATGGCCGGACAAGACCTACCACTGTCGTTACCTTCCAATCTTATACCACCATCTAGCAAATCCATGAGTAATAGAAATCCATCCACCAACTCACTCGGTATCGCCGCAAGTCTGCCATTCCCAACTAGTAATATGGTTAGTCCTGCTCCACGGTCATCAGTCACTCAAGAACGAGATTTACTGTCTCTGGATGTGGATCCCTTCTCTCGTAAGAGTCCTGATCCGGTTTTATACTTTTTTTGTTGCTGATGTATTTAGCCCATTTCTTCTAGCTCGCGCCGCTACAGCATTTCCACCATTGAGCTCGTTGGGTACTACACCGTCGAGTATGGCTCTTCCGACTGTTGGTCTGGGCAATACTGCAGCGGATGTGCAAGCTCGAGAAAAGGAACTCACCATGCAAAAGCAACAATTGGCTGATACCCAAAGTCAATTGTCTACCATGGGCCCTGCTACTGAAGAACTGCGTACCAGACGTACTGCTCTGGATTTAGAATATAATCAAGTAATGGAAACTAAGAGACAGCAAACCGTAAAACTAGCTCAAGCTCGTGCCATGTTTGAGGCTGAAAATGTGAATGTTGGAGAATTGGAGGCTGCTTTGAGTCGAGAGCTACAAATAGCAGAGTTGTCAAGACAGGAACTTGCTGCTGCAGAGGCCAATCGAGAAACACTAAAAACTCAAGCAGAAGGTATAACAGCCGCTCTCAATCAAGCCCGTGCAGATGCTGCTGAAGTCCAACGACGAGTCAAGGACGTAACAGACCAAGCCAACACCATTCGAGCTCAAATCGATGCTCTGAGAAATGAGCGTCAGCAACAAAGCACATATATTACCCAACAACAACAAGTATTATCAGGAACGACAGAAGCCATCGAGTCTCTACGACTGTCATTACAACAAGAGAATCAGCGATTACAGGAAGATCAGAAACGAGCCAATGCTATTGCTACTCAAGTCGTTGCTCAGACTAGTCTTTTAGAGAAGGAGAGAGCCAGTCATAATGTGCAAATGTCTAGTATAGGAAAGGAGAGGTCGGATTTGGCTCAAATCATTGCTGCTGCAGAACATCAAAAAGCAGCTGCTGAAGAAGCGTTGAAGAAATTAGGTGCTGAAAAGTCTGGTGCAGTATCCAAGTCTGCTTCTGTAGCTAGTTTGAGTCCTGTGACTCCTGCTAGTGCACCTGTAGCTAGTAGTGCTCCAGCTGCAAAGTCTGTAGTGAGTCTTGCATCCATGCCCACGTCGCTGTCTTTGTTTTAGAAGGGTTGTAATATCGAGCTCACATGTTGAACTCGTCATAGGTTGAATCCGCATCGTCAGCACCAACTACACCAGCAGTAGCCAAGCCTGTAGAAACAGTAGCTCCAGCGGTCAAGGCAGATGATTCATTGGCGTCATTCGATCAACGTATGTGAAGTTGCACGAGAACGACGCTGAAACTTCATAAATCTTATGACTAAATCCTTTTTTTGCTAGGCTTCCCTGATATTGGGAGCGCACCAGCAGCTGTGACTCCAGCACCTATAAACACTAGTGCCCCAGTTGCTACAAAACAAGCTACCACTGCTCCAGCCGTAAAAGCAGCAACTACACCCGCTGCTACCACAACACCATCTGCAGCGAAAACCACGACATCACCTCCAGCATCCAAACCAACTACACCACCATCAACACCAGCAATAGGAAATGGTACAGCTAAAGTTGCTGCTGCTACCGCCCCTGTTGCTGCCAAAATAGTTGCTCCAACAACCACTACTAGTAGTACTCCTGCTGCAGTTGGAACACCCATAGCTGCAAAATCTACAGAAAAGGATTCATTAGAAGATCTCATGAGCTCAAATCAACCCAAAAAAGTAGCACCAGCCCCACCACCATCTAAAGCAGGTGCTGTGAAGTCACCAGAGTCATCAAAACCTACTTCACCAGTGAGTAGTCTCGCTTGTTTTGAAGAAAAAATTATGCATACGTTATACCACCCTGGGGGGTTTTGTTGGTCTGCATAATGCTGAAACTATAAATTTCATTGTGTGCTAATTATCACGTTTTTACTAGACTGGTTCTGGAACATCTACACCAATTGGAACGTCATTAACAAACATAGCACCTGCAGCAGCCAAAGTAGCCACAACGACGACTCCAGCAGTTGCTCAATCAGCTGCAGTAGCGCCAACAACAGCAGCAGCTGCTGCTGCTCCAGTCGTAGCAGCTACAGCCGCCAAAGTCACGAGTGAACCACCGGTATTCGCTGTAGCTCATTTTTTTTGCGTATTCGTCTAACCTCCATATTTTTCGATGTTAGATGCCACCACAAGCTACAAAACCATCTAAAGGTTAGTGTGGTAACTCTTGCTGCCCACTCCAACACCACAATAACTTTTTCTCAATGATAGCACCTGGAGCCTCGACCGATCCAACAACAGTCACATCACCAGTAGTAGCCGCAGCTCCTTTTGAAGCCAACTTTGATGAAGCCTTCAAAAATCCAACCCCTGTAGACACCTTTGGTGCTCCTTCGCCCGCTCTCACTGCCAGCACCACTACAGCAGCAAAGAAGGCAGTGAATGTCGACATTGATAAAGAATTATCAGGATTACAAGGTGCTACTGTAGTAGATAAAGGAGATGTATTTGCAGATGATTTGAAAGCAAATGATGCCTTTACCTTTGATCCATCATTCAAATCTACGGGTGGTGATGATCCATTTGCTGCATTTGATTCCAAGTCGAATGGGAAGGGAGGAGCAGGAGACTTTGGATTTGAAGATGCATTCGCTATGGTTAAGGGACATGCTGGTGCTGGTGGTTCTCCTACTGATGATGTTGAGCAAATGAAGACGTTGTTGGATATGGGTTATACGAGAGGTGAAGTTTCCTCTATCTTTGATTCCTTGAACTTCCTTTTTCCTTCCTTTGATCAAGGCAATGCTGATATCTCTCTCTGTATTATTTCTTTTTTAGAGCAAGCTGTTGGTGCATTAGACAAGTCAGACTACCAGCTCGATAAAGCTTTAGAATTGTTAATGAAGTGAAGGGACAAGCATAAATTAGCTTAGTAAAATGCCGTCACAAATGTAATTTGGTTTTTTTTCTAATCGATTTCTTTTCCATGATACCAATCGAATCGTGAACTAGATCTTATGTCTTTTGTGGATGTTTTGTGGTTTTATTAGCTTTGGCAAAATCTACAGTGATGCTCAAGAAACTTGTTGTTTTCTTCTAATACTACTACTATTTGGTAAACTAGTTACTTTCGTACTGCTATATCCACAGCGGATGGTTGTTGAAATTCAAACTTGGACTCTGATCCTCGTAACTTGCAGTAGACACTACACCATACCATCCCTCAGACAACCATTGCGTTATCGGTTTCCGTATCGGCACTTCAACTTTTGACTCTACTACTACTTGTTCAACTGTACTCGGTATAACTTGTGACTGTGGTATCATCCCAACCCACTCAGCAGCAAAAGGCAACAAATCAGACCCCGACTGTTGCGTGTTTATAATACTAGCATCCCAACTAACTCGTTTCGGCGTCATTTTCTTCTTACAACATCGTGTTGTCGCCAGTCCATTCCCACAGACATGACTTGACTGGTATTCTCTGACCTCGGCAGCATGCACACGTTTCAGTATGGATATCTGCGCGGTTGATAACGTAACGAGACTTGTTTCTGGTGACGCCATGGACTCACATTCGGGGATAGAGTCGAGCAGGATGGAGTGGTGTTCGCATTTTGAGGGGGTTGAGCAGCATGCGACTGCTAGTTGTAGTAATGAGAGCGTGATATTTATAGCTGGAGTTGTTATAGTTGGTTTTGATGGTGGAAACACGTCGTGCGAAGATGCTGTTGTGGTTGCGTCTCGGAGAGCAGCGATTTGTTTGATGGTGAGCGTGACGGTCGTGTCGGAGGACATGGAGAAGGATTCTGTAGATTTGTAGCGCCCGCATAGGACTGCGAGTTGGGTGAGTGATAGTGTTACAAGCGTGTCGGATTCTTGTATTTGATGTTTGTTGGTTTGTGATGTCGGTGTAATAGGTGGTGCTGGTGATGAAGAGTGGCCATTCTGAGATGATATTCCTGTTCCCATATTTGACGCGTAAGGACCTCTGTTGCGTTCTTGTAGTTTGGTCTTTCAAACTCTAAAAGTCAATTGTAAAATGTTGGCAAGTTTTCGTACATTGCGAGATTTCATCCAATCCAATCCCAATCGAGATGTATTTCCGAATAGGGCAATCTTCGGAATCTTTTTCACTGTCTCTCATCCTTGCAAGACTTCAGTATTATGCTGCATCCTCTCAAAATCGATACGTCGTGACAAAAATTACGCAAACAGCAACGACCACCCAAACGGAAATAAGACAAAAAGTCAGAGCACTCAGATCAAAGTCAAATAAATGGTATTTGTCAGATAGATGTTTATTCAGTTTATACAAAACATTAATATCTTGTTTTGCTTGTTTGTGTTAATATGAGTCCTTACGGCAGTGGTCACTTACGACAACCGTTACTGTTTCTCCATGTTGATGGGCCATTACAATTATGTTTTAAAAGAGATGATTATAACCCCTGCTGCTGCTGCTTTTTTCTTCTTTCAAGCCTATACTATTAACCTACTACCATTTCTCGACTCGGCAAAGCTTAAATGCCCTGAAGCATTATCGTCCAAGTCTTCAAAGTAACCCTCATCGCCCTTAGACGATGTAGATTTCACTTCATCATCAGCAGCAGATACCAGAGTCTCATTCGAGTACATCCTTGGTGATATGATGTCGCTTTGCGGTGATGTTGGGGTGGTTGGTGTGTGGATGGCAGCAGCGGCAGCAGCAGATATGGCTACTTCGGATAATGGTACAAGGGCAGTCGGCACTCGGTTGAGAGTTGGTTTGGCAGCTACTTTGTAGTCTAGACGGTCGGTGAAGAGCTGTGATATTTGGGCATGGAATTGTGGGCAGAGGTAAAAGGCGAATCCTGATACAGGTACTCCAAGCCAGTCAAAGAGAGAGCTGGGATATTGTCGTAGTGAGCACAGGGACGGTCGCATTCCCAAGGGTTGTACTCGGACGGTCTTACTATCGGTGCTAGGAGTGTGATTTATGTTATAGCCTCGTACGGCATTTCCATTAAGAGCAGCTTCTCTTAGCTGTTGAGCTTGCAGTGCCCATCTCTCAAACCCAACCCATGCATGGTACTTCTCGTAATACCAGATCATAGCAATATTTGGAATGAGACATGAGAGTCGAATCCAAAAGCCGATCATAAGCGAGGTCTCTACATATGGGTGTAGTGGTGCCGAGGTTATAGACGACCATAAGAAAGCACTTTTATCTTCCCACCACGGTATTGGGTTTTGGCCTGGAATGAGGAGCTGACTAACTATAATCATAAAGACTAGATGTCCAATAAATAAATGGGCCTCGCCCAATCGATGGAATAGTGTAGCAACAGTCATTAATTGTTTTTGTAAACCGATACTGGTTTGGTCGCCATCCTTGTCACCGATTTTGTCAACACCAACATTCTTGAGGTGCAACAATTGTAAATCACTTTCTGGCGCAACCATGACATGCAAGATGCGTCTCAGACTGTATCCGGTATCGAGTGATCCCCATAAGTGTCGTTTGCCCTGAGTATATCGTGCCTGCATATAGCTGACAAAGCCCGAGAGTCCAGTACCAACTCCTTCAATATTACATTGGGAAGCGGGCGAGAAGATTGACTTTACGATTAATTGTCCTGATGTGCAGAAGAATGACTTTAAGTACATGTGCATGTCTTCTCCTATGGCTTCTGGACCAGCATCCCAGAAGTTGACCGATATGCACAAGTCCATGGATATTGAGTACGCTGAGCATGGGATCTTTATCGGCGATCCTGGATATAGGTTGGACATTACACCAATCGACCACATAATGTCGGTGATTCTGACAAAGACGGGTACGTCCTTGGCATTTCTAAGATCAGAAGTAGTTTTAGCAATAGATTCGAAGCTGCTGGTATCGCTCAAAAAAAGGTAGCAGAACACGCAATACATACCGATCGAAGATGGTCGATGGAGCAAACATCATGATTCTTCGTTGTTCCGGTGAGGCCACACAATAATGGTATGTAATGGATGCAAAGTAGTCTTCTGAGAAGCAAGTATCAGCTATTTGGAGGCAAAGGGTTAGCAAATGTTGTGTTGTGTCACGATGTTGTTGCACCCAAAAAAAAAGCTAAAAATCGCGAAAGCCAACTTAGCAGAATACACTTTCAGTAACTTACCATCCATGACAGTAAGCAACTCATGTTCATGTCGACTAGAGACCTTGGCCATCTGACTAGAAGCCCAAGCGACATTACTAGATTTGCCGCGGATTTCACCCTCCAAACCAACTGGATGTATAGTATGCACAATCTCATAAAAGAAGTCACCATACAGCTTCTTTAACGTATGAGCCTTTTGTCGAGAATTATGCTCTGACTCCTCCATTGCCAAACAAATCTTGTATTGGGTCAAGGCACGAGTATGGGATGCGAGGACATCCAGAGTCTCACACAAGGTTTCCATTTCTTCCTTGTAGTTTGGCAGGATTATTACATGTACTATCGTATCATAGGGCAGATCGTGTCTAGTGTCCATTCCATCTACAGTTCCAGTTTCGTCACAATACTTTTTCAGCCAGTCCGTGCAAGAGTGCTCTCTGGCATGCTTATTTCCAATGTAGACACCATATGCAGTGCGTATGTTGTTTAACAAAAAGTTAAAGTTTAGGCCGACAAAGTATATGCAATATAGAATTGGCGTGTAAGCAGGTCCGAAAATGGCAAATATGACTAATGAGATTAAGATAACACCGGGAACTCTTTGGAATATGTCCCTCCAAGGCATGCCCATAATATATTGCTGGATTGGCGAGAGTTGAGTACGTCGAAATGGCATTGTCCGATACGACGAGTTGGATGAGGGAGCCATGATGTGTTTTTGTCAAGGACTGTGCTGGTGATTACAATAATAGATAGGGATGAGGAGCAACGATAGAGGTTGAATGAAGAGCAGGATTCGAAGACTCGAGTGTTGGGTTTTTGTTTTTCGGTTTTCTTTACAGTCTTTGGTTGGAAGAAGCGGTGTAAGTTGAGATGCGATAGTTTTCCCAGAGCAATAAGGGGAGTGGGGGAAACACAAGGACATACTCACATCATATATGAGTATTCAGATCCGTTTGGTATTCTGCTATATGTTGTTCCTTGTGGATCCAAATAACACGCCAAAAAACCAATGATGAATGGTTATCTCTACACTCTGAGTTCTAAATGGGATGAAGTGATGGGGATGAGCGATGAGATATGGGCCATCAGATGGCAATCAGCCGTTTCCTCTATGCGTATGCTGTGCGTTTGACGGTTTCTTTTGCGAGGAGGGCAAATTGTTGAATGTGACTATTGTCGCCACCATTTGCCAAGTGTTTGAAAAAGGCACTATAGACTGACCTTCTGCAAGCTCTCACAAGGAGGGTATCTTCTACAGTCAAGTCTTACTCTACAGCGCGGGCCCTACTACCTCCACTTCTAACTAAATCCCTACGAGCGACGTAAAAACCAAAAGTGTGAAATTTGGATGTTTCTGGCGGGTCGAGAGCCACCCAAACAACTGTGCTTTTTGGGTGTCTCTAGCTCACAGACTGCAATCCTACGTGACAATCACTTACTTTGATGCTGCTCAGGTCCTCCTCAATCACTTCAAATCTCCGGCTATAAGCTAATTTCCACACTTGCTTTCTTGCAATGATAAAGCGAGCTCAAGGCTTTGCAACAAGGGACTACTCTTCACGATGTCCCACCAATTGGACGTAGAAGGCCTCGTGATATATCAACTAGGATGGCCTGCGGTCGTGTTTCATACAAGCTAGATATTTCAATCAAGTATGCAACGTGTTTCGTCCTCAGCTACAACCACAAAATTTGTCGCACCCACCCTGGTGGACTAACTTTTAAGCATTTTGGGAACCGATAACACGCTAAGTCCGTGTATACGACGCAATAATCACGTCGAGTCACTGCATGAAACGGTTAGATCCCCGTCTTCTTGCAGAGAACGTAAAGTCTAATATGTGTATTGCATGTTATACTAGAAATATGATTTTTGATGTATTAAGAGGTCGTATTGAAAGCGAGACAGATGTGATGATGTGATTGTTTCTGTTCGTGCGATTATTACTTGGGGCAAGTTGCGTAGTTGGTTCAGGAAGCACAACAAGGACTGGTGTTTTTCCCCGCGAAATCGTCGCGAGAGAGAGATCCCTGAGACGTAATCTTCGTAGCCCTGCACATGAGCTCTTCCTGCATCGGCGATGCTCCATGGCAATACAAGGGCATCAACCATGCCAAATCTATCCTATGAAGCGTGAGGAAATGAGGTCAAGGCGTCTTTCAAAGTTGCGATCCAAAACATTCCTGTCACTTACGGCGAAAATCTAGAGACCTCCTTCCTTTCCCGGCTTGCCAACACGCCGTTCCCACACAGCACACAGCGACGTGTAGCTTTTTAGCATTGTCGCTCAACCGAATGCCATCTCCAGATCAGTTCAAAACAAACCATGAATGCGTATTTCCACTTTCAAATCCTTGAAATATACTAGTTTCGGCCCCTTGCGAGTCATTGGCGCCATTCGTGTCTTCCATTCACTAAGTTGACAAAAAGAAAGGTGACTTCCGTGGGTCATGTGTGCTTTCTTAGATCAAGTTCAATTGCAACGACGATATGACGATATGCCACAACGCACAGCGTTCACACTAACCACCAGGCTTTGGTTCACAACCACCAGTTGGTGGAAACCAAAATCCTCAACAATAGTAGCAAAAAAACAACAGCATGCTTTAGCATAATTTCGTTTTATTTAGTATGCTTTCCGTTGCTACATATAGTATAGGCAATAGGGCTGTGATTGCTTCAGCTCTCGCAATCATCATTTGGGCGAAGTTGGAGAGGTTGGTGAAGCTGGGGTAGGTAGAGCAAAAACAACAGGTGTTTCTCCAGGCGAGATTGCCGATAAAGACATGCCTGGGAGGTAGTCTTGCATATGGGCTCGTTCTGCTTCCGTGATGAGCCAGGAAGTCAATACAATAAGATCAATCATTCCAAATCCGTCCTATAACCGTGAGGACATTTAGCTAAATAATTGACCATATTTTCTCTCTCGAAGTTTCTCTCCGAAGCACACGTCTTCCACTTACGGGAAGGATCTCCAGACGTCCTTCCTTTCCAGACTTGGTAACACCACGTTCCCATACAGCAAGGTATGCCTTTTTAGCATTATCTCGTAGCCTGAGCACATCTCCAGATCGATTTAACACAAACCACGAATATGTGTTTCCATCTTCAAATCCTTGGAATGTATAGTTTCGTCCCTTGTGAATGGTTGGTGCCATTCGTGTTTCCCTTTCACTAAGTTGGACAAGAGCAAGGTCAGATGCGTTATAAACGTGCTTTCATACCAATCAAGTGGCGATGTGATTTTTTGGTGTTGAAATGTCTCATCGACTTTGGATGTGATTGCCAGATATGAAAATGCGGGTGTTTCAAACATACGTATTGATATCGATGATCTTGAATATATACGCATCGTATCCAGCAGGCTAAAAGACATAAAGTATCAGATGTGAGGTTGAGCGGGTGAGAGCGCTAATTCAATACAATAACAAAGTACAGACCTTGACGACCTTGTAGATACCGTCACCATCATCCGAGCCCCGTTTGAATGTCAGACTCCACACGTTCTCAAACTTGGCGGGATAATTTATCGAATAGCAAAGTTTTCCTTCAATCGTTGCCCACCATGCGACCTTATTAGCCAACCTAAACATCAAATTTAAGGTCAAACACGCAGTCGCACCCCACTTGTATCTCTTTAAAGGGTCTTACCTATATCCAAACAACCTCACAGAATCTTGAACACCACCTTCGATAGATGCAGGAAGCAGTGGTATCTCAGACATGGTTTCGACAGGGATGGTAGCAACAGCTCTTGGTGATTTTGTTGCACCTCGTTCAGGTGTCGTAGCCGGTGATGGGATGTATCCGTTAATGACAGTAGCATTCTCTTTACCCTTGTCTGTTATAGCTACTTCTCCAAAATCTGACGGATCCCATTGTGTTGCCATATCGACCAGTTGTAGTTTGGTTTGTATTTCGAATGGATGTTCTGTTTGTGCTTCTTGATGTCTACGAAGGGATTCTGTTACTATCATTGACGCGTTATCTAAAACGGCGGCTGGGGTAGTCTCTTTAGATTGTATCACAAGTGATGGTACGTCTGTGATTGGCGGTGAAGGCAGTTGAGAGACCTCTTTGGGTTCTTCTACGACTGCCGCTAGGGCAGTCACTGGGACACTCGTTTTCGGCAATTCTGGTTTTACGAGTTCTATAACGGCTGGTATGTCAGGGCTTGGTATGGGTTCTGCGACGGTTTCTTCTATAATTTTTGATACAACCGATGACGGCTTCCTCGTTTCTAATGCCTCTACGAGATCTACTAACGACGAGTCTTTAAGTTCCAATACCTCTACTGGTGCTACAGGCGACGATGTTTCAGCTTCTGGCGTCACTAATGGAGCGACTGTCTCCTTAGATTCTTCGACCACCGGCAAATGACTTGATTCTTCAGATGCTGCTGCTACAGCTGGAGATTTATCGTCGAGGAGACTCACTGATGGAGCAGCCGCTGCTTCCATAGATGGTTCAAGAGATGGCAATCTGCGAGGTCCCTCAGATTCAACCCCCATCGGTAACGACTTTAATTCTTCAGCGACCACTAATGGAGCAGCAGGCGATGATTCGGCATATGCTACAGTAACTGATGGAGTGACAGCTGGCAACTCATTAGATGCCGTGAGGACTGGCGCATCAGTAGGCTCTATATTCGATACAACGACCGGCGTTGCAGCATCTGTCGGCTTAGCATCCACTACTGGTTCTATTATGGGCAGCGACTCAATTCTAGTTTCGATTACGGATACGTCGTCAACTGGAGAAGTAGGTGCTGTGTGTGCTTTTTTGGAGCCAACCACTAATGGTTCAGCTATCGGGGCCATGATATGTGCATGCTTAGGTGCTGGGAATGCAGCAAATGATGTTACGGTTGGCGAAGGAATCTCTTTTATGGGGCTAGGAGGCTGAGGTGTTTCAACGAGCTGTTCAGCGGGTGCGATTACTGGTGTTGTTGGTTTAACTTTGGCGAGAATAGGTTCCACTATGCTTTCTACGGGTATCATTGACTGCCTGGCACTAGTGTGATTTGCGGTGGAAGCAAATTCAGCAAAAGCAAACTCTGAAAGTCCCGTTGCTGGTGGTGCCTCCACCGTTTCTGATGCACCGAGCGTCTCGGCAGGAGAGGCTTCCATAGTGTGAATTGACTCTATCGGTTCCTGTTTCAGTGCTTCTGCCTTGGGTTTGACCTCAGTCGTTGGTGCTGTTGTTGGCTCTACCTCGTGCACAATTTCCACAATTTCGACGGATCGCTCTAGGAAAGTGCCGGCTTTGGATGAGTCTATATGTCATGCATCCATGAGAACGTTAACATCTACTACCTTGGCTGCTTGTTTCGGGGTTGACTGGCACCATCATATCCTTGGCCACAGGTGTATCACTCCCAACTGTTAAGCTTTCTGGAGACGCAGCGATTACAGGACCAACTTCATCTGCAATAGAAGTGCTCGCGATAGCAGCAACTTGCGTGATGGCTACATCCATCGTTGCTGTCAACAGGTTGTTGCGGGTTGCGATTCGCACGTTTTGCACTTTTTTTCTGTACTGATGTTAATGCATGTGCACATAGAGACGCAAAGAGACAGACATATATGGATGGTTGATGCATTTATTAAGATGGAAAATGTATTATAAACACCTTTTCTACCCAAACTACAACATTTTGACACGAGCAGCAAAGTGATGTTCGGAAACTGTCAGCTCACGGCATTCAGAGAAAGAATGCAATGATTCCTAGTACCGTGTCTATCTTGGGACGTCAACAGAGGCGAACCTAGGTTGCTGGCACGGTTCTATTCATGGGAAATTAGACCGCGAGGCATGTCACTTGCTTTTTGATGGGGAGAAAAAAAAAACACTGGTTCGTTGCTTTAAATAGTCCTCCCAGAACGCGTCCCGCTTTATTTTATAGAGATGACACAGCAGTACCAATGCTTTATGCATGGCCTCATACCCGATAGATCCCTCCATCACGTCCTGGAACGTCTGGTCATCCTCGCTGGCAACTTTTCATGGAATGGTCAACCCAATTTGTATGAACATGAGATTGTATGGCATCCAATCGGTATGCAAAGGGAGTGTAATCATGATTTATTCATGTATATTTCTTACTTTGCTTACTATTTCCACATGTAGATAAGCAACCATCAGACAATCGCAAAAGATCAGATGATTTGGTGATGAGACTTCGAGCTTCGTTTTTTGATGGCACTTCATTCATCAAAGTCAAGAATCGGGCATGGTATATTCATTTGTTTTCATATTGGATTTTTGAAGTACAAGAAAGTTACGTCGAATGAGAGAACGGTCACAAACCGACACTCTTCTTCCAAACATAGGAAGCTAGCTCAACTCAATCGCCCTGAAGCACCATCAACAATGTCAGACCGTCCAAGAACATGGAATCAACGTGGAATCATCGAATCAGATCTAGAGGGTGATGTCTTTGCCTACTTGGACTTGTTGGGTTACCAGTTAAGCTCATAAGTCGCTGTCAAGTCCGTTTTTTCGCCTTCTAAATCACATTCCCTATAGACCAGCATTCGAATTCGTACGCAAAGGCCACCAATTTCCTTGTGACGCGCTCCGTGTCTGTGTATACCAATTGTACAAGATCAAGACTCAACACATGGTGTCCTCTGCTACATTGCTGGATGAGAGTAGCGAGACTCCACCGTGGATTATGGAAGTCACGTCGCCATTGACGAATGCTATGGGGACTGCTACGATGGGGCCTGCTATTGAGAGGTTTGCGACGTTCATGAGAGGGTGAGACCTAAGTGTCTGGGAAATTATTTTTCGTCCTCAGTACGTTTTTTCTGAAGCTTCGCTGTGAACTAGGGTGGTTGATTTGATTGCTGTGGATCATATTGCACTTGATAACAAGATTAAATACTCATAACATTGTACATAAAAGCACACATCTTGTAAATGATTACGTACAGTGCAGCGGTGCATATATTTCTAGTCATAAAGGAAGGAGGAGGAAATTATTCTGATTTACACATGCTGTAATGAGAAAAATAATTGTTGGGAGTGTTTTATTTTGGCACAGCTTTGAGTACATGCATGAGCCAAAGTGCTGATGTCAACAGCGTCAATGATCCTGCTTGATGAGCAGCAGCCAATGGAATAGGGACAAAGTAAATCAAGGTTGTTATACCGAGAGTGACCTATGTTCGAACAGGGAGCGAAGAGCGTTAGTGGAAAGTTTTGAGACTTTCCTGGCGACCTTTTGTTTACCTGGATGCACGCAACACCCATCAGCAAATTGACAGCTACTCTAGCTTGAGGGGGTAATGGTAACGCTCTCGAGTACATCCATAGAGCACTGATGGCGGTGAATGTTGAATATGCCTAACACAAAGAAAATATTGTGAGGTCATCGATATTACTGTCATTTCCAAGAAGGAGCGATGTGGATGTTTTCTTCCATCACACACCAGAATACGATGATCAAACTGCACAGCAGATGGATTTTCAAGTAAATTCCTCCACCATGATTTTTCAGGCATCCACATATCAGAGGGTACGACTCCATTTCCCATTAATGGCCACTCGTTATAAATCAACCCTGCATCTAGTCCAGCTACAAAGGCTCCTGATAAAGCGGTCAAAAAGACTAGTCCAGTTGTTATATGAGCGTATCTTCGGAGTGGTTTTAGCGCTGGGTTTCGTAAAGCTGTCAAGAGGCCCTAATTCATGAAGAGAATATAAACCGAAAAAAATCACGAGAGGGGGCCCTTTAAGTTGCTTTACAATCTCAACGTTCGCACAACTCACCGCTAAAGCCTTAACCTTATTAGCCCTCAGAATCCCCCACCCAGCAGACAACATGATCGAGTAAATCACAAACGCAGATCCCAAATGAGCAGCCAAGAAATATTGACTAACCCTTGGTACAGCACCAGGAGTATGCAATATTTCTTCCTTTAATCCACTACGAACCATATACCACCCTAACACACCCTGGCAACCTATCAGCGTAGCCACTACCAGTGACATCTTTTTGATTCCGGGAGTCATGTATCCCTTTGACGCGAAATACAGTCCTGGGAGTATGAATGCGAGCCCGATTGCACGACCCCACATGCGATGCGCCCATTCCATGTAGAAGATGAATTTGAATTCTTCGAGGGTTATGTGGCGGTTTAATCTATAAAAACGATTGTAAGCGATGACTGTGGGTATACGTCCCTTTTTTTTTGTTGGTGTACTAGAGCAAATGACTCATCCAGCAAAAACACCTTCAGCGAACACTGAATGAATGTTACGTACAACTGATACTCTGGAAACTGCTTGTACTTGTTAAACTCATCCTCCCATTCACTTTGACTTGTAGGTGGTTTCATACCCTTAAACACATTCCATTCCGTAATACTCAATCCAGACTCTGTGAGTCGAGTCAGTCCACCTATAACGACAATTCCAAATACCAGTGTGCCTGAGAATAAATACCAGTAGCCTACTATTGGTTTTGTAGTCGTAATTGTGTCTGATGATCCAGATTCAGCTTCACTTGCTTTAATGTCGGATGTGTTTGATGCTGATGAGAGGGGGATGGATGTACTGGATGATCGTGACGGTATAAGTGGTTGTCGAATCTTGCATTTTAAACTGGCGGTATTAGGTGTAATAGTCCTAAAGGAGGTCCGATATGTTTGCGACGCATCTTTGGTGAGCGAGCTCAAAGCTCTATGAGCCAGGCAAGGAAAGCGAGATCGTGGTGCTGATACATCTACTATCGTTGCTGCTCGAAGGCCTCTACTTAGCAGTATTCTAGGAAACATTGTCTTTGATTCGCGACACAGTGAATCGTGACAAAAGTTGAAGGGTAAAATTACAGGTCGAGCTCGAGCGATTGTTCAGACAAAATGGAAAACTGAAACTCTGTAATCACTCGTTTACTAATAAATTCAAGTAGAATCCTCTGATCAAGGACAACTCGGCAAGGCAATCGATAACAACAGCCAACCGTCTTGAACCGTTATATTACAGACTTCAATCAACTCAGCCGTGAAAGGGAGCATCACGTAATTTAGTGAAAAGTCTCATAATATATGTGATTGTGCTTTTAGAACTTCCTGTTGTTGTTTGGGAACCTCCTTGCGATGTGCAGTGTCAACCCGACAGGATGTTTCATTGAGTTATCGTTTTTTCAGCCCAACTCGTTTGCAAGTTATTCCTTCTCTTCACTTACCCAGTCAGTCAAAAGACTCGGAACGTCGTTCACCTGATTCTTTTCACGCTGAGTTCGTCCGGATTGCGCTTTTGCGGCTTCGACAGCCCCATAGCAAAAACGACAAACCCAACGCAGTGACGACGAATCGTCTACTTTAAAACTTCTTCTCCTTCTCGTTCAATCAAGTCTCTCTTAGTAAAAGTCACCCTTGCAGTCTGAACAGCAATACGACTAGGTGCCAATTCTTCGGTAGTTGGTCCATAGCAGGAATTTAAGTACAGAAATGGAGTGAGATTCTTCAACGGTTTGGACTCTTGAGTTGTAGAGATTTAAAAAGGATATATGTTCAAAACAATCTACACGGTTAAAAATTACAACACTTTTCAAGGATTGTGCTCTACGGAAACGAAAAACAGTTAACAAATAGAAAGACACGATATCAATAGCGTCAACTCAAGCTTACTGAATAGGAACTCGGCCAGATAATCAATAGGATCTTCTGGTCGTACTTTACAAACTTCAATAAGCCCAGTCGTCAGCGTCGGCATCACGTACTTCATTAAATAGTTTCGCAATGGGACTGACTGAGCTTCTAGAACTTCCTGTTCTTGTTTACGGATCTCCTCGAGACGTGTATTCTAATGTAGAATTGAGAGAAATGCGGGATTCAGAATGCGCGTTTTTGCTCAACTTTTGCAGTCACCAAAAAAACGGAAGAGCATTATGTCTAACTTACCCAGTCAGCAACGGACTTGAGATGTCGTTCCCCTTCTTCCTTTTCACGTTGAGATCGTTCTGATTCTTGTTTTGCGACTTCAACAGCCTAAACCAAAAAGCAGTGACCGTCACTCATCAAGAATTAATTATCAGACTATCATCTCCTTCTGTCTTTCATTCTGTCTGTCTTCAATTTCAGTTCCAACTCGAGAAACAACCAACCTTCGCAGTCTCAGCAGCAATACGACGGCGGGCCAATTCTTCAGTAGTGGGTCCATAATTCCTTGGTTTACCAATCCGAGTCAAGATGGGAGTCATGACTGCATCCACTGAATCGGTTTCGGCATTGACTACTAATGGATGAACTTCATGCTCATCGAAAAAGTTCAATACGGTGGTTTCTTCAGTGTTTAGGGCTCGGTATTCAGCCAGTCGACGTGTCAGAGCTGTAGTGCGATGGATATCGAGTCAACAAAAACGCGTTTTCTCGCGCGTTTTGTTGCCAGTATCATACAAGCTAAACATACCTTCTTCAGAGTTTTTGGTACCAGCAGTAGCGCTCTCCGGTAAATTCATGACACGAGTCTTGATAAACTCATCTGATGCTTCCAAAGCAATCACGAACTCTGGCATCATATCTTGCTCGTTTGCAGAATCGTCTCCACCATCTGTTAAAAACAAGGTAAATAATGAGATGGCAAAAAAGGAGAAGGATTTGTTAGGATTCCTGCAACCAGGAGGACATACTCTTAAACAATTGTTGAGCTTCATCAGTCGTAGTAGGAAACCCATCCAAAACAAACCCTTGGTTTCGACACGGTGGAGAAGACAACTTGTCTCGAAGGAAGGATTGCACACGATCTTCAGGATATTTCCCATCATTAGCAGCAGCTGCAGATTTCAGTTCTGCGAGTAATTCCTTGTCTGCTTCGACATCTTCTTCGCTTTCTTCTTCTGTTGCACTAGCACCAGCTCGTCGTTCCTTTTGGGGGAGAGAGATTTGCGTCAGTTGAACAGTAGCAAAAAAGCACTGGGACGTAAAACCCGCATACCAGACGATCAATAGCGGCCTTGACGACCTCATCCACTTCAACATAATGAATTTCATACTGTTCTGCAATCTTCTTGGCATATGAAGTCTTTCCTGCAGCTGGAGGACCATGAACAACCACCTTTAGTGGATGTAGACCACGAGCATCTCGGTATTCATCAACGAGCTGGTGTACATTTTCAACCAATCCAGCCTACAAAGATTGGAGATTTTTTTGTGTTGGGTGTTGTCAGAAATTTGGTTTATGGTACGTAATGGTAAGCAAAAAGGCATAGGATTATTTTGAATTACCTCTGAAACCCATTCAAAGCTCATCTCACGAACACGAGCAGGCTCAAGACGGACATTAGCCAACAGCATATCAAAGTCAGCCTGAGAGACATCTCGTTGCAACAAGGCTTGTTCCTTGGGCACTTTAACTACTTTGCCATTTCCTAATGTATCACTTATAGCCTAGGGTAATAATTGTCAGCAAAATGAACTGGATCATGGAATCATCGCCTTCTCAATGGGCGACTACACACCTTTGTGATATCATAAAGCGTAGACTTAGCATCATCAATAGCCAGAATAAAGTGAATATCAGGTGTAGTTTCCACAACTTCAACCACAATATTACAAAGATCGTCCAAATGAATCGTTGGTAGAATGTTTGTGCCGTCACCATAACATGGAATTTCTGATGCGTTTTGCCATGAGGCCTACAATTGAATCAATTAGTAAGCAAAGACAAGGAGCAAAAATGGCTATCCAATTTGAAATCATCACCTTGAGAATGTAGTGGAATATCGACTCTCCAGCATGATAAACCAAACCAGCACCAACAACATATGCTTTCAGGGATGCCTTTTTTCCATATTTGATGATTGATTTTTCGACAGCGTTATGAGTCTTGAAGTTTGGATGTGATTTACGGCGCCTGTATTCTTCTTCAGTGATGAATGCTTCTGGTTCTTCCTATATTGGCAAAGAAGAGAAGAATATTAGCGTGATGACCGGGTGGTTGGATACCATGGGATTATGAATCAGCTTATGCTGTCGTTTTTGCACGTAACTTACAGGATCACCCTTTGTCTTTGCCCAAGTCATGATTGTGGATACTCCAATAAATATCTTTGGTTTATCAGCGAACGATTCGGCCCTTTCATTCAATACTGCAGTTTGGTAGTAGTTGTAGATTAGTATGAGGTCAAGATGCAAGGCAAAAAATAGGTCATGGAAAACAATACATGACAAAGCGTGTTTGCAGCATACATGCACTCTCTTACATTCAATAGCCCATTCAGCCTCTTCCACATTTTGTAGTAGATCGTATATGATTACATCTGAACTGAGAATCAAGTCCTGTAAGGCTGCCTTATCAGAACTCTACAAGGAAGAAAAAAGTTGGAATAAAGAGATGACAGAATATTACAGAAACGGAATGTCCAGCGTGGCAATCAACAATCCAGCAACAGTGTCTCCTTTCATCACAACACCCCATCAACAATTACCTCTACGACTTGGTTTGCCCATTTTGGCGTACTACCCCTCACAGCAAACTTGTCAATAGCGACCTTCCTGGCGGCATCCTTTTTGCGATCGCCGGTATAGATCATCTGGCCCGGTTGAGTAGGGGGGTTGTCTATAGCATCAGCAGTAGCCAGTGCTGGCATTAATGTACCAACAATCGAGTATGATTCTTTGACAGGTTTGGTATCTTGGGTGGAGGGAGATCCGTCATCATTGTCAGCATTTGCGTTGTCCTGATCGTCACCTCCTTCTCGTTCGCCACCAGAGCCTCTGCTTCCGACGATAGTGTTTGAGAGAAGACGAGAAACATTGTGGCCTAGTGGCGAGTCGAGGTTTGATACAAAGACTCGCATTGTGCGCGGTGAGTGGTAGATCCTTGTGGTGTACTTGCTGATGCAGGCACTATTACACTAGTTCCTTGGTTGTTCGCTGTGATATAAGCTGATGTTTGAATTGTTTGTCATTTGCAGCATACATGAATTGGCAATAGGAGGTCAAGGTAATCACTGGAAAGTGGAATTTGCATTTTGAGACGCGTCATTTCGCGTAAAAGCTTTCGTATAAGATTTGTTTGATACTCTGCTGCCAAAAAAAGGGGGTTGGTAAGAATGATTGTGAAGGATCACAACCTCCAGCAGCCATGACGAGTGGCAGTAGAGGTATAGAGGAGCCTCCATTAAAGAAGCAGAAATTAGAGAATGATGACGCAGATCCAATACAAGAAGAACCAACCAGTTCGCAACAAGCTCTGATCAAGAACGACCAAGAGGAGCATGATGACATAGAGATTCCAGATGATGAAGCCGGCATTCCGTCATCTGATGCACCAAAGAAACTAATGAGACCTGCTCAGTTACATAAGGTACGGAGACCCAATCAAAGGACATTTCTAAGATCAAAGTGACTGACGCTAGTGTCGCTTACCAGGTCATTGACACCGTACTCGACGACGAATCTCACTTATTTATCTCAGAGGAGATTAACGCGTTCAAGTCCTTCCAATTATTATCTAGTAAGCTTGGGTGTGGACGTCGTCTTAATGAACTTATGAGCTGGTCGGAGCCATACAAGACACGAAACTAACTTTTTTTTTCTCCTTTTCTCGTCTTTTTTTCAAAGATGACGCCTCTGAACTCTTCATATCCTTACTAAACCGAAATCTCAAATGGCTACGTGTCGATCGCTTCAAGTACTGGAGAATCATGAGTATTTTGGACGCACTACAAGAACTTGAAAAGGCAAACTTGGTATCTACGGCTGCTCCTGATACTCTTGAAGGCTGGCTTGCATTACTGACTGTTGATGAACTCAAGTCATATTGCAAACAGTTCAAGATTGGTCATTATTCAAAGCTCAATGTAAAGCATGGAGTTGTACCATTCATGGCCTTTTTTTTGTTTCTACTTGCTAACCCTTTTTATCCTTTTGCAGAGAGAGAAGCTGCTGGATGCTGTACTCACCGAGATAAAATCTCAAGATGCTACTAAAAGGTTGTCAACTGGTGCAAATGCATTAGAAGCTAAAATCAAGTCTGACATAGGTGAGCTTGGTATTTTCGTCGAGTATCTGCTTTCTTGGCTGTATGTTTGACAGCATTTTCACTCGTTCGAACTTTCACACAAGGCACCGTCGTCAAAATGGAACCGGCACCACGAGAACTATTCAATCGCCTCTTACGAATCTACAATCGCGACTTTTCATGGTCTGAACGACCAATGACAAACTCAATTATCGCCAACATGAGAAACCCGGTCTTCACCTTCCCTAAATACAACATCAACCGAATAGGAGGACTAGTGTTTCCTACCCGAGAAGAGTACCTGTCATTCGAACGATACATGAAAATTGAATACGAATTGAGTCTTGTCATGGAAGGTCGTGTTGCTGGAGATACAAAGACATTTGAGAGAATGGTTGAGGTTTATGAAGGCTGTACAGATGAATGGGAGGATTGTGTCAAGAATGAGAGGACCCATGTTACTGGTGTTCTGTGGTTGGAGGTTTTTACTGCAGGTGTGAACCAATGAAGCTTATTTTTCTGCTTTTTCTTCACCTGTCTGTCGAAAACTATTTTTTAACCAGGATCTCATATCTTTAAAAATAGGCTGTGTATTAACTAGAATCATGGAACTGGGTGCTTACCTGCTGGGAAGGCTACACTTGTATGATCGTGAAACTGTTCAAATGAACAAGTTATTGGCTCAGAGATATTGGAGACAAGGTTGAATCTATAGTTGTCTTGATGCAATTTTTCCCCTTCAAGCTCAAACCATGTTTTCGCAGGCTCTAGAGGAGCATGGTATGATCGACTGGCACTCATACACGAAAATTATACTAAACCACAAGGAGACCTGCTATGCTGGAAGACTTGTCAAGAAGCACTGAAAGATTCACGGTTACAAACTGGTCATGAACGTGCCATTCGAACACGATGTTTACGTGTATACAAGAGGCTTGTCAAAAATGGGTATCTCATGAATGTTGCGAAACCAAACTTTCCTGGACTGAAATATAAGGAGGCTAATAAAGTTGTGCTGACTGGTAAGACAAAGAAACAAATTTTCACAACAAGACTGTCTGGTCGGCAATTCGAAGCTCATTTCGAATTTTTTAGCACCGCGACTGGTTAGTGAAGTCAACAAAAAGAATGTATGGTTGGGAGAAGATGGACAGCCACTTAGAGTTGAAGAACTGTCACTCGCTCATTATGAGAAGGAAGGATGGAAGGGTCATCATTCGGAAAACTCTGTGTTGACGAGTTTGTTTGGAATGCTGTTTGTTGATATCCTGTTGACTGATGTTCCTGGTGTGTTCGTGTCAGAGTACCAAAGTAAGGTCCCTTTCTTCGACCGGACAGATGGGCTTTTTTTGTCCATGCTTCTTTCAGTGGTTTTCTTGGGGTTTTGCTGGTATATTTCAAACCAACGATTCCGTCTGTTTTAGGTGCGCCACTCGACTTGTCAACTGAGTACTTTTACTCTGCACGGTCATCATTAATTGAACGACGTCTCGAAGAAATCGATTCAGGAGATTTCTTGTCTCTTATAACCTCTGTTGACGATCAATATCGGGCTACGAATACACTTATTGTTGGTGTGAGCTGGAAGAGATGGCCGAAAGAAGATATTCTAGAAGTAGCTGAGGTACTAATATGTCTTGAACTCTTTGATTTTTTTGCCTTCCTTTGTTGTGCCGAAGCTCACAATATCTCTTCTTTTTAACACTCTTTAGTGCATTGGTGGACCAGCATTATCGAAAATATGTCGCTTATTTGCACAATCGTATCGATCGCATTCTGGTGGTGTGCCTGATCTTTGTTTGTGGAAGTACGATGAGAGGAAGGTGAAATTGGTTGAAGTTAAGGGCCTTGGAGATACGTTTAGTGATACCCAACGAGTTGAGTATTCTTTCTACGTTGGACTTTAGGATCATCTTCCCATTCTGCGTGTTTTTTTCTCAACCCCTTGGCATTAATTAGGTATGGCTTCATTACCTGTTAACGTTTGGAGTTGATGCTGAAGAATGTCATGTGAATCCAACAGAAGATACCAAATGAAACCTGGAACACGATTGGGATTGTTCCTGTAGAGCAAAGTGTTCTTACTTTGCTGTCTTCTCCTTTTCCAATCAACTATATCATGCAACTGATCTGCTTGGAACTAGCAATCAGAGCCGCATAGCTAAATAATTGTGGATATGTTAATAAAACACTTATTAATGGATGTCAACATTTCGATTTTCATTTGGTGGTTTTTGAACATGTAACGGAAAGACGTCACTGACGCTCGTTTTGCTTAACAGGAACATGGTCACAGTACTCTTGGACGAATTAAAAACCAATCGTGGCCGTACTATTCATATGCAATGTTTGTGCGTATGCAAGGATCTAGTCGAGAATATTGGGCCACAGTTTCCTGGACTGAAATACAAGGTGACAAGTAAAGTTGTGCTCGCAAAAATACACCTCAACCTGTTGGATAGCTGTCACACATTTGGGTCTTCCTATGTACGCGTTAGTCTACAAAGAGAACCTTGGAGTCGAAGAATTACTGTTCGTGTTATGAGACGGAAGGATGGAAGGATGGCCATCATTCAGAAAACTCTGTCCTTCACGAGTTTGTTTGGAATCTTGTTTGTTGAGATCTTGTTGCTTGCTTTGCATAGTTCTAGTTATTCAATTCTTCACATCTCAACGTCAGTATCTCATCACTCCATTTTCAAACTCATTAGACAACCCACAAGAACTCAAGCTCAAGTAACGATAAGACATGGACAAGACCACTGCAAATGCTGGGCATTGATAAGATATGCTCAACTAGTGAGCTTGGTGTGGTTGTGTCAGAGTGCCAAACTAGGACAAGTTACGGATGCTATATGTATGGTTGATTGTTGTCTCTCCATATCCTTGTCACTTTCTGGTCTTCCAAAATGACCTTCTTTTCTGTTACTTCTAGGTGCGCCTCTGGAATTTTCAACTGAGCACTTTTGACTCTGCACGCTCATCATTGATTGACCGCCGTCTGGAGGAGATCAATCAATGAGATTTCGTTGCCGCATTTGACATTAGTTGATATTCAATATCGATCATGCGCCGTTGTCCCTGTGAATTTGAAGAAGTGGCTGGAAGAGAATGCTCTGACAAGTCGCCGAGGTAACATTCACAATCCACGCTGTCTTTTCTTGTATTTGTTTTGTATTTTTTTTGTATTTAAACTCATGTCACTCTCTCCCTTTGAATACTCTATAATGCATTTAGGTATAAGTAGATCAGTATTTTCGGACACAAGTCGCCCAATTGTTACAAATGGTATTAATCACATTCTGGTGGTGTGCCTGAGCTTTGTTTATGGGAGTTTGATGAACGTGAGGTGGAGTTGGTTGGAAGGTGAGCGTCTTGGCGATCCATGCTGTGATAGCCAAAACGGTGGCTGTACGTTGGAGATTGAACTTCCTGGTTATTGGAATTCGTTTGTCAGAACTTCTCCACTGTCTTTTTTTAGTTTTGCCACTTGTATTCTCCACGTAGGATTTATTACCTGTGGGAATTTCGTATTGATCTTGGAGAATATCATCGTCCGTCAACCCAACAGAAGGTACCAAACCTTGCAATTTTACTTTGTTGTGAAGAGCAACAAGATCTATTTTGCGTTCTTCTCCTTTTAATCAACTACACAAAATGCTAACAACTCATGATATTATACAACGCCAATGAAATCTACTTGGCAGTAGCAGTCAGAGCCTCCTATGTGATTGGAATTACGAGCATGTTAACATATGAATTATGGTATTAATATAATAAATTTGATGCTCAAGACTAACAAGAGAACCAAAAAAAATTGCTGACAGAATGGACTTACATATCCACTGAAATCATAATCAATACCCATCTCTTGCAACTTTTGTCGTTTGGCTTGTTCACGTTCAACCAACGACTTCACTTGTTTGGCATGTTGTTCTGGTGTTTTGGTCTGTAATGAAAATGATGTGTGAGCAGAACTACGTAACGATTCATTTCACGTCTTTGGGAAACGTATAGGGTACATACCCTGTTATGTTTTTGACGATGTAGACGTTGGAAGGGAATAGGTCTGAATGGCTTTTCAGTATTCTTGAATGTGTCTGGATGTACTTCATCTTCAGGCATGAATTTACCTATTAGTGAGTCGAGAAGGAGTAAATGGCATGTCGTGTTGGTTCAATGTGCAAGGATGACAATAGTGCACAGTGAAATCTTTCTTTTGTTGCTAGTTGCTGACAAATATCACCACCCACATTGCAAGAGACAATTCATCATTAAATAGTTGTGCATTGTTTCAGCAACAATTTTAGCAACTTCGGCATCTTCAAATTCAATGAATGCATAGTGTTTTGAGTGACCAGTCTAGACAAAAGAAAAAGCATGTTTAGACGTTTGACAGAAAACCCACGTATAGATTCCAAGAATAGACCAACCTTCTTGTTTCTCGACAACTTGAGTCTAGACACCTTGCCAAACTGAGTGAAATAAGTCTTCATTTCCCGTTCATAGAATCCATGCGGTATTCTTCCCAAGTAGATTACACCCGGAGTACTTTTACCGTTACTATTCTTGATTGATGCAGCCGTGCGTTTACGTTTCTTTGCATTGATTGTATCAGCCAATGCGTTCATGGATGGGTCAAGTAGGATTTCGGATTGGTTTGTAGCGAATTCGTCGGCTTCTTCGGTTGCTATTGTTGGTTCTATTATAGTATCGGTACTATCTGTAGTAGTAGCAGCAGTCTTTGATTTTGATTTGGTTGATTTCGATGACTTTGGTGCAGGCTCTTCGTCTTCTTCGTCGTCATGCCTGGGTGAGTATTGATGCTCGTCCTCGTCATTATCGTCCATTCCTTCAAAAGTGACTTCTACATCATCATCGTCCTCATCGTCGTCATCTTTACCCTGTTTGTCATCCCCTTCTTCCTCTTCATCGTCGTCACCGTCTTCAAAGTCCTCGTCGTCTTCCTCGTCGGTATCGTCAAACATTTCCCGTTCCATTTGTTCCGACATTGCGGTCTGTATGGGGCCTCTAAACATTGCTACGAAAGCACTAGCATTCTTTTCAGCTCGTTTGGCAATGGCCTTTTCAGAAGGAGCAGCATCCTTCTTTGTCTTTTTGATGACTTTGCTGGGTTTTGGAGTAGGGACAGGAGCAGCCTTCTTAGATGATGATGATGGTGGAGTAGTGACAGGAGCGTCCTTTCTGGGTTTGGCGGCTTCCTTCTTGACCCTTGGAGCTATTGTAATTCATGTTTAGATCTTTTTCTTTTGGCTACCACACACACTTCACGATCACGGCTATGGACAATACCTTTCTGGTGCTTTTGGGTCTTTGCTACTTTGGAAGCCTTGACTTTGGGAGCGTCCTTCTTGGCAACCGCCGATTTCTTGTTGGTTTCCTTCATCTTTGCGTATAATGTCGTTGAGTTTGGATGCAAAAAAAAGGAGCTGTCGATAGTCCACAATACGAAATGAGTCGTTGAGCGAATTATGGCGATCCAGTTACGTGTATTTTATTCAAATAATTCAATCCGCAACATAAAGTCACGACAAGTTCGGGCTGGGAGCTGCTCAAGACTGCAATGACATTCTTGGTGACAATTCAGCTTAATAAAAAACGTTAACAAATACCACCTGTCAACGGACTCGTAACGAATGCAAATTATCTACTTTAAATATGAAATTAATGCCTTCATCTGCATTACACGTCAACACCCAAAGTGCTTGCTTTACAGTTTGCTTCTTCCATCAACTTCTGCCTTTCAAACTCTCACAACAACAGCGAACAAACAGGGACCATGGCAGCTATCCGCGCGTCCTTCCGTATTGCCAGCAATGCTACTAGATTCGTAGCCCCCACTGTCGCCAGGAGAGCTTTCGTCACCAGAGCTGCTCCTCGACGAGCATTCTCAACTGAAGCTCCCAAAGCTGCTGCCCCTGAACCTCCAAAGGAAGCTGGTGGCTCAAATGCTCTATTATGGGTACTATCTCCTTGCATTTTCTACCTTGTTGATGTGGTGCATTAGAAAATTGTGTCTTGTAATCCAACATTTTGTCAATCTGTAGGTTGGTCTTTTGGCTGCTGTGGGTGCTGGTGGTTACTTCTATCTCTCTTCTCAGGTATATTAATACTGCTTTATTTATAATATTATTGTCGTCATCCACTGCTGCTTGTGCTGTGGATTATCAAGAAGCTCATGAAATCGTGTGGTGTCACAACCAATTCCATACACTATCCTAACCCATTCAATTCTCAAAATCCATCTATCTTCCACAACAGGATGGAGGTATTGCCATCGCTGTCAAGAAACCACTCAACTACCAAGAAGTCTACAACACTATCGGTGAGTACAACGACCTCATCTGATAATAAATCCACCTCTAACAAATGTACACTCATAGCATCCATGCTCGACGCTCCCGACTACGACGATGGCTCATACGGCCCCGTACTGGTTCGTTTGGCATGGCACGCTTCCGGTACCTACGACAAGGCTACAAACACTGGCGGTTCAAACGGCGCTACCATGCGTTTCCCTCCTGAGGGCGGACACGGTGCCAACGCTGGTCTGTCGGTCGCCCGTGACCTGATGGAAAAGGTAGACAAGAATGAACATGCTTGGTTTGAAAAGACAAAAAAATAGCTCATACATTTGTATAATAGGTCAAGAAGCAATTCCCTGACATCTCATACTCTGATCTATGGACTCTTGCTGGTGTAGTCGCTATTCAAGAAATGGTGTGCTTGACATACATTGCGCTTCACACAAATAAACCACACTGACAACGTTACCGTATTGACCTTGACTTCACATAGGGTGGCCCAACCATTCCATGGCGAGCTGGAAGAGTCGATGCTCTCTCTGCTGAAGCATGCACTCCTGATGGCCGTCTACCTGATGCTGCTCAGGGTCAAGACCATCTCCGAAACATCTTTTACCGAATGGTGAGTATATTGTATTGAGGACATTTTTATGTGGTTTGCTGCGGGCTGGTGGTTCAAGTCGTCACAATTTGTTATTTGCTGTTCACGTTTATTGAGTTGTTTGCTCAAGTCGTCATTACCATGCAGTGGCACCGAAACTAATTATTCGGCATTATCGTTTTTGTCTTAGGGCTTCAATGACCAAGAAATCACTGCACTTGCTGGCGCTCACGCTCTAGGTTTGCATTGCTGCTTTTTGCACCTTCTGGTTACTTCTTTTGCTTACTTTTATGTTCTCATAGGACGTTGTCATACTGATCGTTCCGGATTCGATGGCCGTGAGTCGTTTTGAATCTGTTTAGAAAAAAATCTCTTTCCCTAAACAATCCACTCCCTTTAGCATGGACTCGTTCTCCAACCATGTTCACAAACGACTACTACAAGCGTCTGCTTGAAGAAAAATGGGTTGACAAGAAATGGACTGGCCCTAAACAAGCAGTGGACAAGGCTACTGGTCAATTGATGATGCTGCCCGCTGATTTGGCTTTAATCAAGGACCGAACCTTCAAGAAGTTTGTGGATTTGTATGCCAAGGTAAAGGAAAATATTATTTTGTCACCAGCTGTCTCGTTCGTGACGTGTTTGTGACAGGTCATAAAGCATCTGTGATTCTCTTTTGGTTGACGCCAAGAGCAATCGTTTCGTTGTTCTCTTTCAGATATGACCTTTAAACTTCTACACCTTCAACTATACATTAGGATGAACAAACCTTCTTCTCTGACTTTGCCAAAGTATTCCAGAAGGTAAAAAGAACCATTTAAAGGACAATATTTCCGTTTTCGTTGGCTATTCTCTGTTATTAAATGCTTTTATCTGCGTTATAGCTGGAAGAACTCGGAGTACCATTCAAGCCAGACACTCCAGTCTTTGAATTCAAACGCACAGAATAAACCCACAAAAACCAATTCCATAGTTATTTGTAAAAGAGAGAGATGGAGAGGGAAAGAGATGTAAGGAATCCTAGTCTTTCCTTGATGGGATGAAATATATTCTCTTTTTGTAGAACAAAAGGAAACAAGTTGAAAACAAATCATATCAAACAAATTACAATTGCTTTTTTGCTTGGGTGTCCTGCTCCTGAAGATATTTCTGATTCATTTTATTTTCTCAATCGTCTAAATTATAACAGTGGGAGCAACAAAACATGCAAACACTTTTGCAAAAAAGTTTGGGCAGCCTAAACAAAAAATTTATTGGACCTTGTTGATGACCTTCTTCTTGGCCTTGATGTGAGTGGAGAATGAGAATTTGGATCAGGACTAGAAGTTTCATATTTACATGAGACAAAAAAACACTCAGTCAAGAAATCAACGGACTTACATCCTTCTTTTCCTTGGCCTTGACTTCCTTGACAGAAGGAACTGGTTTGCCAGCACTATGACACAAGAAGGGCGCATTAGAGAATAAGATGAGTTAAGAAAGACAACTAAAACTAGGACGTACAAGAGTCCTTTGGGCTTGAAGGGACGCTGCAAGTCACCAGAAGCTGGCTGACCCAACAGGTGGATTTTGGTCATTGGGTTATCATAAACAGTCTTGAAACCCAATACACATTGTAATGTCATGGGGCGCAAGTATCCCCAATATAAATGAATTCCAGTGATTGCTGCGATTCCCATCTGCAAAGACGTGAAAGTGAATAAGATTAGGAGATATAAAGCGATTACGAGATGTGCAGGGATGTGAAGCGAATGGAGTCATTGAAATGTATCTCAATACAACATCACAGGAAATTTTTTTGGTTTTTGGAAATGTACGTACCAGGGCACCCATCACAGCTGTTCTCAACTGTGCGACGTCGTAGTCACGGACAGTTGTTTCCACTATTTCTGCCTCGGCACTAGATGATTAATCGAGTATTAGAAGGGGCAGCCAAAAGACTGACGAAACCAAAGCACGATAGTTCGTCACTTTTGTGACATACCCCGTATCCATTGGATTCTTGACTTCTGTATACTTGAGCTCAGTCTCATCTACAATCATCATTTACGTGTGTTAGAGCTCGTGTTTACAAGGACACTGTGTTAAATTAGATGACATACCTTTCTTGGCATCGATTTGCGTATATATATAATAAAATATTGCCATTTGGATGACTTGCACTGTTGCATATGCAATTCGAATGTAGCTAGTTGCATAGAGGTTCAATGGGTCAGATACTTCCGTATACGACGGGCACAAAAAACGATCAGTCCAACACCACCATTGGATGCAGCATCCACTTTTCTCAGACAGGATACATACTTTGCATTCTCAGGTGTATCAAAATTTAATCGGTTTGCCTATGAGGACAGTGCATGGTGGTTAAAATGTCAATTTAAGATTCCGACACAAAATAAGATGTCTCATACCACTTGCATAACACCGAAAGCAAGACCGATCTGCAAGAGCTATAAAATGCATAAAGAAGATATACAATTAGTAATCGGTTTGGCTGCATGCTTGCAATGTGCGCCCAAAAATGTTGGCTAGTTCACTTCCACCACATAAACCAAAGGACGCATAACGACAGACAATACAACAAGAGTCTCAATAGCTGCAACGAGAACTTACTTGGCCAGACATGGACATGATTGCTCTATTTTCCTTCTGTTCTCACGGGATGGGTATCAAAAAGAGAGCAAGCGAACGACGAAGTGAACGAAGGAAAGTCGATTTGAAAATTTTCGAATAAAGACGAGGGGCTGACACACGTATACGAAATTGATAAGGGTTTAGTGTCGTTGCACATTCAGTTGTAACATCTTCCTTGTTAAACATCTTGAACGAGCAATGTGACGCGACAAAAACGTAGAGAGATCCGCGTTGTGAACATACGTTTGCTATATATAAATATTTACTTTTGAGGCATGGTACATGAACTACTTGCCTACTTGATACTCTATTTCGTTCGGTGGGAATCAATACTCCTTCAGACGCCTCTTCACGACAACCAACCTCTTCATCAGCATCATCTCCCACTTCCTCACTATCAACATACAAAGAAATCTCTCGTTCAACTAATCACGAGCAAGTATTTAGTTCATCCTAGCTAAGAAAAGACGACTCGGGAATCATTATTACCATAATAGATGCCTAAACCTCTTCTTCACTAGTCCAACGTGAAATAAACTCCTCACTATCACCGTCATTTTCGCCTTCCTCACCAGCAGCATCCGAAACAACCTCTGATTTCATACGAAAACCTGTGTTGTGGTGAATAGTGGCTAGACCTTTGACTTTACCAGCAAATGCTTCCCGAAGCAGATCACTAGCAGCAGACTCATCTAAGTCAGGTAGCCTGGCCTTGTCAATGTCAGCGACCATGTCTCGAGAGACCTCAACGATGGAATCTTCCAACAATATAGCGATTACCACGGGGTTTACCAAATTCTGTCGAGCTTCAATAGCTTTGAGTAAGTCGTTGCTGCAGAATTTGTCATTGTTGCGTATGGTGAAGTCGTTCAAAGTTGGCATAGACGACACGATATAGAGCACCACGTCGTTCTCGACAAGCGGTCCTTCCAACCTGAGACACTCGAGTTTGGTACACGTCGATACTATAAGCGATAGGTCGAAGGGCGTCTCGTCATGCATATCACTTATTACCAGGTACCTTAGTTGACTACCTCGATCGATCAAAAAGTATTCTAGCCCTGCTGACTTTGCCTTTGTGCTATCGATAGTAAGGTTCTTCAAAGCAGCAGCGTGAGCCAGAGCAGAGGGGTGGATTTCGACGGCGTCTTCACCATCTAGATATATGGTCTCCAACGTTGCAGAGTGTGCCACGATAAAGTTTGTCAGTGCCCTACAAGTTTCTTCTTCTCATGATAATAGAGTGGCGACGATTTCTTTTACACCTCGTGGAATTCCATTTAAGAAGTCACAATACTGGTGGATGTAGTCCAGTTGTACGTTCGTCAGGGATTTGAAGACTGCCATATCTCCACTGGAGCAATTTACCAAAGAGATTTCACGAAATCCAATACTGTTCAGAGTAGCAGCACTTCCATTTGGCAATGCGGCCAAAAGACTCTTTGGACATTCCTGACCTGCACCATCGATCGCACATCCACTAAACTCAAAGCTATGTAATTTAAGATTTTCTAGCATATTTGAGATGCTTGCATATATTTCTGGCGGCACACTTTCCAAATAATTTTTAGATTTGGAAGATAGTCCGATAAGATCTCCCACTCAATGTCACGATATGGAGCGACCCAGACGTCTCTATCAATAAGGGTTCTACAGCTGAGAATGTAGAAATCCAACTTCAGGGTTGTGAGAGACTTTGGCAGCTCATTCCATCGAAGATACTGCATGTCAAGACCATCAAAACTTAGTGAGAACTTGACTAGATTTACGAATGGAGCTATTCCGGCACAATGCACCAATTCTGACAGACAAACGTTTAAGCTGGCAACGGATTCGAGGGATGGTTGACTGTATATATCGGTTTTACGGTTTCGAGTCGCGACGAGACTGGATTTCGAAATAAGACGTGTGTCGTAATCTGGCACATCCATCGTCGTAATACTTTTATATAGAAGGGATACAGCTGCCTCGTTAAAGCCTTTGCAAGCCAGAGCTAGTTGGGCTAAATGGTTCTGCTGGTGTTCCAACAATACCGTTCGATCTTGTTCTTTCGCAGCAATAATCTCAAAGATAGCAAGAAGGATTTCGTTGGGCAATCGGATTCCCTTCCATTTGATATCGTCCATACTAGACTACTGTTTTACCTATCTGGACTATGTAGATGTCAAATGCAAACATTCAAATTCAATGTCCAACGAGGAGAGTGCAGATGAAGACAAGGAGGAGAAGAATTCGAAGATATGGTTTCGATAAAGCACTTACCTGAATGCGCAGATATCATCCAATGGCCAAATGTATTGATGCCAGCTATTTAGCTTAAAGCCTTGACGAATGCGATCCTTGGCTAAGTTGATACAACAATGGTCGCTATTAAAAGGAATCTTCGCATTGCGACTGAAAAGAATCTTACCTTGTCCTCAACCAGCTATGGTTGGATCTTATTGCAAGGTTATGTTTTGCTTTAGCTTAAATCAAACCAAACAAATGACGCATTTGCGATTCAACAAGACGTCAAGAGGAAAGGTGTAGAATTTGTACATTTCATGTGTTTCTAAATATTTTGAGGTTGAATTTCACACAGAAACCCTTCTAATTTCTTAAATGCCAGCTTTACGGGTTTGGATTTGAAGACACACAAACCGGTTGATTGATTGGCAATTGTTTCAATAGCGCCAACGACATGTCAACTGGTGCGCCCGTACATGCATGTGCACTGGTGTACCAGTTCACGTTAAATGTTCCGGTGAGGTTCAAGTTCATCACGGTTCCGTCCTTCCATGTCCTTGTAATGGTATACCAGTACGGCACATTAACGATCGACTTTTGCTTGACGTTGGTCAGCGCCTTTTGAGCCGAGTTGTTTTCCTAATTTCAACTCGTTAAACATTACGATGCATATCAGGTTCTTGTGCTTACAGTGTAAATCCATAACTCTGTGGACTGAGAGGTGGAATTGGCGGTATGGACAGTATTGGTATCAGTATTGGAGTAGTCCAAACCAACGGTGAGGCCTACTCCAAAGCCTCCAATCTGTTGGTGATGAAAAATAGTCATTTCAACATCACCACTCTGTGAGAGAGCCAATCACAAACCTGTTGACCTCCAAATCCGACACTCGCTCCAACACTTATACCTGCTCCCCATTCAAATCCACGACTTTTGAAAGATCAATATGGATTGATAACTTCACGACCTGAAATGTACAACGGTTCTACCTCACCTTGACTGTACAGTGTTTTCTGCAGTACTACTCATAGTTACTGACGTTCTCGGAGTGCCTCCGCCAAAATTTACTATGGTGACTGATGACAAGGTCGGTGGACCGCTGTCCGTTGAGACTCCAGCTGATAAACTAAAATTTCGAAATAGTCAGTCAAAATGCTTCGTATACATAGAAGTGAAGAGAGGAACCAAGTCCAGAAATACTTACTCGAAACCAGAGCTTGTCATATTCATTTGGTATGGCGCTATGAGGTGAAAGTGGTTGGTCAAAAACGTTGGGGGTTTGTTTTGTAAAGAGGATGCACGCAAATTAAAAGAAACGCACATGAAACGGATGCTGGTGCCGGTACAGGACTGAACCATACACCGTTATTGGCTTCACTTTTCACGTAATTCACATTGTTATGGTACTATCAGAAATTGGGATTTAGTTCAAAATGGGAAAATGAAATCGCTTGGTCCTTAGATCACACCTCATCCCAACCACAAATAAACGATGGTTGTCGGCCGTGTTTCATGTCGTTGTCTTCACCCAAACTGTAATCATGATTCTGGAAGTAGCACGTATCCCTCTTACGAATAAACCAAGAGTCTTTCGTTGCTCTTTGAGTGTTTTTAAGGATGAATTGCTCTGCAGAAGCATTATTGGCATTGGCAGGCTGGTAAACATTCACCAGCAGCACATCACGATGGTGTTTATCGTGATATTGCAGTGGCTATTATTCGTAAAATAATGATGAGAGGTCCGCATTTTGAGAAAAATACCGCGACATTGAGGGCTACCACTTACTCCTTCAGTGGAAGTTGTCACCCATCTTCCTTGATAATCTCGTAATAGGAAGGTCCATTCTCCAGCAAACCAATTGTAAGCTGCTGGGAATACCTGGAACTTCATGGAGTCTTTCAAGTCTCCAGATCCTGAAGCATAGACACCAAGATAACACGCACCTGTTCGAGGAAGATGTCAAACTTTTCATAATGTGAAGATAGTAACGGCATTTCCATACCATTTTTAGTATCGACGTAATTTTGACACTGCACACCACTAGCAACTGTAAGGCGAAGCGGATTCCAAGTTTGACGCTCCAAGACTGTTATGGTGATCCAATCCCCTGCACAAAAGTAGTAAGGTGAGGGGGACCCTCTAGTCCTAAAGTGATTCTCGGACTGGTTAGCTCTATGCTAGTATAAATGATCTAAATAAGTGCACCTAAGATCCATGATACAAGAGTTGTCGATGCTCGAGCCACCATTCAATGCTGGAACCGGTCCGTTGTTTGGATTGGGTGGTGGTCCTTGCGGATAAGCCCATATTGCCGTCTTCTTTGCATAGACTAGGCTTATGATACAAAGAAGAATCAGAGCCTGCAAATGTGACTTGGTGCTTGTTGCTGTTGTGTTGGTTGTGCGCATTGAGTTTTGCGTCTGGTATTTGGTGTCTGCTCGGGAAGCTGCTTGTCACTACGGAGTAGCAGCGAAAAGTCTTGAAATAATGAGCAATGTTCGTCGGTCTCGAGCGATTTGACTAGAGTTTATATCCTTGTTGTGTAGGCTGATTCATATGAAGAAAATCGGACTCCACCACTGATTGTTGTACCAGCTGTAGACCAAGGACAAAGTTCTTTCCTCAATTTGCCAGCATATCAATTTAACCTTTAACCAGGTAGCGGCATACTGGGTCACCTCCATTGGAACTTGAAAGGCCAACTGATTTAATGTCGCAAAACTGTCGACACAGAGAAGGAGCATGCACAACTTCTTGAAATGGCCCCATGCAGCGGCATGAAATTTGTGGATCCAGACTTGGACAGTAACAGTTCTAGGTCGTCAGTCGAGAACGTTTCCGCCTGTTGTCCCCGAGTCAAGCGAGACAGCTTGATGCGATGGCAAAATGAGGTAGCATAAGCTCTATCTGTATGATTAGATGTCGGTTACGCTGTTCAGCGACCTGAAAGACGCGATGATTCGAAACTGTTAAATTTGAAGCTGCTAACTTGGAGGTTGTCAGTTATCAACGTGACGATGTGGTGAAATGACACTTATAGTGAGACAGGTACAGGCGTAGCTACTACTAGCTTAATGCTTGTTTATGTGCCAATCTCGTCGTTCTTAAACGACGCCTTGAAGCTGCATTCGCTTGGTAATTGGTGATGTTGCGGCGAGTACGACATGTATAAACCTACGAGTCGAAATATCTAAAATAAGTGTGGCTCATTCCATCGCAAGTCATCTGTATCAATAACATCAATGTCAAGTACAAATCGACCAAATTTATATAGGGTTTTAGGTCATCACAAATCGCTAGGTGTGATACACTTGGATAATCAAATTATTAAACAGAAAATATTCGTACAAGCGCTGAGAAAAAAATTGATCTACAATAGTACTGAAGGTCTGTGTAATCTATTTACAACCGAGAGATCTGATTTCCATTTCCTAACAGAGAATCAACTCAAAAAATCAGTTTGAGTCCTTTCAGCCTAATTGCAACTTAACACTTGAAGGCTTACCTTGATTTTGAGAATTCACATCACCAGCAATCCATGGATGGCTTCGTACTTGCTCTATGGTAGCTCTTCGTGCAACTCTAGGCTCCAGCATCCACTGTAACAGATCAATACATATTTTGGATAATCCTGTATCGATTGGCTGCGTTTCACCAGCAATGGCTTTCTGGGGAGAGTCGAATGGCGCCACGCCATGCAGCATCACAAATAGCAAACAACCAAGAGACCACATCTGAGCTTCTGGACCTGCATACTTTGTACCAAGCAATATTTCGGGTGATGCGTAAGGAATCGTTCTAAATGTGCAATTTCACCGTAAGTCAATTGTGCCCAGATCCACAGCACGCGCTTAACTTACGCATAGAACCGATCAAACAATTGCCCCTTCCTGACGAAGGCTCCACTGCCAAAATCAATAAGCTTGATTTTGAATGTGTCATCAATCAGGATGTTTTCGTCCTTGAGGTCACGGTGGAGGATGCCGAAACGGAGCAAGTGTGCTGTACCATCGACCACCTGTCTAAATATATGTCTAGCCTGGTTCTCCGTCAGTCGTGAATGCTGTTCGATACAATCAAACAAGGTGCATTGCGTGAGGTTGTTCAGTGACATTTCTTCATTTGCCAGAGAGTCTAGGTTTGGCTGCGGTGCAGGCCAGGGACTGCCGAAGAATTCAGTAACCATGTAGATAAAGTCGATGCCTAAATGGTAATCCACATATTCTATTATATTTGGATGGTGCACCTTTAGAAAGTAGGGTTGCGTTAATCGCTGCACTATAATCCGTGTCTCTGTTTGCATTCAACCTTAAACGAAACGAAATCTCTGAAGCACCTACATTCTTGAGAATAAGGACTTCTATAGGAATCACGCCAAGCTCCTTATCTCGAGCCCAAGACTCAGCGAGCATTTTGTTTTTGAAGATAAATTTGATTGCAACTCGTCGCCCGTCAGACTTCCTCGTAGCAGCAGTCACAAAAGCAAATCCTCCTTCACCCAGTGCTTCCTGAATTATATACCTGGATAAAAACTTTTGGTCTTCGGCACAGATATTAGGAATGTAAGAGTGTCCAATTACTGAACTTGTCCACGTCTTGGCTATCGTTGATTTGCCACTTCCAGACGGCCGATCCAGCGGTGGTGTTGGGTATTCAGGGAGCTTCGGGCTCTGTCTCGAAAGCAATCTACTAGACTCATCTTCACTATCATTTAATGGTGAATCAAAATGTATCGTATCGGGTTTCGTTTTTCTTAGAGCCATAATTGGAGGGCCTAACCAGAAAGCGAAAGTTTTGAGAGCCAAATTCTCTTCTGTTCAAGTAAGCGTTTGGTTTGGTTTCGTTTGAAGGAAAATCAACGAAAATCGAGCCTTTCATACCATTATCATCAGAGATTTCCTTCTTGCTAGAAAGACCATTCAATTCTCGTTCCTGCTCAACACAGGTAGCATCTTCTACTTTTGCGTGATTTTGAGGAAGCACAGGATTGTCTCTGAAAGTCTTTCCGATTTCCAGTCGTTCAGAAGCTTGGTCATCATCTTTATCACCATCACTACCACGGACCGTCTTTCCATCACTTCCTAAAGCACGGCGAGATATGCCAGAGACAATGCTGAGCGACGCGAACGCTTCAGCAACACTCTCTGCCAGCGTGCTTTGATCCCACGTGCTACCAATGCCAAACAGAGAGTCCAGCAGATCTGTTGGCGAATCATCACCTCCAGTGTCACCACCATTTTTATCTCCACAAGCTCCAAAGTTACTTGGTTCTCCATTGTTGCCACAATCATCAGTGCCATCTTCGTCTTCTGTATTAGGAGGGTTCCGATATTGTGTCGCTTGTAGAGCTGGAGCAATCATCACACTATTTTCAAAGCAGGTTAGGCCAATAAAGCCATCGATATCGCCTTCTATGTATCTACCTATTCTGGTATTCAGCTTCAATCTGAAGACCAAATCCGGTAAAGAAATCGACGAGACCTAGTGGCCAGTCTTGCCCAACCAGAACCACAGAACCACCCATGAAATGCTTATCCCGAACGTATTCTGGGAATGTGACTGCGTTGAATCGCCCATCTTGCCGCCTTGAGCTACGTCCGGGACTGAGTGAGCTGGAAATATTATCAAATTGATAGAATAATTGGGTCATCAACACCTATAGAAACAATGAAAGTCAGCATTGTTTGCCAAGAATCAATTTGCTAAGCGGCCGTTACGGTTGCATCGGTCCAATGAACAGCAAAGTTCTTTAGATATGAAGAAGCCCAGACGATAAATCCGACAGAATCAGCTTGCGAAACAAAGTCAGAGCAGAAGAAGGATAGCAAGTGAAGCAAAACCAATTGGGATCCACTTGTTCTCTAAAACAGAGTATAGTTTAGGTTTGCTCATTCAAATAGTATGAAATGGACAAGACAAAGAACTTGCATGGTAATCCTGAAGCCAACGGAAAAAGGTCGTAACATCGTTCTCGCCATAACGTTCACGATACCATGATATACGAGTAGCGACTTCCGCCGGACTGAGGGGATGGTCGAGCAACAAGAAATGCAAAACCGTGGACTGAGTCGGTGAAATAGGACGAGCTTGTAGAGGTGATGACGATCTGGATGATGATGATCCCGAAGAGGAGGAAGAATGAAGAAGGTCTAGACATTCCGACATTGAGAACTGAGCCAGAGTTTTGGAAACAATTCTTGCACGATGTACTTACCTGAACCATCAGTGTCCTCTCCACTTTTATGTCTTTTGCGACCAAGTTTGTGCATGTCCATATCCACGTCCAGGGGCAATGCAAGAAACTCGAGCTCACTATACTCCAATGGATGTTTAACAGGCGCCGTAGGTATTATTGTCTGAGGAGTAGCTGCACCAGGAAATCTGACTTTGTGAATCTTTTCGAGGTGATCCTTAATGTTACTGGTGCTGTCTAAATCAAAAAAACGAGCCGTTATTAAGCTACTGAATCCAGCATAAAGCTCACGATTGACACAATATCTACATTTCGGATGTGTTTGGTGATTAAACTGTCGATGCGTCCATTTCTAGACAAAGAAGTTGGAACAAGTTAGAACAAGATGGTTGACAGTAATTTGCAAGTAAGTTTGTGGATCCGACAATATAAAAACCCGGCGAATTACCTTTGGGCAGTTCTCAAAATTGCATGCGGCAGCAATCGAAAAGTCGCCTTGTGTTTCACCAGGCCAAATCGTAACGTTTTCTCGAATAATCGGAATGTTCAGACCATTCGAAGCAATACCATATTTAGCATACTTCACGACACCAATAGTCGCCTCCATTATCGCACAGAGACTCTATTAAGCGACCAAACTTTGTTTGAGGGTTGACTGCAAAGCCACCATTAAGTTAGCAAGTTAGGAACTGTCGTTAGACTACAATTTGGAGTCTCCACGCGTCGCCTTATAAAGTGCCGTTGTTGAGGTGGCGGTCTCTCAACAAAAAAGTCGTTACAAACCATGCAATTGTTACAATGCATTATTATTCGTTTTCACCATTATTATTCATCCACAAATCCCTTTTTATAACATCCCACCATGGCCTCCCGTCCTCAAATCATGCATTCTGACTAGGATCAACCTTCTTGCGCCAACGAGTCCAAAGAGACTCACTCAACGGACTCCTTCTTTGAAACAAGGACGTATCCCCTCTACTAATGCTACCACCTTTGACGGTCTTGTCTTTATCAGTAGCAGGAGGCTCAGAAGCAAGCAATGCCTTGATTCCTTCATTGGATGATGATTTCATCAGGTTCAAAATGTCCTCGACGAGTTGTGTCCCTGCATCGGGCATAATGTCAGATATGTTTTGTAGTTCCGATGCTATGCGTGATAGGGAAGATACTATAGGGATAACTCCATTCCGTTTTCGTTGAACCTATTATTTGGGGGCTGAGTGAATTGAATGCCTTTATGGCAAAAGAAGAGATACAGCTGTTGCAGTAACATCGCCTACATACACTCTTGACGGCAGGTATAAACACATGTTCCAATATCTCAGTACCTAATTCCGATCGATCAAATGCTGCTGCGTCTCCCATCAATGGATTGAAGTCATCAGCAAAAATCACACTACACACAAAAAGGACCGTTGAGCAATGAGATGTTTTACGACTACCACGCCACAAACATACCTTCGACCACGTGAACGTCGAATAGTTTGAGCTGAAGGTTGCTTCAAAGCACTCTCTCTTCTCTAAGGCAAAGAAAATACTCTGTCAGATCAGCTTCCCCATGATTCCTTGTTTTATTTCTTTCTCACCAATGTTCCTGTGTTGAATCGTCGTCCTTGTGTATCATTACCCTTTGTCTCGTTTTCAGTAATAAAATCCCATTCAATGCTACTTGGTTCTGCGGCCGGCGCAGAACTACAAAACAACACCAGTATTTGTGATGGGCAATATGGAATTTTGAGTCCCCAAAGCAGACGACACTTCAACATACCTTGGCATTGAATGAGAAACAGGAACGGAAATCTGCGATTGATTCCATTCAACGCGTCTTGTAATCAACTCCTTTAGTATAAGTGTTTCACCAGCGGATTGGATGAATGGATGTGTCAATAGTGAGGAAGCATCAGGACGCTAAAAAAGCAAGACTTGCTCAGGTGTCTGTAGGACTTGATAGTGTCTTACAACACTTACCTGGCTGGCTCTCTTTGCAAGACACTTGGCCACAAAATCACGAAATTCAGGTGAAAATCCACCCTTGAGCATTGGAGGATCTTGATTGGCAATTATAAATAGAACTTTCATGGGTGGTAGATGTGAGTTTGGTGGTAGACCCCTATATGAACAGTGTGAACAAGGCGACAAATCCAACAAAGAGACAGAAACAAACTCACTTGGCCAATTCTATAGCCGTTATGCCCAGAGACCATACATCTGCCTGTTCACCAAAGCTTGAGTATGAGACAGAAAAAGAACTCCCTTATCGCTCCAGAACTCATGTCAATACCTTTTCGTTGTAAGCTGACCTCACAATAACTTCAGGTGCCATCCAATACGGCGTTCCAACGAATGTGTTTTTACGAGTCATGGTTGATGTGATCTAAAAGTGATGCGCTCGATTAATTCTCGTCTTCTAGCTGTGTTGTTTTTTCTGCTATAATTTAAAAAGTCTAGCTCGTACTTGCGCAGAAACACCAAAATCAGCAAGCTTGACATCCCCATCCTCACTAAGCAATATGTTGGCAGCTTTGATATCACGGTGTATTTTTCCAGACGAATGCAAATGTTGGAGTCCTCGTAGTAATTCCTTCATCACGATGGCGATATGACGTTCTTCAAAGACTCCAGGCTTTAGCTATTGTTATGATACAGGATTTGAGTTCTCGAAGTCCAATAGTTCTGATGAAGGTTCATATCATTTCTTTTGCGCGTGCGACCTACCAAATCAAGACACGATCCACCAGAGCACAATTCCATGACAATCCATAGGCGAGAGCCCAAGACGTAAGATCCATAATATTTAGTCACGTAAGGAGTATCCAAGGTAGACAAGATTTGGATTTCTTTGCGAATGTCTTCAATGTCGTCGGATGTATCCGCTGTCAACGAAAACCGCAACGTGTTGCATTCCGTTAGTTCTTGCAATACTTTTCTGCTCCCAAAGTCATTTTTATACCTTCGAAATCAAGTATTTTTATAGCAACAGGCACACCAGTGCTCTTTTCGATGCCTTTGAATACCTGTTGTTATCAAGACACACAAGATTGGATACAGTTCTGTGAGTAAAGGAGATAGATCCACGTGATTTGGAAGGTGGGATGTCGAGTTGATGCGTCACCTCGCCATAAGCACCTCTTCCTATTTGGACTTGTATTTCGTATAGACTTGTTGGGTCGACGGTTGTCTGCAATGATGTTGAGCAATGTGTAAGTTAACGTACGACACACGCAGGCAACGAAAGAGTGTTTAACATATAGTATGAATTTTGGTACGCACCTTGAGATCCATATTATGCAATGAAAAAACAAATCGAGCTTCAGATGCAAACTTAAAAACTCGACAAAACGAAACAATGGCAACAAATGACAAGATGGCGGAAGAGGCGCCAATTTCCGATGCAAGACTCTTTGATAGATCAGCTCCTATCTCTCCCTTGGAAGAAATGAAAGCAAGTAAACTATGTTCTCGAGTGTGCTTTTTTTGTGAGTTTGAAGCAGACTGATGACCTGTATTTTCTTAGAGGATACGGGCTGAAGAATTGAAATGGTCGAATCTCAAGAAGGTCCCATGTGTACAAAAGGCTCTGTTATATGGTTCATTGGCTGGATTGTCGGTTGGCATCTCACGTTATGCCAGAATACGTGAGAGCTATTGCATCGAACATGAACCCGACATGTAGATTACTCACCGTTGATTTATTTAATGCAGGATCAATACGGTCGGCTGGTAATTGGGCTGTTATAGCTACAGGACTTGTATCTGTGGGATCGTGGTAGGAGGATGCAAAAATCCTCATTATTCTACATATATCTGACTTTTTTTTCGCTATCATTCATTAGGGAGTTTTGTAGATTTCAAAGAAGACTGGTACTAGATCAGCTAGCTAGAACTACCGTCGAGGACAATGTGAATGCTAAAGCTGCACTACCAGGCCCCCTCCCAACGTCACCACAGTAACTTCCCCTTTCACGTTTCTAGCTCTCATATTATGTACCTCATAATGTACACATCCCTTTTCCAAGCAAATATAAACACCATCAAGCGTCACAGCAAACCGTGTGATTTGAATCCATTATTTTGCAATAACACACATTTTACAACAACCTTGTCGTTTCAAATCATCATACACCTTTTAACTATAGACATTTCCAGGACATTCCTTGAATTCCTCAGTGCGAGCATTCTTGGGGCCTTCCTTTTCAGTCTGATTTCGGATTCCATTTTCGTTCCCGACACAAAAAAGGGTCATATCTGCTCGGTGTATTTGCTTCTCACAACCTTCAAGCAACAACATCATAACGGGAATCTCAAGGAACTCTCTTGAATTTGGTGTTTCTCAAATCATCATTCCATCAGTATGCCTGCTTTCTGATTGTGAATTGAAAAGAAGATGTCAGAAAGGTCATGTTGCCATAATCAGACCCGCACAAAAACAGCTCTAACAGATCAAGGATACCTGAAAGTGTTTTTCAAAGACTTCCTCCGCTCATCCACAAATTCCCATATATCTCATAGGGATACTCGACTCCCAACCCAGACAACTTGTACAACCATTGTAAAATAGGTTGACCCCCTCCCTTAACGACAATTTCCACGAATTGTAAATCTTTCCTTTATCATCGTCCATCGCCTCCTCCTCATCCAATTCAACTTCCTTTATACTCTCAACATGTTGGTTCCCTCCAGTCATAGTCTGTTGACAAACAAATTCACGAACCTCTGCTCATATTTGAGGCAGGACTTCTTCCAAGTCCGTTTTTATGAGAAATTCGGAGATCTCACAGTCGTGATACTAGTTAAGATTCGAATCTAGTTTGGGTTTGGTCTCGACAGAGACGGTATTGACAGTTCGTTGTGTGAGTCCTTCTGCACCTGCAGTTTGTATAGCGCTCGCATCAAATAAAGGTTAGATTGACCTACCTTCGAAAATCCTTCTCACGTCCGGTAACATGATTAGTGCATATGTGTGAAAATTCATGTTTCCATACTGACGAGAATTTAACAAGAGGAAAAAAAAACTGATTTAGAAGATTAAGATTACTCACTTGAAGCAATGAAAGGGCGATCATTTCATACTTCAAAGTTATCGAAATCATTGAAATATCCCAAAAAAGTCAATTTTACACCCTTGGCGCTGTTCAAATTCAGGTACACCAACGAGATGTGTAAGTCTAGATGCCTGCCGAGAGTTTCTTCACTTTAAAAAAGGCATCGATCACTAAAACCACCTTTGGGGTATTCAAGAACCCGAAGAAAACAGTTGATAATCACGACAATTGATTCATGGCCGTTCGTCTTTGATGACATCTTTCTCGAGAATTCCATTTCGATTGGTCCAACCCGTTCGTTGGGTATCGTTGATGATAATACCTGATGAGTTTCAGTCTCACATAGAATTCGGGGAATCCAGAAGAGGAAAAACAACCTGCGATCTCGTTCTTTCGTAATCTAATCAATTTGAATGTGTTCAGTACAGTGCAAAAATAGCAGAATCATTTATTCTTGCAACTTACTTGTCAACATCCTGATAAGCCTGTCCTTGTCTTCTCCCTGAGCGAACACATAGTTTTCTTCAAACAAAAACCAAAAGCGATCAAGTATTCCAAATTGGTTTTGGAGTGAGCGAATCTATATTGCAACTACAAGCACTTTACAACAACCCTTGTCGTTTCAAATCATCATACACCTTTTTACTAAAGACATTTCCAGATGAGTCTTCGAATTCTTCGGTACCATCATTCTTGAGCTCTTCCTTTTTGGTCTGATTTCGAATCTTGTCCCATACTATGGTGGCAAACAAAAAGTACAGGAGTCATTAGCTGGATTAAGATTAATATTTGCTCACAACTTACGGGTAACAGCGTCCTCAATAGCAGTGATTTCATGGAATTGCCTTGAATTTGGTATTCCCAAACTCCTCATCCCATGAGCATGCCGTGCTTCCTGTTTGTGAATGAGACTTAATAATCTTGCAAATGACAAGAGCGCAAAAAGGGGAAAATTAAACATTACTATACCTGAAAGTGTCTCTCAAAGGCCTTCCTTCCCATATAAACATAATTCCCGCAAATCTCACAAGGATACTCAACTCCCAATCCATGCAACTTGTACAACCAATAAGGAATCGGTTTACCATCCCATCCTAACGGCAGTTTCAACGGATTGTAAATCTTTTCTTCATCGTCTTCCATTGCTTCATCTTCATTCAATTCAACTTCTTCCATATTCTCAACATGTCGTTCCCGTTCAGTGAGAGTTTGTTTACGTTCTACAAATCCACGGGTTTCTTCTCGTATTTGTGATAGGACTTCTTCCATGTATGCTTTTATGAGGAATTCGGAATATGCGATGGGACGATCTCGTTGTCGTGATGCTAGTTGGGATTCGAATCTACTTTGGGTGCGGGTTTCGGCAGAGACTGTGCTGATGCCCTGTTTTATTAGGTTTTCGGCGGCTTTGATGTGCTTTTTGCCCGTTAGATGGGCGTCGTATACTGTTCTTTTTGCGAATTGTTTGGCACCTGAATAAAAAGAGTGTAAGGAGCAGCGAAGAAAGGTCAAGTTCGGCAAGCTCACATGGAACACAATATAGTGAGTCGTCATCTTCAGTGGCCTGTGCAGAATCCCATCCTTGTATCTCTCCAGCCTCCCATTTCGGATAAAACTCATTCGAAGCCTTGGTTTGTATAGCACTTGCATCAAATAAGGGTTGACTTCTCTTCAAAAAACCTTCCAAGTATGCTCTCACATCTGTTACATACCTAATATTATGTGCAAATAAGTAAAAAAAGAAGGACCAAAAACGTCTAATCCAGATTGAAGATGATTGCTCACTTGAAGTAATCAGACGACGCCCTAGTTTCCTTTGATACTTCAAACTTGTCGAAATCATTCAAATATCCCAAATAAGTCATTTTTTCACCCTTGACGCCCTTCAGATTCAAATATTGTTCAAACAAGATGTGTAAATCTAGATATTTGCCGAGCGCTTCTTCTCCTGTAAACGATGCATCGACCACTAAAACCCATGTAAACTTGTTAGACGTTGATAAGCACGAGAGGAAAAAAGAGGAATATGATAACACTATAACACATGCCTTGTTCTTCTTTAATGACATCCCTATTAGCAAATTCCATCTCGAAAGGTTCAAACCCTTCGTTTGGATATCGTCGATGATATTCCTTGATAGATTTCAGTCTTTGGTAGAACTCTGTGAATTCCGTGGCTCCGGATATGGCAGAGATCTCATTCTTTCTCGACCTTTTGAAAGTTGGTGTATTCGTTAAAGGCTAAAAAAAGGAGAGTGACTTAAACAAGATGAGCTTACTCGTCAGCATCTTGATACACGCGGTGTAGAAACTGGCTCTTGTCAGCAATTCTATCAATGTAGTCGGATACCCGTCTCTCTTGAATAACTCGTTCCTTTTGCTAAAGTAAGATGGTGATGGTGAATGTGTTTGATGTGGACGATGCACACGTTGCCATTCATCTTAGTTCAAATCAACAGCAGCGACACATACAGTTTTTGGTTTGGCTAATAATTCTAGCATTCCCAGATTCTCTAATCGATCAATCTCTTCATGAGCTCTCCTCTGCTGCTCCAACTAGTGTTAACAGAGCGAATTAGTTTCAAGTTATGTAGCAAATGCGAAATAGACGATTTATGTCTTACTAGGGAATCCATGTTCGTCCCAATAAAAAGCGTGGTTTGCCTCAATAAGATTGTCTCTACACGTTCTGCTTGTTTTTTACAGCGAAAGACAACGAGTAAGAACAAGCAAATATGGCCGGACGAGCGCCCGGAGGTATTGACAGGACTGTAGATGAAAAGCTAGTCTTTGAGGTAATGTATATACTGTCCTATTGCTGCTCTCCTTGTTTTGTTATATCTTGAAAAAGCTCAACAAACTAATTCGAACATGTAGACTACGGAAGATGTTAAAGTAGTGCCAACATTCGATGCTATGAATCTGAAAGAAGACTTGCTCCGTGGCATATATGCATACAGTAAGAACATCAAACATTGAATGCTATAGACATCAACATTCAACATTCAATTTGCAATGAAACTTGACAAACATTGTTAACAATCTTATATTATAATTAGACTTTGAAAAGCCATCCGCCATCCAACAACGAGCAATCTTACCAATCATCAAAGGACGAGATGTCATTGCTCAAGCTCAATCTGGTACTGGTAAATCAGCTACTTTTGCAATCTCGGTCTTGCAACGCATCACAACAGACACTCGCGAAACCCAGGCTCTCATCCTATCCCCCACTCGTGAATTGGCCACTCAACATCAATCCGTCATCCTCGCTCTCGGCGACTACATGAATGTACAATGTCATGCCTGTATCGGTGGAACCTCTGTAGGTGAAGACATTCGTAAACTCGACTATGGCCAACATGTCGTATCTGGCACTCCCGGACGTGTATTCGATATGATAAAGAGACGTCATCTACGTACCCGAAACATTAAACTCCTAGTCCTCGATGAAGCTGATGAAATGTTGTCCATGGGGTTCAAGGATCAGATCTATGATGTATACAGATATCTACCACCCAGCACTCAAGTAGTCCTCTTGTCAGCTACTCTACCCGGTGAAGTCCTTGAAATGACTACCAAATTCATGTCTGATCCAATCCGTATCCTGGTGAAGCGTGATGAATTGACTCTGGAAGGCATCAAGCAATTCTTTGTATCTGTTGAAAAGGAGGAATGGAAGTTTGATACTTTATGTGACTTGTATGATACTTTGACTATTACTCAGGCAGTCATCTTTTGTAATACTCGGCGAAAGGTATGGAGTTCATTATTGGCCTTTTTTGTGTGCATCCCGTCCTGATCACTGACATGCCGCATACGCCAGGTTGAATGGTTGACTGAAAAGATGAGGGAAAACAACTTTACTGTGGCCTCAATGCACGGTGAAATGGTACAAAAGGAACGTGATGCCATCATGCAAGAATTCCGTCAGGGAGCAAGGTAAATCGACTGGAGGAATTTGTGTATCAGTGTATTCTGGTGATGACCTGACAACGTACGTCTTTATTCTAGTCGTGTACTCATTACAACAGATGTGTGGGCTCGTGGTATTGTAAGTATATCCTCGAGTAGCTAAAACCCTTGTCTTTATTGTCCAACCGTCCTTTCTGAACCTGTGTTCATTAGGACGTACAACAAGTATCCCTAGTCATCAACTACGATCTTCCAAATAATCGTGAATTATACATCCATCGTATTGGTCGATCAGGTCGTTTCGGACGCAAGGGTGTTGCCATCAACTTTGTGAAGAGTGATGACATCAAGATTTTACGTGATATTGAACAGTTCTACTCGACTCAGGTAATTATCAATGTGAATCTTTTCGTGCTAAAGAAATATTGAACCTCTTCTTTATGATATTAATACCACTTGTCACGATAGATTGATGAAATGCCCATGAATGGTAATGATCAATAGTCCTTTGCTGGTTTTTTTTTGCCAGCACACAGCCTAACCTCTTTCCTTGATTTCTAGTGACTGATCTCATTTGAGCAAATTATTGCGTCTTGTAGTCTTTGTCTCTCCTTGTAAAAAAACCGTAGCAATCGTTGGCAATTTAATACAAAAATATAAGTTGTATCGCAAAGCCCGATGTCACTCTGTTGGACTATGCAGGCGAGACTCAGATCAAGGCTAGAACGACCTTTAACGTAAACTTGTAGGTTGTAAGATCGCTAATCTGTTCTGGATCTAGTCCGCTTCATAGCTGTGCACGACCATTAAAGTCCCGTTGCAATGTCGCAGCAGACAAGAAATCTCAAACCCAAATCGTATTCTAGTATTTGGTATCAAAGGGCCACCGAAAACGATGGACGCGGCGCACATAGTGCTAGTGATAACATGCGTGATCTTCGCCATCCTGGTGATTATCGCATCCATCTACTTTCTTGTCTACTTTCAGCACCCTGACGACAAATGGGTTGCATGGGCTCCCAAAGTATTGGTGGTATGTCATACACCGATTTGAGTATTCACGATAGTTGTGGATAAGATCTCGTAACTAACGGATCACTTATGGCAGGTTGTTGGATTGTCGGTATCTTGCTTCAACATTTTCTTGTTGCCATTGGATGTGGCAAATCAAGGAGGAACGTTTCAAGGATCGAGCAGCTCGCTGCCAATGTTTTCGTTATCATTGGCGTTTTATATCACGACTATGGTGATGGGGCTGTTGCTAGTGCCGTTCACGGTTTACTACTATGAAGGCATCGATGATTCTGATGAGGCCGATGATAAATCGTACGTTTATGAGATAATTTTTGAGGATTATGAGAGAGATTAGGAGATTGTCGGCTTAAGACCTGCAATGGAATATCGACCACAGCCGTTTTTTGGCACCAAGCCAACACCACTCTTACCCACACATATGTTTTAGAAACAACAAGAGTCAATTGGCATATGCCATTAAATGGATGGTACCTACAATCGTAGTCGTGGGCGTCATGTACTTTTTGCTATACTACTTTTTCGGATACGCTGATGTCGCTACGACTCAACTGGCTGGTGTCTTGGTGGCTACTAATGTAACAACAAATCTTGTTGATACATGTCAATATGGATTGTCGAATTCTACTGTAAGTTAAACGAATGACATGGCAATCTAGGTGGTTTTTTTGCGGGATGTGTGTGTTTCCATATTAAAGAACAGACTTTCGCTTGGAAATATATGCTCATCACAACTCATCATAGTACTGTCATTCCTCATACGTAACTATACAAGTCGGTGTATCATGGCTAGTCTATGTGATTGCCTTGACATCATTCGTTGGATGGCTCCTATTTTCAGTCTTCGGAGGTGTTGGAATTATTTCGCTGCCCGTTGATTTGATTCAAGACTATCAACATCGTCCTAAACCTATCAAAGCTGCCGAGTGAGTGCTATTGAATGTTTGGCGTTGTGTATGACGATGAGCTGAATTTTTTTGATCATAGATACGCAGAAAGGAAAAAGATGATAGGACAACAATCTCAAGTATTGATGGAAGCTGGAAAACAATTAATGGAAGAGTTGAAGTTGGCTTCTAGGACGACAGCTACACGCTTCACTAACCGGAAATTCAGGAGGGTTAAGAATCGTGAGTCTGAATTTAGAAAGGTACGTTGAACGTTATTCGGGTGGTTATTGCCGTGGGAGAGAAAAATTGAAAATGAATCGCTCTGATCGTAATAGGACGTCATGATTCTTGAAGCACATTACAGATATTTGGAAGATTCATACAGGAATCAAGGTGGAAATGCATTATTGCAATTGGCTCTGTTTGTTTTGGGAATTATTGGGTATGTAGAGCATAAAACACGCATTGGAAAAATCCGACCATCGATCTGATCATCAACAATCGTTTTAGTTGCTTCATTTCCTTCTTCTGGGTCCTTCACGTCATCCTATACACCCTACCAGTAGTCACCGATTCCTACCCAATCTCTCCCTTCCTCAATTCATTCTTTGACTCTGTCAACCAAGTGCCATTCCTTGGTATTGCTTTCTACGCACTTTTCGCGTTCTACCTGTTGGCATGTGTTGTCAAGGGTAACATTAAGCTTGGAATGAAGATATTGTTTATTACCATTCACCCTCTGAGGTATTATGGGTTATTTGTCCTCTTTTCTACCTTCAAATTGACTAACACTCTTTCATAAAGGTTTGGAGAGACCATGATGAATTCCATGGTATTCAACGTTGGTATCATTCTGTTCTGCTCGCTGTCAGTTGCTCAGTTCTGTACATTGTCGTTTGGATTGTACGCCAAGTACACCTCAAGTTATGGTAAGAGAAAAAGAAAGCGACAAGGACATAGCGAAATACTTGAGTGAAGTTCTTCATCACACATTTCACTAATAACATAACACTTTACTATAGCACTATTCGGTGTCCAACTACAGAACTTGAGAGGCATACATTGGGGATACAGTGCCTTTGTCTATGTGTTTGAGACCTGTGCGTTCTTGACCATGATGTATCTAGTTTACCGGCCGTATAACAAGCAGAGAGAAAACAAGCTGCAATTCAAGGTAATCAACTAATAATGTTGCTGACAAGAAGTAGTTTTTTTGCTGACAATTTCTGCAATTTCTTGTTTTTCTTAGTGGTGATTCTTATGCGTTGAGCTCTTAATTTTCTTTAATACAACACCAGTTCTGTTTCATGAAATGTGCGCGTTATAATGCGTTCTACTGCGTCATTCGAGCTGTTTCAGAAGTCTGTTGTCCTTCAAAAACACATTTCGTCCTTTTGCTTCGCAGCTCCCAAAACAGCCACATCAAAACCAAAAAGGAGACTTGAAAATAGAGATAATTTATACAATTCAATTTTACTAGGTAATCGAGAACTAAAGACACTTGACACCGCTCTGAAAGATGGCTACAGCTTTCGGTTGGGATGAAAGCCAAACAAGAGCAACCAGTGTCCTGGCTGGCGAGGATGCAGCAAACCAAACAGATCAATTAAAGAAATACTGCGACAAATTCATTGAATTCATACGTACATTTCGTATCGACAATGAATTCTTGTACAGGTAAAACATTGGCAACATTTGCACGTCTTGATGGTTTTGGAATGGATGTCGTTCTAATTACTAATTGACTTGATCTCGACAACAGGGACATGATCCGTGGATCCATAATGGCTAAAAAGTACTTTATTGAAGTTGATTTGGCACATTTGATGAGCTATGATGAGGGACTTGCAAATGATTTGAAGGAACGACCTGGTGATTTATTACATCAGGTATGTGATGAATTTTACATTGAATTATGAGATCATTTAATTGAATGCACTGTTTTGTTGTATAGTTCGAACTGGCTGTAGAGTCAGTTGCGAAGCAAAACACTCTGTCATCAACTACGACTACCTCTGACGAGATGTCGAATCAATGGCAAGTCATGGTGCTGTCTAATGCAAATCCAGTTCCTATTCGAGATCTAGACGTACGTGTGAACAACGTTTGCAATGTAGTCTGCCAACCTTCAGCCAACTCTGTTCTGCTGCTTGATCACTCTAGTCCACCTACATCTCTCATCTCGTTCGTCTCTCTGGAATCATCATTTCAGCATCCATGCTGTCTGCGAAGCCAACTGAAATCCACTTGAGATGTAAATCTTGTCGTGATGTCCAAATCGTGGCTCCCAAGAGAGGAATGGAGGGTATTGAAATGCCGAGATCTTGTTTAGCGTACGTGTATAAAACCATGTTTTTCACAAAGGAACATCTCATGATTTGCATTCACTTGTTTTGTTTTCCTTAAAATAGTGGAAGAAATCAAGAAACGGGATCAAAGAACTGCGGACCCAATCCTTATGAGCTTGATATGGACAAGTCCAAGTTTGTTGATTCGCAACGATTAAAATTACAAGAGGCTCCTGATATGGTGCCTGTTGGTGAATTGCCTAGGCATATGCTGTTGTATTGTGATCGGTACGTTCGAATTCCAGCTTTAAAGCTTTTTTTTTGTTTGACCGACGCCTGATAGTTGGTTGACGGAAAAAGTCATTCCTGGTACTCGAGTGACGGTGACTGGTATTTTCGCTATATATGACAATTCGGGTGTACGTACATTTTGTTTTGTGGTTTCACCTCATCAGCCGAAAAACTCATGACTAGGATATTCTCCATTAACAGAAATCCAAAGGTCCCGTCGCCATTCAACACTCTTACATCCGTGTTGTCGGCATGCAGACGGATGTGGAAGCAAGTGGTCGATCGAATAGGACCTTCACTCCCTCGGAAGAAGAGATCTACCTCGCAATGTCTCGTCGACCAAACATTTACGAAGAGTTCGCTAGCAGTATTGCACCACCTATTTATGGCAATGAAGACATTAAGAAGGCCATTGCATGCCTGCTTCTGGGTGGATCTAAAAAAATCCTACCAGATGGAATGAGATTACGAGGAGATATTAATGTGCTCTTGTTGGGAGATCCTGGTACAGCTAAATCTCAGTTGCTCAAGTTTGTTGAGAAGGTTGCTCCCATTGGTGTATATACTTCTGGAAAGGGTAGTAGTGCTGCAGGTTTGACGGCTTCTGTTGTTCGTGATCCAAGCACGGTATGGTGTGAGATTTGCAGAACCTTCTTTTGATATTTGCGATCTTGTCTGAATCTCTGTTTGTTTCAGCGCGAGTTTTACTTGGAAGGAGGTGCCATGGTGTTGGCTGATGGTGGTGTTGTATGTATTGATGAATTTGACAAGATGAGAGAAGAAGATCGTGTTGCTATTCATGAAGCCATGGAACAGCAAACCATCTCTATTGCCAAAGCAGGGTAAGTCTGGCGAGGTTGCCTTTCCCACCGAAAAAGAAACGGTTTTGAATCAACATAACATCATATAGCATCACAACAATTCTCAACTCTCGGACTTCGGTATTGGCTGCTGCTAATCCTGTATTTGGTCGATATGATGACATGAAGACTCCTGGGGAGGTAACAAAAAAATCCTAGGAGCTGTAGAATGAGATCCACATTTGGACTATGTTGCTGACATTCTCCACTCGTTTCTAGAACATTGACTTCCAATCTACCATCTTGTCTCGTTTCGACTTGATCTTTATTGTGAAGGATGAATGGAATGAAGCCCGTGATAGAGTAAACATGAGCACATCACAATAGGTTTTGCCATTCGTTACTAACAACTCTACTTTTATGTAGACGATTGCCAAACACGTGTTGAATGTACATATGAACAACCGTACTGCTCAATCTGAAGCAGCAGTAGGGGAATTTGATATGCAGAGAATGCGAGGGTATATCAGTTATTGCAAGACGTAAGTCGTGGGTTACCTGTAGATACTCCTCTTTTTCGCACTCATAAGAAACATTCCGGTTTCTATTGTCCTATAGAAAATGCGCACCAAGGTTGACACCAGAAGCAGCAGCTAAATTGAGTAGTCACTTTGTGGAAGTTCGTGGCAAAGTTGCACAAATGGAGAAAGATAATCAAAGAAAGTCTGCCATCCCTATTACTGTTCGGTATGTTTGGCCTTTGTGTGTTTGAGAAAAGAAGAAGTACCGCTCATCCTTTTATTTTGGACAATAGTCAATTGGAAGCCATTGTCCGTGTATCAGAATCGGTAGCAAAGATTGCACTTTCACCTGTTGTTACTGAACGACATGTGGATGAAGGCATTCGACTATTCAATGTTTCAACCATGAGTGCAGTAGATTCAGGACGAGGTAACTAAATCGTGTCGTTGTGAATAATGTCCTATCATCACAATTAAATGATTCAACCTGATGTTGATATCGTTGTTTATAGTTGAGGGACTTTCTCGTGCCGAGTATAATGAAGAAGTAGGACGTATACGTGATCAAATCAATCGTCGTCTTCCAGTTGGATCTCAAGTATCTGAGAGAGCTCTGAAAGATGACTTGATTCGCCAGGTGAGAGTCGATTTTGGCCTTTTAAGTTCGCTTTTTTGCCCCTCATGTCTTCACTCCATACAAATCCATGACACGACCGTCTTCTTTGCAGGGATTCACGAATGCAGCAGTAGATCGTTCGATTGGAATGATGGTTGGTCGAGAGATCTTGCAATACAAGCAACGTAGGATGGTCTTGTTCCGTGCTGGATTGTAGAGACGAGAAACACAAATAACAAGAACCAACTTTGTCCATATTTTATGTTGAATATGATTTATATCTTAGTAGAACGTTCGGAGAGCATGGTGTGTATGACTTATACATATAATCAGTTGTTATCGAATACGGTGACTCCTCTAGCACATAACTAAGATTTTTGGAAAGGAGAAAAAGAAAGATATGGTCAGTAACATTATGGTGGTTCACCACATCTATCAACCTTGTCAAGTTTGAACTTTTACCTCTTCTGGGAAGGGTACGTTTCTCTCCCATTTGGAGCCTCCAGGAGCAGTAGGAGCTATTGAGAAGAGCATTTTTGGGTTACTTTGGCGAAGGATGAAGGCCATAGATGCGCATCGCCAAAGTTGCAGCAATGGCCATTGGATGTCTTGAAATGCAAGTACTTACAGACATAAGGAATAGGATGAAAGTAGTAAGCCAGCGCCTTTTCGGTTTCACGTAACTGGCCGGCGACGATTCTTGGATTAGTTTCAGCCTTGTTTGCATCAAACATTGCTCTAATGATGACTTGTTTTTCACGACATTCTCTGCGTTGCCAATACCAGTCAGCGCTTAGACGAAGCGCTTTCCTATATAGTCTAGTCACGTATTGCCTGTGTGCTGGCGTGCCGAGCTGGAGGGCAGCTAATGACATTGTTGTTCTATAGACGGGTTGGTTTGAAGGTGCTTTTTTAGCGTGAAAAGGACAAGATGTAGCAAAGAAGAGCGATGCGCTAGATAAACATGGAGCAGAGGCAGTATGAATGTATTATTCACGTGTAAGTAGATCAAATATTATGGATAAAACACGTAAAGCATGTATCGCAATTTCTTCAAGACCAAGTGATAAAGCAGTTGCATCATCATGTTCTGAATTGTATGGTCACAACTGTCACTTCCTACTTGTAGTGGCTCCCAGCGTGTGGTATTCCGCAAGACCCTGCTGGTGTCCAGTTGGTTGATCGCCTGAATCACATCTGACAACCCTCAGTTGAAACAATCGTTCTTCGCAGTAACAAACGCAAGCAGCCTGTAAGAAGGAGCAGTTAAGCAGTCTGATTATATATTCTTAATTTTATACATCTGAAGAAACGCGACAAAACACGTCCAGTGGCATTCTCTGTCAAGTCAAACCAACCAAATAATCACAACCCCCGAACTCAAGTGATTTCCGCAACATTGAACAAGGAGGAACTAGCATAGAGAGGAACACTACTAGAGCACAAGGTATGTAGCATAGTAGTCACTGTGTAGAACTATTCCTAGTTCTCTTGGCTCCTCATTCTTGCCATTTCAAAATAAGAAATACCGTGCGCATATGGAATTGCCAAACACTTGTTGCCCTATTACTCTTATATTTCACTAACCACCAACCACTATTAGACTATTACTATATATATTCGCATCGGGCAATCAGACAGGCAAACTACAAACACTGTGGTTCTGCATGTCCTTTTGCTAATTTAATCAAGAGGGATCATGAAGGGGTTGAAAAACCGCGTGGTATGTACACTCTGACCTGGCCACAATCTCATATCTTTTCTTTGTCATCGTCGTTTTCTAACTTACTTCACTACCACCCCCTCCAATACACACACACATATACCCCACACACACAGCTGTCAAGAACAAAGCAACCTACCCCAGACACTGCAACAAACACCACTTCAACGACAAACAATAGCAATTTCAACATTCCCCCACAACAGCAGATACAACAACAGCCTACTCCTTCGGCTGCTCCAAACGTAAAGGCCAACAAGGTCGCTGCAGCTCCTTCTGCTACCTCTTCCTTATCACAACAACAGCAGTTTAATACCAAGGACTCGGCAAAGGCTACTACCACATCACCGACTTCATCTGCTGGAAGCATCCCAGCTAGTGTAAACACTTCGGCTTCAAACGCAAAGGCATCCATTTTCGGTAAAAAGGAAGAGTCGCGGCAGGGAAATATGGAAACGTCTATAAATTCAATCTCGGTAAATGAACATGAAAGATGTGCCTTTGACATTTTTTCGTTGAGCTGGATTTCACACAATCTCTAACTTTCTTGTTATACGCTAGCTTACAAAAGATGCATCAAAATCATCGGGATTGGGACATAAAGGAGCCGCTGGTGGCGAAGTGCCCAAATCTGGTGCTCTAAATCGTTTAAAAATGTCACCGAAAGATGCCATTCCTCTCAGTAAAACACCACGTAGACAACGATCGTCTAGGTTTCATGTTACAGAAAAGGTGGAATTGGAGAAGCTGGTTGGATTTAAAGGTGAATATATATTGTCTGAGAGGCATCCAGCGATGGCCTTGGAGTGTTTCTTTTCTCTTCATCGGTCCTTTCTTACCACTCCGTCACTAATTTCATTCAAATCATATAGATGTGGCGCCTGGTGAACGTCAAGATCTTTTTTTGAGAAAGATTGCTCAATGTTGTGTCTTGTTTGACTTTAATGATGCTCTGTCGGATCTAAAGGGCAAAGAGATAAAAAGGCAGACATTAACAGAATTGGTGGATTATATTACAAACAATCGTGGCGTTATTGCCGATGCTATATATCCTGAAGTCGTCAATATGGTATGTGAAGGGGAAAACACAAATCAAACCAGTGCTTGACTGACATGTAATACATTATGTTTTTGCTATTTTTCCCACATTAGTTTGCCATAAACCTCTTCCGAACGATACCACCACAAGTCAATCCCACAGGCGATGCCTTTGATCCAGAAGAAGACGAACCTGTATTAGAAATGGCTTGGCCACATCTTCAAATTGTATACGAATTCTTTTTGAGATTTATTGAATCTCCCGACTTCAACACCAACATTGCCAAAAAGTACATTGATCAGCACTTTATTCTTCAGGTATGTTGGAAATTGAATTTGGAATTATGTTGTTGTGATGTCTGTGAATGGAGGGAGCTGGAATTGCAATCGCGATGCCAGTAGAACCAGAAGTGACAATGTACTAAACAGCCCCTTTTTCAATTTCACATAGCTCTTAGACTTGTTTGACAGTGAAGATCCTCGTGAACGTGACTTTTTAAAGACAACACTACACAGGATTTACGGCAAATTCCTAAACCTACGAGCATTCATTCGTCGATCCATTAATAACGTATTCTTCCAATTCATTTACGAGAATGAACGACATAACGGTATAGCTGAGCTATTGGAAATCCTTGGATCTATCATCAATGGATTTGCACTACCACTTAAAGAAGAACATAAAGTGTTTTTGACTCGTGTCTTGATTCCACTGCACAAGGCAAAGAGTTTGACCCTTTATCATCCACAATTGGCATATTGTGTGGTACAGTTTTTAGAAAAGGACCCTTCGTTGACGGAAGAGGTATGTCGTGTTAAATAGTATTGTTGAATCGAGTCGTGCCGTATCAAGCTGGATCAGGCCGACAGGGTCATGACTGCGAAATTACCATTGGTTTTGCACGCTGTGTCTATCTTCACAGACGTTGAATTTCGAAGCGGACCAACGACAGTCTTGCAATCTAACTCTTTCCGCTCATCAACTAATAGGTCGTGTGTGGCCTTTTGAGGTTTTGGCCAAAGGTCAATAGTCCCAAAGAAGTCATGTTCTTAAACGAGATGGAAGAAATACTGGATGTAATTGAACCGCAAGAGTTTCAAAAGATACAAGTGCCACTCTTTCAACAATTGTCACGGTGTGTCTCTAGTCCGCACTTCCAGGTATAAAATGCATCAAAATTTGGTTTTTGTTGATGAATCATGGAAACTAATAGCAATTCTCTCTTCAGGTGGCAGAAAGAGCTCTATACTACTGGAATAACGACTACATCATCAACCTCATTGGCGACAATGCCTCAGTCATTCTTCCCATTGTCTTCTCCTCCCTGTACAGAAACTCAAAGACACATTGGAATAGGTAAAGAAAAGAACGAACATCGAACAATATGATTGCTCATTTCTAAACTCTGTCGTTTCTGTCGTAGAACAATCCATGGTCTTGTATACAATGCATTAAAGCTATTTATGGAAATTAGCCCTAAACTATTTGATGAATGCACCAACAAGTACAAGCAAACACGACAAATGTATGAGCAGGCATCTGGTGATAGTCTATAATTTTTCTCCTGCACATTCTAACACCTGCTTTCGTTATAAAAGGGAACGAAAGAGAGCCAAGGAACGCGACGAAGTCTGGACCAAGCTCGAATCAGTTGCTTCAACCAATGCCACCAAACTGTTGGCATCTGTCCCCTCAACACGAGCAGCAGCTATTCACATGCCAGTCCACATCCCAATCCCAATAGAACCAGCTCAAGACATGTATGAAGAACCAGAAACTGAAACTCCACATTCTGAGAATCATGAAGGTCAAGATGGTTTGGGTGAAACTAAAGTGAGTTAGTTATACGGTTATTGTTTTAACCTTGTTTTTGTTCTTGTTGAATCTGAATCTGACCCAATCCCCTTATTTCCAACAGCAATTCGAGGATCGTTCAACTCCACAACGATTCCGTAGAAAGTCTGTCCTGCCCGTTGACGAACAAGTTATGACTGAACTGTCTCGACACAAGTCACTAGAAGAGATGGTCACTGACAAGAACAAGGTCAATACTGCCATATCGGGATTGGACGATGATTGAGAAGGCTATTTTTTCACTATGAAACACCACCGCAACACGCACATCTTTAGTATTATAAATTTTTATACAGTAGTGACAGGATTAAAACGAAAAGCGAAGGCAATCGGATTTTTTTGGGGTAGGAGGAGATATTTGAAAACTTACAAGTGCTGATAGTAGTCATATATTTAAAGTACTGTTGTGTGTAAAAGGCAGGAGCGTTTTCAAATAGCAAAACTACTAGACCCAAAAACCAAAAACTTTGTGCATTCTATTCTGTGTATGTATGTGTGTCAATCCAACAGTATATTATTAAGCGTGAGCTGTTTATGACAATGGTGATGCGTCTGTAGATGATGGTTGTGATGCGTCTGCTGCTGTTTTTGATGCAAAGAATGAAATCAAGTCCTCTTCGTCACCAGTTACTTGATCTGATGGAAGCTGTACTGTAGTTTTGGAATCTTTTAGGAAATACTGGAGGAGGGCGTCTTTTGCTGCTCTTGTTTCAGCCATTTTTATCGAGCTTCCGTATCCTGTATGTGACGAGATGCGTTAAAAGTCAAGGTGTACAAAAAAATGCACACGGGTTGAGCTCCATCTGACGGACCTGCAGCCAAACCACTCGCTCACACATACCTTCTCCAACTTTAACATCCCCAGAATACATCCCCACAACAAATACCGGCGAATGACTCTGCCTACCAGTCTCTTTGACCAGTCTCGCAATCGGTCTCTCCCGCTTGAGAGTCCGGTATACTTGCGACAGCATGGCTTTTGGTTTGTTTATGACTATGAGGGACTCGAGGTCTATAACACGGGATAGGATGTGTGCCTTGATGAATTCCTTGGCGGGGGTTGGGCCCTTGGTTTCGTAGAGGGCGCCTACGAGGGCTTGCATTACACGGGATATAATGGGGGTTTCGCCGAGGGATGTTTCTTTGTCCATATACTAGGTGTGAATGGCAGAGTATTAGGGTGGCAAATGAGAAAGTTGATTACTCGTCAAGTTAGGATTGTCGTTCGTTCAAGAGGGCTTTTTTCTACTTTGGAATGTCTCTCGGCATATAGCCAAAAAAAAGACGATACACAAGCAAGCAATGGTCTGCAACTTAACATACCTTCCATCTCATAACACGCTGCACACCCAGTCCACGTCCAACCTTAGCAAGAGCAGCCAACCCGACATACGCATCCACAGCCTCCTCCAAATCATCCCCAGCCAGATTCCGATACCTCCATGCAATCCACTCTGTAATATACATTCTCAGCAGCGATTCCCCAACCACCGCAAACCGATCATTTACATCTGTCGGTGGTAATGGACTCAATGCTGGCAACCCACTTGTCGTATTACTACTATTACTACTATTATAAGGACCACGGTATGACCGATGCGTCAGTGCACGCACCAGCACATCGGTGTCTAGATGCGACAGGCCTGTTCGAGCTATAAAGGCAGCGACTCGAGCCTTGTATTCTTCTGGTGATGTGGAAGATGGTGTTGGAGGACGAGATATTGGAGCGGGCTGGATGTGGTGTATGGGGAGGGGGAATTTGAGAGCGAGTTTCTTTGCTAGGTTTTTCTGTGCGAGGGCTTCAGAGGGGAAGTTGCGATGTTGGTGATGGTTTGATGGTATGAGTGGGATGTGGGGGGATGATGATGTGCGTGTTGATGATAAATATACTGTTGGAAAATGAGTGGGATGGACGAATTAGTCAGTTTAATAATGTGTAGGCATGCGATGCTTGATATTCGCGAAGGTGTGGGTTTTTTTTTTCATTGAGCAACTCTAGTTCGTGGCAATTGGTGTACAGTCAATCGAGTTATGCGCTTACCAGACATGCGATGTGCATGATGATTCACATTCCTACTAGCTTCTCTCACGCTCATTCTGCTCTCTGTCTAGTTTTTTTTGTTTCCTAAGACGGTAAAAATTTAAGTTACCTAGTAAGAGTTACAAGACGTGATTTGCATCGAAGAGGAGGATTGCAATACGATTTAATGCTATATCTGCCTCGATTTCATGGCTCCAACACGAAAATCAACGTGTTGTGGGGTTGTTTTCAACCAAAGTGTCCCAGATTTGAGTCATTCGCCCAAGACACAACCTCGCTAAGAGACAAGGAGGGCAACCAGCTCAAATCTCGTGAATTGGCTCAAGATTCCTCAATCTTGTAATATCCTACTGCGATCGGTTATGCTTTCTCCTCGAATTTCATGGAATAGAATTGCCATCAACACTGGCATTCAAGACCTACGTTTTGCACTAAGAGCAAGAACAAAGGCGTGCAAGCTAATGGAAAAACGTCTAAAAACTGGTCTGAAACGGCGCAGAGTCCACACCTCACCAGCCCTCACACTCGGACTACATTGCCAACCCAAATCCTATCGGCAGCACAGAAACAATCGAAGCTCTCCCTAAAAACAAAAAACAGTGTCGTAAACCATGGGACGACGAGGTCGAGTAGGCAATGATAACGCAATGCGAGGAATGGACACCAAAGTCGTTCGACATTACGAGAGTCAATACCGTGGTACCCGTTTCATTACAATCTTGGTCAATCTCATTCAATTGGTAGGTTCCTGACTCTTATTTGGGAGCTAGAGGTCATTGTTGTTGGCATCCAAAGACATCGTTGATGAATTGCATTGTCATCCGAAGGCTCCCCTATTGATGAATCTCAAAACATTTAGGTCACCGTAGCAGTCAGTGTATATTACGCCACAATGAGCTCCAACAGCTACTACAGTTTGGTGCAACTATTAGAGATGGTGTGCCCTCTACTATGTTTTGTAGCCATGTTCAGATTCGATATGGAAGACAAGGAGAAGGCTGCCTTCTTATGGGTCGAGTGTAGCAGGATCTTCTTTATGGTACGTGTAGAATAACGTCAGAGTCGGTTCAACCGGATGTTAACTCCTTACACGCATAGTTCTGCTTCTTTTGTGTTATATCTTCTGGAGTCAACATTTACTTGATACTCATACGATTCGGATTTGTCGCAATAAGTGTATCTGATCCAACCGCAAACCAAATCTTGTATGGAAATCCAAATGGCACTGTCTATGGATTCAGTTTCGCCACGATACTAAAAGTAACGCCATGTGTTATGGTCGGTGCCAATCTTATCGGTCTTGCCCTGGGAATATTCTGGCACCGAAAGTCTATTCATCGTGCCATACCATGTAAGTTTTCGTAAATGATTCTAGTGTTTTTTCATATATTACAATTCATGAGGGTTGATCACCTATTTGTCTAACTGCTTCCCCACTTTTTGACGTTTGATACTCCAGTCCACGGCTTTTCATAATCTTTTCCAACCCCTTTACTATGTGATCAAATATAACCATATGTTTTATACCTGTTGCACGTTCATGTACCTCGACAAGCCCTTCCTGTTCCAGTTTCTTTCCAAGCACAATCACATATGGGTAGCCCACTAGCGCAGCATCCTTCATCTTATACCCAAATCTCGCGACACTGTTACCCCGATCATCCAATATTACATCATTTGGCATCCGTTGAGCAACCAGTTCGATTACTCGTCTGGCTATTGGTTCGCTCAACAAATCAGGAACAGAGGGTACTATACATGCTGTATACGGTGCAAGTGCATCGGGCCATACGAGTCCCTGATCATCTTTACATATTTCAGATACGGCTCCAATAACTCGCGATACTCCAATTCCGTAGCACCCCATTACGAAATGCTCGTCCTTGTTTTGTGATGAGCGGAATGTGGCGTTTAGTGGTACTGAATATCGAGTTCCCAAGTAGAATGTATGGCCGACCTCTATAGCTTTGTGACCTTTGAGTTTATTGGTTTTACAAGATGGACATCCTTCACCATGTTCAGCTTCCCTGAAATCATCTAGAATCATCGAGGAGTCGTCAGGTAGCTTTGGTAAAACCGCCGAATCTACAGCGATGACCACATTCTCCGCTTTTGTCACTAGCTCTTCAATCTGATTAGGCAGCAATCGTTCCAGCAATATCAGTGACTTGTGCAATTTAGGATGTTTCTTGATTTTTATACTATTCGGTTTGTCTCCTGGTCGTAGCAATACCAACACAACATTCTTGTATGATGCATCTGCACAGACGTGCAGGTCTGTGAGCTTAGACAAGAATTGCGAGTCTTTTGGTAGCACATTTTGATTTACACCGGTGGTGTTTGATGGGTTTGGGATTGCTTCTATCGGTATGGATCGTGCTCGTTCTACGTTGGCTGCATAACCACAGGATCCACAAGCTAGTACGGTATCCTCACCAGCTAACAAGGTGTTTTTTAATGTGAGAACACGATAGGTGTATAGCTTCGAAGGTGGTTTTCTCTACCTTCTGATGCATAGTGATACTCATGTGATCGTGTGCCACCGATATTTCCAGTATCAGCTTCAGCCTACGGGAGAAAACAGTTGGCAAACAAATCTAGCTGACCGCTACCAGATGTATGACATCCACTCCGCACGCGTCACACATACATACCGTAGTGAAAGGCACTCCAATTCTGGTAAACACACGATTGTATGCGTCACAGACGTGATCATATGTCTGCAGTGCCGCAACCTCACCCAAATCAAACGTGTACAAATCCTTCATCAATAATTCACGACCACGTAGTAATCCGCCTCGCGGCCTGAGTTCATCTCTATGTTTGCGACCTACATTTTGGTGTGAATACGCAAAGCGAAGAAAGCCAACTTTCGGTCACGCATGATACCTATTTGGTAGAGTCGAAGTGGTAACTGTCGATGTGACGATACTGATGATGCCACTAGTTGGGTGATTTCTTCTTCGTGTGTTGGAGCCAATACAAACTTGCTCTTCTTGCGATCTTGTAGTTGAAACATCTAGAACGATTTGATCGTGTTAGCTTCGGCTATGTTGCGTTTTTTGGTTGTTGTGACATACTTCAGCACCCGTCGATGCTAGCCTTCCAGACTTTTCCCAAGCATCTACTGGTAGCAATGTCGGTAGAGATAGCTTCTGGCCACCTACATGTTGGCTAGGAATGAGCGAAAAGAAGAGTGGATTGTACAGAGGCAAAAGCACCTATTCGTTGCATCTCCTCATCAATGATCCGTTCTAGCTTGGCCAATACGCGTAAACCAAGAGGTAAAAACGTGAAAACACCAGCAGAGGACTATGGAACTATGAGTGAGTTCAAAGGCTAAAAAACCTGGAAGCAGGATGGTACCTGGCGTAAGAATCCAGCACGAACAAGATAATCATGGCCAGATGTAACACGTGCATCGGATCCAGTAGATGGCGCCTCCGAATAGCTTGGTACAAAGACGGATGACAGCCTTGTAATAGGCTTGCGTATATAAAATATTAGATGTTGACCATCGTTCCGTTAAATTGCACGGTTTGTTTCAGAGAGACTTACAGGATCTGGAGCCGTGCTATAGCTTCGAATACACGTGCACCATCTCCTTGCAGCTCGTGACATTTTTTGTATGTTTTTCAGAAGCTTGCCCAATCTTTGACCAAAACACCTAACGAAGGATGAGGTTTGGATTAATTGACGATACGACGGATGACGAGGCTGATAGCATACCAACTAATGCCAAAAGTCGGTCTTCTCCTACTAGTCCCTCTGGCTCTCCTTCAAAGTATGTACCGTCCCGTTGTTGGCAGCATTGTAAATGTTTCATCAACCGTAGTGTACTAAATCTATTTACATGATTTATCAACTTAGGTCACGTATAAAAAGAGATGACCGACTGTTCCTCAAAGCTGTAAAGGCGCATGCTATGCCAGATCCACTTCAAGCATTCGAGGCTGTATTGTCTGATCAAGCTTGGGTACATTCTTGTTGGGAATTTCTGAAAATAATGATTGGATTTTTGATTATTTATATCTATCGTCTCACTCTTTCATGTTTTAATGAATGCAGAGAGCCGTGGAGGCCAAAGCTTCTGTAACTTCTAACCACGTCAATGGAAATGCCTCGCAAGCCTCGGCACTATCTAAAGATGATATGGAATTGACAAAGAAACTGGCTGAAATGAGTCTTCAGAGGTGAGCTTCCTGTGCCGTCGTTACAATGATGTTTATTCTATAAAAGCGTTCACATCTCATCTCCCAACCAAACGATCCTTAATATATAGTCAGCAAAGAGTCGCAGATAGGCAAGCTCAGGCCCTCGCAAAATCTAAGACACTTAAGGATGTAGGTCCAAAGCATTGATCCTTTTTTTACAAGAAGTGGAGTCTCACTCTCAAATCTCGAACACAGGGCGTGGAAAAAGTCATTCGAATGACGCAAGATATACTCGCAGCTCAAGAATCAAAAATACGTGAAGCTCATGAACAGAAAGAAAAGGACAAACAAGCTAAAGCTAATGCCTTAGTAGAGGAGGCTCGACGAGCACAAGCTGTTGAACAACAGGCATTAGAACAGCAACAGGCTGCAGCCCTACAGGCTCAGCAGGTAGAGGCACAGAAGCAACAGCAGCTGGAAGCAGAACGACAAGCTAGGCAGCAGGCTCAACGGGCTCAGGCACAACAGCAAAACCAAGCTCCACAACCATCTGCTGCTTCAACTGTTTCCAGGCCATCATCAGCTGTATGTGATTGAGTATTATTGATAAGTCTATCGAAGGTAGATTTATTCTCTAAACTACGATTTCTTTTTATCTCAGTCTGTAGGAGATCGTAGCACTCCGTCTGCAATCGCAGCAGCCCAGCCATTCTTGGAACTTGTCACTGTGAGTTTGTGTTTACGCATCCCAACAGGAATCTATCGAGTCCTTTTTCTAACTCCTCTATGGATCAAATTTAGAGAATCAAAACGCAGGTCAAACCAGAACTCTTGTCAAACCTCCAAAACCGAAACACATTCTTCCAACACAAAATGATGATGGCTAGAAAGGTTACAGTTGTGAAGAATTCGAAGGCCAAAGTGCTCGAAGTGGTATGTGCCCTATCTAAATTGGTTTTTTTGCAGTCTGGACGAGTCACTAAATATCTTCCCATTGTTCAGGGAAGAGAATTGTCAAGAGAATTGGATGTTGGCAAATCTAGTTCATCGCAAATGTATGAAGTGCTAATGTACAAGTTGGCTAGAAAGATCACGGTATGATTTCCTTCGACCATTTCACCTTTTTTTGGGTTGCTGACCATTCAAATATAGAGACAAGCCGAACTGGAAGTAGCTGATAATCCCGCTTTCTCCTTCCCATTGGCGTTTGTTGCCATCATAGTAATGGTAAAGCATGAGCCATTCATACGAGTTTTACTGGGTCATTTGATGCGAAGATGCCCATATGTCGTGCCTAGATACGTTGAGAAGTTCAAGGTATGCAGTGTCATGTGCAACGGTGTTTTTTGGACTGAAATTTGACTGGTCCAACCTGTCTGAATCTACGCTTCCGATCGTTGACAGGGACAATCAGAAGAAGAGTATAGAAAAGAGGCTGGATATTTGAAAACTGATGAGAATGAATATGAATCTGAAACGAAATATGTCCGTCGTATGTGTGGTATAATCTATCTATACGCTGCCATTGTTGCTACCCCTCATCGTACGTTGGATGTGAGATTTTTAGGTGAACTATCAATCACTCTTTTCCTCCCTTTTTCTTCCAGCGAAAAATCCACATCCCATATCTAATGGATGGACGTGGTTGGCTCGAATGGTGAATATTAAACCTAGGGCTATTACACCGCATCTCCTTCACGCCTTTTTGAAAGTAAGATGACAAGCTTACCTGCAAAATATTGGTACTTTTGATGGTGCGTGTGCTGACTCTAAACGATGTATGATTAGATTGTTGGCAATCGGCTCTTGCAAACATATGGGACTCAAGCCATCAAGCTCGTCCAGCTTATACGTGATCAAGTAGTTCCTGCAGTACCAAAAGACTCACAGGATGCTTTGGCTGCTTCGAATCACTTGTTGGTCTTTTTCGAAAGAGTCGAACGTGATGGAACGATACCGGCACATGAAGGAAGTGAATGGGAGTTACCCCAATAACAGAAAGAATGGAACACAAACTGTAAATACTACTCATATATATTCTATATACGCTGTATTTGCAAATACATCGTCATCTACGGATTAGGAAAGGTGTTAACACTATTAAAAATGAGGACGAATTTGAATGGAACTTTGAAATTCTTATAGTATTAGAAACAGTCAGAAGCACCAGAAGATCAGGCTCTTGTTTTGAGGAGGTTCGGGTTGCGGTCGCGACGCGTGCATCGAGTCGTTTGGAATGGTTAGATGTTTAGATTTGAAATTATAATAGATTGTTAACGATATTAACGATACGCGATGTTCACTGAATCATTCTGAACTCGCTGCACAGTCCAACACCGCACTCCATCCAAACATCCAATACTACAAACTTCGCATTTAGCAGAACATACAGAAACAAGACGAAATATGACAGAAGCCGGCCCAGCACCCAGTAAGCGAGCCTTCAAGGACAAGGAAAAGCCAGCTGAAGTTCGAGGAAGCAACATTGTCGCAGCAAGAGGTACTTTCCCGTCGTTCTGCACAGTTTGCATTTTAGACAGTCCATTATGCATCAGTCATGATGGATGACTTGTTCTGATGATGATTTATATTTCCCATAGCTGTCGCTGATGCCGTACGAACGAGCTTGGGTCCAAAAGGAATGGACAAGATGGTATAAATCATTTCCTTCATTTTCCACAAATTGCGAATCTAGAGGAATTGACGAACCAATCTAGATCCAATCTGGAAATGGAGAGGTCATTATAACTAACGATGGTGCTACTATATTGAAGCACATGTCTGTCATGCATCCAGCCGCTAGAATGGTAACAGATCTGTCTATTTTTCACGCAACGGTCTGAAAGTATATTCGTTCGTCCTTTTCCCTCAATCTCTATCCATGTATTCTAGTTGGTGGATTTATCTGCTGCACAGGATGTAGAAGCTGGTGATGGAACCACATCAGTCGTTGTTCTCGCTGGTAGTTTGTTGACTGCTGCTGAACGATTACTAGAAAAGGGTACGAAAGCTATAACCCTTAACTCGAATATTCTCAATCCATACTAACTCTTGCTTTTTATTTAATTCTCAACCTTTAGGAATCCATCCTACCACAATCGCCGAATCCTTTCAACGTGCTGCTGCCAAATCTACTGAATATTTAACGGCCATGTCTACCAAGTTGGAATTAAGTGACAGGGAATCCCTCTTGAAGAGTGCTACTACCTCATTAAACTCAAAGGTATTGAATCATCCTCCGGAATACTTGCATTCTTAATGCATATCGAACTGAACAAGCATCTTTTGATCAGATTGTATCTCAATACTCATCCTTGTTGGCTCCCATTGCTGTCGACTCTGTATTGCGAGTCATTGATTCAGCTACTGCCACTAATGTTGACCTCAAAGACATTCGCCTTGTAACCAAAGTTGGAGGAACCATTGACGACACTGAATTGATTGATGGTCTAGTCTTGACTCAAAATGTCATCAAGAGTGCTGGTGGACCAACAAGAGTAGAAAAGGCCAAGATTGGTTTGATTCAGTTCTGCTTGTCTCCACCGAAACCTGATGTACGTGTTGTCGAAAAGCCCCCCCCCCCCCCCAAACGAAACTATCACCTATACTTCATGTGTTAACATTTCTGCAACCATTTAGATGGACAATCAGATTGTGGTAAACGATTACCGTCAAATGGACAAGATCTTGAAGGAAGAACGTCAGTACTTGTTGGACATGTGTAAAAAGATCAAAAAGGCCGGATGCAATGTCCTCTTCATCCAAAAGTCCATCTTGCGAGATGCTGTGAATGACTTGTCTCTGCACTTCTTGTCTAAACTCAAGATCTTGGCCATCAAGGAGATCGAACGTGATGAGGTTGAATTCATCTGCAAGGTATAATGCATTACTTTAGTCATTTTTTGGCCTTCGTTCCTTCCCACGTTTGGGCTAACACCCGTTTCATCCTAGTCTACTGGTGCCAAACCTATTGCCGACATCAACTCCTTCACTGAAGACAAACTCGGCTATGCTGAATTGGTAGAAGAAGTATCCACAGCTGGAGCCAAAGTCGTCAAGGTCACTGGAGTAAAGAATGCAGGAAAGACAGTATCTGTCTTGATTCACGGTGCCAATCAACTGGTATTGGAAGAAGCTGAACGATCCTTCCATGACGCTCTCTGTGTCATTCGATGCTTGGTCAAGAAGAAGGCTCTCATAGCTGGAGGCGGTGCTCCCGAAATAGAAGTCAGTCAAAGACTCATGGAGTATGCCAAGACCTTGAAGGGTATGGAAGCATACTGCTTTGAGGCATTCGCTGAAGCTTTGGAAGTCATTCCCATCACCTTGTCGGAGAATGCTGGTCTCAACCCCATATCTATTGTAACTGAACTGCGAAATCGTCATGCCAAGGGTGAAAAGACTGCTGGTATCAACGTTCGCAAGGTATTATTGGAAATCTTGATTCGGTTCAAGATGGAAAGTATGCTGACTCTGAATTTGTTCGCAACAGGGCACCATTTCCAATATCTTGGATGAGAACGTCATTCAGCCTCTATTGGTGTCTACTAGTGCGATTGAGCTCGCAGCCGAGACTGTAAAGATGATTATGAAGATTGACGACATTGTAAGTCCTTGATATGGAAGTTCTTCATCGACCGTTTGCTCACCTTCCTTCACATCGAACATAGGTCTCGACACGTTAGAATACTCTAGGCACATTCGTATTAAGGTATATACCGCATAAAATGTAAGATAGGCGTAAAATATACAGCTTTCGCAGAAATCTGGGTTTTTGGATGTTTGTGCGTTCAAGAATGCGAATTCAGGTCTAAGTCAAGCGAATAGGAAGAAGAGGATACTTGCTGCAGTAAATATGAACTCCTTGCGGATCGATATTATACCAGTTACATGAGCTCTGGAGTTGTAAGGCGTTGAGTGGCAAAGCAAATGCACGGTGTTGAAGTTTTTTAGGGCTGCTGGCAATGAATATACAGACGTAAAGATAGTCGAAATCGTTGGTTTTAGTCAGTTTTATCAATCCCTGTTCGTTTTGGAATACGTGGCGTTCCATTGGCCGTGTTTTGGCCACTTTTAATTTTTTTTTTGGTTCTTACACATTTCTTTGGACAGTGCTTAAAACAACGGAAAGCACCAACGACGAGAAGGGTAAGGTCTCGTAGTCGCCTCAGTCGAAATTTAAGTCTACTTGGTCTTCTCTAGGCCTCTAAGGCCTCTGATACTTATAAGTGTTATTCAAAACACTATTTGCCGCAGTTTTGGCTTTTTCGGCATGTTGGGAAAAGTACATGCTACCAGAGACCCAAAGACGATGCATTTGCATCTTTCCAACCGTTAGAGAGCTTCCACCTGACTAGTTTTTGACTGCGACTCTCCGTTTTAGGGAATTTGTTGAGCCCAAGGTTGATGATGCTGAAAAGTTTGAAGTGGTAAACACTATAACATTCTGGGCCACTGCCATTTTGATCACGTCCGTCGCCATTCATACCTTCAATCCACCATTTTATTGGCATATCTACCAAACGATTACGATTATTGACAAAGTACACGAAACAAAAGAGATTGCTGGATGCTGCTGTTGCCCCTACTACCCCAACAAATACGCGAAGCGTCATCAACATTACAAAAATTCCTAGCGAAGCGACTGGCTCTCCGATAGTAAACAATTACCCCACAAAGGCGTCAGGCGTCGACCGGTTTGTGGTTGCTTCGAAGTAAGACTGATATGATCCTTGTCTAGGGTCCCGCTGAAGACATTAGTGCAAGTTTCTGTTGCCAACAAGGCTTTGAATGCGGCTTTCAATCACTCTTTGACTGTGTTTGTCAGTGAGTTTGCGTTTGGTCGTGCTTTCTCGTGTGCCTTGTCGAGATATTCTTAACACCATTGCATAGATATTGACTTTTTGGGTGTGTAATAGCTAGCTATTACAACCCGCGCTCCCCTTAACAGGACTAAGCTAAGGCGTACAGCTCAATATCCCTGGGGCGTGTATTACACTTTCCAGGGCGTTGAGAGAGACAAATGAGGAAGCGTTGAGAATGTAACCCTTATCAACTTTGCCATCAAGACGCTCCCTTCTTGCTTAACACGACCTAAAAAAATCTTAAATCTACGATATAGTGTGATAAGACGCAAAATCGACGAACATCCTATCTCAAGCCAACTTGACGGAACGGTACCTAACAAATTCATTTGTTAAACTTCCATTACAGCGATCGCCGGGATGCTGTCTCTCACCTCCTGTTGTCTGCTGTAAATTGCTATACATTCATAAACAAAAAATGCCCCAGTCCACAAACGCAGAAACTCTCAAGCAAGCATCAAACCGTGATATGTTTATCTCTTATAAGAAATGGGTATGTTTAATGAGCTCCGTGGATCTGCTTTTGGTGGAGCGTAGCGGCAAACATGCATGTTTTCAAACTTGCTGAACATTGAGTTTTTGGTTTTGTTTGGGCTGGCATGGACCTGACCTAGGTCAGGTAATCCCCAAAGGCTTATGTATCGGTTTCACATCTTCTACCTCACGCGACCACAAGAAGATCAACCATCATCTCGCTGGCAGTGAAGTTGGGTCTGTTTCACTGGCTCGACTCTTAAAACTGAGTCCACGTCGAAGTCGCAAACTGCACGTTGTTGAGGAACGTACTGATAAGAGGATTTGACATCTGTAGTTCAATGCGATATGCTTCAAAACTCGGACTGCATCACGAACACGCCTTCAAGAAGCTTCCAGTAACAGATATAATTACTAAGTAGTGGTAATACTATAGTAGTAATACTACGTAGTAATAATTGTTGTAATAAGACGTGACGTTTGACGCTGAAAAGATCGAACCACCAGAATGTTCAAATGACATGAGCATACTCTTGAGTTGGTTGTTTGTTGTATTTGAACTAAAAGATCAACAATATAAAATAATCGTCATGATATCTATTGACTAAAGTTCAGAAATTCTGAAGTAGCGAACGGCGTACACTCGCAACCCGGTTCAATCGGCTTAGAACCTTGGCACGAAGAACTTGAACTTGCGTACTTTTAAACCCCTCAACATTGGTTGAAAGCTTCAAAAGTTCGTGTAATCTGGCTTCTCCAACACTCTATTGCTATTTGAACGTGTTTGATGCCTCGCCGTTGATTGAGTTTCTTCAAAAAGAAAGTCAAACCAACTTTCAACAATGACACCTCCAGTTCGGCCAAGAGGTCCCGCTTCGAAACGAAAGCCCAGGACTGCTGGCTGGTCTGTCAAATTCAGGAACTGGACTGTCAATAACGGTGAGTTCCTTACGAGCTCGCTCGAAAGATCGTTGGTGTGTGTTTTGAAGAATGGGCGGGTGCTCAATCAAGCCTATTGATTTGGTTGATGGAATCGCATGAGGATGTGATGGATTCATGTATATAATCGTTCCAGTGATATATCCACATTGGGAGGGCAGTGATCGTGTAATGTAGCTGTCATCAAATGCTTCATCAAAACAAGCAGCTCGAAATGTGCAGAAGGATGGCGGAAGAGTACAAGTTACTTTTGGAATTCATTTATCAGTTCCTAATACTCGATATATATCTGTTCCTCTGTCTCAAAACTCGCCGTCTCATTCCCAATATCTCCAAATTAGGTCCACGATACCTATGGGCTGTTATCTTTCTTGGTGTTCAATTGGCATACTTCATTATATCATATGAGCAACTGGCAGGTGCTCCAACCTTGTCTGTCTTCCGTGCTCTATTGCAAAATGGGTTAATGACGGCACGTGCGGCAGCAAATGTCATCAACTTACTCGCTGGGTAATCAAAGAAATCGATTCCGCATGATCAAATTATCACGAAGATGATGACAATATTCATCATCTAATTTTATCTCTTTGAATTTTTGTTTTCTCAGGATGATCATGTTTCCATTCTGCCGAACATTCATTTCATTCATTCGACGATCAAGCATCATCAACAGAATTGTCCCATTTGATGATAATGTCAACTTCCATATCGCTATTTCAGCTTCACTTGTTTTCTGGTCCTTTGTTCACGTTGTAAGTTCTGAGTCAACCGCCACATCATCACACAAAGTCCTCTAACATCTTTACTACCAGATTGCTCATTATTTCAACTATCTAAAAGTTGAGCAAGCGTCAATGGGACAACCGACTGCGGAGAGTTTGGCTCTGTTATCTGGACCTGGATGGACGGGTCAAGTCATTACGGTAGCTCTCTTCCTAATGATGACCTCAGCTCTTGAAATTGTTAGAAGAAAAGCTTATGAAGTATTCTGGTGAGTACCAGTTGTTGGTGAATGTCGTGTTTGAATGTCGGAACTTTGTACAAGCAGGCTCAACACCCTCATCTTCAGGTTTACACACCACTTGTTCATCTTGTTCTTTGGTGGATTACTTCTTCATGGCTCTTTCTGCTTCATCAAGGCAGATCCAGGATCAGGCGATCCGTGTCGTGGTGGGCCTCAGTTCTGGTAAGAAAGAATAATCGCTGTCTCATGGCCAACAAAAAAATCTAAATGTTCTTATTGTGTATCAGGAAATTCTTCCTCGCATCTGCCGTACTCTACTTGACTGAACGTATGCTTCGTGAATGGCGAGGACGTCGTGAGACTCACATTTCAAAAGTAGTTCAACATCCTTCTCGTGTTGTTGAAATACAAATCCAAAAACCGTCTTGCAGGACTAAAGCTGGTATGCCTAAATTAGTGCTATGATGATTCACTGACAATTAATTGATGACCTTTTGGTTACACTTTTCCATAATAGGTCAATACATATACATCAATTGTCCTGAAATCGCCACGTATCAGTGGCATCCTTTCACATTGACTTCAAGTCCTCATGAAGAATTCATCTCTGTACACATTCGTGTTGTTGGAGGTACGACATCACTGATTTGGAAATCATACGCAGAAGCGGATGAGCGGATGACTTTTAGTAATTTTTGCCCTTCTTTCTCCCAGACTGGACTTCAGCATTCTCCAAACGATTAGGCTGTCGTTTTGGTGATTCAGATGAAAGGAAGTTGACTATTCCTAAAGATTTACCTTGGGTGATGATTGATGGTCCTTACGGATCGGCAGCTGTCGATGTGTTTGATTATGAAGTCTCGGTATTGGTTGGAGCTGGTATTGGTGTCACACCATTTGCGTCAATTCTCAAGGAGATTTGGTATCGTGTCCATGAACCCAAGGCTGATGTGCGATTGCGCAAAGTCTACTTTATATGGACTTGTCGTGACAAGGAGGTGAGCCTTTCGGAGAGCAAAAACCTGTGATCAAATGGTTTTTTATGACTGAATGCTTGGTTTGAACGTCTCATTTTCCACGTTAATAGGCTTTTGAGTGGTTCCAAGACGTGCTGGCCACTCTTGAAGAAGAGAACTTGGATGGCTTCCTTGAAATTCATTCATATCTCACTGGAGGTAGGTGCTCACTGATCAGTTTTCCAGTTATTGTCCGTTCTGACGGTTGTGTTTCCTAGGTCTCAAAGACTATGAAGCTATGAACATTATCCTCAATGATGTTGGTGCCAAGACGGATGCACTGACAAGTCTTCGAGCTCCTACTCACTATGGTCGTCCCAACTTTGACAAGATTCTTAAAGGATTGCGAGTTTCTCATCCAGCTACCGACATTGGAGTCTTCTTCTGCGGTCCAAAGGAACTCTCGAATGTTATTTATGAAGCTTGCAACACGTGGACTGAGGCCACTGAAGGTAATTTGGCAGCCACAAATGATCTTTTTTGTTTCTCTTAGTCTTTTGATCAAACTTAACACACATTCTGTTTTAAACGCAAACTTAGATGGGACCAAGTTCTTTTACGCAAAGGGTACATTCATGAAATTTGGGAAGTTGTAATTGATCCAAACTAACGCGTCCCGTTTCTCAATCATAGAAAACTTTTGAGTTAGTTTTGAAATCTCATGGTCCAAATCCTTCTTGTCTAACCCTCAAGTGTATTGTTTGTAAAGTTCAAAGTTCAAGTTGAAAACACAGTAAATAATATATCGAGTTCGTAAAGTGTAAGACATAAATGTCGTTCGTCGTTGGTGTTTGGATGTTTCTGAACTTGCACGACTTACGCAAATCGGAAAGATGACAAAGTACACCGAATCGAACGGTAGTTCGTACCATTATTTGAACGTAGATCCAAACGACGGGCGGATATCAGTATCAAAAGAGGCCAAAGATTTTGATCAGGGACTGATTGTAACATTTTTGAAGGAAGCGTTTTTGCCTCATAAATTTCCAACAAGTGTGTCAAAGTAAGATGGAATGAAGCTCGTTCAATTGAATGAATGCATGATGCTAAAATGAATTCCCCTTCTAGCGATTACATACCTTACCAGATATTCGATACATCACAAGTGAGTAAACATGTTTCAGAAATCAAACTCAGATTTGCAGATGAGGGTGCCAAACTTCTTTGGAAATTGAAGGAACTTTTAAAACATTGAGGCTCAAACGCAATATGTCTACCTGATTTGCTTCCGAATCTCTGGAACTTTTCACCTTGAGTCAAAACCCATCACTAACCTGTTCCAACCCTTATCTTTTTTTCAGGCATTCTGCTCGAGTATTACTGGTTTACTCGCTCAAAGACGAACATTTAAGAGGTAACCGTCAAGTCTTCCTGAAGCTGTCAAAGAATCCATTTGACACCGTATCACACACAGGTTTGGTGTCGGAGACGCCCTCGCAACAGCAACATCCGCAACCCTCCAATCCGTATCATCAGAAGTAACCGCCCACCTCGGCAAAATTCTCTTTACCTGGAAATTCGCTCGACATCTCGACAGTGATGCCAAGCAATGGCGGTATTATGCGGATATTCTTAACGACGGCGCTATGCTTCTCGAGCTCGGAATCCCTACATTTCCGAAATCACTAACACTCCCACTTGCAATGACTGCCGCGCTGCTACGAGCGCTGTGTGGGATATGTGGAGCAGCAACACGGGTGAAACTGTCTGAACATTTTGCTAAAATGGATAATATGGCTGACTTGAACGCAAAAGACGCGAGTCAGGAGACAGTAGTTATGTTGTGTGGGATGCTGGCTGGGATGGCTGTTGTTGAAATGGTGACGGATGAGTCGTCGGCGCTTTGGCCGGTTTTTATTATGTTTACCATACTGCATTTGGCTTTCAATTATGTATGTGTGAATTTTGATGCTGACAGAAACAGATTATTTGAGGTATCTAAAGCTTCGTTTTTTGCTGTAAAACAAGCTTGCTGTGAAATCTGTAGTAATGCCGACAATGAATCGTCAAAGGTTCAGTTTGGTTTTGCATCACTATTTCAATACGAGGACTGTGTTATCACCGGTTGAATGCTCGAGGATTGAAGCTATATTCTGGAAAGAGACGTTACCGAAGATAGAAGTTGGAGCTAGGTTATCACTTGTGCTTCGAGGAGGTATGTTACGTTGAAAAGAGTGCTTAATCCAAGCATCGCTTGTCGAATTCAGGGATAGACAGTCAACATGTTTTGTCTTGTCTTTTTTTTTGTCTGCCGACAAAAAAAGTTCCGTCCTTGGAAGCCTCTTGATGAATATACTTGTCGTCCTAACCCAACTCCCTCTCCTTAGAAACAACACTAAAGTCATCAACCCACCTAATATCAGTCACGCCACACACAATCATTGCAGCAGTTCACGAACGTGCCACGACAAGAGACATATTATACGCATACTACATATGCGTGGCCGCACAGAAGGATTTCATGGAAGCATCATCTATAGATAGGAGGCTGGCTGCAACATCACCAAAGAGTATCTTGACAAGGACGATTGAACTGAAGAGGAGGGATTTTGAGGAGTTCATATCTGAAGCTGAGAAGAAGGGGTGGGAGTTGAGTAGTGAGGAGTCTGCACGTACAGGTAATTTTTGACTTTTCACTGTGGTTTTTTTTGGCGTAATGCACGCCAGCTCATATGTGAATTTGACGAAACAGATCTGGATTTTGGTAATTGGCGAGGAACTTGGGACTAGAGGGATCATTGAACGTGAAGCACAAACACCCCCTTTTTAAGTACAATCAAAACATTTACAGTAGTTGGAAGCACAAATCATCAGCCATCCCTCCTCAAAAGCACTTGTAGTAAACCTTATTGTAGATCCTCATCATGTTGCTATTTCTTTATAAACTCATTTTCTGGTTCTCTTTATACAAAGGTCTTTCATTTTAAGGGGTTGGTTTTACATTGCTAGAAGGTATCGAGACGTGGATGAGAATTTGGCATAACTCTTGATGACTTTATCAACAGCTTCCAAAAAGTCCTTTTCGGTTGCCACCTGTTCGAGTTGATGTAGTAGTTGTAGGTAAGCAGATGTAGAGCCAACAACGCACACGAAGTTCAATCAAACCAGCATTAATCAATTCTCTCAACATTGCTTTTTACCTTTCGTCGCGCTCGAATAGCAAACATGCCAGCTTCCGTACAAACCGAGCGTAATTCAGCACCAGTAGCGTTTGGACATAGACGAGCCAATAATTCATATCGAATATCTCGTTCAACACTCATGCTTCGAGCATGGATTCGCATGATGTTGGCACGGCCCTAGAGGAATGATTTAGCTGCATAATTTTTTTGTCTGCATGGACTGATTCTGTAGTAAGCATTTAAATACCTCCAAATCAGGCAAATTGAATTCAATCTTTCGATCCAAACGACCAGGTCGCAATAGGGCAGGATCAAGTGTATCAGGTCTAATTGAAGAAACCCAATAAATGGTAAGCGAAAAAACAAGCGATCGTCTACTACAATGGTCGAGTCAATACCTGTTGGTAGCCATCAACACCTTGATGTTTCCACGAGGATCAAATCCGTCCAACTGGTTGATGAGTTCCAACATGGTACGTTGAACTTCATTATCACCTCCAGCACCATCATCGAAACGAGCACCTATATGAGAGAAATACGTCAACAAAAAATGCAGGAAAAGTCAAGAATGCAACTCTCATCGCATTGTATTTATGCACACACACGCATACCTCCAATAGCATCAACCTCATCAAAAAAGATGATACAAGCCTTCTTGGTTCTAGCCATTTCAAACAATTCTCTCACCATCCTAGCACCTTCACCGACATATTTCTGTACCAATTCCGATCCAATAACACGAATAAATGTAGCATCAGTACGATTTGCGACAGCACGAGCACATAGTGTCTTTCCAGTTCCAGGTGGTCCGTATAACAAGACACCTTTGGGAGGATCAATACCCAAATTGACGAATCGTTCAGGTTGTAAGAGTGGCAATTCGACTACTTCTCGTAGTTTTTCGATTTGTTCTTTGCATCCACCGACATCAGAGTATGTTACGTCTGGTTTCTCTTCGACTTGCATCATTGTTACGGATGGATCAATTTTGGGAGGGAGTGGGATTTGGATTTGATACTTGTTTCGGTCGACACTGGTGGGTTGGTGAGAGTTAGTTTAGGTCTGAGCATCCTTTCTGGTAAGGTAATCGTTTTTTGATCCCTCACATACCCAACTCGCATTCCTTCTTCAATATCAGTTGGAGCAACTCGTTCACCCAATCCAACGACGAATTTGGCGATTTGCTTTACATTAATGACATATTTGGCGTCTTCTCCTTCACCAGCAGATATGATCTTTGTACATCTTGCCACCTGCGAGACATACGATTAGTTTTCTACTGCAGTTTTTTGGGTGGTCGACACATACCTGAAGTGGTTGTTCCTCCGACATTCGTTGCTTGTCAGCCGGTATGTCCCATAAGTTAGGTGGTGATAATCCTGTATCAGACTCCTTGACGCCTGGTGATTGATTCGAAGTATGTTTGAGTGACGCGTCATATTATGACACTGTGCCATTCAACCCGTACCCATCTTTTCATTGATACGTTTCTGAGTATCCTTTAGATCGGCTTCAATTTTCTTCAATTCTTTGGCATATGGTCCTTGTCCCTAAATGTGTTGTCGAATGTTGGCATGGTTGGATTCGATATCAAATGGTTGATGATTCTTACATAAGTCTTCAACAAGGCGATATCTCCTTCATCCAATACTATGGTAGGGGGTAAAGAGTCAGTAAACTATTCATGTCTTGTAATATGCGACAATGGATACTCTTAATCTTGTCCTCCTCTTTGCCGTCGTCCTTGTCCTTCTTTTCCCCTATTTGATAATGAATTGAGTTAGCTGAAGAGGTAGATTGATGTAATATAGTCGTATAAATAATGCATACATTTTTCCCAGTTCTCCTTTGGAGGCATCTTGTCTGTTGCTTGTCGTAACGTGTGTTTGGAACTCGGCGATTACGTTGATGGATTTGAAGGCTGATGACGCGTAACTTGAAGTAGCCGAGATACTAATTGGCTATTGGAATTTACCAAGATAGGATTCGTACGTGAATATCTACGTGCCATTGGATGTAAAGTCGTCCTCTGCAACAATCTCACTTTTCGACGACAAAAAGTGAGGAGTTGTCTGCGAATAGAGGCAAGCAAAGCAAAGAGATGATTATCAATTACGCGTTCAATATCAAGTTGCTAACAATCTCAACCTAATTATTAGAACATGGCCACAGAAACGAAAACAGAGCAGCCATCGTCCTCATCAGCAGCAGCACCTGAACCAAAGGGCGGAGAAGGAGACACCGTTGCTACCACCACAACCACAAATGCCGAAGGAGCTTCCTCTTCTACCGCTCCACCTGCTGTCGATGTATGCAAATGTGCTGGTATTCCCAGCATCAACCACACACACATTGTTTCTTGTCAAGAAATTGGTTGACACTCTGTTCGCATACTCATAGCAAGCAACAATGGATCAATTGACTGAAGCTGAAAAGACACTGCAAGATCTGGTTACAAAGAAGAAGATCATTGACAAACAATTGGTATGGCCCAAAAACATGGTGTAGGATACTTGAATGATTTAGACACAGCTGCTAACTTCAAATATTCACTCCTTACAGGCGACAGTGGAAGCAAGCATATACGCTCTAGAAGAATCATACTTGACAGACACACAGCAATACGGAAACGTCGTGAGAGGCTTCGACGGTTATCTACAAGGGAGAACAGACAAGAAAAAATACAAGATTAATGAAGCCGACAGACTCTTTTCGCAATCATCAGTCACCTATCACAGAGTATGTATTAAAAGTAGATTAGTAGTTTGGAATTATCATCTTTTTGGCTTGCTTGGGTTCCCCATGCCTGATTATTTGGATGCAACCACGTTAGACGGAATTTCTGACGTCCTTTGTCATTTATTTCCATCACAGGCATTGGAGATCAAAGCTCGTGAAGAGGAATACTCGCGTGAAGAAGAAGAGATGTATACTCATCGCAAGAAGAAGCAGAGGAGAGATGATTAATTCGCAGAATGATTAAATATGGAAAGACGATGATGAAGATTGATGGCATATATAAAACTCGCACTGTAAATATTTGCACATTTTTGTATAATTGAAGGAAAATGCACATGTTGGAGCACAAAAAATTCAGGGAAATACTTCTAATGGCCTGTCGTACTGCAAACATCACAACCAACCTTAGCTGCAGATTCCGGTGAACTTGAACGAAACTAGTCGCAATTCGAAGTGGAAACGAATAAAGAGCTTGTTAGGAGAGTTTCATTTTTTTATACATAACGCCAAACGGAGACTTGATTTTTTGTTTTATACCCATGAGAAAATCTACTAATCTGTTAGAGCTCTAAACCTATCTTCTATTTCCTTTTGCAGTTTAGCATACTTGTCTCTGACAACAGTTTCTCCTTGAGCAGGATCCTGGATAGGAATATTTCGTTTAGAAACGCATAGCAGGAGAGCAAAGGAAAAAAGAAAGCATACACAATTAAGAAGGCACTCTCACCTCAAACTTCATCGAACTGAGCTTGTAAATGACATCTCCCATAGATTCACGAATCTTGGCCCAACTTAATTGGCCAGATGATGCTTCAACTGCATGAGTAGCTTGCTCATGGAAACACATCATGTTTCTCAACATTCCGACTGTCTTGTAGAATGGACAGTATCGATCATACGCAGAATATCCATTCTGTTGCAAAAAGTCGTCCTTGATGATTTTGGCGACATCCAATGTGATCTTGTCTGTCTCAGCCAATGCCGACTAGATTATGTCGGGTGAGGTTTTGGTGAGCAATATATTATTGGAGCAAAAAAAGCCTCGAGCTGGAGTATGTAAGACACCAAAATATTGAAAACAAAAAACATTCGCCAAACCGACACCAGCAACCTAAGAACTTGGGTTTTACCTTGCCGACAAGCTGAACGATTTCAGCCAAATCTTCTTCATCTTGCAAGACCTCACGACATTTAGTTCGAATCGAGATAAATTCGGGATCAAAGCTTTCATAAAAGGGTTCAAGGGCCTTCATGTACTTGGAATAACTAATCGACCAATTCACAGATGGGAAGTGCTTTCTTTGCGCAAGTTTCTTGTCCAAGCCCCAAAAGACTTGCACGATACCAAGTGTGGCAGAAGTAACGGGATCTGAAAAGTCACCTCCTGGTGGCGATACACTTTGTTTGAAGGAGAAGTGAATGCATTAGTTTGGCACGAAACCAAAAAAATTCCCCACAAAATAGATACATACGCTCCGATGATAGAAACCGAACCATTTCGTCGAGGGTTACCCAAACAGACGACTTTACCAGCACGTTCATAAAACGAAGCCAGACGAGCTCCAAGATAAGCTGGATATCCACTGTCTGTTTGTGTGAGAAAGGAGACAAAAAAGTCAGATGACTAGGCATCAACCACGACCCACACAAGTCGAAATTTCACACAAAGTCGAAACGTACCAGCAGGCATTTCAGCCAAACGACCAGAGATTTCACGCAAAGCTTCAGCCCAACGAGAAGTAGAGTCTGCCATCATGGCAACGTTCTTGCCTTGATCACGGAAGTATTCAGATAAGGTAATACCGGTATAAATTGAAGCTTCACGAGCAGCGACAGGCATGTTTGATGTGTTGGCGACCAAAGTAGTACGTTTCATGATGGATTCTTCTTTTCCGTCAATTTCAATAGACAACTGTGCGAAAAAAATCGCTGGTCAATCCTGGTAATAAGGAGCTAAGGTCTTCTGTATTCCGCAATACCTCTGGGAAGTCCTTCAATACTTCAGCCATCTCATTACCACGTTCTCCACATCTACAAATAGCAACAGGAGATATTAGTGGTGTCACTCGAGATCATACATATGTGATACGCATGTGTGATTTGCGACTCCTACCCGACATAGATAATAACATCCGAGTTGGAGTACTTGGACACAGATTGTGAAATGACTGTCTTTCCACATCCGAAAGCACCAGGAATCGCAGTAGTTCCACCTTGAACACATCTGTGTAATTGGTTACGAGTTAAATCAGGCAACAAAAAAAGCGAGAATACTAATGGATACGTACGGGAAGAGTCCATCCAAGATACGTTGACCAACCAACAGCGGGTAATCTGCAGCCAATTTGTCTGTGACTGGACGAGGGGTTCGAACAGGCCACATTTGTAACATGGTATACTTTTGCTTTTGCCCTTCGAATTCAACTTCAATTACAGGTTGCTAAAAAAGTAGAAACGTTATAAGTTTTGATTGATACAGAAATCGTACCAGCAAATACAAGAGAAACCACGTACTGTAATGTCATATTGGCCCTTGGGAGCTACATAAGTAACAGTACCCAAAGCTTTTGGTGGTAGAATAATGTTGTGGGTGATCAAACTGTTTTCAAAGACTTTGCCGAAAATGTCTCCTCCAGTTATGTGGTCACCAATCTATATGTAATTCGATACTGAGTAAAAATGCAGCACCCAAAAAACGCCTGAAGAAATCTCGCTACATACTCTAACATTCACAGGCTCGAAATCCCAATTGAGTGCCTTATCCAAGGCAGGGGTGTTGATACCACGAGGAATGTAAATACTTTGTGACAAGTCTTGAATGCTCTGAAATAACGTTGTTGGTTCATGATCAACAAACCACTGTCATGATCGAGAGAAATTGCAAACGCTTGCCTTGAGAGGTCGTTGAATCCCATCAAAAATATTCGACATTAATCCAGGCCCCAATTCTACAGACAATGGCTTTCCGGAACGAAGCACAGGATCACCCACAGTTAAACCAGCTATTTTAAAAAAAGGTTACCAAGGAATCATTTTCAAGGAATGGAAGTGTCATAATAAGTATGTATGCCATTAGCAACGTAATCGCGATATTTACATGTTTCTTCGTAAACTTGGATGATTGCCTTGTCACCATCAATACGAATAACTTCACCAACTAGTTCCATATGTCCAACACGAACCTAATTTGAATCATTATCAGCAACGTTTGACTCTAATCGACGTGCGCTGAAGCATGTCGGTAAAAAAACTTACTAGTTCGAACATAGCACAACCAATCATCTTTTCAGCAATAACGACTACGTAAAAGAGATTATGAAAATGTTAATATAAATCAAGGAAATAAATGGAGGAGTCATGACCGAACTCGTTCTTGTCGTCGTGCTGCAAACCACAAATCCAAACCCAAATGATTAAGACTTACCAGGTCCAGACACTGAATAAATGAGCCCGAATTGACTTTCCCGATCTTCATCTCGTATTTTGCTAATGCTAGCCTTGGCATTTGCAAGTGCTCCGGCCTAAGGCAGTGTGGTTATCAGAACTCCATCTTCTGCAAAACTGATTGGAACCATTCGACGTGGATTCCTTATAGATTGCAGCATGACCTTACCATAATGAAACACTATTAACTAGCACTGAATAAATGTTCACCAAACAGCTTCAAAGTTCCGCTTGTTTGTCGTTCCCGGAATGTGCGTTGTTGGTAACCAACAGAAGCTCGACCGACGATAAAGCCCAAGATAAAGAAAAAATTTATGATAATAAACGCGTTTTCGAAGTTTTATTTATGTGCTTTATACAAGAGGTTGCTTATAATGACACGGGTCCCGCAGACATATTTTAATCGATCTCGATAACTTCCACGATCTTTGCAGGTTTCTTCGTGAAGCTCGTAATGCTAATCAGATACTAAAAGGTTTAGGTGATTGAAATTTTGAATCGCGAATAGACACACTTACACTATATCATCATCACCATCATCAGTAAGAATATTGATCTTTGAATCTTCAACACTAGTAAGTACATTGTGGACCGTAATGGGAGGAGGTTGACTTGAAAAGGGAGATGTACTGCCGTCGGGATGAACAATACACCTTTCGTCATTTGGATAGCGATTGAGAGCAGCCTGGTTGAGGAAATCATAAGAAGATGGGTACAAAATCTGAAGTGGCAACTGCCCCAGCTTACTCGGAAAGCGCCATCAATAATCAAATCCTTGGGAGAGCTTTCTTTGTTGCAAACTACACACTTCCATGTCTCCTTGCGATTCCCTACCATTAGCGACAGCATGGACTGCAAAATCGCATTAGTTAGTCCATCGCAATTCAGACTCAACATCTTCCAAATAATGTTACATACCGAAGCATCAGTACATTGAAGATGAGAGCACTTGGTAAACTTGACGGGGTGCACTATCCTCATCAACGAGACTGGACACTTGAAAGTCACCTGTATATTCAAACGCAAAAGTAGCTGAGCTGAATGATTCCAAATAAAATGATGACTGCAAAACAACGCCAACCTGAGTATCACCGGCTTGGATTTCGTCATCAGCACCAGCCATTGTTCCATCATTGAGCTTGGATCCACAAGACAAGGCATCCAATTTGGAAACAAGCTCTTTGAGAGGTGAGGTGGGGCGTTTGAATTGTAATCGTTCAAAGAAGGGTTGTTGAGGGTCGGTCGGCATTATTAGGAAGTTTTGCCCTAGATGTTTAAGAGTTTGTGCATACAACACTGATAGCATTTCGTCGTCAGTCATCTTTCTCATTGCGAATGCAAACATGCACCCAACAGCGGGAAGATTCAAGGAAACTCTCGTTATATCTGCTTGTGGCATCGAAGCCGGTATACTGTCAGAGATATCGACATATTGTTGGAGTAGACTGCCTTTGGTCTAAGAAGGATGAGGTGGCGTTATGTGATTCTACGTTGGATCGTTTGAGAATACAACAAATTTAAGCTCTTACACTTACTAGCTTCAAATTCACTATCATCCCGTTAACTCGTAATAGTTGACCATATGATTGCCCCAACAAGCCTTCCGTCAAAATTCTCCCTGGGCCTTGCGGAGTCCTTGGAGGCCCGGGAAAGTGATTGTATTGATTGAAGTCGGCCTAACATTAGATGCCCCGGACATTAGCCTTGCACATAATTGCACAGGTAGCGACGCCCTGCATCGTGGCGTACATCTAGTTGGCTTACCCCACACACGTAAAGGAAGACACGGTTCTTTCTTGAGAATCTGAAGATTCCAGGAAGATCTGTTGGATTATATTCTGGATTGAGCATGCGATAGTTGTTGCGATCATGGCGGATGTTGACGGTTTGAGCTCCTTGATTTGGACTCATGACCGTACGACCCAGTTCGCCTTCAATGACATAAAAGTAGTTTGTGAAAGAGTGAAAGTTCCTTTCTCTGTTGAAAGAGCATTGGATTTAAATGTGAGTAAAGAGACACGCGTTGGCCGGGAATGGTTTTGTGACGAGAGCGAAACGTACAACAGCTGTTCCCATGGTCGTGCGGCAATTTGTTCTAGGGTAGTACCCATATTGATGGTAACTGGTGCTGGTGGTGTTGGAGCAGCACTTGATGAGCGAGAGAGATCGGGCACGTGTATATTTTGTCTACATGGAAGGGTAGACAGTCAAACTAGCGAAGCTATCGATCGTTTTCGCGACAAAAACACGTACGGGGATCTTTGTGCAGCGACGCTATAAGAGAGATGTAATCAGAATGGGTGGCAAGTTTCATGGTAGTGACACTTGCACAGGCCACTTACTCGGTCCTTTCATAACCAGGAAAGACGGCAGCCCTCAGCGCCTCAATCCAATTCTCTTTCTTGTAGTTTGATTTGGTTCCTAGATATAGGCCCTTGTGGGATCTCAGCCAGTCAAGAATAGCTTTGATTTCTTGGATGGTCAGTCTGTTTTGCTCAGTGTATCCAATTGTCTAGCAAAGGAAGAGTTTGTCAGTCGCAGCGACATTTCAAGATAGATGAGGTTGAATGCAAGGGCAATGCAGTATAGACAGTGGCATACCGAGAGGTTTTCTCTTGGATTCCTACATATATCTCGCAGACTATAAATAGGAAGAATGAGAACTATACGTCAGATTCACATCCGGAAATGACTTCCCACACTTGCAAAACAAAAACCAAGCTCCAGACAACTAGTAGCCACCTTGCGTAATCTGTATCGGTCAGTATCGACCTCAGTACTGGTTTGTTGGGTGTACTAGGTCCTCCGTTCATTGTTTGTAGTCTCTATGCTTGTCATTAATCAACTTGGTTTTGAAGTACCGAAAAAACACGAGATCAAGAAATAGACAAAGCTTCGTTTCACGTCGCGATAAATACTCATTTTGGCCTAAATATATTTAATATTACGAAGGATGACGTTCAAATCAATTGGAGAATGATGTATTTTGTGGCAACTAAACTTCGTCATGCAAAAAGCACCAAACTGCACTTGGAACGAATTGTTCATAATATCATAGTGGGGTTGGAGAAAGAGGCTGTTGTCATCCTAGCCATAGTAAGTACTCGAATCTCGCTCCATTCCATTTATACAAGCTGCATCCGTTCACATATCTCGCTCCTGAATATTGAACTATGAACTCACCACGCCCAGAGACGAGATCTATCGCGTTCTGCACTCCATAGCCCTTATTCATATCGCTTCAACCATTTAAAACTACTCTACTGTAGGAAACGTCCTTGGGGCTCCCGGAAACTCGCGACCCAAAATGGAAGAGTCGACCTTGGACTTGTTGCATCATGAAAAGCAGTTTGGGGCCAGTCTGCCCGAATTGCCATTTCCTCTGGCTTCTGGGAATGCAAAATCTGCACATGCTCCTCCTGCTGCTTTCAATAGTGCAAACCATTCACCTCTCTCCACTTATGCCGACGATAACTACCAGGGAAACGACTCCATCGCCAGAAACTTGGGCTCATCTATCGGTCTAGGTGTAGAGGGCAAGCTAGAGAACATCAAGATGGAGGATCAACATGGGTAAGCATTGGAACAATCGCCAAACACTGCGCATCCTCTTCTACGCATTCCCCTAACAAACACCACAATCTTACCAACCTTCCCCGAAAAAATCAACAAACAAGGGATCCGCAAGATGCTATGCTACAACAGCAACAATATAGTGATAATTTCCATGTCGTCAATCCTGGAGACGCGTTAGGTGTCTTCGATCCAATGATGGTTCATCCTGGCTTTGGTAAACACACCAAGTCCGACATCTTGACTCCGCCTATTAAACATTTTTTAAACTTGACTCAAAAACATCCAGGTTATGGCCAATCTCACCAGTATGCTCGACAGCCTAGAGTACAACGTCCACAACAGAACAACTATCGTTCTCCTACTCAATCCCCCAACTACCAACAACCACAAAGGAACTATGTCAACCAGGATGGACGAGTACAACAGCAAGGCCGCTTCCGCGATCCTGCTAGTGATATCTGGAGACAGCCAATGATCAACCTGGCTGGTGGTAATCAGCACAAGTCTAAAAGAAATCAAGATGGCTACGGACAACATCCCACTATGATGGAGTTGTATCCTGGCCAACAAGGTAATCAGCAAGGATTCCATTCTTCCAGCAATCAAGTCATGGTTTGCAGATACTTTTTAAATGGTTATTGCTCTCGCGGAGGTAAGGGCTGTTTTTGCTACTAATCGTCAAGTTTTGTTTCTTCCCAGACTACCTTGATAACCAATACCCATTCATACTCAATATTAGAGCAATGCAACTTTCTCCACTTGTTGCCTAGTCCAGCTCAGCCTGGTGCAATCGTACGACCCCAAGCTGGGGGAAGTGGACAATATGTGCCTCAGCACGTAACTTACGCGGGCCCTCTAAGCACATTCCAATATGCACCGTTTGATGCACAAACTCCTTTAGTGGCCTTGCCAGGATCCTTCACATACAATATGTCACCTATGACGGCAATGCCTCAACCGCATATGAAGCTTCCTGGAAGCGAACGGGACATGTCGTCGTCTATGATGTCGGGGCAACGTCCTATTTATTCAACATCTGTACCATTTACTTCACAAAATCGCTTTTCTTCGGGCACTGTCATGTCACCGCAACAACCTCTCCAACAGCAGCGTCGTAGGATGCCCTTTGAGGAGGCGAATAGATTTATGGGTATTCCTTTAGAAGAGTTGGTAGGGGCTATTTATGCCATAAGTCGTGATCAACACGGATGTAGATACTTGCAGACTAAGCTAGAAGAGCACAATGAGAAGAATCTAAACTTGATTTTTGCGGAAATCTATTCGCACATTGGTGAACTTATGACTGGTATGTATTGTGTTGGCTCTTCTGCTTGAACCCATTTATCTTTCTATTGGGGGGTTTTTGTTCATCGTCGTCGTCTTGTAGATGCATTTGCAAACTATTTGTGTCAAAAGATCTTCCATTTTTGCTCTGATGAGCAGAGAACCGTCATTGTTGATGCTATTGCACCTGATCTGGTTCGAATATCCATGAACTCGCATGGTACTCGTGCGGTTCAGAAATTGCTGGATGTCTTGTCCAGCCCTGAACAGGTATGTCGTTATTGTGAATTTTGGGCTTTTTGTTCAAGCATGATATTCAGTCGAACTCACCAAATCTACGACCTACTTAGATTCGTAAAGTCGTTTTAGCTTTGAGCACCAATGTTGTTGCTCTCATGAAGGCAAGTTACAGCACACTACATACACGAGCAACATAATCCATTGGCCGATACGTCTTCCATCAATAGGATTTGAATGGCAATCACGTCATCCAAAAATGTTTGGCAAGAATGTCGTCAGAGCATACTCAAGTGAGATTCCTCGTCCTTGGTAAATGTTTTTTACGTCATGAGATTTGACTCATTAATCCTTCTTCACAGTTTATATATAATGCAGCTACCGAGAACTGTGTAGATGTTGCAACTCATCGTCATGGATGTTGTGTTTTGCAACGTTGTATGGATAATGCTTCTGAAGCTCAGAAGGCCCAATTAGTTACGGAAATCAGTCGTAATGCGCTGGTACTCGTTCAAGTGAGTATTCGATCGATTTTGCTCTCCTTTTTTTGCTCTTTGGTAGACACCATCGCAAACTAATTTGATCGGCTTGACATAGAACGAGTTTGCCAACTATGTTGTACAGTATGTTTTGGAAAAGTCTCCGTCACATGTTACCATTGTAGCTCAGCAGTTACTTGACAATGTCTTTCTATTGTCTCTTAACAAGTTCAGCTCCAATGTGATTGAGAAGGTACACGGTCGGATATAACGACACGCTCATATTTATTGATTTTCTTGACTTTAAATAACCGCTATATTTATTCTAGTGTATTAAACTAACGGATGGAGAGACTCGTGAAGCTATGATCGCTGAAATTTTGTTCCCAGAGAAACTGGAACATCTAGTAGCCCATCCTATTGGAAACTATTGTGTACAGACCGCTCTAGATTTTGCGGACAAGAAGCAACGAGCTGTGGTAAGTTGTCTCATCATTTGAAATGCATCCAAGCCCAAGATTGACACAGTTTTTTTTCTCCACTAGCTCTTTGAGCTTCTCCAGCCATTGTTGCCTTCGTTGCGCAACTCGGCTTGTGGTAAACGGATTCAGAGCAAGCTTCTGAAGACGACATAATGATATGATATGATGGTTGAGAGGTACAGTAAAAATTGTACGTACAATAGAATACAATGTGAAGAACAATTTGAGGTTTTAGGCAATGTTGCAAAACAATTCTGGCACCGTAAAATATGTTCTTTTTGTCCTATGAGTGTAATTTAATTTGAAAATGTATAAACAAAGAGTGTAGCAGTATACAAGGCGACATATGCACAGATGAAGTCGTTCAAGTTGCTTTCGTGACCCGTAATCGTATCCTCGGTGTATTTCTCACCACATGCATCCTGCATCAACCAAAACAACGGCATCAGACTCTACCTATTACCGAAATTCAAAACGCAGCAGCTCGTACCTATCCAAATCCCCACTAACAGACTCCCAAACATCCGTAGCTTTACAGGTATCAATCTCCGTCACGACAATAATATTCAATGTTCGCTTGAGCATTTCAACCACAGTGACGGCCTTGTTCATAGCGACGCCTTTAGCGGTTACGACAACTTCGGGACGTTGGGCTAGAGCTTTAGCTATTTGTTGGGATACTTGGGATGCTTTTGATTGTATTGTGACTACAAAGTCTTCTGGACCTGTATACGTAATGGCGCTTAGAATAGGGTAAGTCCAGATGGAGGTTGTGGTTGAGGACTTGCCAGCTGGTGCATCGTTGTCTAATCCGACTTCCTTTTGCCTATAGTTCTCCATTGGTATGGATCTATGGTTCAAGCAGGTGAGTACATTGGACATTGGAGATGTTGGATTCAAGCTGGCGAGTCGAGCATGCAAAAAAACAAGAATGGTTGAATCCTCCTGACTGAGGCAAACGCAATTGACACGCAATTGACGAAAGGCCGATTCAAACGGTATACACATATGAAATAGGCCTCCCTTTGCTCTTTGACATCAACAAAATGAAAGTGATTGCCAAACTCACCGTGAATGACTGGAGTCGAGTTTACAAGCAATTCAATGGACAATAAGAAGCAACGAGACGATTAATCAAGTGCCACGGATTAGCAGCGAACGGGGGATAGTCTCGACTTTGGCCTAGAATTGTCAAAGTAGGAGAAAAGATCGTTTTGCAAAAATAGGTTGCGCACGACACACCTTATCACAACCCAAATGTAAACAACGACGCGTTTTCTACGTTATCTACATTCTATGAATATGGAATGTTTTAATGACTGGGTTTAGCCTTGAAAAGTTTGGTTCTTCCTAGTGACTTGGCTGTGATTCGCGAAACACTTGGCTATTTGTCATTTGCCCAGATGCCAATTTATCGTGGCAGGGATCATAAGCACGCAGCATACTTGACTCGCGTCGACAGCTGACCGATCTTGTCCCTGGAAGTCTCACACACAACTGTCAAACCGACCCAAACAACAATCGTGTCTTAAAATCCTTTAACCTCATTGTGACGATGAACCTCTTTTTGACAAAGCAAAAGTGTACATTCCAAGTCGATGGAGTCATTGAAGACACCAACAACCTGCCCTTTGTCTCGGGCGTCTTCTTTGTCAAATGGAAGCTGGGAACAACAAGAGGCCGAACAGCGAGGTCTGAAATCGAGTCTTGCTGGTTCCTTTGAAATTTAGTGTGAGAGCCACAACTCGAATCATATACTGACTCTCTTTTGAACTATTCTTTCTCTTATAGAGAATCCGTGAGAGATCATATCGTCACTTGGAATTCAACATTCAAGCTGGAAGCAACAATCACGGTTGGCAAGGATGGTGTCTTGCTGCCTTGTGAGATGTTGTTTGAACTCAAACAGGTACCTGCAAAGAGACATATACTGCCACTATTTTATACTCACACTCATTATACACAGGAAGTGAATGGTGCTAAAACCGCTGAAGATGTTGGGGTTGTCCGGGTCAACCTATCCGAGTTTGCTGGACTGAGAGGTGCAACAAGACGATATCTATTACAGGATTCTAAAGTCAATTCAACTATGAAGGTATTACTCCTAGCGCTCATTTTTGGGTTGGTCTGTGGCTGAGCGACTATCGTGGCAAAGTCGACTTTTGTTGTCAGTGTTAACACGTGTCTTTCCAACCTTGGAATAGCTGATGCTAGATATGACTCAAATACGAGGAGATCCTGTATTCAAAGTGTAGGTCCTATTTGTTGTCGTCGTGTTGAACGTGCGGTGAACAAAGTAAATAACCGATTTTTGCTCAGACCGCCACCAACACAAACAAATGTCATATCGATACGAGGTATACTGGCTGAGGGAACTGGTGATAGGACGGCGCCAATAGAACCAGATGATCCAAGTCAGATACAGACACGGTCGTTAGATAGAGGGGTATGTTGAATCCCGTCAATACAGAGAGTTGATACATTTTTTGGCTCACTCGCTCCTACCTATCAACAGGGAACAATGTCACGGACACTATCCATGTTCCAGACAGCAGACGATCAGGCAATATTAGACGAGATATTCAAACAAGCAGATGCCGCTCCGGAACTCTGAAACACCCTACACCCTCCAACATTATGAAAATCTGAATGCATATTTGCAAGATGGTTGACATAACTTGGGACGCACAGAAAAACTGCTTGTTGTTGTTTTGGTCGCAAAATAAGTTATTTTTTACTCCTAGTTTGACCCAAACGCAATATGTTTTTTACCATCCCCGTAGTATTTTATATTGTTATATTCTGAATAATGTCAAGTACACGTAACCAATTCCGAGAGATGTGTATACTGAAACGATCAAGAGCGGCAGAAACTCTAAATCAGTCTTGAATATTGCAGAGTGGAGGACTGCCACATACATATGTATCACCACCAATCCACTCAAATACATTTTCTCCAAAAATATTAATTGGAGTTGGTTTTGCGTTCTAAGTTGATGTTTTTGTGATATTTAAGATGAGGTGGCAGAATTATGACGGCACATAAAGGAGATGCAACAAAAGGCGGAAGTATACCTTCCTAGAGCATGATATCCAAGCATTGCAAACAATGCTAGTAGACAGAGCTTAATTGGTCCCTCTAAGTAAAGTAGTAAAGGAGTGAGCACTACATTTATCGTCGCTATTCAATCGACGTATTCTCATACCTGCTGCTTTGAAGAGGAGTGGAAACAATGAAAACGATCCAGCAATGCTCAGCAGATAGAAGAGCCTAGCATGCTTCTCTGACTTGGTGGCTATCAAACTGTTTGTGATGGTAAGGGCAAAAAGCACACAGAAATTTGTATGGAAGTTCCACGAAACATTACAACACCTGAATGGTACAATTCCCAGCAATATTGCCTTTTCATGGACATGCCATCCAAACATGAATGATCCAAAAGCACACATTGTTATAGAGTGTATGAATTCGTCTGGAGTAGGTGACTGCCAGACTCGAATTATGCTGGGCTATGAAACAGTGGATATTAATGAGTCCCCCAAAAAATAGATTAATGTGTCTTCGAAGAATTCTTTTCACACACACCACTTGAGACAACACCGTTGCAATCAACGTATGCAGTGGTGTAATATTGGGCAGTACTCCAAAGCTCACGTCTCCAACCAGTCCACGAGTTAGTGTAGGAAGTTCTTTAATCCATAAGAGCCCCAAAAGTTTTGCAACTAATGCAAAAAAGGCGGTTTAACGTGCAATGATTGGCTGTGAATTGTTGCCAAGAACTCACCTCGCACTAGCACACGATCAGCAAAAGCATACAATGCCCAAAAGTTTGGTGCCCAGTAAGCGTGACATAAGCCACGTTTGAATGGGAATAACCGAGACAATATTTGTGGCAATTGGTCATAAAATGGACCAAAAGATACCATAAAGACACTCAATACAACCATACCCAGGGAAATGAAGCGCTGTATTGAGAATGAGCCTGTATAAAGTGAGACGGAATGAATATGAATCTTTTCTCGACCATTCTCGCAGAACAGCATACCTTGCTGTGTAAAACAATACTGTCGAAGCAAGTAGACAAAGTATGCAGGTGCGATATAGAGAAAGATGTGCTTCATGTTGAGCATGATAGTAAAAGCGGCAGCTCCAATCAGCACATTGCCCTGTAAGATGTTGTTGGGCGTCAGCTTTTTTGCCATTCAGAAACTTTGGTGTCATTCATACTTCGAGGATTGAGTCTATCGAAAACACGAGCAACCCGTATAGAAACCCGTTATACTGAAAATGGATATTGTCCACAATCATCAGTCCAGGATTGAGAAATATTAGAGCTAGCTGAATCAAGACATGTCGATTGGAATGTTTTGCGAATCTAAGTGGTGACAGGTGTTTCAATACTTGTTCCAAGAAACGATTAAGCGCCCATGCTTCTGATACCTCCAAGCAGCCAGAAACAATATAGATTCAGTCATCATGACAGTCAACCTCTGAAAGATGACTGTTGCAGGACTTGCGTAATTCAGGTTTTCAAGTTTGAGCATGTCTGGGTCCACGAATTGAGCTGGTATCGCCAGTATTTTCTCAAAACGTGCAAAGAGAGGAGGATAGTCTAACGTCCATTCTGACGTGTCCTGTGTCGAAAACCAGCTTCAGATGTTTTGATCTGGAATTTAATGTTGAGCAACGGTCCTTTCCACACCTCGTAATACCATTTTGAAATCGGAAGTGAATGCGTTATAGCTAGCCAGTTACGATGAACTTCAAAGTCCGTTGAGCGACTAATAACAAGTTCGTTAACATTTCGAATGTCAGAAAACGCGTTCGTTCAATGTGCTTACTAGGCAGGGATCAACAGCCATTTGACGATAAATGAGACGATGAAAAGGGATAACGCGTAATACGTCTCCCTCCCTGTCTCTTTTGGTACATTCTTGATCTTGCCTACCATTCTCAATTGCAAAATCCAAAACTCCAGAGCTGGAGGCTATAGGAAGAGGAAGCGATGACTAAAGAGTAAGTTCCACGCTTGTTTGCATTAATATCGATCTTGGAGTATTGAAACTTACGTCTGCTTTTCTTTACTTAGGGCTGAAATGGTTTATGCCAATGATGGCACAGTTGAACGAAGATCCATGTCAGATTACAAGCTACAAGACGCCAACTATCAAATTACGGAACGATCTTATTCGCAACAATATGCTGGCTTGTATTTCAGTCGATTGAGCAGGCTAAGGCAACGAGTCAAAGAAGCTGCGCAACAGAAATGGAGTCAAGAGGGTATACTCAACAGCTCAAGACATTGTGTTTATTTTTAGTTGATTTTTATTTCTTTATAGCACCGAATGCTATATACGTGGATAAAGTACTGGACGTTGAACCAAACAAACCCAACTGGGTTATGGGTACCTTATATAAGGATATGCCTCTGAAACCAAACATATTGGATGAAGTAGCTGCCGATGTAAGGTTATGCTCCTCTATCCTTATACAATCTTTCGTTCTGACTTTCTTCCGTTGCGAATAGCACTGGGTCGCAGTACCTCCTCCAAGAGAAAAGTACACTTCTGCAAAGGACAGGCTTGTCATTGAAGATCATTCTGGACGTTTGAAACTCAAATTGTCTGAAGAGATCATGTCAGCTCAGATATGGATTACTGGTATGTTTCATGCTTTAGTGAAAAACACCACGGTGTGATTGCTTAATCCCCTGGTCAATTCAGGTGTCATTGCAGCTGTAATGGGAAGCATTACCGCAGACGGAGAGTTTGAAGTAGTAGATGTGTGCTTTGCTGGTGCACCTCTTCCACCTGCTATTCCCTCAAGACCTCCAAACAGTTGAGTCTCTCATTTGGCATCAGCAAAGTCACTGGTTTTTGTTAAATGTGCACGTTTTCAATTCTCAGGCCGCCGAAACTTGATGGCATTGGTGAGCGGAATATCACTGGGTGATGCTAAGTCCAACCCTACAAGTCTGCGAATGATGATGGATTTCCTAACTGGAGAGTTAGGAGCACTTTCGGTATGCTTCATTCTTCATACCCAATTACATGTCTTCTTTTTTTTGCTGATCGCTTGGAAACTTCTTAGGATCAAATGAAGAATGCTGATATTACGCGTGTTGTAATTGCTGGCAACTCTCTTGTTCGTCCCACGAAGGTTTCCGACGACGATCATAGAGTAAGTCAGCAGGGAAAATACTTTAAATAGTATCTATGTGTGAAATCTCACATACTGTTCTTTAGAGCCGCAGAAACGCAGAGAATGCCCCAAACCCATTCTTTGATTCTATATTAATGCTGGATGACATCCTTGCCGAATTATGTGATACAGTAGCAGTGGATTTGATGCCTGGAAAATCAGATCCAACTACTGCATCGCTACCGCAACAACCTATACATGCAACCATGTTTAAAAATGCATCCAAGTGCTCTACTTTCAGTAGTGTGACCAACCCACACTCGTTTGTGACTAGTGGTGTTAGGTAAACAAGTTTTTGCATTTGAGAAAAACCTTGGACAATATTTTGCTGACTTCTTGTATTCTCTCTCGATTAGTGTGCTCGGATCATCAGGCGAGAACCTTGAAGACATTTATCGTTTCGTCGACTCTGAAGATCGCATTCGGATGGTTGAATCCTTCTTGACTTGGGGTCATATTGCTCCTACCTGTCCCGATACTCTTTGTAAGTATGATCCGTCACACCAAATGCGGCTGACTCTAACCACTATTTACGAATAGGGTGCTATCCGTACAAGGACGAGGATCCATTTGTTCTAGAACAACGTCCTCATGTATTCTTTATTGGCAACCAACCTAAATATGAAACCAAGCTGGTAGAAGGTGTGATTGCTCTTGTGCTCAATGATACTCATCGTTTGGCCTGACAATCGTCTCACGGTATAGGACCACCAGGACAATCTACTTTAATAGTTTTATTGCCTTCATTTTCTAAAACGGCAACCATTGCACTAGTGGATTTGGATACGCTCGAGTGTATTCCGGTGTCTTTTGGACTTTGAGATTGTGTTGGAGGAAGAAAGAGTGTGTATAAATGTTTTTGTACATTTCAAAGTGACTGTACATATATGCTATCAGAATAGAATTGCCACACAATGGGGCATAGCATTCAGGACTTTCTTTTTGCACTACCGATTAGGGTAGTATGTGTCCTGTGAGAAAATAAAGCTGTTGATGCTGGAACCCTCGGAGAATGCTATAAGTGGCTGGTCGAAGCGAGGTTCCTTGTCCAAACAATTTGACATCATCTGGTAGCTTCTTCAGTAAAGCAATACAACCACTTTGCTTGCATCAACTTGTTTGAATGTTTTTGTTGATTGCCGCTTATACGATTTGGATGGTTTCTCTTGCCTTTAATGAAGATTGTATGATCTATATAGATATATTATAGGATGCTGATGCTGTATTGCTGCTTGTTCTTGCTATGTTGAAGGCGATGCTCGCGTCTTCCATACTGATCTCTAGTTTCTTGAATGTTTGGAGGGAATTCAGCTGATCACATCATGCTTCCCAAACAATATTTGAAAATTGTAACGTGCAAATGTATTGAAATCTATATCGCGTAAGCAGATCACGCGTCGGCTTCTCTCGAAATACAGCCGTCGTCTCGTAATATCGTGTTTTTGTGTGATTGTTCAGAGATCAAGAGATAGTCGCCATATTGAAGGGTCGCGAAAGAAGCTACATCGTGCTAAAAGCTACTCGAATGGACGCTGCACACTCTCCATTCTGCATTGCTGAACTGAATTCGGACGTTATCCCCAGGTTGAAAATATCAGAGATTCAAGCGTACACACGCCCTGCGATTTCGAAGCCGGATGCTAGAGACAGCGAATAAAAACATGAGCATTCACGCTATAGATTGCGTTGACGCTACAGACCCTTTACAAGTATTTGAAATACGGAACCTTTTTATATTTTTGTATCTTTCTAAATTGATATAGCCATTGGAATCCTTCATTTTTTATGTCATTGTTTCCTGAGAGCTCTTCTGTTGACTATTATGTACGGCTTATTCCATTCTTCTTTAACCAATGACGATCTTTCCTTCCGCCTCGTTCAAATCATATTCAGGGACTTCCAAGTTAAGTGGTGCAGGGCCCTTCCTAATACGACCCGAGATATCATAATGGGAACCGTGACAAGGGCAGAACCATCCACCATATTCGCCAGCTAGCGGAAGGAGGAGTATGTGAGAAGGGTCTCAGAGCTGAGGTGTAATTGTGATTAGTCATATCATTGTGGTAGCCAACAGGATAGCACATTCATCTTCAGATCATAGATTCTGTACTGGCCATGTATGGCCACCGTAACAATCAAGATAACTCTGCCGGATCACTACATGTGATATTCATCTTAGAGCACCCCAAACATACCTTCACCGATTGGCACACAACCCAAGTGAGTGCATACACCCAACATAACGAGCCATTGAGGATCCTTTACACGAGCAGCATCAGTTTCCGGATCTCGTAGTTCAGCCATATTGACATTATTAGCCTCTTCGATCTCGGCAGCAGTTCTGTGACGTATAAAGACTGGTTTTCCTCTCCATTTGAGAATGACATTCTTTCCTTCAGGTATAGCAGCCATTTCTACTTCTACTTTGGCCATTGCCAATACATCGGCAGAGGCAGCCAAGTTGACTAGAAAGTCCGTGACTATGGATTTGGCAGCGACGGCCCCCAGTACGGAGAGGGAGCCAAACATAAAGTAGTTGTATACACGAGCCGAGTCCTCGTCGTAGGATTTCATGTCTACTTTGTAGGCTTGTTGAGTTTCAGGGGGAGAGAATACGTTCGAGTCTTCGTTTGCGATGGTGACTGGCGATGCGTGGTGTGCGAATCTCTTTTGTTGAATTAGTCCGATTTTGCCTGTCAAAATGACATTATTGAGTATCAGCATTGAAGTTGAGTTGATGTATGTGCAAGATGTGATGATGCCACTCGACAGCACAATATCCCTAATAACGTACCAGTGTATGAGGTAGTGTGAGATAGGACGGCGCCATTTACATTTGGTTTAGGGCCCCAAGCGGATGGAGCGTGATGGTCTCCATGGGATGATGCTGATGCTCCTACAGTAGGTAAAATCGCTTTGCCTCGACCAGCACCTAAGGGGAGAGCTGATACAAAGTTGGTACGAGACACCAGACTAGGCAGTGCTCTTGTTGATGCCATTTCTACTAGTCACTCAATCAGATGTTGGTCTCTACTTGCTCGTCGAACTAAAATTCCCAATTTTTACCACTTTGTGGTTTGAGAAAATCACAAATCGAAACTTGATACACTTCCTTGCAGGGCACGGGAGACGTGTCAAGGCTATATAAATCATTATATATTGCATCTACACACGTAAGTTCACTGAAGAGTTCGTGTTTCGAACGAGCTTGCCTGCAAAACCAGCATTCGTCGATAACGTTAATTTGCAGGACACGCAAGCGGTGAGGGGAAGTAGACAGACACCCATCTCACCTGGTTCATATGCTATGAACGTTTTAAATGCTCCAAGCTCCTTGCAAGAACAACCCTCATCATCAAAGCTACTCGACGAGTTTCGAGCTAGAAAGGATAAGAACAGGAGCCCCATTCAATCGAAATACGAAATCGTTGGTTTCATCTCTGCTGGAACTTATGGACGTGTATTTAAAGCAAAGAGCTTGAATCCGTAAGCTGTTGTGTTGAAGGCACGCCGGATCACATTGTGATGACCAAACATCATCTACACATGCTCTAGATACTCTACTCGTGAATTCGCCGTAAAGAAATTCAAACCCGACAAGGAAGGTGATCCTGCTCTACAATCCGGAATCTCACAGTCGGCCTGTCGTGAAATCGCTCTATGTCGAGAACTAAACCATGAAAACATTGTTGCGCTGGAAGAAGTCATGCTAGATCCTTCTGATCGAAGCATTTATATGGTGTTTGAGTACTGTGAACATGATTTGCTGGTATGATGACATGTTGCTGTCTGTTAAATGCTGGGACGCAAGCCTGACTCCAAACCTTTTTGTTTTGTTAATAGCAAATCTTGCACTTTCACAGTCATCAAGAACGTAGGCCCGTTCCAGAGTATACTGTAAAGGCCTTCTTGTGGCAGTTGTTGAATGGGTTGGCGTACTTGCACTCAAATTGGATATTGCATAGAGTAAGTCACTCGATACTCTTTTTGTTTGTCCCGGCGCGTACTTAGAGCTCTTCCGTTAGGATCTGAAACCTGCAAACATCCTCGTAACTTCAGATGGTGTTGTCAAGATAGGTACGCAGAATAGAAGGTGGTCGCCGGGACTTCATTTCAAAGGCTAAGCTCGTTTTTTTGCAGGGGACTTGGGTCTCGCTCGTCTCTTCGTAAGACCACTACAGCCCTTGTTCAACGGTGACAAGGTCGTCGTGACTATATGGTATCGTGCACCAGAGCTACTTTTAGGTGCAAGACATTACACGAAAGCTGTTGGTGTGTTTGTGATCAATTTTCTGCCAGTATTTTCGAATCACTGCCGACACCAACACAAATTTGCACTACTAGATATATGGGCAATAGGCTGCATATTCGCCGAACTCCTCATGCTACGTCCCATATTCAAGGGGGAAGAAGCCAAAATGGACAATAAGAAAAACATCCCTTTCCAGCGAGATCAGCTAAACAAGATCTTCGAAGTGCTTGGATCTCCTACACGTAAGCACCAAAAAGCTTCATCACTTCTACTTTATGGTGTAATGCTCAAGTACTACAACATCGATTACAATAGGTGAACGATGGCCAGGAATAGAACACATGCCCGAATCAGCCAACCTGTCTACATTCAGACACTATAATAACAATCTACGAGCAGTATACAACCAATCCTCATCTTCGAAATCCGATAAAGGGTTTCATCTCTTGTCGGCCATGTTGGAGTATAATCCAGATCTAAGGATTACCGCCGCAGATGCTTTGAATCATGCGTTCTTTTCAGAGGATCCGAAACCTTCTATGCAGTATGTGCAACCCTGTCGTCTTTAATTTCGCTTTGATTCAGAAGAAAACAAGGCCCTTAATTGCATTCAAATGAAACTTTTGGTTCTTCATAGTGCCTTCAATTCACCTGCCGACAACCATCGTGAATTCGAATATCCAATGAGAAGAGTCGTGCAAGATGATACTGAAAAGACACAGTTTGCTAGCAAGATCCTGTCTAAACTGACGTCCACGACTCAAGGTGGTGCAAGTGGTGGTTCGTCCTCAAACAGCATGATGGGTTCTTCTGCTAAAAAGAAGGCGAGAACTGGAATTTGATTTCAATTGCCGCTGTTTATACATGACATATCGTGTACACAAAAAAATAGTAGTTTTGCATGGTGTAATCTTGTTTTTAATTCTTGCTAATGACTCTCGTTACAAACTGTACATATAAGAAGGGAAGCAAAACAAAAAATAATATACATGTAGTAATTTTCAAAGCAAATAAGGGCTAGGCTAGGCGACATCAGCAATGTTTTATGGTTTTTATGTTGGTCGTTCTACGATTGAGCTGCACCTTCTTGACTTTCATTAGGGTGGGTAGCTGATAGACTATAGAATGGCATACTCATATGGAATGAATTGCCACTCTTCACATCGTATTGCTTCATTGGGAGCAGACTGTGGACTTCACCAGTATGAATACCACCATTCCTGATGAGAAAAAAAGGATCAGAAATAAAATCGAAATAAAATCGAATGTACTACTTTGACTGCACATGCAACGACTCTGATAATGTACTTACCATTTGAAATAGACAGTTTGTCCAACTTGGAGCTCTTCAAATGTCTCGGTTTCGAAAAACTTTGGTCGTGCTGGCTTCACATGAGATACACGAGGATCATGGGCTTTGCAGTAAGCATGAGGATCAGCTTCACCATCCCGCTCAACCATCATCAAGCCATTCCTAATTTTCAGCAAAAAATAGAGCGTCAGCTCTGAGTATACACACTGCTTCGTTTCGCCGTGCGAGTGTACATTGATATTCAGCCTATCCAACATATTGATCTTGTTGCTGCGAATATGTAACCAAAGACATGGAACTTACTCTATAGCACAAGTAACGTGGAATGCACGCGAGCATTTGCCTTTACAGCATTGTATGGGAGCACCATGTCTCTTTTTGATACCTTTATGTTTGCAGAATTCACAATGAAGCTTCCATCGGTCTGGCTCGATATGATCAAAGCCACAGACAAGGTCTCCACGTTCCGTAGTCTTGACAGAGACTTGTGGTACCCATTCAGCACACTTGCGATGAGCGAATATATGACCGTGGCCTTTGATCTTCAATAAATCGGTTTCATTGGTACTGGCGCAGAGCTCACACTATAATTGAAAGGAGGCGATAAAAAATGGTCACAAAACTTGAGAAACAACATATTTGATGTCGGATCCTCACGACAAGAAAATATCCGGTAAGATTTCAACAAGAAAACTTACAGGATAGAGGCTTGGTTCGGCAGAAACCGGAGTTTCCTTTGCAATTGCTACCTTCTTACGCAATAAGTTCTTGATGGGATCAATTTCTCTCTTCATGACATGGACTGGCCTTAGTGGTGCTGATGCTGATGAGGTGACTTCATCACGCAAGGCATTTGCAGGGTCAAATAGACCAGCAACGTCCATTTTGACTGCGTCTTCTATACATTGACAATGATTGGCTGCTTTGCCATTCTCAATCCAAGATTCAAGAGCAAAGTTGACAGATTCAGCACAGTTGATGCCCAAATTATAGCCAGCATGATAGCCATATGGGAAGGTAATGATGAACTAAAAAAGTAGAGGAGATTCATCAGTGGACGTGATTTAGGTGCAAATGATGACACCGGTTTTTTGCTCAGTCTACTACCATACCTCTCCAGCCTTTTGAACCATTCGATTGACATGGATGTTGTGTTTCGCCAAATAGACAGGAGACAAGAGACTAGTCTTGTGTCTCAAGAATTCAGGACAAGCCTTGCTATCCTCAAAAAATATCTGCGAAATAATGTGTCAAGACGTGCTGCAGATACGCACAATCACAACTGCAAATACACGAAACTCACCTGCTTTGCGAGTCTTTCAAATCTTAGACGATCTCGAGGTGGTACCACATACCACTGCTTTGGAGCACCAAAATGTATGTAACTATTCAATTCGATTTCTTCATGAGTAAACAGGCATTCAATCAAACGGCGCTACTTTGGAGAACCTTACTTGATACTGAACAAGTCCATATCCTCCTATAAAAAGAATGTCAGAGCCTGCAACAACGACGTTTTCTGACAGCACCTGTGTACGAATGCTGTTAGACAACTCACCAAATGCCAAGCAAAGGTAGCCTTCCACATTCCAAAGTACAAATAGGGTAGATTGACACCAGGTAAATCAGCCCGAATGTCAGATAACAAGTTATCCAATCGACTCATATTCCAACCACCTGCATCTTTGTCATCAAACAGAGTACCCAGCATATCAGCACCGTATAGTGGAGATCCATAAGTGAGATTCTTCCAATAATACCGTTCCAACTCTTGACAGTACTCAATAGAAGGATCAGTGTTGAGATCGAATGGATTGATTGTGAGGTCACTATCGTCTTCAGCAGCAATAGCAAGTCGTTTACGTTTATATTTGGTAGCGGGCTTGTCGGTTGTACCACTAGTATTAATTGGTGTCTTTGATCGTTCTTCCATGAGTTTTATCTCTTTGAGAAGGGTGGTTTTCTGTGACTGAGTGAGGTTTTGGGTGGTGATTCCTTCTGGTAAACGGAAGTAGACGTCTTCGCCAACTCTACAGAGATGGACTTTGAGGCCCTCCGTTTCGAATGCAAAGAATTCGGTGTTTGGGATGGCTGGGTCGACAGCTTTGGGATCATCATTGGTACTGCTCTTTTGACTACGACTAGGACTAGATTGGGCTGCTGTTGTTGACTCTATTCCATTACTTTGATGCCCATTTATACCATTAAGCCCAGTGTCAGCACCAAGACTATCAGTATTTAGAGACGACGTTGTAGGTAATGGACTGGATGCGCCACTTGCGGCAGTAGAGGTAGTACCGATTGCACCATTCTCAGCAGGAGTGGCATCCATGTCTACTACACTATCGTCTCGATCATTGGCAGTAGTGTCGTCCTCCTCAGTGACCTTCCTCCTCTTCTTTGGACTTGGCTTTAGTTCAATGGTGGTAGCAGGGATTGTGGGAGTAGTTGGTGGATTGGCAGCTATTACAGGTACGAATTTACCATCGGCATTCAAGACAGGAGGACTTCGTTCCGGCTCCATAGCCATGTTGATCCATGACTGGACGGAGAAGTTTTTACGACATTCAATGTTTATTTGTCGGTAAGCACCAGCAGGAAGTAATGCACCTCGTTGTATGTCCTGTATGATTGCTTGTTTGACTCTGAGTTGCGACAATCTGGGTTTGATGTCTGGCAGAGTTTTGAACCATTCTTTCGGAGGGATGATTTTGACGATGCCAGAAGCTCTTCCTCTCTTGTCGATAGCCTTTGTGAATGAATGAAAGTCCTTGAACTATGAGGGAGAAATGTTGTATTGCGTAAATTTGCAAGTTTTGTGGGTTTGGTTTTACAAGTCAACAAGCATTTGTGAGTCAGGTGGGACGATAGCTCAAGAAGATATCAGTAGTGGAATCCATGCGTAAGCACTTGCCTGTGCCCAAGTTGGCTTGTATACGGGGACTCCCTTCTTGTCGCCACCCCAGTAATGATCGGGAGCAATACCACCGTCGTCCAGATTTTCTTGGTCAGAGTCGTCTGAGTCCGACGGACTCCTCTCGTTCGTGATATCAGGGATGCTCGTAGCCATTCTACCTGATATGATAACCTATAATCAATGCTTTGATACTATACTTTGTTCTGCTGCGACTGCTTTCGTTGTCGTGTTTTGAGCAAGCGGGGCAAACACTTGATTTTCAATAGGGAAGAGACACTGCTTGACGGATGTATGGATGACTCGATACCTATAAAATGATATTCAGGTCTCTCTTTGACGTTTCTTTATCCTTTGGGCTCGAAAACGAGAGTCTTGAGTCTTTGTCACTTCTTTCGAGAAACCACGATGAGCACATTACAATATCAAAACAACCAGGGTGGAGGCGACATCCTTTCATGAATTACGCGAAAGGTATAGTAGAATTTACAAGGATTCACATGAACCTGCGAATTCAGAGAGATATCGCCCAACTCGTCCCGTTTAGCTTGCATTCTCACGGTCGAAACAACGATGTGCAACGAAATTATGCGTCTTAAGTACAAGACACGCGACTTATGAGATCAAACACCTTCCCTTTCTTCACCATTTGCAGCATCTGTGAGTTGTCAGCTGTTTTGAATGGCAAAAACAAGACGGCACATCATCGACCCTTCCATATAAGGATTGCGAATAGATTAACACCGAATCGTGATAGACAATTCACTACATTTCGTCAGTAGACGTTGAGCAATCTTCTTTTTATATATAGAGTGCCTAATCCACCACCGAAACTTGGACGACAACCCCAACAGTATTTTACTGGACGGTATAGTTTATCAGCAGTGGCGTCTCCTTCAAAACGAAACCACGACGACTCGGAACATCGGTCTGCAAGTGGTCTAGCCACCCCTTCCTCCTCAAACTCTGAACATCAGAACACTTCAACTACCAATACTTGGCCCTTTCCAACTCCTACAAGCTCTAGGCCTGTAAAAAGACGTAGGAGGTCATCTTCATCTTCGTCCCATTCAGATATGCAAGAGTCTGACATGGTGGCTGCTAACGGAACACACTCTTCGGACGCTCACTCTCATGCCAACGGTCACTCGACCACTACTCCAAATGGTGCATCAAAGCAAAGACCACCTAGAGATGAAGAAGTCGTACGCATCATCATTCAGGCATTACAGGATATGGGTTACAAGTAAGCCTACTTCAGTTATTGTTTGGTGATCGGCTAAAAGACATAGATATTAATTTGGTGGAATGGTGGTTCCCACATCATGGACCATACAATCTCCCACAATTTTTCTAAGTTTGTTTTGAACATGGCCAACGCATTTTTCACCTAGATCCTCAGCTGATTTGCTGCAGAAAGAATCAGGCTTTGTGTTAGAATCATCATCTGTATCGCAGTTTCGCTCTGGTGTCTTAGCTGGCCAGTGGCAACAAGTAGAAGACTTGTTACCTTCACTTGTCACTGATTCTAACGCTCAGCAAGTATGTTGCAGAATTGTGAAGAGGGTGATCGTTTGCGTCAGGTGGATGAAAAGTTCAAATGAACAAAGCTTCTGCTTCCATCCTTCGTTTATATGATGCCTCGATCACGCCGCGTCGACACTCACACAATTTCTTGCAGAATGTACTCTTCTTGTTGCGGCGTCAAAAGTACCTCGAGTCACTAGAGAAACGTGATATGAAGAAGGCATTGATTGTATTGAGGAATGAATTGACGCCATTGACTGCTACTGCTCCAAGATTACATCTTTTGACTAGGTTTGAGATCTGATTTTGACGTTATATTGATGAATATTCATGTCTGACGGCTTGAAGCACTCTAGTTTCTTGATGTGCTCTGGTGTCGATGATTTGAAGAAAAAGGCTGCTTGGGATGGTGCTGATGGTGTCTCCCGGCATGAGCTTTTGGCTGAAGTGCAAAGTACGTCCTTACAGTCTGACTATGTTGATCGTTTTTTGTTGTCGCATTTGTATACTGACGATCCTCGACGTGAACCCCGTTATTTTTGCTTTTACTTTATCAGTTCCTTGACACTTAACACCACTTCAACAACTAGAGCACATATCGTCTGCTGTCATGATACCGGAACGGAGACTCGATTCGTTATTGGATCAAGCGATACAGTTGCAAAAGATGAGCTGCATGTATCATAACACGAACGAAGACAACATCTCACTATATACCGACCACTCTTGTGATCGAAACGAATTCCCATGCGAGACAACACACGTCTTGCAAGAACACTCAGATGAAGTTTGGTTTGTTGCCTTTTCTCATAATGGATTGTATCTTGCTTCGGCATCCAAAGACAACACTGCCATCATTTGGAGTCTTGAAGACTGTAAGCCACTCCATATCTTGACCGGACATAAAGACTCTGTATCTGCCGTCGCATGGAGTCCTGACGATTCACTACTACTTACTGCATCTAATGATCATCTCGTCAAGTTATGGAATACCAAGGTATGTTAGTCTGCAAAACTAGGTCTTTTTTGTCAGTTCCAGCAGATTGTGTCTAAAGAGCAGCACGACAAAGACTGAGCGACTAAATCTTTTGCTCCCCTCGTTGGATTAGACGGCCTTCTGTGAGCAGACACTATCACGACACACAGAGAATGTGACATCATGCGCTTGGCTTCCCGATGGTGACCGTTTTGTCTCCGCATCTCACGACAAGAACATATTTATGTGGAATACGGATGGCGATGTTTTACATCGATGGCAGGGCACGCGAGTCACAGATCTAGTAGTAACTCCTGATGGCAAGAAGATGATTGCTATCTGCCATGAGAAGAAGATCAGATTGTATGATCTGGAAACGAGAACCGAGACTACGTAAGCGTCGTTTACTTAGTGCCTCAAAAGTTCATCGTTATTTTTGCTTATTTTTTTCTGGCATAGGTGTATACAAGAAACAGATTCAATCACATCGATATGCGTTGCAAACGACTCTCGGCATGTTCTAGTCAATTTGTCGGTCAAGGTATGTGCATTGAACTTTATACTTGATGAGTGGATGCTGATTCGAGAATACATATTTGAACAGGAGATACACTTGTGGGACTTGGAAGAGAGGAGACTTCTCAAAAAGTTTGTTGGGCAACAACAAGGCCGTTTTGTAATTAGATCTTGCTTTGGAGGTGTCAACCAGAACTTTATCTTGTCTGGAAGCGAAGGTAAAAAGCATCGCATTAGCAAGTCAATATTTGTAGACTAAATTCAACCCTTCGACACTAGATAATAATGTCTATGTCTGGCATCGAGAACATGGTGTTCTGATTGAGAAGTTGAGTGGACACACAGGTGAGCAGTTCTCCTTCTGCCGTACCTGACCACTCGTTGACAAATTTTTGCTTCATTAGGATGTGTGAATAGTGTCGCATGGAATCCACGGTTCAACATGTTCGCCTCTGCATCCGATGACCATACTATACGTGTATTCGAATGCACTGGAATGACATCCACATAGATCTTACGACCAATTACGACCAATTGTACTACCACATGTGACTATTACGGGGAACCTGTACATTATTAGGCCAATATTCTATACACAAAGTTTCAATTTACACAAATAAACCGCAAGAATTTACTACAGTTAGTCTACCGCTGCTTTGTGATGTGGTTTCTGCTTTCAAGATATGTCTTACCTCATCTCTAGTTGAAATTCACAACCGCGCAACGAACCTACGACGGTTTGGCCTGTCCAAACCTGTGTTTTGGACCAATTCACCTGTCGTGCTTCACTCTAGTTTTGAATCACATTCAGATCCTCTTGACTTACAAGCATTTAAGTTTACTATGTGACTGGACTATTTAATATTTTGAGTCCTTGTTGCTTCTTCCAGCATGCGAGCAATAGAATATGCTTCACCTCATGCTAGTCGCTTCCTGTTCATTCCTCATAGTAATATACTAAGAGAGCAACAAATGATAGGGAACAACCGGTGTATTCGCAACCGATTGCGAGCCGTCGCAACTTTGTTGACTAATAGCCAGCCAGTTCCGTGGGTTTCGTTGATGAGGGGTTGAATGGCGTATCACACATAATGTTAAGTGACTAGTTGGAGATATTGGGCAGAAAAAGTGAGCAAACAACTTAGCAATCCAACAAACAAATGCATCTCTCTTGATTTGAAACAATTAATGGTGCAAGTGGTCTGAAATATTATGAATGACATCAATCCTTGTCTGAGAGCAATTCCTGTTGACATTCTCAACAAAAATATTTGTAAAGCTGATGCTCTGATTGTGTAAAGGGACATATTTAGTGAAAGGACATACCAAATCAAACAGGTGTGGATATTTTTGCCCAATAGCAAGTTCGAGCGTACCAATAGCGATAAATGTTCATGATCGAAAAGTTGAATACGGTTAATGGTTATTTAACGACGTCGAAAAGTTGAGCCAAAATTCCCCTGCATCCAATCTAACAACAGATCATGAATCAGCATCTCTCCACTCCAGCAATCATTTAAAACAAGGCAGTGATCTGGACGATTTGGTTTTGGTCGTGTCAGTGAATGCCATGGCATTTCCGAACGTAGATTGAAATACTTCCAAAGTGAGGCTAATGCCAGTCTATGCACAAAATCCAATTTTACACAAACGTTCTACAGTAACTCTACGGCTGGTTTATGAGATCGTTTCTTCTTGCTTCCAAATTTAGGTGCCTTTCAATCAAGATGTTCAAGCAAAAGTCGCTTTAAATCCACGACCATGCAACAATCCAGCGACTAGTCTTGGCCTGTCTCACCATCTGGGTTTTGAATCGATTCACTTGTCGGTGCTTGCACAGGGTTTCAATCACATTCACGTCCTCTTTACGTCCAAGCAATGAAGTATACCATGTTACTCGAGTCTTCATGTCTTGATTCTTTGCTGATTCGTCCAGCATGCGAGTTACAAACCCTACTTCACCTCCTGCTGTAATCATTTCTGCGTCGCTTCCTGTGCATGCCTAACAATAATCTAGGTGAGGGACGAAAAGACGTTGTGACGGATCGTGGATTTGCAGCTCACTGCAAACGGTGGCAACTCTTTGTTACTAGCCAAAGCAGCGATTTCTTTTGATGAGGAGTAGAATGGCGGATTGCACATGATGGCGTGTATGTGACTAGTTTAAACGATTTTATAGAAAGTGAGAAAAAAATAACATGGCAAAGCGTGTACATATCTAACCCACTGATCTTGATTGTCGACAAACAATGGTAGTAAATCCTCAGAAGTATTATGAATGACATTGATCCTTGTCAGCAAATCATTCCTCCTGATGTTTTCTAGGGCATATTCGTATAATCGTCTATCTGATTCTAGAAGAGGATTTAGTGACAGATCGTATACGTGGAAGTTCTGCCGGGGGGGTTTTGGCCATACCAAGAGCAATGAATGACCAAGATGAAAAAGTTCGACATCCGAGTAGCGGATATATGCACGAAGCTCCAGTTCCCCTGATATCATCCAATTTTTAGCAAAGAAACCATGCGAAACTTTGCGATATACTTACAAGTCGACCACACAATACGAATCATCATCTCCACATTCAAGCAAGTCCCTGAGACATAGAATATAATCCAAGCGATTCGGTACAGGCGGCGTCAGTGAATCCAAGGGTATTTCCAACCGTAGATTGAAGTCCTTCCATAGTAGGGCATATGTCAGTTCTCTATAAACCAAAAAATGCGTACATGGTCTATTCACGATCTTGGCTTTTACAAGTAAGCAACACATCATACCGTAAGGAGCGAGGATCTTTGAAATCAATGTTCGCAGAGGATGGTCCAGTATGTATCAAGCTATTGTGTTTGTGATTGTCAGATGATTTGGAGGTATGACGCGTCATAGTGCGCGATAGCTTACTGGGGCTTGAGCCATTTGTAACTTTCAGCTAGCTCCATAAAGTTTGGTGGATTGTCTCTGTATGGATTCTTCTCGTGCATTTTGCAATGATTTTAATGCTAGTCACGTAGCTAGCGACTGGTGATTTGGAGATGAATTCACGTGTAAAATGCAATGATTAACATGCAAGGATAGTTCCTTTCCAGAGCTTGAAGAGTTGAGCTTGAGTTGTTCGATAAAGCGTCAACTTCTCAAAATCCAACTTCTGATAGAGTCTGTGTGAGTAAACGAAAGAGGTAAGCTTAACGATAAAAGATATTTCTTCACAGCATTTGCAGACAGCTACATTCCAAGAATTTCGCATTGAAGCTCTCTTCTTCATTCAGATTCAAAGACTTGAGGCGGCGCTTGAAGGAAGTCAACAACTCAAGATTCGAGACTTTGATCATCACTTGAGCTTCAAATTCATATCATGGCCTCACGTATAAGGAGCATACAGGACTACGTCAATGGTGGTTCTCCAGCTATCACTACAGGTGAGAGACCCGCCACCAACTCCGACATCAAAAACATGAAGCATTATCATGAACAAGACCAGAGCTTCTATGAGCTCCATCTCATCAATTTCACGCATTGAACATTACCACGAATGTGAACGAATGCAGACCCGATTCGTGTCCTTGTTTCGCCAGTTGAATGCACTCCTCAGAACAGAGCGTTCGTGTCATTGACGCATTTTCCTCCTTCTAAACCTCATCAGGAAGCGATTTGGATACCGGAGCAGTATGTGGCGTAGAACTGACAAGGACTCAAAGATTCTATGGCTTTGGCATATGTTTTATTGCTGGGTTTGCTATTTCTTTCTTCGTAAGCATTGCATTGAACCGCAGCTATCTATAAGCTTCATCTTAGCTGTTCAATAGCAGCGGAAGCTAAACCATAATCGACTTTTTGTCGCTGTTGTTTGGCTGTCGCTATCACCATGAAACTCATTTTTTCTTATTCTCTGTCATAGTCGACGTTCTTGCTGTTGTCAGGAAGGTTCGCCGCTTTCGCAGTGCTATACTCCTTGGGGAATATTCTAGCTTTGCTGTCAACAGGCAAGTGATTACGCTGAAACTACCTGTCCCAGACTCTCCAGCTTTTCACATCTGAAGTTACGCTGGCCTTCCAATGCTGAGTTTATCAGGATCGTAACTAATCTCTGTTTATCCGCAGGCTTCCTTGTGGGCTTCAGGCGCCAATTGAAGATGATGTTTGATCAAACAAGGATTTACGCAACAGTCATTTACTTGGCGTTACTCGTCACAACTCTTATTCTGGGGCTGGTTTGGGGAAATTTTATATTGATCATCCTGGTTATATTGCAGTGGCTCGCTCTGTTATGGTACTCTGCAAGTTGTAAGTCGTTTTTCTTAATGGCTACAAGAAGCTCTAGTTTCTGCGGCTCTGACCATTCTCAATCTAGATATACCATTTGCACGAGACGCCATAAAGGCTTGTCTTGGACGTGTTACTGGTTAGGATTATCTTTATTCTTATTCTCTTCTACTGCTCTTTGTGCTTTATATAAATCACGTTACAAGCTACAAATATCTACTATTGGTTTACGTTATAGTTCAAATTTTCGCTTGCTTTTCACCTTGAAACAAAAGGTGACGCGGTTTCGTCACAAAAAATGGCCACAAGGTCTTGTATTAGGTCAAATGTTTGTGATTAATATTTACAAGTTTCATATTTTCAAATGAAGCCTCGGCACAGATTAGCACTTATTGATGAGGCAAGAAGCTTGTTCCCCTCATATCTCCGTCATACCAAGTAGTACCTAATCCACATAGCATCTTCCCAAGAGCCAGATGGCACTCTCGTTGGCAGACTTCTCAAAAATGGGCCTCTTACTCAAATCTCCTAAAAAGTTAGCTCAAATAGCCTTTGTCGGCCCTACTAAGTTTTGAGTGAGTTAGAATTCACAATGAAGAGAATGAAATCCGAGAAACAGTGTCAGGGTTTTTTTAATGATTACTTCGTCTATTGATGCTACCCATCTTGCCAAAAACATACACTGCAACTATAATACAAACTGCTTGCCACCACAAAAACTGCCTTAAATACATGATTGACCTTTATGGCTCGAGTAGGTTCCAAGCAGAAATCCACTCCCGTCCCTTCATATCTGCAGCGGGCACATTAAAACCAAAGCTTAATGGCGCGAAATAGACAAAATTGGCTATAGCTAATGCTCCAATAGCAGACATGATGATTGTCCGTGACCACCAGTTTGGTACAAGCCGTATACTTATGTGGTCAATGACGAATGCGAATGATATCAATGCAAAGTAGAGAGCGGGGAAGTAGTGATGTAGGCTAGACGAAAAGACGATGATGCATTGGTCAAGTATGAGGTGACCTCATTTTTTTGCTTCTCAGCAAATTTGAAGTTACATGATACTCACTAGGTCACTCGTCCCATAATCCAAAAGGGCATGTAATGCAAAAACCATCCCAACAGTCCAGTGTGAACTGCAAAGGCAAAATCTTTGTATTCTTCTAAGAGGAGTGAAAGCAAATATGGAAGTGAGAAAAAAAACCAGAAACACTGATAATCTAACGTTTCAAATTACCTGGCAAGAAATCACGTATCTGCCTCCTCCACCGTATAATATAAGTTAATATGAGACCTACAAGCGCCACCAATCCAAATGTCGATCCAAGCCATGTCGTCGGATTGCCAACCAAGTAATACTTGATTGCATCATCTGCCCACCCAACCATTCGAAGTCCATTCAACATGAGTGGCCATTCGCGTGGTGTAGATGTCAATATGTCTTTTTCTTTGTCTGGATCTGGCACTAGAGCGTTATTGGACGTCCACATAGCGACATTCAGATGTACAAAGTCATGCAAAAAGTAGGAGCGTGGTCGAGGTGTTCCTGCTCGTGGTTGGGGCACTATGGTTTGAGGAACATTAGTTGCTTTCGAAAGTGGCATTCGGCAGAAAAAAAACTTGGTCTCATGCTCAGAGATCTCACATCGAGAGTTGATATGCTTCTCGACATTCCATATGTTGAAAGGGCTAAGATCTTCACCCTCCTTCTGACACAGCACTTCAGCTTGCTTGAAACCCCATTGTGGCAAAATCACATTGTGGGAACGTAAGAGGCAACCAGTCATGACATGTCGGAAACGCATTTGAGTGGTCAGAGAACGAACTCGTTTCGTTTCTGGTACCAGCACATCCTATATTTTCAAAACAGAGCAAGAAAGTTAACAGCGCAGAAAACATCGGGAGCTTCCAGTGTATGTATGACTTACTGTCACGATCTCGACCTTCCAGTGGTCATTCTTATCTCCAAGAGTAGAATTACCATAACAACTGACTTCATATTCAGATGTTGTAACTGGCGCCTTATGAGCAGAGTGACTGTGAAGATTCCTGGTCGTTTGAGCATGCACTATGTACCGAGCAAAAGTGTCTCCATCAGTCCAACCGTAACATACAAGGAAGGAGGTTGCAAATTTATGCCAAACCTAGACGAATGATGGCTCCATCCTCCAGAAACTCTGGTTCTCCGTCATATTTTTCACCAGGAATCTCCACACCCCAAGGTTTCGTCACATACCACTCGTTATTAGCATCCTTGTGATGATAACAGGTGACTTGTTGTTGCTCAGAACCAGTAGGGTATCTCTGAACGTGCGAATGCAAGAGTCCACCACCATGCCCATTGTTCTTTAAGGATATTCTTGAACCAAAGGCGATTTCTACACCAAAAGGAGTGAGCAAAAAGATTCACTATGTTTCGTAAAGACTCTGCCTACCAAGAGGGTTCTCGTCAAAGTCATTCCCAATCAAACCAGCTTGAAACAGGGAGCTCATTTGTGCATCTCCTGGCCCACTCCTCGTCAGAATGGCAAAGTGGAGCAGGAAACATGTCATGTATACTGCAACAGGTATCATAATCAAGCACAAGATTCGAGCAATCCAGTGCTTGAGATATGTCCTCTGCAAGCGAGAATGAGAATGAGCCAACTGTTCCTTTTTTGCAAAGTGACTTAATCCGCTTGCACAATTTTTACCCAAGGCATCTTCAGATCTCCAAGCATCTCCCATAAATCTTCAATAGTATGCTAGATGTCCGAAAAAGAGTATCAGGACGATACGTTCTTCAAAATTCAGAAAATCATCCCGTCTTTTACCAATCCTACGAGCGCAATAGCAAATAGACCAACCCACTTGACGCTATCAATGCAAAATAACTCAGTCCCAGGTGCGTTAATGAATCAAATTTTGTCCTACCTCAGTACAGCTCCTATATTGATTCCAAGTAGCAAAAGCCATCCCCACCACGTTCTCGAAAACGGTCTAAAACTCAAAACGATGAAAAAACGATCAGAAAAACCCGAAGAAAGATGCACACCTGGCAGCTTGCTCATTTCGAAAGCGCACCAGACAGTATACACTAGTGGCAGTGAGCATGAGTAGCAGAGAATCCAGTAAGATGAATCGAGATATGGTAGCAAATGAGCATTCTAATGAAGTCACATCAGCGAAAACTTCGTCTATACTGGCATTTTTTGTCCTCGTGCAAACGAGATATACCAACGAGAACAAAAACACCCAGCAGAAATGATGCCTGTTTCGACATTTTCAGTTCCAACGCAGTCAAGAAGGCCAGAGGGACGATGGTAGCTCCACAAATAGCACAAAACACTCTCATTCCAGTATAATTTAGATCGTCTGGATAGACTTTGCCAGACTCGAAATCAAAGGTTCCGTCATAGCCAGCCAGGTAGCCTGCTAGACCGAGTAGCATCTTGCCAAGTGGAGGATGGACATCAAAGTAGAACTCTCGTTTCAGATAGTGTGAGGCAAACTTGCCGAAATGAGCTTCATCCTACAGTTAGCCTGTTGAGTTAGGCCAAGAAGGGAGGAACACGAGTCTACAGAGTTAGCCTTACCCTATGTTCTAAATGAGTTAGAATAGGATGGAGACAAGCGTTGGTCAACACTCATACCATACGACATATTTAGCCCAACTGATCTTGTATAGACGCGTAAATAGCGATGCAGCGGTGAGCAGTCCAAGCAGCACGATATCTGTAAGATCCAATCGTCCAAGCTTTTGAAGAAACAGGGTAGTATCAGTATCAGAAACTCTGCAGGAAAATATTCCAGCACAAATCATAGATTTTACATGAGATCCTCTACGTGAAGATTGTAGCTCGGCCTTGTCGAATTTGTCGCCAGAGTAAATGTTTTGTGCTTGTTGAGTATAATCAGGAGCATCCTGTGTCGGGACTGGCCGCTTCCTGAGCCCGCCGTTTTCCATAGTCCATATAAAATCAGTGCTATATGTTATAGGAATTGTTGTTGAATTGTTGTTATATTGCTGCTCGTTCTCGTTTCTCGAGGAATTCAGCAGCGATGGTCGAGGAGGAGGCAAGGGAGAGGCACGTCTGGCTCTGGATTGTACAGGTTGTGGTAGGTCACTAGTAGAGTCGCCCTGACTAAACATATATACAAGAAAGACGAGGGTTTTGTTCAAGTCCGTGGGAAATCGATTCACCACGAGCAAAACTTGAAGAAATGCACCGGTCAATGTCTTTTTATAAGCATTAAACGCGTATTGACGCACCAGTGGCTAGCAAATATACGTTATTCGTAGACAAGATCAAGTTCCGGACAAGAAACATTAAAACTCCAGTTCAGCGTGTTTCTTGTCGGCACCTGCCTTTCCAACATGAAACTTCGGAATTTCGTTTAAACACATATGAATGTAGCCTTCTTTGCCACGGATCTGCTAATCCCAAATTCCCCAACTTTGGTTGACATCATCCTGTCCACCCCAATTTTCTTTTCGTGCACGCTACTCTAAAAAACTCAAATTCCCCATCGTATCTTCGACCGCCACGCTTCTAAAATCCTTGCGAACTACCAGATCTAGCGACCATGCCTACCAGTGGAGTCAGATTGCACTTTGGATCAACTCTTCAGTGAGCGTTTTGTCGGAGTTTGTTGCAATTGTTTGACATCATCACTAACCTTGCTGCCCTTCCGTAGAGTCAAGCATGAAAGTGGTTCCTATACGTCATCTATCGTGAATCTTTTGCCTCTAAAAGAGGGAGATGTCATCGGATCATTCGAACACACAATGTCCATTAGGTATGTTCAAGCTGAAAATCACCAGTATTTGATGGTCAATGGTTAAGCGCTTCGTCAAATTAACTCTTTCTTGGCTTCATATAGTGACGTGAAGCGGTATTCCACGGTTCAAATCGATACCGACAAGCACATTGAACTCAATTCCGAATTGGTGTATATAAACCACTCATGTAACCCCAACGTCAAATTTGACACTCAAGGCCTCAAAGTCGTTGCTCTCAAGGACATGCCGGCTGGCACAGAATTGGCCTTCTTTTACCCATCTACTGAGTGGGAGATGATTCAACCTTTTGAATGTTGGTGCAAGGCACCACAGGAAAGTTTTCGCGTCGAAATCACGTTGATTTTCCAATATCCTACTTGAGCCATCTATTAATTTTGCTCTCTCCCCTGTCTGTAGTGTCTAAAAGAGGTCAAAGGTATGCAATCCTGTTTATGTCAAACATTTCTCAAAATTTCTTGTTTGTAACGCGTCATCGTAGGTGCCAAGCATCTTGAGACTAATGTCCTCAAGCAGTTCATTCTATCCGAACACATCACGAGGATGCTGGAGGAACGTGATGCTGCCAAATCTGACGCTTAATCCTGGCCTTCTATTTTCGGTGGCCTTTCAATAGAAAAACGGACTATGAGACTATGAGAGATGAGAGCATAAAAATAATTTAATGATGATGCATTCTTGGAACATTCAGACCAATAGATTTTTTGAATTATATACACGTGTCCACAGCTGCCAGCTACCACAGATTAAATGCTCTCGTATTTTCGAAAGTCGGTCTGAGCTCCTTCTTTTACCAGTTTGGTTTTCAAACGACAGCTCATCCTCCATCGCTGTACGCGTCACCACTTGACAAACATTAGCAAACACATTAAGCCATGTCTGGATACGACAGAGCTCTCACAGTCTTCTCTCCTGATGGCCAATTATTCCAAGTCGAATACGTACGTCCTCGTCAAGTAGCTTGTCATTACTGTCCTGGATGTTTTGTCACTAAACTTGAATTTCCCAACTTTTAGGCATTAGAAGCAGTCCGAAAGGGAACTTGCGCGGTAATTATATTCTTGATATACATTATGCATCTAGTTTTCCTGCTAGCCATTCATATGCAAGCTGCGCGTGTAGACAATTCTTCATTGAACATAAAACTTATTACCAAACATCAATCTTACAGGTTGGAATACGAGGAAAGGATGTCGTAGTATTAGGTGCTGAAAAGAAATCTGTATTGAAATTACAAGATCCACGAACAATCAGGAAGATTGCCATGTTAGATGACCATATTTGTATGGCTTTTGCTGGTAGGTTGGAATCCTTTACCATTGAAATGAAGTTTTACTCGGAATCAAATTTGAAATTCCGAGTGTTGTGTGCACGACTAGACTAGAAGGGAGCATGTACTGATTTGCTCTCTCTACTTACGTAGGACTGACGGCAGATGGAAGAGTATTGATCAACAAGGCACGAATGGAGTGCCAGAGTCATCGTCTGACTGTAGAAGATCCCGTCTCTGTCGAATACATTACAAAATACATTGGTGGTGTCCAACAGGTCTGTTTCTACAACACAACAAGTATTAACTCACCAAAAAACTGACTATATGTCTACACAGAAATACACACAATCCGGTGGTGTCAGACCATTCGGCATATCCACCCTGATTATCGGATTCGACGTGGACAAAATCCCCAAACTGTATCAAACAGACCCCTCAGGAATCTACTCGGCATGGAAGGCAAACGCCATTGGCCGATCATCCAAAACCGTACGAGAATTCTTGGAAAAGAATTACAAGGATGACATGTCGCGTGATGAAGCAATCAAACTCGCAGTCAAATCATTGTTGGAAGTAGTGCAAACTGGTGCCAAGAATATTGAAATTGCTGTTATGGGGTCAGATGCTGTATTGAAGAATCTGGACTTGGATGAGGTTGAAGCTATATGTGCTATTATTGAAAAGGAGAAGGAGGCTGAGGCTGCAAAGAAGAAGGGCGGTGCTGCAAGTCAAACTGGAGGTGCTTCATCCTCATCGTAGATTTTTAGCGCTTCCTTTCTTTAAAGTTGTACAGCAAAGCAAAATATATAGTGATATAAATGAAACGAATGGTCGGACCTGGTGTGTTGAATTCCGCTTTATCCTTTTTATGTCGACTACAGAATCTGTTTGCAATCTTTGTGATCTTCTCCTACCTACAGAACAACCCCATTGACGGAGTTCAACTCAAACTATTTGACGCATCATTTCTACAACCGGTAAAATACAGCATCCAAGTATTCTGTACAATGGAGCAGAACCGAAGGCCTGCATCAGTTGGACGTCCAACTGTTGAAACTGATTTGTCATATGATTGTTGCTGCATATACACAATGGCCAATAGAAGAATCTGCATTGGTTTGTAATACTAGTCACTTGATCTTTGCCTCATCCCAAGGCCCACGATTTTGGCTATCATCATCAATTCAAAATTAGTCACAAATCTATGCAATCCAAATCTGCGACAAGATAACACACTTTTTGTACTTGTGATGAAATTGTATGAGAACAGCGGGTCCTGCAAACGTCACCAGAATCAAAACCGCCATGTACAAGAGACCAATAGGCGGCGATAGATGTAGCAGCATGGATATAGATATGATGCCCATAAGCAAGGTCAGAGCTACATTTGAGCTGTTGCTTGATCTCTAATGATGAGGTTAAAAATGCGACATAATTGACGGAAAATGCTTGGTTTACACTCACTCTCAGCGCCCTTCGAAATCCTGGTAGCAATGCACACAACTCGAATGAGGTGGCCATGAGAGCAAACACGTGTAGCGAGGTCGATAGCCGAGACGCTAACAGTACTGAAGCAAAAATGGCAGCGTTTATCGAGACGGAGTCTGGAAATCTTGTGGAAATAGTAAATGAGCAAATATATCAAGTCTTTTCAGTATATAAGGGGTCAGTCAAACCTGAATGTCACGTTCTGCTCAACATTATAGTCATGAAAGAGCCAGTTGCAAATAAACAGAAGTGTCGTGAGAGCATAAAGAGTATCGTCCGATGTATCTTGCGTCAGAGTTTTCAGGACTGGAGATAATAGTAGCAGGGCAGCCAAGAGTAACGCGACTGCTCGAAGTCTTGTTGCGTCTGTTTATCAAATAAGTAAGGGTAGAGACTTGCAGTTTTGACTTGGCACTCTCCAACTAACCGAATTCGATCTTACCAGATTGAATCCATGCTCCCTGCTGACACCACAACACAATCCCACCAACAAAAAGGAGCGCCAGACCCAACGACACCAGAAAAGTTGTCGAATGTTTGGATTGCAATTGGGTAAAGCAATAGATCAACATGATGGTGGTAGCGACCTGTTGAGTAATGGCTCCAGTTTGCATGACTAGATTCCAGTAATTCAGAGGAGTTGCATCGTGGTCTGTAGTGGGTTTGAATTGTTAAAATGTTAATACTCAACTTTGATTTGAATTTGCAAGGCTTACGTCGCTCTTTGACGAAGGTCAAGAAGGCAGGATCTACGTGGTTGTCAGGATAGTTTTGCTTTAGGTATAGCTTGCGCTGCCATGGTGCCGGCTGTGCTGCACGCATATCTCACATTGGGCCTTTTTGGGACGAGAAGTGGATGGAAGCCTTTTGGATGGCAAACAGGACGAAACCGAAACCGCTGTTGCTTCGTGTGGCTCTCTATGAAGGTGAGTTTGTGCGGGGACGCATCCACGCCTGGCTGTTTCTTCCTGCTGCTGCTGCAACCCGCCCCAGACTTGGTACGAGTCTGGTCTGTGGGTGGAGGTCTATTTCTATGTGATTTTACAAAGCTGCAAGCACGAGAAGTAAGGGATGCGAAAAATATATCAATATATCGATCTGTCTATGTATCTATGTGTCTAGAATGGTGATTCGGGTTGGAAGAGACACGGTGTACGTGTTGTGCCTATTTCTAACGACATTCCAGCTCCTCTATCCAACACATCGTGACGAAATTGTCGTTCATCAAGACTACCTATTCTGCTCGATCTCAACATTTCATCAGTATCATCATCACTATGACGAGGTGTAGCGTCGTCCTCAATATTATGGTCAAACTGCCTGACACGTCCATTCAATTCATAACCACCATAATCATCTGATGGTGAACATTTAAATGACCGGCTACGTTCATAAATGTCTATGCTTGACATCAGCAGTCACGGCGTTTGCTGCTTCTTCGTCTTGTAGCAACGTTAGGGCGGCCTGGAATGTCAGCCCAAGGTCGTTCCATGATTTTATTTTGGTCCAAGAATGCCAACGTTTGATTGAAGGAGATCTTGTCCAAAGTTGCAACGCCCGAGTGTGTTATCCATTCGACTGTATTCGTTGGTATGAACTGTACTGTAGTCATCCCAAAAGATGAGGAAAACGTACCAGCCTTCTTGGTAGAATATGGTATAACCGGCGCTGGCATCAGTTCCAGCCTGGAGAGATCGTGCCATCCAAACGGTTTCTTCGCAGCCAATGTTGACTTTTGCAAGGCGTCTGCGATGGCTGTACTTTTCTCAGAGATAGACTAATGATGAATTCAGATGAGTTAATGTGATCATTTTGGACGCCATCAGTCTATAAACAGCAATAGATACCCACAAACTCGTCTCGAACTTTGTCAACAGCCAGTTCAAAAAGACCTCATTGTCGATACTGATAATGCATAACATAAAATTAGTAGGATAGGCAAAATTTATTTGATGACCCTCATTCTCCCAAATTTTCAGTTGTAAGATGGATTCTTCTGTCGTTGTCAAAAAAGATATAGAAAACAAACTGTCAACGAGCATTTCTTCATCAATATCAAGCATCTACATCACTAAAGAGGGTCGCGCGTACCAATTAATACCAAGTTGAGATTGCCACTTTCAAATTGCGGCGACTTAGCAAATTTGCACGTAGACCGAACACAGCTACATCCATAATTTGGTTCTCAATGTCGTCCAAACCACTTGAGTGAGGTTTGCGCATAGAGCTCATATCGGTCAAGTGAGAAATTAATCGATGTGTTAGTTTTCGATTTGGTGGGATTGACAGTATCTTCTTTAAGAGCTCTGAACCTTCCAGACTAACTCTCATACCAGCAATTTTTACAACCAACAGTTGAATCTCAGGTCTCGTAATTCCAACATCTGTAAGTCTGGGAAAATGTCAGCCGCTTCGTCATGACCAGCCAGGAGCATTTCATAAGTCCGTGCTACTTGCAAACTTCGGTCTGAATAGGACTATGAATGTGATCAGATGTTAGTCAGTGGATTTTCTTAAAAGATTTGCAATCAGGAGGTACCGTTTCGTCTGTTCTGAAGGCCATTCAACGAAACAGAAGTGGAGTCTCTGGCGTAAGTACTGCCAAAGGGAGGATAGCATAGCTAAAGAGCATAATTAAAATCAAAGTGTTGAGGGCTCTCATTGTAGGTGTCTTTCGTATCTCTTCTGTGTCCGTAGTTCTTTTTGAAGATGTCAAGAAAAAGGGCAGACATCGAGGAGTGGCTGCGGTTATGATTTCGCAAAATAAGTAGCGCGTCGCATTAAATGCACGTAATCATTTGTCTTGCGCGTTTATTGGTGCGAAGTCTGTATGATTTCTACAACAATTTCATGATTGCGGCATAAAGCTATATCAGCTATAATGGTGCCTCTGCATGGAGAAGCAACTTGTTCCGTGATGTCACACATTGTGACAGGGCTTTCCATTGATCATCACGACTTCGCCTCACACTTTGATCAAAGTTTATATCATCTAGACGAACCCGGTTGGTTGGCCATTCGGGGTCATGACTAGTGCCCGCTACAAAACTATGTTCGTGGTTGTTTGATGATCCAAAGCGTCTATACTCATGAGAATGATCTTCACTGTGAGCATTTGTTTTAGTGCTGTCCAAAAGTAGACAGTCGTGTGACGCTCCTCCAGATTTACACTCTAAGCGATAATCAGCATAAGTCATAGGACTACCTCGGCGTGCAGCAAGTACACTGCCTACGATACCGACGAAAGCAGTCCATTGCTTTCGCTTGATTCTATAATAGTTGATAGCCGCTTCGACTGATACTTCATCAACATCTGTAATACTGCATTGAGACGCCCGGTTTACAATCCATTCACCAACCTGACGAGCAACATCTAAAGGAATATTCTGAGCATTCGAACCGGCCTGGTTTACAAAATACTCATTTACTGGTCCTATTTGAATGTCAATAACCCTAGCAATCTGTGTCAAAAATGAGTACTTTTTCGCAAGGGCCTCGTAAGGACGGGTCTCATTATACTTACTCTTTCTTGAATAATACGAATGCGATCTTCAGTAGCGAGAGATACCTGCCACACACTCAGAAGTGCATCATTAACAGCACTCTTGAGCATTCGACCCATTGGACGCCGATGTTGCGTATCATCGGGAGACGGCACGACAAGACTCTTAATTGCCAGTCTCATCAACGTATCAGGATCTTCTGATACTGCGTCAACCAGGCGGATTACAGGATTACGTTTTGAAGTACGTCCAAATAGATGAAATGCCTTCTTGACTGTAAACATATCGGATACGTCTACACCTTTGATTGCCTGTTCAACGTATTTGTCCAGCGACACATGTGGACTACTTGCTGCATGCTGAAAGCCACCTAAGTTGAGACGAGAGAAAAAGCAGATGTCAGGTTTTTTTTGACAGGTCCTGGTATCAGATGTTGCTAGTTGCAATCTGCTTCATCAACCAACCTGCTATTTTTGCAAATTGGATTTGAAGTCCAGGTGGGCTCAGTTCGAATCTACGCATCTTGTAGTCTCCTGATGCGACACTATACAATCCAGCAATGCTTTTGCTTCGTTCTGAGAGAGGCTATAAAGTAAGGCCTTAGTCAGCTGAGTAGTTATGAAATGTTCAAGGCGATACCATTTCCGTCTTCTTCTGTAGCCTTTCTGATGATAACATCCAATTCAACATTGGGGGATTTCTTGTTTGTGCTGGAGCCGCGATGACGGTAGCATGCATCAGCAATGTAAATAGTGACAAACCATTGATCGCCTTCATTTAGCTCTCCCCTATCCTATATCGTAGTTACTGATTGCGTAGAGTTAGACGCAGTAGTCTGTTTGAATTGTTTGAAATTTGCTTTGAAGCATCTACACACCGCCGACCTTTGGCGATTCAAGATGAGTCGAGACCCAATTCGGACATTTTGATCCGGCCTCAGCATAATATTGTAGGTATTCCTAGGCCACATGTAGCTGAAGAATAGTTTGCAGCAGTGAAAGGTGAAAGCTCAAATGTAGCTGACTAGAGCCAGATGTGTCCGTTCAAGAGCTGATACGAGATGTGGAGCATGCATGACGCTAACAGCAAACGAAAGATTCAAATTTGGTTTAGTGATGTAGTCGAAACTGAGGCTGGACCGCAAGTTTTGCATTATCACTGACCGAGGGCAATATCAGTCTGCTTGACCGTAGTCTCGAGGTTGAGAAAACGAGTGTTTCTAGTATATTTGGTTTGGTGTATCTTGCTCTTGCGGTCTTGCGTACTCCTGTGAGAAATTGTTGAACTTAGACGCAACGAAGAATGCGAGAGCCAAGACAACCCATTGCTCAATTTCGAGCTTCGAGGCTGAGAGACGACACAGTAAACTGGCATCTTGACATGAACATCCTATTGAGCAGCGGGAAAAATCACGGTTCTACAATCTATAGTATTGTAACAGGGGATACAGCATTTTGTGCGCAATATACTAAGGCTCAGATGGGCACTAGGCACAGAATGTCAAATGTCTATCAGGAATGAGATACTCCCATCTCTCTGCATATATTTTCCTTCCTTCGTGCTCATTGCTCAATGACAAGGTACTTCCAACAGTCAAACGAATCACTCCGTCATTACAACAGTCCCTTCAATATCACTTATACGAGATGAGTCGCCACGACTACGTGACGAATCATGGTCGTGAGATGCTTCAGTGTTGTGTTCATCTTGCTTATGAGGGCCTTCGATATGGGGCTCCATTGCTACAATTTGTCGGCCCTGTCGACTATGAAGGACACCATCAATATAATGCCCAAAATACTTCCATTCTTCCCTTTTCATTTTAAGAAATTCAAGAGCATGATCAAAGGATACACTATCAATGGTGCTAACTCTAGAATTGAGGCCCAATATACAGCCTTCTTTTTGATGATGGGAATTATATCTTTGTGCACGCCACCATTCTTGGTGATTTTATCGAAGGCTTTCAATTGAAGCACGACATGCTTCGAAATCTAAGATGGTGTTGACGAATGCTAAAACACGATTAATTCATTCATGGCCAGCAATAAACTTTGTATTTTCCTTTTTTGTCAGACTTCAAGCCGAGCAGACGCCTCAATATACATCCAGACATCAAAAGCTGATCCTGAACACATCCAGAACACTTTCGATTGGAAGTGGATATTCCAAGATCCTCATCGGTATAAATGAATACATAAATACATTCATCAACTCAGTGGGATCTTCCACAATTGCGTCAACCAAGTGAAGTGATCGATAGTGTGTAAATGGAAGGCGAAGAAGGCTCTGACCACGAGATAGATAGTTGGGCCTAATACAGTCTAGCTCCATGATTTGCTTCCAGATGATGGACAAGCATTTAGCGGCGTCATATGGCCCTGTTGACCCAGGGGCACTGTGATAAGATAAATAGAACATCGAAAGCGTTTCAGAGTCACTAATGATTGGCAGTGCCATTTTCCCTCGACTTTTGGTACCGGTGATATTGACAATAGTTATCTGTGCATACAATGAGAGATATTCATCGATCAAGACACTGCCCGTCTCTGTGCGCGACGCACGTCAACACCCGGTCAGCCCATGCACTTCGATGGGAAAGAGGCTACAGAAAAGACTGTTTGGGTATGTTGAGAGAGTGAGAACCAAGAGCATGCGACGAATTCCACAGTATGTCCAGCTTTGAGAGGTTTTTACAGCAGTTCTGGAAAAGGAAGTCCAAAAGAGAAAGTGACTGGCGTGACAAGCATCATCAGGATGGCAAACAGACCGTTTTCAATTCTCTCCATCTTGCTTCAGAGTTGTAAATGATCTACGCGAAATAGAGTAGCGAAATGTTGACGTGTCCAGTTGATGCATCAACGATTTTCCACGATGGGAACTGACTTGTACATCAATCCTAAGTATAGTCATTTGAATATTGAGCTCTCTCGTGTCTGATCCAACATGTTTCAAATGTCAAACATTTTGGCGTTTTCATTCAATCGCCAAGTTTTCAAAGAGATAACTTACCAGCTGCCAATGTTTACACGTAGCTCAGTTCTCCGTGAATGTATACAGGTTGCACCTCTTTTAGAACGCTTTGGATCTGTTTTGCGTGAGCTTCCGGTTATTGGGTGTCGAGGAAACGATGTGCAAGTTATAGAGCTACCAACGGACTTTCATCACGCTATTCTGGTATGAACTGCATCAGTTTTGAACGCGTTTTGATATTTTACGAATGCAACTTCAATGACTCACTCTCTACTTAGAATGGCATTCATCAAGCTCGCAAGAAAATCACTTTGGCATCACTCTACCTTGGATTTGAACAATCTGACGTGGCAAGTTCAGCTCGTTTTGGACATATATCATCGTATATACAAAGATCGGATCATCTTACTGGCAATCACCTCCAGGTTGCAGCTCTGAAAATAGCAATGACCAACAACTCGAGCTTAAAAGTTCACATACTGCTGGATTGTCTTCGAGGAACACGTGACAATCAATCATCATTAGCGTTGCTATATCCTCTACACAAAGAACACGCGTCGCAATGCCGACTATCCTTTTTCCTGTCGCCTCCTGCCAGTGGGTTGTTGAGATACCTTCTACCACCACGTTTCAATGAAGTTTTGGGATTACAACATATGAAATGTTATTCTTTCGATGATAATGTCATTATGAGCGGGTAAAGGGCACCTATACTGTGCCTTCAATGTGTATTTATTTTGTTGGTCTAACGTTCTTTTTGCATAGTGCCAATTTGAGCACCGATTACTTTACAAATCGACAAGACAGATACATTTCCGTCAATTCGCCGACATTATCTGAATATTTTAATGATCTAGTCACTACAGTCGGAGACGCGTCGTATCACGCACCTAAAGAAGAAGGTCAACCCACACAAAGAGATTTAGTGGGACCAGAGCGCGGAATATACGGTCTCTTATCAGCATTTACATCACGATGGGCTGGTAAATTCACCACGTCTAACCCTGACGATGACACGCTGCTTGTGCCGAGCATACAGCTAGGAGTCGCTGGATTTCGGCAAGACGAAACCATTGTAAAAGATTTAATTGAATGTGGATCAAAGCACAAAGATCCGTCATGGACAATGCATCTAAGCTCGGCCTACTTTAACTTTCCACCTAAATATTGTCAAATGATTTTGGACTCGTCTGCTCAATTTAAAATAATGACTTCGGCTCCAGAGGTATGTGATTGTTTTGGGGTCCTTGTTTGCGAAATGCTATACTTACCCCTTCAAGCAAATGTTTAGGCTAATGGATTTTATAACTCGAAAGGCATTTCACGGTTCTTACCACCAGCGTATACATATCTCGAGTCAAACTTTTTGAAAATGGCTAGACGGCATAGGCCAATAGACGCTGTTGACATATCAGAGTATAATCGACCCGGTTGGACCTTCCATGGAAAGGGTGAGTTCTGGCCGATTAGATCAGAACATCTGAAGGTTACTAAGTCGATTTTTTGCTCATTGATAACAATACTAGGTCTGTGGTGTTATGCTTCTAACGAGCCATACCCATGTGCAACTATCATCGGGTCTTCCAATTTTGGTATACGGTCACTCATGCGTGATATGGAAGCTCAAGTAACGATCTTGACTATGAATAGTGGACTTCAGCAGAGAATCCATAAGGCAAGATTCTGTTCTGTTTCCTCAAGTCATATTCTTCGCTCACTCTCGCGTATCTAGAATCTCGAATTCCTAAGGTCTCATTCATCCACTGTTGACGTTCCGACCCTAACAAGCCCTGAACGTAAAGCTCATTGGCTAACCAAGCTTACAGCCTTGACTTGTAGAGATATGTTTTAGACTTTACACAAGCCTGTGTTTGTGTATTCCGATGTAAGGTTATACCATTAGACTTAAATTATATACTCTATTCTATATCATGAGATGCAAACACGAGTCGATTTAGACTTGACAAAATCATTTACAATGTCACGATCTTGTTCAAAGTACTTTTTGACTTTTGTAGCACTTTTGAGATCAAGATCTGCGACACGAACTTTGAAAGCGTATTCTTGGTCACCAATTCCAACTGCACCATCTCCATCCGTTGGTTGAACCGAGTCAGAAAGCCTTAATGTCCAGCAGTATGTCAGAGACAAAAAAAACATGATTGCGCTCGAATCATTTGCATTTCGCATATCACGTACTTTTCAGTCATCGTCACAAAGATAGAGATATCCTTCAAAGTAGTGCTGATACAAAACTCGTAAAGGCGTTGTCGAAGTGCTTCAGCGGAAGCAGAACTCGATGGCACTATTGAAAACTACATCAAGACCTCAAGGTGGGAGCCTGTGATGCAAAAATATAGTTACCTCTTTTTTCCAGATACGTCTCTACGATTCTCTTCCAGTTTTCAACGTTTGGATTTACTAGTGGCACGTTATGCCGCAAGAGCAAAGGGTACAAGACTTCAATGTCTAGCGAGTCCAGCTCACTCTGGTGGAGCTTGACTAGGTTCAAAATTCCATCCTTTTTCAGTGCTTTGGCAGCAAGAGTCCATAAACGATCCAGAGCAGAATCTCTATGAGTCCGAATGAATGGTCAGTGCGTGATTTCAAAAAACGAGAGGATTCAGGCACATACTTGTTATCATCTCGCATAAACTTGCTTATGAAAGTCACAAAAGCGTCCTATGTGACAGCCCAAAAAACAATTAGTAACATCCGTGCATAGAGTTGATGCAGACTCTCATAAGACTGCTCACACTGCAACTATCTACGGCGGTACCATCGACAAATGCACGCATGTAAGTATGCGGGACTCGATACAAATCTTGAAAAGCTTCAACCATCCTTGTCTCGTCTCCTGAAAACACATCCAATGGGCAGAAACTGCAAGGAATGTAGTCCTTATTTCGAGCAACTCTGAAAGCCTGCATTCTACAGAATCTACAGGCTTGCTTCTTGACTGGAGAGACTTCTCCTTTAGGTAGGAATCCCCATTTTAACTGAGGGAGGAAAAAGGGTCATACGAACATTAGATATTTGTTACCTCAACAATCTGGTCCCAACCTTAAGTTCAAGACACAACTCGGACGGAAACTTCATATCCAGCGCTGGAGGCCACTTGAATTGCGTATGATCTCTCATGAGGATTCCGACATCTTTGGTCGTATCCAGTGATTGTTGTTTACGATGATCTGTCCGCAGTGGTTGAATCATTTCAGCCAAATCCTGCAGAAAGTCCTTTTTGACTTGAAGTAGAGCCTAAGTGTACAAAAAATCAATAAAGAGCGGCTGTATTGCGTTTAACACAGCGTGCAATCTACCAGAGAATCAACATATTTAGATCCCAGCAACCGTTGCGTAGTCTGACGTGCATAGGTAATCAGCTCAAACGAGCTAGGAATGTATTCTGCATCGGATTTACGTTCTTTTTCAAGACGCAAAACCATTCCTGACTGCGAAATCGCAAGGTTGAGTTTTGTGTCATTGTCATCAGGTACTAAAAGGCAAGCAAACATACAGCCCAATGATCTCCTCCAATGTAAGACAGCACCAGATTCACATTTCCTTCACCACGGAAGCTCCATAAGTCCGGTTTCAAGAGTTCAGGTCGCTCCTCCGAAATCACGTTCATGTCATTTAGAGCAAGCCCATGTACTGAAGATTGTAAGCGATTAGTTTCTGAACTCGATGTGCGTGTTTTGCTGACAAACAAAATTCACAATCTCTCTTTCACTTGACAAACTCAGTCACGACACGAATTTACTGAATTTCCAAAAACGTCGAATCAAAACGGCAAACGACCAAACTTGAAACAAAATGAGGTAAGAGCGAGACAAGAACAGGATACCAAGCCGTCCACTCACTCACTACGTCTATTCACTTACTAGGTCAAAGTTTAAGGACGAGCACTTGTTTGGTAAAGTCGAAACGGAGTGTCGTGTTGGCCGACAACCAGACCAGCTGATATTCGATTTCAATAGACAAGAGGAAGCTAGAGGCTGACAGGATACGTCAAAAGTACCCAGATCGTATTCCATGTATCGTTGAAAAGGCCGAAAAGAGTGACATTGCCACCATTGACAAGAAAAAGTACCTGTACGTGTGATTGGGTTTGAAATTTGGACTACAGCAAATTCGCAAAGAGTACGTCTGATCAACCAATGTGGATCTTCTACTCAAATAGTGTTCCGTGTGATTTAACGGTCGGGCAATTCGTATATGTAAGTATCTTCTGTTCCAGTAGTCTCGTGTGTGCGAACCCAACCTAACACCGTACTATGTTTTACAGGTCATTCGAAAGAGAATCAAACTATCCCCGGAAAAAGCCATCTTCATATTCGTCAACAATGTACTCCCACCATCATCGTCGTTACTAAGTCAAGTCTACAATGAGCACAAGGATGAAGATGGATTCCTGTGAGTACTTATATATTGTTTGTCTGTCGAACGAGAAGATACAACGACACTCAGATTCTTGCTACAATTCTAGATATGTCGTTTACTCGTCTGAAAACACATTCGGTTCTCAAGATCAGCAGGACTAGGCCCATTCAACTTATTTGTATTTTTCTCTTTTGCTCAAACATGCTATCCATAAATTGATACTCGATACGCTCAGTAGATCGCTTTGACGCGTAATTTGTACTGCGACGATGTCCTCTTATGTTGTTTGTTTCGCACCATACTGCGACTTCTTGAAAAAGGGAAGACGGCTAGATCAGGCCAGCATTAAACGCCGAGATGCTTTCAACAACGAAATCAGCTTCCAAGTTGCAAGCGTCAAGTGTTGAACTCGTCACACTGCTGGATGCTCTCCGTGACAAACGAGAACATTTGTCACAAGAAATCTCGACCGAATCCAGTCGCAAATCCAACTTGCAAGGACAGATAGAACAGCTCCAGGCTAGTTTCGACGCTGTATCTATAACCTTGAAACAGAAAATTAGTGAAAAACAGGTAAGAACTGCACCAGCATCAACCAATCGTTTTCTTGATCGCTAATGTTTCCCATTTAAACAGAAGCTGGATGAGGCCATCAAAGAAATAGAAGAGGCTTATGCCAAGGTACCGACAATACACGATGCATCGAGCATTCGGATCTATCGTTGAAACCAACAAAAAAACTTAAAACATCGCAATGCTAGATTGCAGATTCCAGTGAACAATTACTATCTTTTGCTCAAGAACTGGCATTGAATCCCGTAAAACAATGACCAAATATACACATGAGGGATTAGAGATTAGGTATGTCTGACAAACAAGGAACTCTTCCTTTTGGGCTGAGTTTTAGCAACCGCCCCCCAGCTTCTAACATCTGCTAATAGAGTTTCATTCTTGATGAACTATCAAGAGAAAGAAGAATCAATATCATTATGTTAATATTTCCGCACTATTTTGTAAAACACAGCCCCTTTTTGATACATATTTGATACATATAATTTTTGCACTCACATCAGCAGCTTGTTCCTTTTTGCGAGGCATCGGTGGTCTTGAATGCTTGGGTTGGTCAACGTGTGGGACGGCAACCACACTAGTCGTATGTGGAATTGGTGGTACGGCGACAACATTGGAGGCAGGGTTGACGGCTACTGGGGATTTGCTTTGCTTGGCAGCATCAGCAGGAGCAGCAATATCGGGTTCAACACTCTTGACTGGTTCTTGTGCGTGAGCCAACTCAAGCAGTGAACCAAGTGGGCTTTCCGTTGATTTAAACACGACGTTGCTGTGGTCGAGACTAGCAGTTATGGCTTGCTGAAGGGCTTGTCGAGATGCTACTCCCGTGGTTGCAAGAAGGGATGTGGTACTAGCCAAACTACCAAATCCACAATCCAGTAAAGCATCGCGTATCTGCATCAGGCGTGGTATCATCTCACGATCAATTCGGCCATCATTGTCATGGTAGAAGAGCTTTAGTAGCTCATCGACTACACTGAATAGGTCTTCTCCGATACTGTCTGGTGCTTTTCCATTCTCTTCCTTTTGGTCTGCAAGTTCCTTTTGAGCGGTTTGGATGTCGCAAGCCAGTTCGAGCATTCTATCACTCTCTGTTATTTGTAAAGGAGAGATGTCAGAGCTAAATACAGCAAGCCACAAGCACCAATAGTTTGCACCTTTGAGTTTCTCAACTAGTAACTGAATCACTTTTTGATTCGCTTGATTCTTGCGAGCCAGCTCTTGTTCAGATTCACTTAGCAGAGCATTGGATGTCTTCAGCTGTTGCACTTTAGCAGTCAAAGACTCGTTCTCTGCTATGAATTCAATCGTCCTGGAAGACATCTTTTTGAGCTGGGAGGTAATCACCATGTTTTCCCGAATGGCTCGTTTCGTTGTCTAAATTTCCAAAATGTCAAACAGGAATATCGTCGAGGCCAAACATCTAGAGACACACCTCAGCCATTTGTTGATCTGCTACTCTCCTGAAGTTGGATACGGCATCATTTACTTTATGCAGCATTTCATTTTTCATCATGTTCTGAGGTTGACATTCGTCAGGCCAAAAAGAAACCGTTTTAATCGTCAACACAACTAACTTACTTTGTCTTGCAACACCTTCCGCTCCAACTCATGGACAGAATTCTTAAATTCTCGTTCTCGCGTATCCAGTTTAGTTTGTGTGGCCTTGAGCACAGACTCGAGCTCATCCTATACCACAAAACGTTGAGCACCTGTTTGATGCAAATACTCAATACACCAAAGAGACGTACCTTTCTACTCTTGAACTCCAGCAAGGAATCAAGATCTGTCTTGTATTTAGCACTCAGCATTTGGAAGTGGTCGATTTCAGCTCTAGTCACTATAGCTGTTTCTTCAGCTTCCATCCGGGCGGCTTCAACAGCCTCCTTCTTTTCATTCTGTAACTCTCGAACACGCTGTTCAAGTGCTCCAATGTGCTTTTCGTGCTCGACTACTTTGATGTTTAAGAATTCCACAATGTCTTGCTGGCGAATCGCAAAAAAAAGACACTCAGCTACCAGAATGAGAGGCTCTGATTCAAATCAAATGGTCGTCGGCATCCATCACCAACCTTGTCAGCAATAATCTTGCCTTGGGCTTTACCCAGAACTTCAATCTCGTTTGTCAGCGTTTCACATTTTGCCTTGCTGCATTTGAAAAACACAGGCTCGTCAGGACCTTAAAATCCAAGAAACATTTCAAAGCAGTGTCAACCATACTAGCGCAAGAGCTTGTCGTTCAAATCCCTGACTTTTGCTTCCAAAAGCTCGCCGGATAGCTCTTGTGGTATTTCAACTGCGGGATTCTCTTCGCCTAACAAATCAAAATAATTATTAACAGCATTCATGGTAGTATATTCGGCAACTCTCGTACCTTTCTTGGCTCCCTTCTTTTCAGACATGACTTTTTTAAAGTGCTAGTAAATGTTGGTGAACAGTGATTGGGGTAAGGATTTGTTAAAGCGCGCGCCCCTCCTCGGAAATTTTTTCTCATCGAGAAACTAACACAAGACGACTTGTAGCAAAGTATCTCTTGTATTTCTGTACAGAAGCCTCTCTCTATGTGCAGTGGCTTTTTCTTTTGATTGGTTTTAACCTGACATATCAACATCCCCTTCAGCATTCTAAAAGGCCAGACAGTCAGCAGATGAAAGCAAAAATGAAAGAATCCTGATTACATACAAACATATAACTGGAAGCTGCATCCTTTAAATACTAAGAATTGTGCGTATTGGTTAGAAAACAAATTTCGACGCAAATAGCTCATAGTGACCCCTCACCTCAACAGAACGTTTCTCGTCTAAGAATAAAGAGTAGACTCTCTTGATATCTTCTACGTCCACTTCTGTAGCCTACATTGTGGTGATAAGCAAAATGTCAAAGGAACGCACACAGAAGCACTCTTACTTTGCGCTTCCTAGCAATGAGACTGGCAGCAGTAATCAAATGTATAGAATATCTCAATGATGTTTCCATTCCAATTTTGGTCAATATGGCCTTGGCATCATCCGTCATTTCCACATCTTCTTCTTCACATCGAATACTTAGAATTTGACGAATTTCGTCTTCGGTGTAAAGTTGAGTACCAATAATCAAGAGACGGTCGAGCAAATCGATAGGGATTCCATGAGGGGAGGTGTATTTCGTGCCACGGATTCTGGTGATGCCACGATTAGAGGCCATAATAACAATAGGAGACATGTCGTCTTCAAGAGCTCGATTAAGGAAGGAGAAGCATTCAATATCCAGCATATGGACTTCGTCAATGAAGAGGACCTAATCGAGAGCAAGGGGTTGGAAGATATCGCGAGAGGGATTGATCACGTAATTGAAACATACACCAGGCACGATTTCAGCCTTGCCCTCCTCTCGCCACTCAGCGACTTTTGAATTTATTTGCTCTCTGACTTCTGCCTTGATTTCGCCAGTGTCACCTAAAGATTCATTATGGGCTGTCAGGACTAAACATTGTAAGTGAAGAAAATGGCTAAAGCTACCGGAGAATAGGGCCAAGAACCCTTGTGTGCGACTGTTGATAACATCAATTTCATGAAGAGTGACTGTATGCACGACTTCTTTACGTTTTTGTAGTTCGCCTTCAGGGCATTGAACAAACCGAGTCTAGATAATGTGTCATAAGCAACATGTTCAAGACATATTGCAACAAAGATGAGCTCACATCTGGGCCCATGGCATCGTAGTCCCTAGCTCGATTGAACGATCGTCCAAGACGAGTTATCTTTCCTGTGGCCTTGTCAATAGATATGACATCGCTAACAATTGGGAGATGATGAGCGACTCATTCATTGCGAGGCAAGTGCAATCCTTATAAGTACCCTGCTGTGACTTTCTCCTTGTTCAAAGATTCAATCATCTTTTGGCCGAGATCATAAATAGTTTCCATATCTGTTGTCTTCATGGTGATTTTGCCAGTTTTTGCACCCTGTAAGAGAGATTTTGTAAACTTACTGGTACTATCTTCATAACATTATAATTAGAGTATTACAGCTCCAGTTGCAGAACGTTCAATTTGAACTTCAATGACTTCTCCCTCTATAATTTCCGTTTCTTCCTTGATTCGAACACCAATAGATCTTCTGAATGCTTGAGTCAATGCCTCAGTCTTTGACATTTCCAATGAAAATATCTCTGAAGCAGCTAGCATTGTGAATGGGACATCATTTCCAAGTGATTGAGCCATTCCTTGAAAAATTCGGGGTGTTGACTATTATGAGAGTAGTGGTAGTGAACAAGTAAACATACCCATAGCTATGGCAGTCTTTCCAGTTCCAGGAGCACCTGCAGATAATGAGATCAGATTCGCATTTTGAAAGATCTTGTCTACTATTTTTTCATGCAGCTAATGCGGAGCAAGGTACTTACCAGCCATTAGAATCGCTCTTCCAGCAATTTTGCCTTCTCGAATCATTTGCAGGATGATTCCAGCTGATTTCCTCGCATTCAATTGACCGACCATTCCCTGTGATGTCTTTCTTGGTTCAAGAGCATCATCAAGTCCAAGACCACGAATGTGTGAATGTGCACCTAAGTTTGACAATAGATTGAACCAGTAAGAATATTTTAATCATTCCGAATTGAATGTACGGCTTCAGCTGTAAGGTTTAGTCTCGAATGACAATGCTAGTCCTCTCGAAAACTTCAAAAATAGAAGAAACTGACCAATTCGTTCCATTCTTGTGAGTTCCTTGGCTTCTACGGCTGATGAGACCATTGCTCCAGGAGCGGCACCTGTAGCAAACATGATGGACTGCTCGTTACTTGATCTGAATTGATTTTGGGAAGTCTGTTGTGAAGCGAACAAAAAATATTCAAGATCAAGACGAACGCCTTTTTCTGAAACAGAAAGCTAGATGAATGAAAACCAGATACTACATCTAAAAATGGGGAAAGGAATCTGGACGTCTTGGAAACATCAAACTCTTCCAGAATGAAACCGCTCGGTTGTTATTCTCGACTCTTGGATCACATAGGTTGAAACTAATGGCGCCTGATATTTGAGATTTGGATGATTTACAACCTGAATGTCATGCCCATAACGTTCTTCGATGTTTTCAGTCACGGAGTTTGGTTTCTCCCAAGACCTACCATGCTACCTGAGCAAGGCCAATATAAGGCACGATGCTCAAATCTCATACCGAAACAGTGACCATCAACTGGCGGAAGTCATGTCTTCAATTCATAGTCAACGTCAAAGACGACAGGTTATCAACAATGACTATGATAGGAGGAAGACCAATGGAATTTACATACAAGAAGCGCAAAAAGGTTTGCAGAAAACACATGGCGTGAGTTTGAAATACCTTGTCGACTGGCAGTTTATCGTAAAGGACTGATTGTGAAACCCAATCGAAATATGGCAATATTGCAAATCTATATATACAATGCGAATCTATACAGCTCTAACGATCCTACAAGCCCACCCAAAGTTCAGCGGCCTCATAATATGCCCTTGAAACGAATGTTATCAATGAAAATCCACCAGAACGAGCTCTCTTGTCCAATCTGACCAGGTCTAGAACACTATTCGAATAAAGCGAAAGCCATGAAAAAGCAAATAGCCACCCTTTCGACAATAGAGTCATCGCATACCTGTCTCCTTGACTCAACGATTCGGGGATTTCAAGGTCTGGAGTGACATAGACATGATCAAACGTATCGAAGAGTCGATAATCTTCGTTCTCGTCGGTTGGTGGCAACATTTCATAATCTTCCATAGTAAATCGAGTAGAGACGACTTTGGGACGAGCAGCTCGAATATTCTTGATTTCAGTAACAATGTTCTTCGATTCCTTGTCCTTTGCATCGACCTGGATGATTGAAATCATTAGCCACAAGTTTCTTGCTCTCCCAAATTTAAGGAGGTGCTGTTCACGCTAAAACACACACCAGCTTTTTGAGTAATTCTTCTTTTTCAGTCTTGCGAGTGTGCTCTTTTTCTTCCAGCTCTCGAAGACTCTGCTCCCTCATCTTTTCTCGTTTCCGTCGCTGTAGATCCTCCATCATCAGCAACTCTCGGGCCACGGCGTTCTGCACGGATCTTGGCGTTGGTAAGAATGTAGATACTAGCTGCGACAATCAATGAGTAGCATGGCATACCGTCTTTTCTTTTTCCTTTTTGATTTTGGACTCAAACTGCTCGTTGAATTCAGAAATCTCTTCCTCGGTCTTTTCCACATCTTTTTGGTTGACCAGATTGTAGACTGGAGATAAGTATAGATGATTAGTTCGTAGTCATGTAAATGACATTTAGAACCAGAAGCAGTCTTACCCCAATCTTCTAACCTTTCCAAGTAATCGTCATACTTTCGTGCATCGCCATCGAAATCGTCCACCGTCAAGCTATTAAAAACATGTGGATGAGGATTTGTTGAGTACTTGAAATGCATTCAAAAGCTAAAAACGCCTACTCGTATTGTAGTCTCTTGCGCACAGTGACTTCGTTGACGACATATATATCTTCAAACAGGCGACCAACGTAATCACTTCTCCGTAGTACACGACGACAGCCGTTGGTTGGGCATCTGAAAATGGTACCGCTTGTCGGATATAACTTTCGTATACAGCTATCACATCTAATTTGGGGTGAAATTTAGTAAGCTTACGTCTTCCAAATGTTGGGCGAGTTCTTACAGTTTATGACCACATGGACTATTGCGAGAGTGTAAGATTTAATTGAAGCTCTTGTGCAATGATATTTGAATGAATTGATACTTGCCTGACTTTGACAGTAAGCTTCTTGTCAAGAAAACCAGTAGTTTGGCAAATTGGACAGCTCTCGTTATCACCAGCGTGGAAGAGGGGAGTCTTATTCTCTCGTTGAGATATAGGACCACTAGAAGCTGCAGCCCACATATTCTTCGCTTCTACAGACCTGACTTGCCTATAACTTCCTTGTTGCTGCGACGTTGATCAAAGCAGTTGAACACCATTTGAAATGTGCTTCGCCGACGCGAAAACTGAGCAAATGCTGAATTGATCTTGAAATTTATAAGACTGGAAGAAATCAAGAAATCGCCTATATGCGTGCTACACCCAATTCTTGATCGCTCATCAATCGCCTTGAGTTTGATCAACTTCTTTGTTCGCGACGCTCGGCACACGGGAACTGTGCAAACGTTATATTTACATATGTGATTACATAAGGAATGTTATGTTACAGTGGTGGTGGTAGTTGCAGTAGTGGTGGACTTGGTTCTGAGCTTAATATACAGAGCGACAATCAAAACAGCAATCAGCAAGATTAATGCAATAATGCAAAGCTTGGCACCAGCTCGCTTTTGATATTTGACACCCTATGAAATACCGTGTCAGCGTACGAGAATTACAGGTCACGTCGGGCGATCATTCTCGTCCAAAGTAACAAGAGAGCGATTCCCGATGAAGCACAAAGACTTACGGTCTGGAGTTGAGCATGAGCATCTTCTATGTGTACTGATGTCTGCTCAATGTTGTAATCAATTCGATCCAAAACTGTCCCTTGATCAATGACCATGGCCTGTAGCTCCTTAAAGACTGTTGCTAGGCCATTGATTGATTTGACAATATCATTGATTTCCCTTTCACGTTCTGTGATGGCTCTTTCTTGATTCGAAATAAGTTGCAACTGGGTGTCAGTAAATACCTGTGGGGGCAGCCACCGTGTCAGAGCGACCAAATTGAATACAGAATAACAAAAGCTGATCATACTGCGTCTAGCTCATCTTCTCCGGCATCTGTAGCTTCAGCAGCACCTGCACCTCCAAACATATCTTTACTCCTGGTTTCACGGCCTCGAAGTTCTGAAATATAAAAAAGGTTTGAGACAAAGCTCTCAATATCCGCAGTCCATGCATTTGCTGAGCTCACTCTGAAGATAGTTAGACTGCGTCCTCCTGAAGGCATGTGATAAGTCTTGCAGTTTCGTGGCGAGCGATGTTTGTATGTTTTTGCTGAGCAGAGCAGTTTGTTTCGATCTGGCTGCAGTAGCCTGAGATTCATTGTTGACTCTTTTGATTTTACGTTGACACTCTTGAAACATCTGCGAAAAGAGAGAAACGTTGAGTTGGTGGGTGTTGAACCGGATTGCCTGACCAGGACATTGGTTAACCACGCTGAGCAGTATTATCTGCTTCTCACGTACGCTGGTGATTTTGTCAGTCAGTGCCTCTATGGACTGCTCCTCTCCAATCCGATCATCAAATCCAGGCAGTAGGTGCTTTTTGTGCAGAGCTTCCAGCTCGTGTACTGTGAAACAGCGAAGGTCAGCTCTTGCGACCACAGGAACGGAAACTAAACAAGACTCTTACTCTTGTCACTGATTCTCTCTGTCTCTTCTTCGACCTAATTGATCAAAACGAACTGAATCAACATCCACGTGTTCCTCAACATTGGTTTGTGTGCAATCTTCACTTCCAACCTCTTCTACGACATCAATCCTATAGTGACGAGAATGATGATTTTATTATCATGAGTGAAGAATGTTGCAAAATTAAGCAAAACGTTGACATTTCACAGCTGCACCTTACCATTTCGGTGGTAGGACTGATAGCTCGACTGCAACTTCTGAGCTTTCGTTGATCTCATTGGCGATTAGACCAGCACGTTCAGATTGATCAAGACTACCAAATCGTGCGTCTTGGAGTGGTTTTGAAGCACCTGCTCCAACTGGTCGGTGTCGAGTGTTTGTTCTCGAAAAAGAATTCCGATATTGTAAGAAGAGTAACGTCCTTGATCTCGACGCCATTTAAGAATATGTATCGAGCTGCTCCAAGACTCAACTGTGCTCTTTTACACGAGGAACATCCATCATCGGAAATTTCGAGATTTGGACAAGATTGGATGATTTCGGGGGCGAGGAGTACTAGTACAACGTGAGGGCAATAGTACAGCAACAGCAGTAAAAGAGTGATTTAAACTGCAAAAGTACGCGTTTGAACTCAATAGACCGAAGCTTTTAAATTAAAGCCTCGTAAAGGTGAAGTTTGTGAAAGGCGTTTTGGAGACATTTTCATGTCTTGGTTGTCTTGTAATAGTTTGAATATCGAAATACATTGAAAGACGCCACCCTCAGTGTCTTCCTTGCTCATGTTTTTTGAGTGACTCTCCCAAGGTGTGAAAGCATCCCTCGCATCCATCTCTTAAAGAATCTATGTAAGTACAAGAAGGAGGTCTAGGGCTGCATCGCAACGAAAGAGCTCTGTCAATCGCTTTGAATCGATCCGTCCCATGTCACAATTGAACGAGTTGCTGCTGTTGTTGACAATTGGAACAGCTCAATTGAATTTCCGAGTCTCTTTGTAATTTTGTGAAGAAATTCAAGCAAATCCAACTGCTGCCTGCATATTAACTGTAAGCTTGTCGCTGAAGCTCTCTCGTCTCGCTTTACTAGATACAAACATGGCAGCTGTGGCGGAGAAGGCCCCAGAGCTACACGAGGCAGAAGCTTCAGAGGAAGATGAAGATGATTCCGATGACATGCCTGAACTTCAAGTACGCCTATGATGATGTCTGTTACTGTACACGTTTAGGTTGTTCATTGAGCTTGCATCACCTTCACAGGATGCAAACGCTGATGCAGCAGCTGCAGCTGGAATTGACTTGGAAGCTTTGAGCGCAAGTCTCGGAGGTGGTGCCAAAACTCAAAGCCGAAGTGAAAAGAAGGCCAGGAAAGCTATGGCCAAATTGGGATTGAAGCCAGTTCCAGGAATCACAAGAGTGACCATTCGAAGACCGAAAAATGTAAGGCATCGCTATGTCGGCTGATAGACCAATTGATACCTGTTCTAATACGGTCTACTGTTTAAGATTCTCTTCGTCGTCTCTCAACCTGACGTATACAAATCCGCTACCAGCGACAGTATGTAGTCATTATTACTCCATTTTAGAGAAAGGTTGTACTCATATTCTATTCCGGACTTAGCATACATTGTATTTGGTGAAGCCAAGATCGAAGATCTGAATTCACAAGCTCAAGCCAGTGCCGCTGAGCAATTCGCCAAACAACCCGAAATTGGCAAGGTTCCAGAAGAAGACGATGTGCCAGACCTCGCAGAAGATGACGAGAATGTCGATGAGACTGGTGTTGAAGCCAAAGATATTGAATTGGTTATGCAAAATGCCAATGTGTCAAGGGCAAAGGCCATCAAAGCTTTGAAGGCTACCAACAACGATATCGTCAATGCCATCATGGTACGTGCCGTTTGACCTAGAATATAGTATCAAAGTGGATGTGGTTCCCAAATGCTGATACTGGTTTGTTTAGGAATTGACTATGTGAGAATCTCGGATTCAACCATCAAAAAGAATATTATGAGGCAGCTTTGTAGACTCGCTCTGTGTAAAGTAAACGAACCTGGAATAAAATGTCTTGCAATTCTGCCAATCAAGTCCAAATTTCACGATGCTCTATATTTCACACAGACCAAACTACACGATCTAGACAAGAGGTTTAATATACTAAGGAGATCAAGACCATATTTGGTTTTAAGGTGACGGGAGTGCTGAATATGGTGTAGTTGGAGTAGTTGGTGAATGTCCCCAAACGAATTGGAGATCTTGTAAATCTTCTTCTAATGGCGTTGAATGAAGATTGTTGTGTGCCTCAGTTAACAGCTCGATGGCCTTGGCATGGTAGCTGATCTCCGTGAATAAGAACTCTGTAGAGGGTAAAACAACCACGTCAGCAAACCAGGTTCTGCCTTGTCACACAGGCAATGTATGTGACTCTACCTCCAAGAACGATACGCATGTCGGTTCTCTTGGTTTCTTCGAATCTTCTAATATCTGTCAGCAAGGCTGCAGTAGCTAACTGGACGTCGTTGGTTGCACCAGCTAATTCTAGTTGAGACTGAGACACTTTGGTACGATTGCCTGATTCCTTGATCATGACCTTATCTAACTGAATTTGCTTTCGTTGTTCTTTCTCAATAGCTGACTCTCGAAGCCGTATTTGACCCTAGTATTGATATGAGGTCAACCACTGACATCCGACCTCTTTCACCGAAATGCGGCCAACATAGACGTATAGACTACTACATACCTTGAGATTGGAGCAAATCATTGAGTATAGCTTCAAGGGCTCAGCAGACAAGCAATCGACTCTAACATCAGCCATGTCACGAAATTGTTGCAATTCAGCCAACTTTTGGGACACGTTGGCCAAGACTCCCTTCAGATTCTTCTCCTCGCATTCAGAGTATCCTTTCAATACGGTTGCGAGCTTGAGAGACTTGCGGCGAAGACCTGAACATGAAAACAGTTTAGTACCTGAGGTGTGTGAAGATATACGAGACGATATCACTCACGTTCTTGATTTCTAAGATAGCCTTGCAAGCACGATCGCAACTCATGCATGTTCTTTTCTGTCTTGACGACAGATCTTTGTACATAGCGAGCCTTCTCCTCACTACGACGCGCCAAATGTCAGTCCATCACGTATCCAAATAAGTAGATCCAAATAAATACGAGGCTTCAAACTCACGTTTCTCTGATGCTACCCATTATGCTCCGTTGGTGTCTTCTGTTCTAGCTCTTAAAACTTGCAACAATTAAAACGATCAACAAGATGGATGTTCGACTTGGTGTGGTGGCTCCAACTGGGGTCTTTGTAGTAGGATTAGTCACGACCTATGCGCTCAATTCAATGGTTCCTCTTGCTCTCTCCTTGGCAATGGCTGTTTGTCTCGTAGTCGTCGCTTTTGCTTTTAGTGGTGAGCTGAGGATTTCTATTAATTGAGCATTGCATCGCGTCCACTTATAGAATCCTGCTGAAATAGGTCGAGAGCCTGCTTTAAGCAAAACAGATTGGAAATACTTTTCGCTCATATCCAAAATCCCAGTCTCTCCAAACACGGCAATGTAAAAATTTCAACAATTTGACATTTGGGAAACACGTCCTCATTCAGTCATCGTTTATATGACAGTTATCGGTTTAAATTACCACATCCTGAAGATGTTTTGGGATTACCAATTGGACAGGTATCGCTGCAAGACGTGCGACGAAGCACTTGGATGGTGTTCGCTCACAATCTTTGAATCATAGCATATATCTGTTGGAGTTGAAGTCGAAGGACGTGAAGTTTCACGTAGCTATACACCTATATCATCAGATGATGACAAGGGATACTTTGATCTACTCATCAAGGTGATTTATCGTATTCAAGCTCTCCGTCACTCTTGCAGAATCTGAGTCAATGCTGAAGCATGCTTCGATTTTAGAGCTATCCAACTGGTAATGTGTCTAGAGTCATTGGAAACATGAAGATTGGCGAGCAGATCAAGGTCAAAGGTCCAAAAGGAAACTTCAACTACAAGGGACCAAATTTTGTTCGTTCTTTCGGGATGGTAAGAGACAGTTTGTTACCGCGTAGTCCCCCTCATAATACTGACTGAAACGTCAATCTAATAGATTGCTGGCGGGACTGGTACGACTATGATGTCTTGAACGAATAGGTTTGAATGATCCGACAGCTAATACACTCATTTTAGGCATCACACCCATGTTACAAATCATCAAATCCATACTCAAGAATCCTTCAGACTTTACGGAAGTCAGTCTCTTGTATGCCAATGTGAATGAAGACGACATTCTGCTACGAGAAGAACTGGACCAGCTTGCTGCGTTGCATCCTCGATTCACAGTTTATTACATCTTGAACAATGTACCGGGGGAATTTATGTTCTTGTCCTTGCGGCCTTCTCTCCTAAATTTGATTTGTTATAGGCTCCAACAAGTTGGACGGGTGGTGTCGGATTTATCACAAAAGACATGATTCAAAATCGATGCCCAGCTCCCTCGTCAGATATCAAGATCCTAATATGTGGACCACCACCAATGGTAAAACTCTGGATTTGAGTTTGTTGACTGCGTTGATGCGGTGTACCGGTCTAACACATCCACAAATAGATCAAGGTCATGCAACAGTATACAGATGAACTTGGGTATGAGAAAGCTCGTGTGATTTCTCAGTTGCATGACATGGTCTTCAAATTCTGATAGAACTCGGGGTTGTTTAATATGTGTTTGCTCCCGACCACTTGTATTCAATAAACTGAAAACTCCTCTTAATCGTCACAGCCGGACCGTGTTTAATTTGTGGACGTTCTCTTCAACCACAACGGATGTCACACGCTGAAACGTTCCAGTAGCTTAGAATGATTTGCGGCGGCTCCTCGCCTTCAGCTGTTGCAGAAAACCAAGACATGCTGGTCGTAGTTGTTCATTCTGGCTTATTTACTGCTCATAGGACTGCTGGTGAATTTTTTGTTCAATGAGCAGTCTCGTTAATACTGTCGTTTCTACACATCCGCATGTGCCTGTTCCCAGAACGCAAACGACTTCCTATGTGCAATTTCATTCCAGTACTCTTCATGTAAACGTGTATTGCCACAACTGTAACAAAGAAACATATATGTTCACCACATCCCAACTATCTCCTCACTATCTTACACAACTTTTGTCCGGTGGCAGCACTAAACTAACCCAAACGATCCGCCATCAGATCAGGTTCATTAAATTGAGCAACTTTGGCTCTCATATCCTTGACTAGACGAGGATCATCTCCTTCAACACCAATACCCTAGTGGATCAATAATGTAAATATTATTGCAAAACAAAAGCCTGGATCGTAGATTTCCGTACCATTGATGGAGTCTTGGCGTTAATAACATAGTGGTTGTCACAATGAGGACAAAACTCGTCTGATTCTTCATAAGCTCTGAGTTGAAAGGGAAACATGGTTATCCATAGATCTGAGCACTCTAATTGTAGATCACACTCACGTCATGTCTTTTCTGAATACTTTTTTGCATTTCTTGCACGCAAATACCATTTCCATGGTCTTACTAGTTGTTGGATGAGCTCTAAATTCTTGTGCATAAGTTGACTGCGAATGCGAAGAGGAACTCACGTTAGATTATGGTCACTGTTTTCAGCATGGCATTCCGCACAATCAAACCATCTTTTACAGCATGGTGCTCTTACAGAGACCTAGTTCGTTCTCAATCGAGTCAGCACAAAAATGAACTTGATGATTGGTTGATGCAAACCAGGAAAGCCGTTACTTGTGGATTTAAAACGTGCTTGCCTAAGGTAGTAAGAATACAATGAAATTTATTAATATGCTATATGAACGCCTCAATTGGCATTGATCATGACTTACACATGTAATTGTCCTTCGCTCAACAGCAAAACCCAGCGAATATGGCGACCAGGAAGCGAATAAGAGCTATTAATCGAGATGAGGATGACAGTCAGATACCTTCCAAACGTAGTAGAGATACTAGACGGAAGGAACCTCAAAGTGTCCAAGATACAACTGGCAAGTCTGGTGCACGATTTGTGAGGAAAAAGTAGATGTGAATGCTTACATTTATTCGCAGAGGAATTGAATGATCACGAAGATGACGATCAGTCTATCATGGAAAATGGCTCGGAAACCGAGGATCAACACGACGAAGAAGAACAAGGTTGGATTTCAACTTTTTTTTTTCAAACATTTGACAAACATCAGCTCAACTTTTCAAACACATTCTTGTCAGATGAATACACTATCAGAGCTGCCAAATTCGCAGATACAATCAACAAGCTTCTTCAGGAAGACACGGCGGAAGGACCTGTAAGCAAGCTTTCACGTATCCACGACCATAAACAAGCCAACGTTTTTGCTCACACTAAAGGTTGCCATTTTTTCTACCAGACTCCTATACTGGCCAAGAGCAAACGAATTGAAAAGCAGCTCGATCGGGAAAAGAGATTAGAGTCTGAACGCAGAAAAGTTGCTCATGAGAAACAAGAAAAGAGCAAGGAAGATACTGTACGAGTTGTCACTGTCGTTACGAACGACTATGAAAAGAGGTTGAGGAAGATTGCTACTGGTGGTGGTAAGCAAATTCAGACGAGTTTTTGTCATCAACAGGGCTGTTGACAATTTCTTGGTAATAACTCTTCCTCACACCTTGTTTCTTTTTCGCTCCTAGTCGTAAAACTGTTCAATGCTATACGTGGTGCACAAAAGAGAGTAGAGAAAGTTAAGGCCAAGCCAGAGGGCAAACGAGCTAATGGTATGGGCAAAGGCGAGAAGGCTGTCATCACCTCCCGTTCCTAACAAACTTTATTTTAGTTGCATCAATCTCGAAAGAAACATTCTTGTCTGCCTTAGCTACTCCAGAAGCTCCGAAAGCTAAAACTTTAGCTGCTGCAGTATCGTCTGCGCCCAATGTCTCCTGGCTGGCATCAGACGGCATGAACGAAGACCACTGGGACTTGGAGGCATGAGCTAGCTAGCTCCATACCTTCGATTGTTTGTATCCTTTCTTCTTGCACACGGCCTGCTGTCGCAACCGGCCATTAGACCACCTTAACTTGCATGTATTCAACCTGTGAATTTATACTACGAACTCTCAATTCACCCAAGCTCCAAGTGGTATTAGTATCGCCCGTTGTTTCCCGTCTCGCAAATATTGCAGGTTTGAACGTATAATTTATTTACAAGAATAGTTTATCTCCACAATTCATATAAGTGCGTCTTTGACGTATCCGTCCTGACTCTATTCTCATGCATAGCCTTGGGATAATATTGGCCGATAAACAGCTTGTGACTTATCTCAGCCCTGTGCAGTTGGCTCAAAAGCGACTTTGGAATGTCAAATTCGGTTGCATACTCGGGCATATCTTGCACAATGCTTTCAGCTACAAGTTCAAAAGAGACCAGTCAGCTTTTTAGATGTTTGGCGCTTGTAAAGAAGTGAACAAACATTACCTGAAGGAGCAACAGATCGATTTACTATATCAGCCGAACATAGATCGGCAATATCTGCGAATGGGTCAATGTCATCATTTCCGTTCCAAGTCTGGTTGTGTGGATCGTATCTCATTCCTCCAACTCTTTGAGCTGACTTGTGACCACCAATATTTGTAATCAAGGGTGGTTTGACTCTGTCAGTTACTATTTGATCGAAGGCCTTGATGGCTTCCTCATTTCCTTCCCATTTTTGCAAGGCTGCATTGTAGACCATTCCTTGTAAGCCTTTGGCTAAAGGAGATGTCACATTAGTAAAAGTGGATTGAATTGAGAATAATTGAAACTGGTAGAGGTGGTAGCTCCCAATGTGCTATCCTTATTTTACTCACTTGTAGTGGGTGCAGCAGATTCCATACTTTGAATCAATTTGGGTGCATTCGTTCGTTTCTTCAATGACTTCTAAATAAGACAGACAAGCGGTGAGCAAACGAAGTCTGTGCCTATTGTGCAAATTCTTGGATGAAAGGCCTACCTTTTTGGGTGAGGTTTGTTGAGGTTGTGGTCGCGGAGGTACAGCTGTTGTATTCACTGGGGTTCTGGATAGTATCGTGGATGCTGTATTGAAGACACCGGCGGTTTCTACACAAATGAAAAGGTGGTTACCGTCCTGTTCCAAAGACAAGGTCATATGAAATATTACACATACGTCGAATGGAAGAAGTTGGTGGGGTTTGGCGCCGGACGGTTCTCTTACTAAGTGTACCCGATGATGTAGCAGCTGAATTACCCGATACTGGAGCTCGAGGAACACTCTTTGAATATTTTGCTAGCGGTACTGTCCGAGAAGTAGTAGATGACTCTCGTAAATCTGGCATGCCGTCCAGTTCTGTGCCGTTACCATAGGATACTCTAGCTCCTTTTGGTCGCGTCAATAGCTTTGGCTCTTGAGTGGTGGATGCACCTCCCTGTTTCCGAATAGCCACCGACGAAAATCGCTGGAAAATACCCATTGATGGTGATGCGGTGGTGGGTGATTCGATTGAAGTGGATATGGTTCTCGAGGCACCAGCGGACGTGGGAGTTTGGGGTTTGGTAGCTATGATAGTTGGTACACGTCGTGGTATGGGTCCTGCGTCTCGATTCCTACCTGGCATGGGCAATTGGATGGGGGTGAAGGTTGATTTTACAGGTGAGATGACTGCAACGTCTAGATCGGTCACAGGCAACTCTATGGGAGTGAGAGCTAGTTTTATGGGTGAGGTGACTATAGCGCCTTCATCTGGAGTGGGAATGATAAACTGCATAGGAGGGAATGCTGATTTTACGGGTGATGTGACTAAAGCGGCATCATCAGGTATAATTAGATCAGCTTCTGGATCATCTGTGTCCTCGTCAACTTCGTTATTGAGCCCGAGACCGTGTATATGTTTATCGTTGTTGCCTTGGCTGGTGCTTCGCACAGCTAGAGCCAATGCTCGAGATGGATCAAAAGACTCTGGGAACTCTACGTCGTCGTAACCCTCGTCTTCACTTTCAGATGCTCTGGCACTAGTAGCGGAAGATGGTGTTGGACTATCAGCCATCATGCGTGGATATCGAAGATGATGTGGTAGCGAGGCATTGGATCGCGTGGGAGTGGATACTACTGATGGGATAGGATTGGGTTCATCGTCACCTATAGCATCAGACCAGTCATCAAAGGTCAAGCCGTCAGCTGCTTGTAGTAACGGGAGTTTGCGTTCTGGAGTGACTACATCTGAGAGTTTCCGTTCAGGAGAGATGGGGTCTGGGAGCCTGCGTTCTGGATTGGCTGAATTTAGTGGTAGTTGATGTTTACCTTTTGGCGTGACAGGATTTATATGTACATCTACAGCGGCGTGGTCTGATTTATACGGGGCAATATCTGATATAGAGAGGGCTTCACTAGCAGTATTGGCTCCATCAGCCTTGCCGAGTTTGAGATCATTTCCGCTGTCATCGTCGACATGTGCTGGACCTGCAGCGACAACTTGTGATTTATACGATGTGATATTTGATATGGGGAAGGCATTACTAGTATCATTGGATAGATCGTCCTTTGCAGTTGCCAAGTTGAGTTGGAGATTGTCTGGGAGATCAAAGTCGTCCTCAAGGTGCTCAGATGTATCCACCACAGATGAAGAAGAGGGAATGAATACAGCCTGTCTATTATAAACTGTAGATGTCTCCAATACACTTTCTTGTGCCGGCTCGTCCTCCTGTTCAGGCCATTCGTCCCAATTGATTTCTGATTCTCCTTCTTGATTTTGATCTTCTTGATCTTGGTCGTCCTCATCTCCAATATCGATATCTCCTTGCAGAATCAGGCCGTTCTCGGGCAGTTCACCCCAGTCATCGTCGCTCATGGACGTCATTGTCTTTGAACAGGAGCGTACTTTCGAGTGTTTGAATTTGTAGCTGAAAGTGAGTAGAGGCGAACTGGAAGGCGAATTACACGTGCATGGAATGTGTCATAATGTAAGGACTATCCATTCGATGGTCTCTATATGCTATTGCACAAATTGCACGCGAATACGCTCCTATTCTTTGAACTTCAAAAGTCATTGCTCGTTGCTACATCTGATCTGAGCCCCAAACTTCCTTCAGCCATAGCTTGGAGACGAATTGAGTGTCTAAAGACCGCGATAGACACCTTTGTCCGCGTATACACTCTTGATCCTTCGCTCTTTGAACTACTTGACACACGGACAAACCAGAACTTGCTGTGATCTGTTGATTTACTGATTTACTGGCAAAGGACACTTGCACAATTCATTTTCAACGGGTTTCCACGCCCACATGGAGCTAGCCTTGGACTTGACGCCAGAAATCTCAGAAAAATTCGACCTTGAGGTCACGAAACGAGTAATTTACAATCCGTTTTCGCGCCATAAAGCCCTACAAAATTCCAACAATTGGATTAAGCGTTGTATGAAAGAGTGTTCCGCTCGCTCCCCCTGGTCTTGAAATCGTTACTTCGTTTTCTCTCTTCACACAAATGATGACAAGCACCGTTAAAGAACTCCCAAAGTAAGTGACAAGACGCCTTCTATACGATGTTTTCTATTCCAATTGCGAGTCAATTGACTCTTTGAGCTCTCCTTCGAAAGCCTCCCCGTTTTTCGTCAGTCGTCAATTTTTTTTTTTAGTTTTGTATGCTTGAAGACAGCGAGACAGGAGGGGGGTTGTCATCCATTGGATGACCATTTATTGCGATCAAGGACAGTCAATTCAGTATTGGATTGTCCGACATCTGCAAATACTTGTCAAAAGGGCATAATTTGACACACAACATTTGGAGACGTTCCGTCGAAAAAAAAAAAATCTAACAAAAAACCTTTTTTGATTTAGAGATGCCCCTGTGCCTGAAGCACCTTCAAAGAAGGCCGCTGACGGAGCCCCTGCTGCTTCAGCTGCTGGACTGCAAGACATTCCTGATGGCGATATCGAAAGGTATGCGAGTTGTCGAGGACAGTAACAGTAGATTCTTGATTACCTGTGAACAATTCTTTAAATTTGACACTCACAATCTTTAAAACGTAGTAACTGGGACGAAATAGTCGACTCGTTCGATGCCATGGGTTTGAGACAAGAACTACTCCGAGGAATTTACGCCTATGGGTAAGGTCCCAATCGTTTCTGCTTCTCCATCATCCATGAAAAGAAATTAACATCATCAACTTGAACAAACCTCCTCCAGTTTCGAACGTCCTTCGGCCATTCAACAGCGAGCTATTATGCCTGTTCTCAAGGAACGTGATGTAATTGCTCAAGCTCAATCTGGAACTGGAAAGACTGCAACCTTCTCAGTATCTATCTTACAAAAAATCGATATTACCAAACGTGAGACTCAAGCCTTGATTCTCGCTCCTACTCGTGAATTGGCCCAGCAAATCCAAAAAGTCGTTATTGCTTTGGGTGACTATATGCAGATCGAATGTCACGCTTGCATTGGTGGTACCAACGTCCGTGAAGATATGCGTAAACTAGAAGGTGGTGCTCATGTAGTAGTGGGTACTCCTGGTCGGGTGTATGATATGATTAACCGACGTGCCTTGAGATCTGAACACATCAAGATGTTTGTCTTGGATGAAGCTGATGAAATGTTGTCTCGAGGGTACGTGTCTATTATAATTCGATGAGTCTGTGTAGTGCAGAAGTCAGGCTCAGCGGCTTGCCGTGTTTTTGGTCGAGTCTTTGATTTTTATTGTTTTTTTCCCCCCCACAGTTTCAAGGATCAGATCTATGAGGTCTTCCAACTGTTACCTCCAGCAACACAGGTAGTCTTGCTATCGGCCACCATGCCTCAGGAAGTACTTGAAGTCACCAAGGCCTTCATGCGTGACCCCATCCGTATTCTTGTCAAGCGTGACGAACTCACCTTGGAAGGTATCAAGCAATTCTTTATTGCAGTCGAAAAGGAGGACTGGAAACTCGACACTCTCTGCGATCTCTACGAAACTGTCACAATCACTCAAGCCGTCATCTTTTGTAACACTCGTCGAAAGGTCGACTGGTTGACTCAAAAGATGGTTGAGCGAGAGTTCACTATCTCTGCCATGCACGGTGAAATGACCCAATCTGAACGCGATGTCATTATGAAGGAATTCCGTTCGGGCTCTTCTCGTGTCTTGATTACTACCGATCTCTTGGCTCGTGGTATTGATGTACAACAAGTATCTTTGGTAATCAACTATGATCTTCCAACAAACCGTGAAAACTACATTCATCGGTAAGTAGCCATGTTACTCGATGAAATTGGATTCTTCGCTATTAACCGATTTCTTTTATGATTTTTTAGCATTGGTCGTGGTGGTCGATTTGGTCGTAAGGGTATAGCTATTAATTTCGTTACTGCTGATGATGGTCGCATGCTTAAAGACATTGAGCAATTCTACAACACTCAAATTGATGAGATGCCAATGAAGTAAGTAGACACGTCAATGGCCTGAGTATTTTCTTGAAATCGCTTTGTTTGCTTTGAGTTCACACCTGCTCCTACTTCCCTAGCATCGCTGACTTGATTTAAAAAAAGTATTTCGAATCTCGTATATTTCAAGAATAGCTTATAGACGATAACTGAGTTTGTGTATCTAGCAATCAAAAGAAGATCTTCTTTTCCGAAAAAAAGAGCTCTTGGTGTTGTTTTGACAAGTTGTATATCTACATGTTTGCATACAAAGATTTTACATTAAGGTCGCTTACATGGCAAAGGCCTTACCGACACTGGCTAGGCATTGTCTTACCAGTTTTATCAAATCGAATTGCTCTGGAAGTGCTCCGTTAGTGTTGGTGGCTACCACCGCGAAAACGTCACAGATATGTGGGTATAGTTTGAAGAGATGGGCTGATGACCCACATAACAGGCTTCTCTTCACGGGATCTATGAGCAGATTCAGATTAGACTAAAGATTGCGTCAAACGGTCAAAGCAGCAAAGTGACATACTTGTTTCTTGATCTGAGACCAACACATTTGGGAGTAATTGTAGTGGTAGAAGAGTTTCAAGAATGAATATTAGATCTTGATACCGTTTTCTAAACAAGCAAAGGCCTTAGTCTACTGCTGTACCGAAACGTGCGCAATTCGTTTGGCTAAGACTCACTTTGGAAGAGGCGTAAGCCTGCCATACAGTAGCTGGTCTTTTATAAACTCTCTCAAAGCATTCTCAACTAGATCATCAACCAGCATTGGCGCTATAATACCAGCCACACGTGCATTCGTGGTCTCTTCCATAGAGCATAAGCGACAGAGAGTGACAAACGAGGCCTTTATGAAAGCATCTCGATCAAACAAGACATCATTGTTTTCTGGCGAGATCTTGATGATATCCTCTATACTCGATGCCGACATTGGACTCAATTTACCAATCTTGGATGAATCACTGGATGCAGATCTCAAGGATGGCTTTTCTTCCAGCTCGTTTTTGGCGGCTCGTTTCAGAATACTGGCAAACCGTTTTATACAGCCATCTGATACATAGGCTGGAATCAATTTCGGTAGGATTTCAGTTTCTACTTTTGTCAGTAGCGTTTGATCAAACAGGACGTCGGCTGCCATATCATCGGCTGACGCAGATGGACTTGGTAATCTGTAATTTGACGATTGCATAAGAATTTTTTGGTGTTACAATCCGTGCTGGGATAACTTACGTTGGACTGAGGAAGAAAGCTTCAAACGAGCTCAAAACTTGATCAAAGAGCTCCTCATGACTTTCAAAACTAGATTCTTTCGATTCTATAGGATGTCATTGCCAGGTGAGCATAAAATATTTCTACACATTGGTGGAAAAAATGGAAAAGCGTCCGTAGCGCACCAATGAATTGAGAGACACTCTGCAAAGCCAGATTCGACACGGTCAGACATGCATTGGCAGCAGACTTCCAGAGTGGTGTTGTGTCTCGTTTACCAACTTCTGGACAATCATACTTTTGTTTCATTACATCTCCCAGATCACGTATTAGTCTAGTTGTTGCTCCAGTCTCATAAACCTAATGAATCATACGAATTGATGATTTTCTTTAATGCCAACGAGAAATTTCAAGCAAAACCAACCTTAAGCCTTGTACTAAACTTTTCAAACACCACAGTTGATTGAATCATAGCTTTTCTGGATATTGCAATGTACCTGCGGGGGAATCTAGTCAGCCAAAAAAAAACTGGACGAAGTGAATGATCCCACTCACGTAAATCCACGACCTGGTTCCGCTGCAGCAGTCGATAAGTTGTTGATACTTCCAGGCATAACAATCACCCGTGGATTCAACGGCAGACTACTTAGATACCCAAGAAACATGATACACATTTCTGGTTCATTCAGCGACCAATCCGATGTCGCATCACCATCACACAACATAGTTATCTGATCGAGAATTGCAACTTGCAGTGAAGTCGCCGTTTCCAAATCATTGACCATATCTGCCTTCATTTTCGACAAACTAGTGCCAGGTATGGGTCTAGAATGATACGTCACAAGGCCTGCCATTATGTCGAATATTTTTTTATAGTGTGCTGCAGTGAACGTCCATTTTACTGGACGATATATATCGGGGAAAATGTGGACGAATTGCTGTAATACGTCCTGACTGAAGAATCCTTGCACGACACTGAAAGTAGGCCTTCTCCATAGTGGGTCTTGTAGCAAGGATATCCCCTCAGGTACAGGTTCCTCAACAGGAGATTCAGCATCTGGATCACTCGCTTCTTTGACTTCTAGTATACCCATGCCTATATCACACCACGTATCCCATAATATCTCAGCCATAACCATATTACTGCCCTTCTCGTGTTGTCGTGAGAGAATCGCTTTGATACTTTGCACCGCTGCCATTGCAACGTCCATACTACCACCAAAACACCAGTGCTTCAAATATCGTAAAAACATCTTCCACATTCTGGCAAAGTCTTCCTCTAATCCTACTAGTACATCCTGAAAGTCGATAAAGCATTTGGCAAATCCTTGTAGAGTCAAGACTTTGGTCTCGTCCCACTGCTTGGACACTGCATTCTTCACTGATGTTGCAGACGTGGGTGAGCCAATGAGAGGTGAGCCAGAGAGACTACCACGATTTTCTGAGGCCGATACACTCGACTTTGTGTTATCCATTCGGTCACTACAAAGCTGAATATGTTCGAGAAGAGGAAACATGACCTGATATATACATTCCTTCCAAGCATCTAAATTAAGCCGGTTGCCATTCAAACTGACTGTTCTAAAAAGACTTTGAGAGGCACTGTTTCGTACTTCTGGTCGGGTATCTGAGCATAGTAATGAGAGTTGTTGCAACAATATCTTCCACATCGAATCTGACATGGGCGAAGCTTCAACTGCTGCCATAAGATTATCTTTATCGGGATTGTCTGATGTGAGATCAGTTGGAGTCGAATCAGACTCTGAGTCTCTTCGAAGTTCTTGCTTCTCCTTCTTACGCAAGACAAAGTCACTTATACTCCACAAGAGTCCAATTGACGTCAAAGATATGTTCAGGTCATCCTGCTGAGAGGCAAACAGTCCCACAACTTCTATACACTCTACTAGCGTCTTTGAGTCCAATAGACCCAAGAAGTCTGTACATATAAATTGCAGAGATGGGAAGCCAACTCTTACAAGAGCTACGGTCTTTGGGGCTGGGGTTGTTGGTAAGGAGAGTTCTGCTAATTCTACTCCCATCATTGAGCCTGTCGGAGTGCCCAATCCTGGATTACTACCATCACTATTTAGGAGCCGAGTTGTCCTCTTTTGACGGTTTGAAGGAGGCATACAGCTCTTCAAGACCTGGAATACAATATACCAACTATTGGATAGCTTTTGTCCACTCAACTGAAGGATCTTGTTCAGTGTGTCAAGCCCATTCTTCTGCACATCTATAAACCACGGTTGAGCTCGTATAGCCCGATCCGATTCAGCGTCAGACATGGAGATTGCATCGTCATCCATCACAATCATGAGCTGCTTGAGTGTTTCTACTATCTTTATCTCATTAGTGCCATCAGACATATCAATGTCCTCGGCGACGGCAGTTATTATTTCTTGCAACGTACTACAGGCTTGAGTACGAAGTGTGTTTGATGTGCTGCTGGAATGTATGACTTCAATCAAACTACTGGTCAATGGATCCCAAACGACGTATATACCATCAGTGTTACGGTTCATTAAGTGAGCTACGCCTTGAAGAGCGACGTCATGCAGTTTACTTATGGGGAATGACGATCCGTCATTGATTCTAGGTGCCAATTCTCGAGGAGCTGTAGTGCTACTAGCTGTGGCAACTAGACCAGTTGCGGATTGTACAGCCAATTTACCAAGACCTGTTATAAATTCGGCGAACGGATGAGCTTCCATATGCGGAATGAGCTCAAAGAGTTTCCTGGTATTTTGTAAAAGGCTGAGGAAGTGGTTTTCTACACCGTCGGGATTAGAGGTCGCCACCATTGGACTCTTTTCGGAATTAGTCGTTGGCGATGTGGCATTCGATATGGATCTACCTCGAAGAGCAGCGGCAATATGCGGAGGTAGCAGTGGTAAGCTAGGCGAATCTGCTAGTAGACTACCGTCACTCGTTGCTCGTTTACCAAATTTACCAGACTGAATCAGACTCTCTGCAATCTGAATTGTTTCTAATATTACAAACCAGCCATTCTCATCCAATACGGTTGCTAGAGTCTGCGTGACAGTCAGAAGAGCCCGTAAACATGCGAGATTACGTTCAGTCAATGACGGATTGCTCGTACGGCTGCCTGCTTCCTTGGCTTCCGCAGAGGAACCTGGCACGCAACATTTACACAGCGAGACAAGCATGGCGTCTCGCTGCGAAGCAAGACCCAGCAATCCGACTACTGATGAGAAGTTGGTAAACCCTTTCACGACTTGACCAAACAAGTCATCGTCTAAAGATGAATTCATCAAGAAGGAGAATGACGTGAGGAACGAGCCCCATGACGTGTTTGCCATCTCAATAGCCAGCAGAATATCAGCCTGGTATTTCGGATCTGGTTCTGGCCCTGCTGTCAGCTGTATTACAGGAAGGACAAAGGATGCTTGTGCTTCGACATTTCCCAAAAGACATTGAGTAGCAAGATATATCTGATATAACTCTGGTATGACAGGCGGCTCTGCCTTATCCATTTGTTCAATACTACATGAAGCAACTGTTAGCAAATGCAATGCGAAGGTCTACTCTTGTCGTCATACCATGGAATTCTCATAGTGCACGATGATGTCGACAAGCTATTCTCCTCGTTACCCGATAATGATTGAGGTGATCCAGCCTGTGGGCCTTCCATACTGCTGCGATTTTTTTGAACTAGGAGAGTCGATCCATCAGTGACAATAATCCTCATCAGAGCATTGACCATTTCTTGAAACACTTTGACACTCTGAGGAGCGGCATCATATGATCTGAATATAGACCTAATAAATCCAAAGAGTCAAAAAGCGGAGACCATGTTACTGACTGATTCCGACCACACCTCAGAAGTCCAGAGTCACTGCAAAATGTACGGTATAATTCTAGCACCATGACGCGATGCCACAACGAAAATTCCGGCTCCAGAGTCTTGGAAAATATAGACAGGAATATTTCACATTCCATGACCTACGCAGATATGTCAGAAAGCAGATTCGTGCCACAATTATCGGGAAGCATCCTTGTTTGGCATACCATAGTTTGCTGGAAATTTGATATAATGACTTTGACTATACGCATCAGCCTCATTGTCAGGGCAAAATCATTCTTTTCTGGGAAAAGCTTGATAACCATGGGACAAATTCGATCTCGAAGAGTCTGATTCAACTCTGGATTCTATCACAAGTTGTAAGAATTTCTTTAGTTAAGCGCACTGAAAACACACTTGGCATTCCACCATTGTATTACCGATTTGAGTTGGTCTGGATGATCTGCCAGTACAGCTTCGATAAGTTCTAGACCGAGATTTCGTGACAAGGAAGTCAAGGCGAGAAATGTTGCCGGATCTCCAACAGTCAAACTACATATATCCTACAAAGGGATTGGCACCTCAGCGCAACTTCAGTGACAGTACAGATTACTGGTAACATACATTAAACAGCGCTTTGGCATCCGAAGCACACAATTCAGCATCTAAATATGGTGACACGTAAGAAGCGTTTCTTGGAGATTTATACTGCTGTTTTTTGGTCTCCAACAGCCTTACCAGGAGCAAACGTAGCATCTGCCTTCTGGACCTTCTCAAATATATGTATAACGAGTTGTCGAAGCGTGGCAGCAGCAGCATGATTCACAATCAAGTCTTTGGTGGTCTGCAATTTGAAACACAGTAACAGGGCCTGGAGAAGAAACCAGTCAACTTCCGATTCCATAATTGCTACAATGATAAATAGATCCTGCCTCTCCCAAAGATGATCCATGAATATTAGGAAAGTTGGTCAGTAGATTCAACACCGTTTGCAAGACTTTGAGTTGTAATTCAGGGGCTCCACTCATGACTTCGGTCAAGTTTTGTAAGATTTCCGGTATACATGACTAAACATAAACTCATATAAGTAATTCAGGATCACAACTGAACTGCAATTTCACGTTACCTCTGGTATACAAGACGATGCAATCAACTTTTGAATCATTCCAACAGCCAGCGGCACCATTTTAGGATTCTTTGTCTCGCATGCCTGTAAGAATGGCCTCAATACATCTTCAGTCTGTTGCAGATCTGTAGAACCAATGTGGAAATCAATCGTCAACACACATAAATGATGCAAATGTCAAATATGTACACCCAACATACCTGGAACGACCGGTTCAGTCTCTGCCTTGTCTTTAAGAGACCTCAATACATAAAGAGCCTTATCAGTAGCCTATATGAAAAATGCTTAAAACTAGGTAGAACTATTCCAAATGCCAAAATCTGGTTTTCAGTTTACATCTTTGATCTCTGGATTCTTCTTCTTTGCTTCAGCAGACAAGGTAATCAGTTCATTCTGCAATAGAGATATAAGCCCACTGGATCCACTGGCCATCGTTTCAGTCAAGTTTTAAAGAGGCGCTGCTCATCGTCGATTCAAGAAGGTGCAAAACCGTGACAAGAGGCCAAACACAGTGAGTGACCTTTCAGGGTGGAAACGACATGGGATAATCAAAGTAACACGTGAACCGCGCGTTTATATTCGTATTGTGTATTGGACAACATTATGTTACAAAGCTGACACTATATTTTCGGCCTGAGACAATTCGACAATGCACTACTTTTTGAACACTTTAATTTTCTAAGATTTCTGGTCGTTTACATATTTATGCACTCCTAGTGCATAGAGACATTTCGTTTCTTGCCTCTCCGACTAGAGGAAGGTGATGAAGGTGCAGATGGGGGAAACTTCGGGAGAGAAGTGAATACAGCCGTCAACGGAACCTCGGTAGCTCGAACTGCCGGTTCCTTGATACCGCGGGCATCTCGGGTAACGTCGTGCTTGACTACTACTTTGGGTAGTCCTGATCGCAATTTCTTGGCTGCATAGCTCGTGATGAGTGGGCATGCTGTCAGATCGACGTGTCTGACTCCAGGAGCATTTTGAATTATGTAAGGGACCGCTGCATCAGAGACCTTGTGGCAGCCTCGGAATGACAAGGATCGTACGTTTCGGATGTTGTTCAGAGCCATTACTCCAGAGTCGGTCAATTGGCAACAGAATGCAAAGGAGAGGTATTCGTATGGACTGGGGTTGTTTGACATGTCCATCAATCCAGCGTTCGTTACACTCTTGCAGAATGAGAGCTTGAGGTATTTCAGTTGGTTTAGAGACGATGAGATCCACTATATGAATGAACAGCCGTCAGCAAAACAAAACCTAAGACAGTGGCGCGCAATTACGATTTGCTCAAAACACACCTTGAGGCACTTGTCAGATACATAATCTGAATCACTCAAGTCCAAATGAATCAAGTCTCGACAATGACGAGCCACCACGAAAACACCATATTCCGTTAATCGAGTACAACGTCTCATCTTCAAGACCAGCAAACGACTAGTTCGACTCAACAAACGCTCCAGATTCTCATCACTGATTTGCTTGCAGCATGAAATATCCAAAGATCGGAGACGACTCCATTTGTGTTCGACAAATACGGTACCCGTGACTTGAGCACAATATGAAATATCCAACGAGTTCAAAAAGGTCAAGTTTCGCGTTAATAGACGGAGCCCTTCGTCGGTGATGGACCAACAGTTGGATAGACGTAAATGGACCAGACCAGGGCACTTGAGAGCAATGAGCTGAAGACCAACATCGCCAATCATCCAACATCCTCCTATATCCAGATATCGTAGCGTGCCTCCATTTGTGGAGAAGAGACTGGAAAGCAATCCAACATCGGCAACTCGGAATAGCTTTCGCATATCAGCTGTTACCCAAAAGTACTTGTTTGAAGCAATTTTTGCACATCCTTTACTGACACGTAGCAATCGACCCTTTTCTGTAGGTGCTAAATATAGACCTAAACGGCACAATATCTTGTCGTCTGATAAGAGTACTTCAGGAAGGGTGGTGAAACGAACAAGCCCTGTAGTGGGCAATATCGGTTTCACTATTTTCACAGCCGAGTCGACAACGACGCTGGGGCTCGAAAGGGCGGTAGACTTTACAGCAGACTTGTTTAACGGGACGACTGATGGCTCTTTGGTCCTTTCTTTGGCAGGAGGCTCCTCCTTGCCAGGTACTACTTCAAAAACATCCACTTTTGATTTACGACAAAACATGGATGAGAGCATACGTTTGAATTTGCTCTTTTTCTGAGAGGCGGTAGATCTGGTAGACTTTTCAGTTTGGGATCTGCCGTGTACTGGTATGTCAATAGTAGTAGAAGGCTTTTCAACGATCGAACTCTTGATGGATGAGGATGTAGTAGCTTGAGGAGTATCTGGCCTTTGGGCAGAATGTGGGACTCGTTCGGCATTATAATATTTCACACCCGTCTTTCCTGGTATGTTTACACCCTTCTCGCCCAGTTCAACGGGAGCAGAGTTGATTTGTCGGTTTTTGATACGTGCTTGGGCGATTTGGAAACGCTTGTCGGCTTCTAGAGCTATTGACCGATGTGCCTGCGGAAATTCTGCCATGACACGCTCCAAAGCAGCTGCCGATAGAAGTAACACATCCGTATCTTCAACTGCTTGGATGTTTTCAGTTCGTGGAACATTCTTGAGCAGAGCGACCTCTCCAAGAATAGAACCAGGACCCAATTCTGCATAGACGGTTCCGTCTTCACCAACGACTTGAGCTCCACCCTTTACTATACAATACATGGCTCTTCCAAGATCTCCCTGTTGGTAGCAAACAATGGGGTCAAAATGACGGAGAATAGTAGGCGCCATGATACTGCTATCTCATACCTTTCTTATAGGAGTGGATCCAGCAGCCCATGTTTCCAGGGACATAACACCAGCCAAACTTCTCAATACAGACAATGAACAATCCGAGAATACAGGAATCTACGGAAATTTGATTGTTAGAGATGAAATTCTTTCTCTTTTGCTCACGCTAAAACCAGATGTGAGGACGACGTACCTTTTGCATTCGACCGGTAACGACTTCAAGACTGTAGTCCGCAGTATCCAGAGGCTTTTGTCTTTCGAGATACAGTGCGTAATTGGCTTGAGCGGACCTCCTGACGGCTTCTCTCACAGACTGGTGCTCTGATAATGTTGTTTGCAAAACTTCCTTGGATAATTCGAGAGTGGTACATCTAACACGCGCTCTCACAGTTGCAGTTCGTCTAACTTGGAAGAATAGTGCCACTAAAATTAATCAAACATGTAAGCCAATCAACTCATATTTAACCGAACAGAACAAGCGATGATTTACCTTCACCGAAAAAGGACTGGTTTTGTAATTCGGCGTAAACCTTCTCATTATTTGGACCTCCAACAACATCCGCTCTACAGGACGGTACAATTGTGAGCTATGTGCCAAAGATAAAGCAAACTTGACAACAAGAGACGTACATTCCATCAGCCAGAATGAACATGCTATTTCCGACATCACCAGCAGTGATTATTAGCTCTCCGGCCTCGAAAACCTTAACTTTCAACGACAATGCGAGCTGATGTAGGAAACTTATTGACCCAGCTGAGAATAGTGGAATCTACGTGATGAATGGTAAGCACAACAAATCCAATCAAGAACAAAACACCAGCTAGAGGCTTTTTCAAGATGAGATGTACCTGTTTCAGCCTCTCACGCATAGCATCAACATCAATAGCTGCTTCTTGTTTAGTGTTGAGTTGTTGAGCTCTTGTTCGCTCTTCGATAATGTCACTTCTCTTTCGGGCCTCGGCCTGAATGCGATCGTTAATTTCAGGATACTCGGTCAGCACAGCATCCAAATCTGCTTTGGTGAGTTTGAAAACCAGTGTTTCCATGGTGGTTCTAACTGATGCTGTTCTCCTCTGGCTGTATAACAATCCCACTTCACCGAAAAATGTGCCTGGGCCGAATTTGGCATATGATTTGGTGGGATCTAATTCATCATACGCGTCTGCTTGACCACGACAGACGAAATACATTTCAGCTGCCAGGTCTCCTTGTGTAAATATTCGTTCGTCTTGTTGGTATTTGACGGGTTTTAATTTCATCGCTAACATGTGAAGGAACCCAATTTCGAGATTCCTGAATAGCGGTATCTAAAGGAGACAAGGTATCAATTCACCTCGTTGTTTTGTTGGGAAGAAAAATATATGGGAAGGACCTACATTTTGTAAATCATTCTTTGTGATCCCGACTTGTAACTCCTCTGAGAATTCAACTTCTACATTTTGATCCTGCTGTTTGACATAGTTGGAAAATCTCTCTTCGGCCACAAGTGCAATAGCCTTGGCAGAGATTGGGAAATCTTTAAGAAGATTCGAAAGCGCTTCCTTTGTCAATATCCGTATGATACACCGTGTTCGTGTTCTGCAGCTTGCCGTTCTAAAGAGACAGTCGTTCGGAAGAGGCGTCAGGTTTGGTGCTTACCACGATGTTCGAATTTTCGCTGACCTTGGTACAGAGAACAGGACCCCAATTTCACCGAAGAATGATCCTTCCTTCATTATGTTAATCACAGTTTCCCCTAAACAGATTACCAAGTGTAAGCCAATGACAGCCTGAATTCAACTTGCTTGAAGTGCGGGAAAGGTTACCATCCTCTGAAATGACTTCGACCTCGCCTGAAAAAAAGAGATTACGTACAGTCAGCCATCAGAATGACCAATCTTAATAGTAGCAACAAGAAAAAAAATCATGGAAATAACAACATACCTCTTTCAATAAAGAACATTGCCTTTGCAATTTCACCCTTTCTGACGATGAATTGCTTTTCCTTGTATAATCGAGCTTGCATAGCATTACTCAACAGATTTATAAAGTCCGCTTCCAAATCCTTGAATAACAGATGACCACCCAACAAGGCCCTAGTATCTTTGCCGTTGGTACTTTGGCTGTAACCAGATGAGGCTCGTTCCAAAACACCCAGCCCAGGCAATCCACTTTGTGATGCTGAACCAGAAGAGTGTATAGAGGTCTGTCGTATGCCTAAACCACCAGATGCGCCAAGTTTGGAAGAGCTGCGAGACAGATTTGCGCTACTCGACCGCACAAATAGAAAATCGTCGTCATTCTTGGTGTCTTCGATGGAGAGACGGCTAGCTGAGTTGTTTGTGGGTATCCGTGATCGTGGTGAATTACTGCCGTCCATGGTGGGAGGAGATGCAGACAAGATTCGACTGTCGAACGACGCGTCCCACGATGAGGCCTCTCTAGGTTCCAAAATATGGCCAACAAACTAATGAGAAAAAATCGAGCCTGACCAAGATGTTGCGGGTGTTTGGGGATCATTTCAGGAGAATCACAAAGAAGGAAGCGGGAGGACCTGCGAATCACTCCAAGTCCTGCAGTCCTGCAAAAGCGACACCGTAATTCACGTGAAAACGAAGGGAAACGGAGTTTTCTCAAAACACTTCGTAAGTTCGTTTGATGTTGGCTGGTTGTTCCATCTAGAGAAACGAATTTTGTCAACAAGCTAAGCAGATATTGGCAGATATAAGGCGTTGAATTCAGGGTAAATATCCACGTACTTTTGCACCTACCCAACTTTCTGGTTCCCAATTCGTCGACTTGCAAAAAACGAAGTTCACACACTAGCACTAAGATGGCCGACGAAAAGAGGAAGAAGCTGGTATTCGCTATTTGTGAATTCTTGCAAAAGAGTATAAAAGACAAATCAGTAAAAGAAGATGACATTGAAGGACTCGAAGGTGAACAATGTTTGCCAGGAAGTTGGGAACAAATGTTGGAACGGCACACAAATAAGATCGATTTATAAACTACATATACCGATATCTGTATTCTTACTTGCGCCTTTCTACTCTGTAGTCGCCATTCAATGCATCGGAGAAGCATTTGGAATCGATACATCAGACCCATCTCAAGCAACCCTGTATTCTGTCAAACCTGCTACTCTACCAGTTATATTTGATGTGTTCCTGGCTACGCAAGCTAAAAAGAATGCCAACAAATCTCCTCTTCCACCTGTACGCCCTTGGTTTTAAACCGCTTGAGAGACGTGGCAAACTCACCTCGACCATTTTCAACCATAGACCGCCACTCTACCACAAACAAGCACATCACCAACATCTTCACCAAAACCTGTCGACATGGAAGTGCCGTCACCAACTCCTGCCATGAATCCTCGCGAACAAAAACTCAAAGCGGAGGAACTGAAGGGTGCTGGAAACAAGAGTATGACGGAAAAGAATTACGCGGAAGCTATTTCAAGTTATACTGCTGCTATTGGATTAGATTCAAGTAATGCCGTATACTATGCAAACAGGTCTGGTTTTTGATTGATCTCGGTGTCATGTAGGTGAATTGGCGAATGACATTCTCCATTTGAACATAGAGCTGCAGCATATAGTCAAAATAATGAGCATGAAAAGGCTGTTGAAGATTCCAAACGTGCCATTCAAATAGATCCAGAGTATTCAAAAGCCTACAGTCGAATGGGGTATTTTTCCAGTATGTGTAGCTTTTTTTGCATGCTGTCACTAACTTCAAACCAACTCCCACCCTAGTCACGCATATTTCTCACTCGGAAAATACCAAGAAGCAGTCACCGCATACGAATCAGGCATCAAACTAGATCCTGGCAATGCAACAATGAAACAATCCCTGGCGGCATCTCAATCCAAAGCATCTGAAATGAGTGCAGCAGCTCCTTCTTCAAGAAGTTCTGCTCCAGGTGGTGCTGGTGGTATGCCAGGATTAGCTGGGCTGGCAGGATTAGGTGGACCAGGTGGCTTAGATATTGCTTCATTGATGTCAAATCCGGAGATTATGAGAATGGGTAAAAAAACTCTTCTTCGGGGGTATCTACACTTATAGAGTATGCAAGGGCTTACTAACTTGTTCCTTTACTCCTAGCATCTTCTATGATGTCGAATCCTGCTATTGCCAATATGATGAGTCAACCTGGGTTTGCTTCAATGTATGACATACACGTCCTCGTTTGCAGACTTGTTTCTCGCTCACACAAAGTCTTATGTCTTTTAGGGCTCAAAATATGATGAGTAATCCTAGTGCACTGCAAGACATGATGTGAGTTGACAAATGAACATTTTCTTTGCTTTTGCGATTTTAATGAGATTCTCACTGTTAAAATCATGTATTATAGGAGCAATCCTGATATGGCAAGACTGGCAGAGTCCATGGGTGGTCTAGGTGGTCTAGCAGCAGGTGCTCAAGCTCCTGGTACTCCAGAAGATGAGGAAGAATTGTAATTGTTCAATAAAGCAACGCCAATAGACAAGCTTCTCAAAAAACACTTCAGAAATTAATTCGTGAAAAGAGTCTATTGATTGTTGAAAATAAACAGTTGGGACATAAATGGATTAACTGTCAACCTAGTTGAGAGACAAGAGAGGTGTCAAAGAGGTTCAAAAAAAGCAGTTCTATAGCTGGATGGATGACGAACGTACCGCGTTGATAATCTCATCAGCCTTTGTCAAAGCATCAATCATCTTTTTGCATTCTTTGCGGCGTTGGATTGTAAATTCTGATTCCTTCAGGGACTCATCAAACACATCCTTCTTGTATAATTCTGCTAGTAGTTCTCGCTGCAAATCTTCCTTGGAATAAGTAACCAAATTGTACATAATGGCCTTAGGAACCAGATCCGAGACGGTTCGCTTGACAATGTTGTAGTATGACTGAATCAGCAATTCTAAGAGATCAAAAGTGTCAAATTGGTACTGGACGGAGCTGCTTCCTTGGGAGAAAAAAAACCGCAATGCTTGGTTTCAAACGATTTATATACTTACTGATGACTTCAGTTTCCATGTATTCACGTTCAGATAGATTGCCTGAGGCTTTCAACACTGGAGGTGGCTATGAAAATCAAGTTGTGGTTTCGTTAGAACAAAAACGAGAAATTCTGTTTGCAGCACAAATGCCTACATTTTCGAGGACACCAGGCTTCTTCTTCTTTGAAAAGAAACTTCCAAAGAAGCCAGGATCATCATTTGGCCCTAAGCCGTTAGATACACTGTTTGGCATACTTGGGCTAGGGCTGTTGATTTTGGCACCTTGTTTAGGATCAGATGGTGCTGGTGGAGGTGCTTTTGATGCATTTACTCGCTCATTCACAATGGCCATGGCCTATATTTCCAGCGAATCGTGAGAATTGCTGATGATTGGTAGGCGGGTCCAACAAATACAAACCTTGTGACCAGACAAAAAGTCTGGATGTCCAGTGTTGATATAAGTAGACTCGGCGCTATATTAAATGCGCTCGTCAGTACGTGAAAACCAAATGCAAGAATCTGCCAAGTCAGCAACGAGACTTACGCAATCAAATCTGATACAAGCTTATTTGTTGGAAGTACTGCCTTCTTGAAGAAGTTGACGACAACATTAGCCAATCGCTCCTTTAGAGCTGGGAATCTCTTGAAAACCTGTAGTTGCAAAAAGACAATATAAGTTTCGAAGGCAAAAACTCGCGATGACATCGAGAAAATGCAACCAGCCTGGGATATGAACACTTACATTCTTTCCTAGTAACTGGTTTAGAATACGAACAAGTTCATCATACACCATCGAGACACATTTCAGTGATGGATCTTCCAGTCTCTTGATTTGCTGCTTCACAAGCACTTCGAATGCAGCCGTACCGACAAATAGAGCTGGAGAAGAACCCTGAGAGAAGTAGTCGGAAAGTTTAGAATCAACTACGGCTGGTCACCGCACAACATAGGGATTGCACTTACAGATGAGTTGTATAGAATAGTTCGAATGTCCACTTCCTTGATTTGATCGAATGGATCCATAGTACGAATAGCACTAGCAAAGATTTCGTGGAAGACAAAACTGATACGAGCACCACCACTCAATTCAAAGCTGGAGATTTCGTTGGATGTACCATCTATAATGGTACGATATTCATTGCAGAACTCGGTAATGATGTTGAGGATAAGGTTTGCTTGCTAGAAAAGATGGCCAAGTAAAAATATGACCTGGAATACTTTCAAATTGAACTATTATACCTGAGTTCCAGAATCATCGCCTCCTAAAGGATCTCCTAGCTGTCCTAATTCTTGTTGATACTTTGTAAGACCAGCGGCAATTTTGGCCTTGATTTCTGGTAGGGTATTTCGGATATGGTGCATAAGAATCTAAGAGTTCGGAATCAGAGCTAGCAAAAAATCAGTGCTTAATGGATTCTGTTTCAGTACCATGTTCAGCTTTCGAGCCAAGAATGGCGTTCCACAATATTGTGCCTTGCTCTTGTAAGCTGGGTGGTTTTCAAAAAACATTCTCTCAGCTTCCAGAGCCTTGGTGATTTGTTTCTTGCGATCGATATCTTGTTGGCCTCGATTGACGACTGGTACATAACCTATGTGATTCGAGTAGATGTATAAAACATTTGTTCTATGAGCAAGAAAAGTGCACAAATCTATTATAGCATGGAGACCATCCAATTGTTGAACACATACCCAGCCTCAAAGGAATGATTCGACCCGCCAGAATATCTACTACATCAGTACCCTGGTCCATCAAGTCGATCTTGGTGAGCACACCAATGGTACGAACACCCTCTGGATCAACATCTCGAGCCAATTTGAGACCATCAGAATTAGCCAAATCGGTATTGGCAGCTGTCACCGCTAATATGATGGCATTGTTTTTGGTAATATACTTCATAATCATATCCTTGATTTGCTTTTCGATATCTTTGGGTTGATCGCCGACAGGGACTTTGGTCAACCCCGGTAAATCAACCAATGTGAGGGTCAATACATTTGGTGAGAATACTCGAAGATTGATAGGTTGATTTGATACACCGGCATTACGGCCCACTTTTAATTCGGTATCCTTAACGATTTCATCTCTGATCTCATCGAAGTTTGTAAACTTCTTTCCGGGTATATGAAGGAATTCGCCCCATTCATCAGGTTCTTCGTTGACTGGCTGTGTTCCATTGACTGGTTGTTTTGCTGGTGGTGGTGGTGACGAAGGTGTTGACGTTCCATCTTCTCCAGGTTTTGGAGTAGATGGAGCGACAGCAGCCACTCCTCCAGCAGTACCATTTGCGCTTGGTCTGTTAATGAGCTGGAGAACGAGAGGACGTCGAGTGACGATGCCCGTTCCTTTATTGGATCGAAAGTGTATGTGTTAGCTAAGACGAGTGGTGATGTTGCTAACTTTCCATCAAAGTACCTCTTGGCAAGAAATCTCTGCCGACAATATTCTCCAACACTGATGATTTCCCACTACTTTGACTTCCAATAACAGTAATCTAGAAGGATAATAAATGTGAGAAATGCAAAGAAAAATAAGCGTCATATAGATCTCTATAGTGCTGATTGTTTGGGAATATTGCACCAAAACTCGAAATCCTCAAAAGTAGAAGTTGATGTGCGTGGAGTAAAGTTGACATTTGATTGTGGACTTACTTGAGGCAAGTCGATTGGATTAGCTACTCCCACAGCGGAGAAAGCATCCTGTAATCTATTGATTGTCTTGACTAGAGACAAGTCGCGAACATAAAAACCCCAATTAGTTTCTCGTTTGATTGTGGCCGTTTTGAGTGTTTGCTCCGTTTCGTCGAGCGATAGAATAAAGGATACGTACTGAGATTGACATCCATTGCTGGGTATAGAACCTAATTATTACAACTGATATTCAATCTCCCCCTGTCTCTCTGTCCGTCAACAATAATTGAATTGTGGAAATTGATGGACCATTTTGAGAAACAGCCACGGTCGGGAATAAGACGAGTAAATATCCCTTGATTATGGATTGTTTTGGCGCAAATTCATGTAGAAATTGACTCGATTTAAACACATTCATGCTGACAACCGCGTCAAAACATCTGAATCGACTTGACCCTTTCCTTTTTTCGTCAGGACTTCACGCTTTATCTACCGCCTGAATTATCATGAAAGCCATCCAGTGTCTCGTAGCTGTTATCCTCCTCGCGTTATTCACTTTTGGGAGCATCAACTTCCCGATCTTGTCACTGCTGGCATACAATCAACAGAAATCGTAAACTTCATCGTTCTCGAGCTTTCTTTCAGCATTGCTCAATGGGCGTAACGCGCATCTTATTCAGGGCCTGTCAGATAGCTCTTCATTGCTGCTGACCTACCTGAACGTCCTGAAACCAGACCTGCCACCATAATTAAACCTTGACAAACTCTCTAGACTCGAGTATAAACCAGTCCCGATACAGCTCTCTCTCACCAAAGTTGCAGATAACAATCATTCTTGCATGAAAAATTGACGGCAGGGAATATGAAGCAAGAGGCTCTCTACAAACATCATTCTATGTCTATCGTCATAGTACGATTTGCAATTGACGATGAAGTTGGCCGCTTGGATGAGATAAACGTAAAGACAATGGGCATCGACCTATTCAGGCCGCTGAATTTATGTGAAAGGTTGGATCATTTCGGAGTGCCTTCGAGAAGAGAACCAGAGTGGGCGCTGTCTCAGACACCCACTGCATCTTCTGAAACTCTTTATGTCACATATCATACCACGCAGAGACCGAGATAGCTCGATGCCTAGAAAGTCATTAAAACTTGAAGTATTCCACTTGCTATACAAGCCATGGCCACAATGTCTTTTGAGACTGCAGTACGGATTGCGATACTGAAAAAAATCTGTCACAAAAGGATTTTGGGTTTTGACATACCATCTCAATAGATTGCCAGGCACATCAAATTACTACGAACGGTCAACAAACTAAACCGTGGACGACGAGGCCGCACTCGTATATCTACAGAGCTGCTCAAAACTATTAAAAGGAGGCCCTTGAGCTGGAAGAATCTCTCTGACGCTCGCAAAATTGCTGCCATCTCACGTGGTAGTGCCCTTAGGTATCTTGCTGTAAGAAGCAATCACTGGGAGAATGCTGGTCATTCCTTTGAACGTGTACTTGCTGTGCAAATTGGTACACTGTTGCCTGAGCGTAAACAGGGCTCTCCAAGTAATCATGACCGTTATCGTGGAGAACAAGTAGTACCTGAACGCGTTTCTGATGGCTATTTCCAGATATAGACAACGAATTGGCTCGCCTTCGTGATACCGACATTCGTGCCTTTTATATGGATAATTATAAGCGAGACGGCCGCGAGATGTATCCGAACCAGCTAGAGCATCTCCTTCCCCAAACCTGTTTGAGATTCTATAAAGAGGCGCCGTTTTGAGATTGTAGTAGTCGCCTTTAGATTTAGTAACATTTGCATCAAAATGTATTACGAAAATCAGATTTATTCAAAGAAATAGAAAATCAACAAATAAATCGCATTCTGCTGTGTTGTTACTGCCACTCGACGCGACTATTCAACGTTGCTTGGCCGCAATCCCGAAATTTAGCAAGAAAGATCAGCAGCGTCGACGATACAATTAAATCAATTTGTACACAATATGCGCAGAGAGGCTTGCACAATACGCTATATTACAAAACTTGACAGCTGTCAGAGGCAGGAATTTCGGTCGTATATCTAGTAGTGGAGTGCTAGAGGGCGCGAGTCAAAATAGTGTCAACAACATGAACTTCAATGACGAGGGCAGACGATTTGGCTCATCAGATCGTCTTGATCGTAGTTTTATAGAAAGTCCCGCATTCGTGACGATGATGGCCCTCCAAGCAAACGTGCTCATCTAGAAGTGGGAGCATTTGGTGATCATGTGACGTAAAGTACTCAGAATCACCAGTACGAGCAATCTCGGTTTGATACATCACATGAAACCTATTGCATGTGGAAGCACCTTTTAGATTGTGGGTGCCGCAATATTGTCTTTTGTAGAAAAGTAGTATAGAAACAGACTAGACAGCATCAATAACTGTTAGTTCCATACCTCAGAGACGCGTTATCTCTTAAATATACTTGATAAGCCTAATTTTCAATTCACGTGTATCGTCGGTCCTTTCCAAACACCTCAAAGTCGTGCTTTTCGTGCAGTAGGACAAAGCGCCGAAATGAAGACTATAAGTCTTGTAGTATTTGGCCTAAAATACATTCCTATCAATACTTGAATCAAATGGAATACAAGCCAGTTAGAGATATTCTTACATTTGCTAAAATTGCATCAGGTATGTAATCCATTCGAAAATACGTCGCAAGTGTCACCAGCGAGCTGTCAAAGGCAACCTGCAACTGCTGTCAAACTAAGAAATCTTATCTTTCGTACCTATTGCCAGCTACAATTACGGACTTTACAGTCTCAGTCAGTTTTGCCGATTTGGAGAAGGCAATATAAGCAGTTGATTTATTCAGTATTCGCAATTCACGGGTCTTCATCAAAGTATCAACCATGGGGACATCTTGTTGATGCCCTCGCAGAGAAGCCTAATCTGATGAATCTATGGATTGCTGAGCATATTCCAGCCCTAGTCGACCTCCTTTGCATCAGTTGCAAAAAGAAGCTGTCAATAGTTCTCTTCTCAGCATTTGGCAAGTATGTATGGGTGTGGAAGACCGTCTTCTTATCAGAAGTCAGAAGATTCAGGGTATGAACAGCTGAAAGCACTGACAAACTTTGAAAATGCTCATTGTCTTGTTTTTGGAAAACTTGGGTGGCCAGACGAATTATCTTTGATCATTTGAACGGGACTTCAAGGAGCATTCGATATGAGACGGAATTTAAATCTGTCGATGATACGCCAATCCAACAGGCGCTCACATACTTGGACTCAAAGAGAAACTGGCTGGTTTTTGCACACGTAGTGAAAGGAATCCGTGATGTAAGACGACGTTCACATGTCACTTCCATTGTCCATGATCAGACAAACGATATATATCGTGGTGAGGGAGCCTCGCGATAGTATGATACATGTGGGACAAAAATGAATAGGATTAGGATAGAATTGGGTATTTGGCAATTGACCGAGCTGACACGTATGCTTGGAGTACGAGGGAACATGGGCCTGACAGAAACTCTATTTATCACACTAGTCATTTAGACTCTTTGCCACACAAACGTTGATGCTTTCAAGCAGAGTCTCCATACTGAAGCGTTATAAACATGTTTGAGAAATATATCATATTTACATTGTTGAGAAACAAGCCGGTTCCAGTGGTGCCCTTAATCACGACCAACCTCGCAAGAAAACTATGTTACAGCATTGAGAAATAAAGAAGGATAAATATACCGTATCCGGGCTTGTACAAGAGAAAGAGTCATTAGAATAAGCATTAAGTGGCCTTTGGAGGCGCTCTTGGTGGTAATCCTCCAAAAAGTCGTATCGATCCCGAAGACCGCTGCGAAGAAAGACGTGCAGGTTTTGTTTCTTGCTACAAATGGGTTTAGAGTGTTGGTTCAGCGGGAAAAAAGAACTCTGGGAATAGCAAAACAACATACCTTCGACGGTGACATAGATTCTCCAGGGGCATAAAGTCGTTTTGTAAACGGCGTCATCGACGTTTTCATCGGAGTCGTTTGAAGTGGTGCTGGCATAGGTGCTCTCACGGGAGACATGAATGGGGCAAATCCAGGTACCGATGTTTGGGCCACAGGTTGAACAACCTTTACAGAAGGTCTTTTAGGTGGTCTCAAAGACTTTAACAATATGGTTCAAATCAAATACCTGGCAATCACGCATAACTGTCCGCATTTGCGGAAGAAATATTGTGTTGTAAAATCGAATAATGTCACCCTTGCCAGAATGCTCATCCAAATAGATAGACAAGTAAGTCTAATGGTGGACAAGTCAGCATCCGAGTTGGAACAAATGCAGTCATTGTATCAGGTTACTTACATTGTCTATACACTGAGGTTGTATCCGATACGCAGCTAGTAAATCCTTGAACGTCACCTTGGAATGAGGATCGACTAATCGGCATGCACCATATACCGAAGCAATCATTATCACCTGTTCGACGCTAAATTAGTACTCGTCCACTTTTGAATCTTATCGATGATTCAAGAAATGGTTGAATGACTTACGTCGATATGCCTTTTGTGGAACAATCTGAATTTTCGTTCATTTATGAAGAGTACATCCAAAAGATATGAGGCCTACGAAATGATGTTAGATCAACCAACACTGTGAGTACATCGTGAGACCAGAACTTACTTGAGCAAGTACAGCGTCCGGTATATCCAGTTGCGTACAAAGAGACTTCAGACGAGTCAATAACAATCTACTGACTTTCTTCAACACAAGCTTTTGGTGAAATATTGTTTGGTCAGCATTCAACAGAGATCTATTGAGTCGCGACGAAGACTTACGTGAAGAGCCTTGCATTGCTCGAAAGCTGTAGTTTGCATCTGATTGTATCGAGTTGACTCGATTGGTATTGCTACATCACCATAAAAAAGGGCGGTATGGCTCAAGAACCCGGTGTTGATTGGGCTATTACTCGTAACTGCATCAACGAGTTGGTAAATTACATCGTCACGCCATATCTCCGATTCCAAAATTCTCTCCTCCAGCTCTTTAAGTCTTTTCACTAAAGCGCACGGAAGCTACAATGAGATGAAAGAATGGTTAAATTCTTGCACCAAATGAGAGTGTAAGTAACTTTGATTTGACATACCCAAACTTCGTTCTTGAGCACTAGCTCTATAATCATAGACAACTCCAGCATACGAACACTTAGCATTGCAAATGCTTCCTCAAACTTTATATTCTCAATGCGGAAGCTGAATCGGATAATCTCGAAAGCCAACACCAACATACATCGGTGATACTTGCTGTCTGACATGAGAGCTGGGAAGGTGACCTAAAAAAAAGAATGAGAGACGGAAGACGGATGTGTAGGAATTCAAGTGCGCGGGCTTGCACTGTGAACTTTGTTGCCCTCCGCTTTCCACATATTTGTGGTAAACTGCAAGTATAGTCGAATACAATAGTCCCAGAGGTTAGAATTGACATTGTCACGTTCAATAAGTAACGCTAAATAGACATTCAGATGAGACGCTTGTATTGATTGTGATGTGGCTGAACCAACTTTACCTCGAAATGACTGTGCTCGATCAGAGATAGTGCGCAAGGTGGCGGGATTGCCAAGCTGTTTAGCTATCTGTGCCGATGGATCTACCGCTTGTGCCGAAAACAGTGTGTGAAGCTTTCGTCGAAAGGCGTCCAGATCGTCCACATCACCTCCGACCCGTCTATTCAGCATGCTACGTGCAGTCATAGGTGTCGCAGGCATCATTCGCTATTACGAGGAAAAATTAGCCGATGCAGCCAAAGCAATCAATTTGATAACTTACACTGAAAGAACTAGCACGAACAAATGCTGTGCGAAGAGAGATCCGACTTTGACCCGACAACTTGGGTCCGACAGACTGAACAGTCATTCGCAGTAGTCGACGTGGTGCGCCACCTATTTCAAACGTTAATAAATCACGCCTTCAACACCTGATGATGCTGAATCTTACCAGATTGCTGACCACTAGGAAGCAGGATGCGCCAGTCAAAGTCATATTTGCCGTTGGATAAGAGCTGGTTGTAAGACTTTTCTAGTTCTGCCAAGTTCTGATAAAAGAAACCGCGCGGTTCGACCGTAAATCCACTTTGAAATATCGGCCACGAGCTTCCTGGAACCGGCGGAACTCCATTACATCTCAATGGAGATACATCGGACTACGGCGAATGTTACATTAGTGATGCGGAACCGTGACAATCCAATATAGTCAAACTGAGAACTCGTACATAAAGATAGTTGAACAATCGTTCGCCTTCAAAGCGTATTCCGGAGACTGCAATGCCATATCTTGCTGAACTGGCCTGAATTATGCTTGGAATCAGAGCCACCCAATCAGAAGCCATTGTGTTTGTGTTTGGGTCGACAGAAATTTCAAGAGCGGTGCAAACTAAGCAGGTAGTCAATATTCAGTCCATCAAAATAGTACATGAAGTGCAACCCATACCATCCATGGCTGTCCGTTTCAGTGAAGCCGGTGCCTGTGAGGCAACAACCAATAAACACGAGCAACACAAAGAGGGGTCTGATGAATGTGTGGTCGTAATTCCAGTAAACAAAACTAACAATATCCACGTCAGTGGAACGACAAGGGTTTGAAGTTTTCGTAGTTTGAAGCTGACCTTTGGAGTGGAGAAATAAGGTCCATCCATATCGCAATAGTAGTGCTGCTAACCCTTGATCCGAGACGTCCTTTCGTATAAGCAACCAGAAGAAATCCTCGACAAAGTAATAAAGCTTGCAAGTAGCAGCGTAGGCGTCACCAGCAACATCGACCTTGTGAAGTATCATGGATTTCTCCTCGACACTGAGGTTTGCACACCCTCCCTGTACGAATTCCTTCAAATTAGCAAAAAAGTTTGGTATTACATCCAGTCGGAATGCGTCCGAGTCCCTGAAGAAACAACCATTGTTAACATTCGCAAAGGTTTGGATGAATGTTGTGTGACAAAACACCTTTGTTGATCGGACATTTCGATGCAGTATTGCAGATCGTGAAGAGTCTTTGATATAGAATACGATGAATCGACGATAGTTGCAGTGGGAGTTGGTGGGTGTCTTATAGCCTGCAAGGTTCTTGCCAACCAGATACAATACATGCACCACACTAAAAGGAATTCCAAATCTCCCGAGGGAACTCCGGTCAGGAATACCCATGCAGTGTGTTGAGTGACTTGATCCACATCCTGTATCAAAGCAACTATGTTAGCAACACTGGATCTATCAGGAATCGTCATGGATCAACCTCAGTGTAGTTACCAGAATTCGAGACACTTTCAGAAATTGTTCTCGTCGTAACTCCATTTCAGGGTCAGTTTGAGGGGGACAAGGATGTTCAAATAATGGAATATTGTTGTAAATCATAGCAGAGTCCTTTCCGGGTCTTCTGGGCATAGCAATTCGTCGTCGTTTGGTCTCGACAGAAATTTCCATTCTCGAGTCGCCGTTTGCGCTATCTTCGTCAAAGTCATCGGTCAACTTCCTTTTCCTTGATTCGATATCCATCTTTGGATTTTATTTTTTGTCTTGTTATCTCGTCTTCTTTGGTCCTCCGTTGTTGTCTGCGTTTGGTGAAGTTCAACGAAATTCCTCACTTTGCATTGAGGAAAAATTAACAAGAGAATGGCGGCTGTTTTGGGCAAGCAGCGACCTTCCCGCATTAAATTACAGCCTATACAATCTTTACCGACATTGCCAGTCGCGTTAGCTGCTGAGGAACAGGATGTGAAAACAACCCAACACAAACATTCTACTCCACGGAAACCGTCTGATGTGGCCAATGAGCAGAACCTGTCAATATTAGAGAGATTTTCCTTGTCAAAAGCACCAGCAATACGGAATGTACAAATTATAGACCTTGTGCATTCATTCGACGCAACATTACAGGACAGCCATGTGCCATTTGACAGACCCTTGTTTGATCCCATGCCTGCTGAGGTCATTATACAAGGTTTTGACGTATTGCATACGTATGAAGTCGAAATTCGCTTCCGGAATGCTGATCGAGTAAGGCATCCTCGGGGTTAAAACGTCAGTTGTTGACTCGAATACCTGACGCTACCTTTTCAATGTAGCATGCAAGATCTATAAGACTGGATCCTCTAGATTGTCGTTTTTTTAGAGTCGGCGGCAAGTCGAAAACGGTATATAGTGCCACGGCAGTTGCACCTGGTATGGAAGCTGTATTCCTCATTACCTTCACCCCAGAAGAAGATCGTGACTGCCACGCAAATCTGCTGTGTACCACTGACCGTGAATGCTTTGTTCTGCCCCTTCGCGCCGTTGGATCTAGAGGTTGGTTGCATGCATGTGCCACGCTTCTCTGTGTATGATTGCTGAACTCACCTTCCCAAACTTTAGGTTTATTGGATTTGCCAGATCAGATACTTCTGCCTTCAGGATTTGTTCGTAAACCCTCAGCAAGCCAGTTTCTTGTTCGTAATGTCGGTCGGAAGGACTGCGAGTTTACGTTCGAGATTCCTAAACCATTCTTTGTAAAACCGACAAAAGGTCATTTAGAGGTGGACGAGGGCATACAGGTCGATATTGGACTCGACGCCGTTGCACCTGGTATATATGAAGCTGAGCTCTTAGTCACGTACGAGTATGGAGAAACCGTCGCCATTCGAGTACAAGGACGTGCCGACGAAGCCGATGTACGCCTCGAAACCAAGGCTCTCACTATGGATCAAACCTACATTTCACTGTCTTCGAGTGGCATGGAATCGATCAGCAACCGGACTGATGTTCCTGTAAGTCAGGCATTGTCTTAAACCACACAAGGACATCATTTGACAGAATCCAAATCTAGATTCGATTCCGATGGAAAGCATTTGCTACAGAATCTGATGATAAGGTTCACCGTAATCAGAGGGCTTTGCAGTTACAACAGCGACATGAGGCACAAATCAACGACACCGATATCGTTGAAGTCCTCGATCCTTCGGTGAAATCAGAACGGCTCAAGGTGAAAATCAGTTTCTCTTCGCACTATGAATTAGTTACGCTAACTGTGCCTGTGTTTACAGAATGAAATTAGACACGTCCAGCAATCACCATTGCTTTTCGAAGAGAGCTCCTTCTCGATTGAACCAAGTGAAGGTGTCATATGGCCACAATCTACAATGGATGTTACAGTCACGTTTCATCCTCGTACAGCCGGATCACATTCTTGTATTGCCTATTGTGAAGTAGATGGTCGAGAAACACGGCTACCCCTTTTATTGGAGGTGAGTGTGAAGTTCACTCTGCTCTGTATGTTGCAACGCTTGGAGCTGACGCTGGTCTACAATCAAGGGTGTTGGTCTCGGTCCCAAGACGCGATTCGTTACGTGTGATGTCATTGATGTTGAAGACATTCTCATTCACACCGTCCACTCCTATGAGGTATTCTGGTGATATTACTGCCGCAGTGTCTCAACTTTACTGATCACCGCAAACCTCAGGTCTACGTGCGAAACGAGGGCTTCATAGATGCTCCGTACAACCTCAAGTCGTGCGGATCCACCAACGCCACGAATTTAGAATTCGTACCCAGTGAAGGTGTCCTTAAAGTTGGTGAAGAAAAGAGTATCATGGTGGTCGTCAAGCCAAAAGAAAGAGGAGAATTCAATGTTGAGTCCATTTGGGATATTCAGGTATAGTGGGAAATGGTATTCAAGAAATCACAGAAATCACCACTAATCGTTTGTCAATGGCATTTAGGGCGCTCCTATACCACTGACTTTGGGTATTAAAGGACGAGTAATTGGCCCAAACCTTCTATTTGACGCCGAGGCATTAGAATTTGGAGATGTGCCATGTGGTTTCTCTGTTGTGCTGCCAGTGAAACTCACAAACTCATCCGCTATTCCAGCTGCTTTCAAATTACGTATTGCTGATAATCATGATCGCACCGTATCAAAAGAAATACTATTCGCGGAACCCTCTGAAGGCCTTATTAAGCCCAATCAATCAGTAGATTTGGAAGTGACCTTCACGCCATCTGACGTGGCCGCTCTTAAAATAAGAATGGTAGTCGATGTAGAAACAGTTGGTGTAGACTTCATAAGTTTGCCAATGGTAGCGGCTGGTATAATTCCTCACATCATTGTGGATCATCCTACTATCGAACTCGGACGATGCTTCGTTGGTCACGAATACAGCTCAGCCGTGAGCATACTAAACACTAGTGACTATCACGGCAAATACAAAATGATGCCTGCTGAGCTCAAGACAGAGGATTGGGAATACTCTACAGTTGAATCGGAAGGACTGCTGGCAGCCAACGACACAACTACAATCACCGTCAAGTGTATCGTCCATAAGCAGGGACCATTTGATATGAAAATTCCAATGTATGTATCTGGCTATGAACGTGAACGATGTATAGTGCATTGTCGTGGCATTGGTCGTGGTGCCAAAGTAGTGATATCTGAAGCAACTCTTGATTGGAGTACAATTCCAGTCCTGACGCATGTAACGAAACGTCTCCACCTCAAAAACGAATCGCCTATTCCCGCTAGCTTTGATCTCGCATTTGGAAAGGGGACGACATTCCAAACAGAATCCATGTCTGGTGTAATAGCTCCGATGACATCAAAGTCTATAGAGATAGTAGCGCACTTAGTCGACTTCTTGAAAAAGATTGACGCCTTAAATATTGATGTGATGGGCGAGATACACACCGTCAAGTTGGTTGCTAGAGGTGAAGGGACTACTGTAACATATGACGAATCACTGAAATCTATAGCTTTCGGCAACGTTTTTGCCGCGTCGGATTGTATTCGAGAAGTAGAGCTCAAGAACGAAGGAGCTAGAGCATACAGTTTACGATGGACGGTAACAGAAACTTCAGCCAAACCACAACCGGATGGAATTCCAATATTCGAAATTCAGCCCTCACGGTTTGTTTTGGAGCCGGGAAAGACACAAAGTTTTGTGATCAAAGCATTCTCTGGGAGAGCTACTACAGCAAGTGCTGCTCTGGTATGTCAAGGCACTGTAGATAAGGATCCAGCTAGACGACAGATTGTAGAGTCAAAAGTCACTGCCACATTTGTAGAACCGATATTTCTTGCTACTCCATCACAGCTGCCGTTTGTAATCCAACATGCAAAAGCTGATGACCCAGACTTTTGCACTCAAGACATCGTCTTCACCAACAAGACGCCACTGCCGGTACAGCCCTCATTCAATTTCACGTCGCCATTTAGTCTATACACGTCGGATATACCGGTAGATGCCGCTGTAGCGCCTGGTCAAAGCATCACGTTGTCTGTAATGTACGATTTATGTACGGGTGATGGACCCACACGTATCTGCCGTGTGGACCGGGGTGTACTCAATGTCTCTTATGCAGAGCATCCACGTAAAGAGACTATACAGTTGGAAGGCACAGCTACCTTCCCGAATCTATCATTCCGACCAGAGACAGTCAATTTTGGTCGTGTCTTGGCGTTCAAAGAACAACGCAAGTCCTTTACTATCTATAATACCAGTCCTTTGCCAGCAGAGTATTCGTGGTCGATAGTGACGGAAGGGTCGACTGCATCAGACTTTGATTTGCAACCATTGCATGGTCGTCTGGCCTGTAGAGCATCTCAGACCGTCGAGGTCTCGGTATTGCCAACTAGAGAAGGTGTAATTAGATCTTACCTTATATGTGATGTCGTGGGAGGTCCACAGTATTCATATCCATTGGTCGCAGAAGCATGTGCTACTATAGTGGACTCGAAGCCAGAACTTGTAAGCAAGGCAGATCAGAAGAAGGCATTGGCAGCAGAACAAGTCGCAAAAGATATTGCACCGATACAGTCTATAGTTATCCCGACTCTAGAATTCTCGTCGACGGATTTAGACTTTGGTACGATATACTGCGGCTGCCGAAAATCTCTGTTTATTAGAGTCACCAATACTGGTCAACTCACTGGTGGTTGGTCTGGAGTAAAGATTCACTACCCAAAGAAGACTGCTTGGGGTAAAGAACCAGAACGGCTTCCCGCAGGCACGTTTGAGGTGTCGCCACCCTCGCAGCAATTAGAACCCGGTGACTCTATAGTAGTGACGATCAAATACTCGCCCCAAGATGAGCGGGTCTATAACCAGACGCAAGTGATACAGCTTGTTGGTGGAGCCAAGCCTGTAAAACTCACCATGAGCGGGAAGGCTCAAAACTTGATTCCGATATTCTCTCCCGCACCAATTGTATTTGGGCCTATATTACCATGCACCGAATTAGAATTAGCCGTCAAAGTAACCAATCCAGCGTCGGTCCCCATCGAAGTGTATTCACTAGACTGTGATCAGCAATATCTAGACGAAGACGAAACGCTACGCATGTCGGCTCGAGCAGAAAGAGCGAATCTTTTTTGCATTCCGCTTCGAGAGGCTGGCCAGCCACTCAAACTAGTAGATCCTGTTGTAGAGTCAGTCCATGAGGTCCGCCTTGTAAACATCATCGTCTTGCATGGCCCACCATATTCTGGACGCTCATTGCAATCATCAAAGATTGCCGAACTGTATAAGTATCAACTAGTAAGATTTGATGAATTTATATCTGCTCCTGCTATGGTCCGCCGTCAGTCTATGCAACTGGAAAAGGATGTTGGATCCAGTAACTCTACATCAATGCACCCGATCCCAGCAGCTCATAATGCGGATGGGTCACGCTTGGAAGTATCTAATACGCCCATGGACGAGACTTCGTTTAACGAGTTGGTAAAGGCACGACTGTTGAAGGACGATTGTGCAAATGGAATAGTTATAGATGGGTTAGAATGCGCCAATCCAGTCGCTTCGCCTATTGCTTGTATGAAGTCTCTACTACGTCTGTTGGCTGATGGACGAAGAATTGTGTTTGTGCATCTTCAGGCTAGCGTGCAACTTATTCATGAGAGGGAAGGGCTTGTCAAGAAACAATTGGAACAGAAGCGCATTGATGCTGAAGCCCTGGCTGATGTTCCCGAATATGTGAGTGACAATGTTTCGCGGAATTATTCTGTTTTGATTTGAAGATCTCATGAAATTGTCGTAGATGTATGAGAGCCTGTCGCCTGCTGAAAAAGCCAAGATTGACAAGGACGTTGCCATTCAAAAGAAACGCAAGAAGGAATTGTTGGATCAACAAAAGGCTGAACGTAAAAAGGAGGACGAGCACATCACTGAGAAGAAGGAAGAAAAGACTCGTGGTGGTAGAAGGGTAGGCACTGGTCGTGCTGAAAAACCGACAGGCAAACCTGACCCCAAAGGTTCTTCCAAAGGACAACCAGAACGACCTAGTACGCCTCCCAAGCAAGCTGGTCGACATCCTCAGCAGAAAACTGATAACGCCGAAACTGAAAACTCGCTGCAAGTTCCAAAGGCTGGTGATGGCACTAGTAATGCTGATGGATTCTTGTTTGATCGATCGGCCCGTGCCCTTGAATCGTATAAGTCTAGTGTAGACGCACTTGTTGCACTTATCAAAGAAGCTATTCAGCCTGCCGTTGTTCAGCCGACTGAAAAGAAGGCAACGCCCGCAGTGGTAGTATCTGGTCGACCACAAACTGCCAATACCACCTTAACTGTATTGCCGACTGTAGCCCCAACAGAGGGGGACGTAGATGGTCCCTCGTTGCTGTACAAGGAGGTTGATACCAACATGGATGTCAATAATGTGACAGACCTGGTCAAGGCATCAATCCCCGTCGCTCCTCCAGAAGAAGCTCCAGCTGTGGAAATCCAAACCATTCCACCACCATTACTGCAAACTCTATATCGTATCCCAGATTTCTCCGATATTCCATTATCTAAACAGTTTTCATTGCTGCCTACAAGAGGCCTTCTTACTGGTGATGTACCGAAAGAACATGATCCAGATGTAAATATCGAAACTATACAAGTCGTTGCACCAACTCCTGCTCCAGCACCAGCTCCATCTGCTCCAGCAGCTGGAAAAGGAGGATCAAAGGCACGTCCGCTGGCAAAAATTGCGGATGAAGGCTTAAAGCCAGTAGAACTCGAAGACGAAAGTGTAGTCAAGGATGCCGGTATTCGTCGATACCGATGGGTCATTCCAGCAAACGAATCCAAGGATGTGATAATAAAGTTTACGCCAAACGAAGATGTAGGCAAATTTAATCACGAATTCATGTTTGGTGTAATGGGATATCCTGGACGCCATTTGCTGCCATGTGTAGGACAATCGCAATATCCGTATATAGCATCTGATCCGTCGCTTGTCTTCCCTATACGGCTCAAATCGGCCAGAGCTGGCAAGACTTCTAGCTTTAACTTTGGGCCAGTCTTGTATGGAAAGACTAAAGATGCTGATAAATTCCCTGAAAACCATACTGTCTACAGGCTGGAAAACATATCGTCCTTCACAGTCCATGCTGACCTGTGTTGGCGGAATGATGTAAGGTCGGATATATTCAGCATGACAACAGCAAATATGGCTGGCAAGAATCAGCATGAAGCGCTGTCTATAGAACTGCCACCTGGGCAGTTTGAGCCAATTGGCTTGGCAGCTTATCCACGTGCATCAGGAGTATTTGAAGATGCTCTGGTAGTTAGCGTCAGAGACAATCCTACACCATTCGTATTTAATCTATCAGTCACTGGTGTCAAGCCTGAATTTGAAATGGCAAGCAAAGTTTTGTCTTTCGAAAGGGTGCTATTGGGTCGTAAAGAAAAGAGAGAAATCAAATTCAAGAATGTGACGACACTTCCAGCATCGTGGAAGTTGATTGGTGTAGAAGCTCTTGGAGAAGAGTTACGATTGGCGCCCCTAGATGGTATTGTTGCAGCTGGCAAAGAAGCTGTCATCACCTCTGAGTTCCAGTCTAAACGACCTATAATGCTTAAGAGGTTGTTGAAGCTCGAAGTAACAGACAAGACAGGCAGTGTCACTCAGACAGAGAACCTGTCGGTAATCGCTGAAGCATATGATGTATCGGTTGAATTGCATACTCCTAAGCCAGGCGCAATCGAGTATGGCGTCCTTAAAGTATTCGATGATGCTAGAGCAACATGCTCTCTTCGTAACAGAGGCAAATATGAAGTCGGGTGGCGCTTTGTATTTGAAGAGAAGTCAATGATGTCCTTTGTCACCGTGTCACCAATGGAAGGAGTATTGCAACCATCAGACAAGTTTACACCCGTATTCGTAGCATTCAAAGCATCAACCGAAGTAGCTATAACCGAGGGTATAATCAAATGTCATTTCTTTGAATTGACAACGAACGAAATCATGTGTACCTATCCCATCAAAATCACTGGTCGTGCTGTATTTAGTAAATTCACAATCACACCTTCGAATGAACTCACGTTTGGACCAGCTGTGCATGGTGCTGGCAAGATATCAAAGCAGATCGTAATCGAAAACTCTGGTGATTTCGATTTTAGGTTCTGCTTGTCACGATTGGAAGCCAATCCACCACCTGCTGCGATAGGTAGTGGGAGAGCTATATCGGTGTTTGCTCCACTGCCTGTTACTCCTCAGACAGTAACACAACCTACTGCAGCTACTGCAGCTGTCGATGGAAAATCAGCTAGTAAAAAGCCCGTTGCGACAAAGAGTGTTGCTAAACCTACAGCTGAAAGGCCCAATTCACCACCACAGTCTGTTGTTTCAGTACCTGTTGCTCGAACAGTGACTCGTAAAGATGCTGGAAAGCAGACTGAGAGCTTGACTGCTGCTTGTAAGTGTGTACACTTGTGAGCTCCTCCACTAGTCCTTTTTTGCTCACAGTGCCCATTTAATTTTTTCCCCAGCATTCCGAGTATTCCCGTCCAACGGTAATATCGCACCAGGTAGCAAACAAATAATTTCAGTAGAGTTCCATCCTGAAGTATGTGGTGTCTATGATGAATCGCTAGGTATCGATATATCCGATAGATCTCCCACCGAGTCAGACCCAATTGACTTCAGACTTTATGGTGAAACATGTGTACCAGGAATAGCAGCTGATCCATCGACGATCTTTGATGGATGTGTCATAATCCCACGACTCGATCCAGGATATGGTAGTTTCCTTCATTACGCAATGGAAGAGAAAGTCTTGAATTTCGGCCCAACACTGCTACAACCCAGTGTCGTAAAACTAAAGTTTGTAAATCCTGGTAAAGTCCCCTGTGACTTGTCAGTCAATGCCAAGACATTACAAAAAGCTGTCCGGGGTAACAAGAATGATACATCAGATTGTGCCTTTGATGTAGATTGTAAAAAGTGTACATTGGCAAGCTCAGAGACCAAGATTGTTACCTTGACATTCTCGCCAACTGCCACCCAAGCATATAGTGCCACGCTAGAAATAATGATTGATGGTGTACCCGACCAACGATATGCATTAATGACTTGTGAGTTACGTGGTGAGGGAGCCATTCCACGTATCGCTTTGGAGAAGCCTGTGCCGAATGTGCCAGTAAAACCAGCGCCAGGAGCCAAACCCGTATTGAATCAACCCACTACGCAGCTACGCTTCCGACGCCTCTTTTTGGGTAATTCGCAGTCTCTACCTGTAGTACTGAAGAATCCCAGTAGCATAAACGCCGTAGCACAATTCGAGCTGGTCGATGAGTCAAACAATGTCGTTGACTTTGAATTGAGGGGCTGTGATAGACAAGAGACTATACGACCCGGCTCAACACTAGCATTTGAAGTCACATGTAGACCTGTAAATCAGGGTAAACTAGCTGCGTCACTCAGGATTAAGTTGATGGATTCGGAAGCTGAAGCAATGACTATTGCTTTAACGGGTGAGGGTGCTAAAGACGATGTCTTGCTATCCATGATGGAATTACCCAGTGGGTTGGACGATGAGAATCCCATCGCATTAGGACGCATCCCGACTCAACAGGCTCAATTGAATATAGTCACAGCTACAAACCACTCGAGTGATCATGTACGAGTCTCCTTTGTCCCATCTGTAGCAGCAGTCGTAACAGCCACATCACCAGTGATATCATTCTCACCACCGACCTTCCATCTGGCACCAGGACGAGATAAGAAGATTACACTGAGTGTGACCCTGTCAGAGTTGGTGGATTTCAGTCAGTCGATTGTGTATAAAGTAAATAGGATTCGGTATTCGGCTGCTTCTGAGGGTGCTAGTGAATGGGACTCGGAAAAAACCATTATTAGATGGACGAGATCGGATGCTGGGCCTGTGAGGTCTGTTGAGCCGCATCCTGAACCGAAATATGAGACGCTGTCGCAGACTGATAGGACGGTCACGGTTACCGCTACGGGTATTCCGCCGTTACCAGTAACTTAACATGAACATTATTGTATAGCAAAGATTGTTTATATGTATAGTAAAATGGTGTGCTGTTTATGACAAACGTGTATATCACCAAGAATTTACTCTTTCAAGTTATAAATCAGATAATCGAGCAAATGTCTTTATGTACGAGCTCGTTGATATGTTATTCGTAGCTGAGATAGTTCTGCGTCAATGAATTTCTATGAGGATCATCTTAGTATTGTAAAATGCTTTTTTTCGCCGTCAACAAAGTGAAAGAATGCCCATACCTTGAATTCCAAAGCCATATCATAAACATCAGACCCTTCCTTATTGTACATGATGATATTAACCAGCATGAGCAATAAATCACGATGTAGCTCATCAGGACTTGTAATCTCTCCTTCCCGTATCCTTTGTTTGATTGTCATGAGACTCATTGGTCGTTTTATATCATCCGAGTAGCCAGGCAGTTGATCATCACGATTGGCTTTGAATACATTTCCAAAACGATGATCGGCAATCTTGTCCCATACAGCCATACATATTTTGCGGAAATTTCGTTTTTGGGGATCTTCTTTGGTTGTTGATGAGATTGAGCCTTTGCGGGGTCGTGAGGTTGAGCCGTCTAGAAAAGGAATGGTGGGTCGTGGTTGGTGAGTGCGAAAAAAAAACAGAAATGTCCTGGCTACGTATTTATCGCCTAGCTCACCAACGCTTTCGATGCCTGATGTATACCCATCAGTCATAACTTCATCTTCCTTCTTGGCTAACCGAGAGAGAAGGAGTAAGTGTTAACTGGTTGCGTCTTACAGACATTTATAAACGTGATTTCACAAACAGAACGACGATTCGTACCATCTTTTGTCTCGACTTCACGTGTGGGCGAGTCCACCTCCATGGCAGTTGTCTTTGAATCGCTCTAATAGAATGTATGTTTGACTATCCGAGCAGAGACAAAACAGTTTGAAAACTGGCCATTACCTCTCGTTTGGTATCGTTGACTTGCGTATCGACGTGCTTCCCATCAGAAGAGCTAGTACGCTCGGCAGCTTTACGTTCTTCCATTTCCTTTGTGAGTTTTTCATCCAGTTTGCCATCCCGTATATCAAGAATCTCTTGAACGAGTTGCCTACAAGACAGGATATAAGTAGTCCATACTATCCTTTGTTTTCGCATGTGATGAAATGTGACCATCTCCAACTATACCTGAATGTCTCATCGTCTTTAGCCAATTCAGCTTTGAGCTCTGTTATTCTTTCAATGTGGAATCGTCTGGCGAGTCTTGCAGCGATTTCACCTTCAGCTTCATTGGCAGACCTGGGTAGAGAGCAGTTTCGAAAGTCAGTCCAGCTGATCGTATTCACACTAAATTGAGATTCGAATTGTACTTACTGATCAAGAGCAGCCAGAGCAGTGAATTGGGTTGAGCAAGCCTAAATTTGAACAATGTTTGGATCAATCTAGATACGTGTTGAAACATACTGACGATGCAGATTTACAGAAGGAGTAAAGTAGTCTGGCGGTTTTGATGTGCAGGAATGAGCCTTCAGTTGCTTTGATACGGCAGCCCACTTGTCATTGCCAGCTACGTGAAGGGTTAGAGATTTAGTTTGTTGTTTTGGTGCAAGCCAAATAATTGTACTGTGAGCATGTACCTTGTTGATATACAGATTGCGCCAGTATGAGGCACTCGGTAGTAGTCCACCCTTTCTTGTCACTTGCATCCATCTTCCTTGCTTCCTTGCTTCCTTGCTTGTTTGCAAAGCTGGAGCATTGTGCCAAACCACGACGAACTCGGTATATGCTACTTTTGGACGTGTATAGACGCGGGATTTGCTTGATTCTACATATAATACACGTATTTAAATCTTCAATCTATGACTAGAACAAGGGAAGAATTTCCATAAAGTTTGCACATTTTTCATCCGTAAGTCGACTCTCAGTTATTCATCGCTCCTTGTTAGTACTATTGGACAAGATGGAAGCTCCACTATGTCGAGCTACTATGCGGATCTGCCTGATACGGTCCCGTATATCGCGTCAATCACGAAGCTCAAGCACATCTACATCACCTCCATTTCACGTTTGTGTCGTTGGAAGCGGCCCAGGTATGAATACAAGCTACATTTCATTTGATATATCTGTTATGATCACATTCTATGCTCTGACACTGCATTCTAACTGTAGCTGGCTTCTATACCACCCAACATCTACTCAAAAACATTCCAAATGTCCAAATCAACATGCTCGAAGCCCTTCCCGTGCCTTATGGGCTTATTCGTTACGGCGTCGCTCCTGATCATCCCGAAGTCAAGGTATTGATCATTTGCTGGACATTGATGCTGAGTGTCAACCAACAAAAAAATTACATCTACGCAGAATGTCATCCACAAGTTTGAAACAATCGCTCAGGACCCACGCTTCCAATTCCTCGGAAACGTGGCTCTAGATCGTGATGTATCCCTCATAGACCTCAGATCGCACTTCCATGCTATCGTTCTCGCTTATGGTGCTGCAAAGGACCGCAAACTAAACATTCCCGGTGAAGACTCTACTCAAGGTGTATTTGGCGCAAGAGCATTCGTGGGCTGGTATAATGGATTGCCAGAGTACCAAAACTTGCCCGTCAATCTGGCTAGTACAAAGCAGGTCACTGTGGTCGGGAATGGAAATGTAGCATTGGATGTAGCTAGGGTGTTGCTGTCTGATCCGGAACGATTGGCCAAGACGGATATAGCCGAACATGCACTGATGCAGTTGAGGAAGAGTCAGGTGCAGAGAGTCGTGTTGTTGGGACGGCGTGGACCTGTTCAGGTATTTCTGCAAGTGCAAGTTGATTTTTTTGGCACGTCATTTGTGACTCAATGTTCAACAATAGGTCGCATTCACCGCCAAAGAATTACGAGAAATATTCTCTCTCCCTGAATTCAAAATAGAAGCAGATTGGAAGTTTATTCAATCTCAGATATCTGCTGCTGCACCACATCTAGATCGATCAAAGAAGAGACTCATGGAAATCTTCCTCAAACATGCTTCCACATCATCATCATCCGCTACCACTCCAGAAATACCGTCATCACCTAATACCCCACAGAAACGTGTTTTAGAATTCAAATTCGCATCGAGTCCTTCTAGAGTCTTGTCAACACCAGATAATGTATTGACTGGACTAGAAGTCGAGGTGAATTCTCTTCAGACTGTTGAAGGGAGCAATGAAGTGAAGGCTAAACCAACAGGTGTCAAACATGTAATACCATCTCAGCTGTTGGTTAGGAGTATAGGGTATCAGTCTATGGCAGCCAAAGGGTTGCCATTTGATGATAGAAAGGGTGTTGTGCCGAATGACAAGGGACGTGTGCCGGTGAGTTCATGTAATGTGGTTTATAGCTTTTTGCTCTATGTCTTGTTTTTGAAAGGGATGAACGTGCAAAGTATTGATGTGAGCCATGTTCTATAACCTTAGATACCAGATATCGTTGAAGGCGTGTACGTCGCAGGATGGCTAAAACGTGGTCCAACAGGTGTCATTGTGGCCACAATGTACGATGCTATAGAAACAGCAGACACTGTAACTGCTGATGCAGCATCTCTCTTGTCATCACCACAACAAGATTTCAAAACTGGATTACAGGGGTTAAAAGATTATCTGGAAAAGACTGGTGCCAAACCAGTCTACTTTGATGGATGGAAGTCGATTGATTCCGCAGAGCAGCATGCTGGGTTGGAGAAGGGGAAGCCTAGAGAGAAGATTGTGAATGTGGATAATATGTTGAGGCAGAGTAGGAATACATCGTCATAGTCTGGTATTTTGCCCTTTTTTGGGTGTGCCAACGTCTGATACATAAACGCCCTCTCGCATTTAGAACAAATTGTATATATTAAGAAACCCACTAAAATAGAAGAACAATTATAATTATCGTAGAACGTTTCACCGAATAATACACCAACACCGGTCTCGAATTACTGATATACGACAGCCGTGATGCCGCCGCTGAAAGAGAATGGAATAACCTTCCTACGAGCAAAGTCACCATTCTGAAGAGAGTCACCATATTTTCTGGATTCTGGATGACATCTGGATTCGTGGCGAGAGCTTTGTCTTTCTTAATCCTTCGTGATGCTGCTGTTCCTTGTTAGAGTCCGGGCTTTTCATCTATTGGATTGGTTTCTGACGAATGACCCAAAAAGCATGACTACAGAGATACAAAGTGCATTGAGCACCACGATGCCTGCACTAATCAATGCTGAATCAACTTTAATCCAATTCTTAACTATTAAAAACCGTATTTGCGACCTGTTGGTTAAAAGTTGCTGTAGTCTGAAATATCGTCTGATATTGCATCGTTTTGAGGGGAAAGCTAAGACTGTTCCGTATTCTATGTTTCATGGAATTAGAATATGAGTGTCAAGATGACAAGAAAATGTGGCGATTACTGCAAAAGTTTGAACTTCTGTCTGTGGTTTTTGTCTGTTCAATTCTTTCAATATTTGATTTTGGTGACACTTCTTGCGAAAAGGAATCCGAGACAACCTTTCGAGTTCGGTAATATTGAAATGGGAGCCTTTGTCAACCTAAAAAGATATAGAATCATGCGTTAGACTGTTATGATTGAGTGCTTATACATTCAACGGCCTTACTTGTATTGTATCGCATCCATTTCGCTTTATTGTCTTTGTGCTCCTCAAACCACTTCCTCTGCCAGTTCAGGAAAGGAGCGAAAAAACATGTGAGCTCGTCTAGTGGTTACTACTTTCCCCTTTTTTGTTCTGTGATAAAAGCTTTATCTGCTGCGAACCTTTTCCGTTCCAACCATCTCCTCTTCAGCTTTACAAAATCAGCTTCACCTAGAGCATCTATCAGGTATCCCCAAGATCACAGCTTTTTCGATTGTCTGCACCTTCCGCAGGCTGATAGCTTCTGCTCAAAATTCGAGAATAATGTGGTCCAGTCATTGGCGGATGTTAGAGCTGCCATGACCATGTAGCGACATGGCTTAATCACCATCGACTTATAACAGATCTTGATCATCATGGTCGTAAAGAATCGTGAAGAAACTTTGGTGTAGTTTCCAACCCAATGGAGAACTTAAACCTGTCAGTGTTGCTCATTTGACCAGGACTAATACAGAGTGGGATGCATGTCAATATTCAGCAACCTCAAGTTATAGAGAATCCAGGTCTTCCAGCGTACCTGTTGTGGTTGGCTTGACTATCCTAGAATCAATCACACGATTGCCTTAATCAATTTTGATTATTGATCTTCTTCGACATTTGCATTGCGAAAAAAAACGAATAACAATCCCAAATGGAGAAATGTTGATGCAACTCTAATAAATACCAAAAGTACACATGCAAACAGCTATTCATCAACTCCACATCACCATCTTCTCTTCTTGGCTGGCCTGCCATTGCTACTACTGCCACCTCCACCACTAGATTTGTTACCATGTACAATCTCTTCAGGTGCGGCAGCATATGTTCTTGTGGCAGCAACAAAATAACCACCTGTACTACTGCCAGTCATGATAGGTCGTGTTCCCGCTTGATAGCAGGGAAGCTAGAAAAAATAGTTATTGCAGTGAATTTGCGAGGGAAAAAAAGGGTACAGATCGTAGTATGTATTATGTTGATACACAACGTTTTCAACGTACCTGATATTCCCTCAACCAACTCTCACATAAATCCACATTGACAAACTCCGATGATTCTCTGAAATAGTTGTATGTCTCCGTCAATGCCTAGAAAAGTATGTTTGATTGCTTAGCAAAAGCAAAACTCCTTCGAGGTAACCAGAACAGAAAACAAAATTCTAAAGCTTAACCACTACAGGCGCTTTTACCTCTTTAAACGAATGATAAACCACAACAGGTCTCGATCCACTAATATACGGCAACAATGTTTCCACCACAGAAACAGGATTGAATGAACTTGCTACGAGCAAGGCATCAAAATCACCGTTCCGTAAAAGAGTCAACTTTTCTCTATTTGTTGCCAGTGCATCACGCTTTTTATTTCTTCGTGATGCTGCCGTGCCTTTTAGCAGTTCTTGTTCTTCAGCTTTCGTGGGGTTGTAAAGTGTGAGCAAACAATACCAAGTAGCACAGAGTCAGGATTGCAAACAATACCTTCGCTAATCAACACCGAATTGACTCTATTCCAACTGATAGTTTGTAGAGTACTTGCGAGTTTTGGTGAAAAGTTGCAATATACCGGAATATCATATGACGGTACATCGTTTTCGTGAAGAGCAATTACGGTACCATATCCTATTATTCAGTTCATTTGGGATTCAGTATCGTAGTGAAAAGTTAAGGTGATGCAGACTGCCCAAAACAAAACAATACAACCCGCTCATTAATACCTCCAAGTCGTTCCATCACACTCGCAACCAGCAATCCATGAATATCATCAGCTACTAGTACTCGCATTCCAGCATGTACGTTGGATGCATTCAGGATCATGCTCAATGTATCACCTCGAATATCTCTAAGGACGTGTCAGCGGAGAGTGAGAAAGTTGCAGATCATCATGTACTCTTCAGTGACAGTGATTATTTTGCATTGTCATCACTTTATACTTACTTGATCTTTGGCGAGTCTTCTTGAAAAAAGAAATCACAAAGAGTCTTTGCAGTCGGTAGTATTGGAACGAATGCCTTTGTGAACCTAGCAAAAAGTGTAGATTGAGTTTGTGCGGACTCGTTGTTTCAAAACCACACAAAGACTTACTTGGCCTGTTTCTTTTTGATGTATTTGGCCTTGGAGAACTCTGTCTTTTTCTCAAAGGTAGCACTGTTCTCCACCAATGACCTGATGACGTCCTGCGAAAGCAAGATGTAATAGAGGAAATGATTTCAGCTCATTCTGGAAAGGCATAGTGTCATTTTTTTGGCATCTAGCCAACACGGTACCTGCGACGACACTTGTCCTTTCAAACTGTCCCTTTTCAGTTCCTCGATATCAGCCTGCGATAGCTTTTGCGAAGTATCTCCAAGATCATTGATCTCTCGATTGTTTGCATCCTCAGCGGATTGAATGTCTGTTGCAGAAGGTAGTGTCAGCGACAGACAAAAAACGGACGCTCATGTACAAGCTATGATATAAATACCGTAAACATCTAAGGACATGACTTGATCACTGGCGACTCTTAACTGATCTCCATCGTATATCTCGTACAGAACACCGGCGTTGTTTCCAATCAAATCGTTGAATTTACAGGTTCCAAATTTGCCCATTTTGCAAGGACTATTACAGAGTGATCGGTGCATGTCAGTCGATGGAACATAAAGGCAACATGGATTCAAACATGGATTCCAGCTCTTTCGGCTTGCCTGTTTGCCTTTGCCTGTACTAGCTTTGTATTTCCACTTGGCATTCTTATAATCAGCCAGTTTCCAGCTCGAATCACGTCTGACGCTTCGTCTTCTTCCTCTTCCTGTTGCTCTATAGGCGTGTCCATCGCGTTCGTCATGGCTATAGGCTCCTGAGGTTCGTCTGCCATCACTTCCTTAAGCTAGATTCGCTGAGCAAAAAAAGAAGTTGAATGTAGCATTAGGCAACAGTGAGCTGCTCCTTTACAGATCTATCCCTTTAGATCTTCTTTGCATCATAGATTACACGTGCATCCCCATTTTTCAAGACGCAAATCGCGCTACGGCACCTCGCAGCCAATGTCCTCAATCCACCTCAACTCGCAGTTGCGATTGTTAGTACCGTTAGTACCGTAAGACGGAGGACCTGAGGAACTGCACCTTAGTATAGATACAGATCATGGAACGCGTAAGCTTGGTTGTTTACCTTTAACTTGACTGTCTTGCATGCTGCACCGACATCAAATTGCACATCAAATTCATCGTGATCATCTGTTTAGCATAGCCTACTAGGTACCATCAGTCGCAATCCACTCTACACAGTACTGCACTAGTAAGTTACTCTTCTTCTTATTCTTCAACTTGAAAGTTGCCACAGTAAGCATTTCACAATTGACGTCAAATCCCGAGTATGGATTCTCCATCAATTCTCAACAACAAATCAACGCATGAAATACTGTTTTTCAAACATTTTTCTTTGTAGGAAATATATGGATGACATCAAATGGAAAGGCATTCGATTGCCAAATGAAATCCTCCTTCATATCTTTCAGCTCGTTGCTACAAAACAACGATATCGTATCTACTTGAAAAGGACGCAACAGAAGGCCTTGTCTCGACGACTGGCTCTGGCTTGCAAAGGCTGCAACGAAACAGCTGTCCTGGAGCTGTATAAAACTAAGAGGACTGTAGACTTGATCGAACCTGATTGTGTCGATACTGAGGCCAGTCGTGTCGAAATACTTGTGGAGCTACGAACCTAACTGCATCACCAGTCTGGAATCTAGTATTCTTGCAATTTCAACAACGCAAGCGCGGTGTGTTCACACAATCATCTCTGGAATCTGTCGCCACACTCGAAATTTGTTTGTCTCAACTCGAGTCTCTGCAGAGACTGGCTTCATTTATAAATCTAAAGACACTCAAACTGTATTTGGATAATATCCCAGGCTCTCTATCTTCGATGGTATGAGCTGCGCGAGTCTTTTGACAGGCTCTTACTTTGGCTTTCCGCAACGTATATAGCGAAGAGAACGATATCGATGCTGCCACGTATTTGGAGTCATGGAAAAACTTGGATTGGGACACGATCTCGACGCACATATCAAACATAGCAGATCTCGTCCTACCTGAAGATTTCGGACGTTGTGTCTCACCGATTCTAGAAAATCTCAGCCTGTGGAGATTTCACTACTCGGGCTGCCATCAAGCCAGTGAAGACGACGACAATGTATGCATTATATCCACTACTCTGTTGGACGTATTAGCCAATAGCAGTGCCGCAACATTGTCTGATATTGGATTCACGCAGTACTCGCTTGAGAAGTGCTCTATGGAGCAGCTAGCACCATTCAAAGCCATAAACGACGTTTGGTTACGTAACGTCGTAAAGTATGAAGGGGTATTTAGCGGGCTGTCAGCGGACGTGAAGAAGTTTGATGCCAGTAATCTCTCTCCAGCTCAGCGGCCTTGTTTGGCAGTAGAGGCAATTATCGAGACCAACTACCAAACTCTGAAAGCGCTCGAAATACCTGATGATGACGACGAGCTGCCACCGTACACCATCGGTATTGTCACAGGCAGCTGCGTTGAAGGTTATTTTGTATGACGAGCCACCAAGTCAAGGAATCAAACCTCGAAACGTTTATAACGTATGATAGCCGTCAACTCAATAATCTCCGCATCCAGGATATAGAACAGGAACCACCCTTTCATTGATCCACCGTCGTGACCAAATGTCCCAATCTTACCTGTCTAAGGTTTGAAGGGGAACCCATATCTACAGAATTGGTACTAGATATTGTGTCGACGATGGTAGAGCTGAAACAACTGCGAGTCATCAACTCTGAAAAGCATTTGTGATATCAAGTTGCTGAAAGCTCTGAATGATCGCCACGCCATGGGCAACGTACCAATAAATGAACTTGGTCTGAGCTTTATTGGTGTATCAGGCGATTTAGTTACTGGTATTGAATTTAACTTAAGGATCTCGAGAATCAGCAGACGAAATATAAAGACGAGCCCAGTGAATTGAATAGGCTTACGAGAGAGGTTCTGTAGTAAAGCCAAAGGCCTGGCCACGATTCGGTATAAATCAGTCTTCGTTGTCACAGCAGAATAACTTTTAGACGGGCAAGAAGCTGTAAAACAAGAAGGTGGGGTTTGTCAAGCATAATGAGGAGTACAAACAGTATACATAGAGCAGTTGATGTAGCAGTCTAGATTCATATAAAAGAGCAAATGCTAGTGCACCTAAATATCTTGTTTCACTCGTTGCCTCACGAATGCGTCACTCGAACTGTCCCAACCTACAGAGTTGCAAACACGCAAAAAAAAAGATTCACACTACTGTGATCTCGAAAAAACAAAGAGAAGCAACGCCAACTGCAAAGTTCCTTTCTATGCTCTTCTTTATTTGACTATTTTTCTGTACAACATCATCTATAACGATGGAGCTTCATCTGGATCTCCTCCTTCACTATTACTTGGAGGTTGCTGCTGTTGCATCATCATACCCCCTGGTGGTCCATAATACAAGGGCTGTGATGGCGGCATTTTATATCCTGTATATGGAGCATACCCGTATTGTGGTGGAATGCCACTCATCTGATTTGGCACTAGTGTAGGAGACAGTGCCTCGTTGGTGACAATATTACTGTTACTAATACTACTACTTTGCATATTCATATTATTGTTACTGCCAACAGGCATATTGCCTGGAAACCAGACGGGGACTACTCCAGGATACATTACTGCTTGATATGCTACTGATCCATCAGCTTGCTGTATAGGTATGTAACCCATAGGAGCCTGTTGAGGCAGCATGTTCATACCGCCACCTATATATCCATGATTCATCTGTGACTGCTGGTAATCCTGTTGTTGCATTTGCATTTGTAAAGGTGGTCGATACTGCGGTGGTCGTCGATGCTCTTGCTGTTGCGAATAGTGAGATTGTTCGTTCGAGACACTCACAAATGGTCGAGTGGGTGTTGGTGGTAGAGGATGTTGAAGCGGAAGCGGATACTGCGGTCGAGGACGGGAGCCTTGATAACCTCTGGGCCTATTACTACCATTATACGGCCTAATATTTGACTGCGAGCCATCAGCTCGATACCACCCATTATCTACTGGTCGGTCTGTATACCGTCTTGTAGTTTGAGGCACTATCTGAGGAGCAGGCGGCGGCAATAAGCCTAGATCAGAAGCATTACCACTACTAACACTTCCAATGCTGCCATTCGCTGATGACGCAGAAGATGATGGCTCTCTAAATATTCTCTCTCGGGCACGATTATATTCCTCCAGTCTCTCCTCAAACTTTTGGTTTGCAGGATTAGTCGGAGACGGCGATGGTAATTGCGGGCTAAGAGGTTGATTTATAGAAGTATACTGCGACGAATTCGGCCTGAATGGAGTTGATACGGATTGTGGTCGACCATTCCTCTGCATGATTTGTACATTGGACTTGGCAGAGTCGTCGACAACACCGACAGGCGGAGGCGTGTCCACAACTATGGGTTCTGGATCCAGGGCTGCGATACTGGGATCAACTGGCGGGATGTCTCGCAATTTCAGACCAGGTCTATAGATAACTGTTGGTTAGTAGTGTATTCGAGCTTTGCAGAGGCTCGCAGCACTTGCTTCTCTGTTTCTGGAGTCTTTGACAGGATGACTGTCTTCATTCGATCAACGACATGCGTCAGTTTGAAGAAGGCAGCTAGTCGATGTACAATGAGCCTCTGATAGCTATTCAGTCCAGGATACTCCAAATTCCTCCTACATCGAGAGAGTTGTGTTGTGAGTAGAAATGTTGGTTCAACACTGAACACATTTGTAGTAGACCAAATCATGTGCTGTATATGCGAATCGATAGTTTCTGCCAAGACTCACTTGTCGAATCGAGTAACAAAGACTTCGAGTTCTCCTTCCACCTGCAATATGAATGGACGGTCTTTTGCCAATGTAACATTCTTCAATATAAAGGGATCAATTAATACACCTCGGAACTCGACTGGTTCCGGCATATCGGGGAATGAGACTTGGGAAGAGGAACGCGACATGGAACCATCAGCAGAGGAGCTAGAGAGAGCATCCGAATCAGATCGTTCGGGATTCCTTCGTAATATTTTTGGAGGAGCGGGGGGCAATGGGAATGGAGCGAGCGGGTCTCTACGTAATATCTCTCGTTGCTGTTGCTGTTGTTGTTGCTGTATGATGGTGTTTGGAAGAGGAGGGGCAGAGGAAGCCGACTCTGCATCTGGGAGTGAGGATGAGGTAGATACAGCAGATGATTCTCCAGCAGTAGATTCACTTAATCCAGCACTGTCTGCAGTTGGCGAAAGAGTCATGTTGTTTTGCATCGTGTTCTATTCAATTTGATGTATGTGAGTTTACAAGCTGTACAAGTCAATATAACAGCGAGCTAGAGCATCAGATATATATACATACACAGAGCTCCGACATGTCACTGTCACTCCCACTGGAGTTCATCGTGCTGCTGACACTCGCTGCTGAGACCACAACTTGAGTTGGGACTGCCACAATGTCTTTCTTGAATTAACAATTACTTGATGTTTTCTTTAGTATTTGTAGCTGCATACACAGCGCTTGAATGGCTATTATAACTTATATGGCAGTTCCTCTCGGTTTGAGGTGTGAGTTGCAATCCTTAACAAGGCAACAGCGAGGAGAGAGTCTGGCAATAGAAAACTCGAGATGATCAAGGCAGTCCTTATATTCAATAATCACGGGAAGCCGCGACTGATGCAGTGGTATCAGCAACTGGTACGTGATTTATCTGTATTTGAACACCCAACTGTTTCTATATATGAGAGCTAACGATTACAACCATCTGCTCATATTCAGGATGTGAATACTCAACAGGAAATGCTAAAAGAAATCTTTTCTTTGGTCCAGAAACGGCAAGTACTTCTGTCGTTGAAAATCGGTCAGTCATTTCAAGACCTAACACAACATTCGCGTCATTAGGCCAGACAATGTGTGCAATTTCTTGGAAGGAAGCGCTCTACTCGGAGGGAATGATACCAAAATAATATACAGGGCAAGTCAGTGTATACAATCACCTCCATGAACGAACTCGTTGAAACTAACCAAACCCCACAATCTTAGCATTACGCCAGTGAGTCTTTACATTGATGGGTTCGTGACAGGTTCCAATCTCGTATACTGAACCACACTTTGCTAGCTCTATACTTTGTCTTTGTCGTCGATTCAAGTGAAAGTGAACTGGGGATACTAGATCTGATTCAAGTACGATCGTTCAATGTGATCTCAGTCCGGCGTGCTCAATGGATTCTCATTTAGGTATTTGTGGAGGCTCTCGACCGGATATTCACAAACGTCTGTGAATTGGACTTGATCTTTAGACCAGACGACGTATGTGCACCTGCTGTTTGGATCGTGAGCAACGTCGGTCAAATCAAACTGACAGTCTAGTCTTATTAGATTTACGCAATGCTATCGGAAATAATATCAGGAGGCATGGTCTTGGAGGTAAAATCAATGCCCGTGTTGTCGTGGTTTTCAATCAAGCTCAACGTGTCGAGTTTTTCCAGACTAGTGTCCATGACATTGTTTCAATGGTCGACATCAAGAAGCCCAAGTAGATCTAGAGGCCATTCTTCACCTTTCGTCTTCGTACAATATAATCAGCTGAATCACTACACGAATACATACACACACACATACATACAAACCCAGGAATCTTTGAGAAAAACAGTGGCTTATCGCGCAGCGGTGGTATAGGTTGGCGTTTTGAAAGGTTTGTATTCTACAAATTGTTACTTCAAATTTATACACGATGTGTTTTCTACATTTTTACTTTACTTTCAGAATTGCCCCTCCTTTAATACCTGGAGTATGTTTGGGAGTAACGTAGGCGTCGATCAGAGACGAGAGGTCGAGGTCGACCACTTACACAGGGTTGGCACAGCTATCCGATTGAAACCTTTACCAGCCAATGCGAATCGAACTTGAGTTTTGTTTTCTTGCTTTATGGCTTATCATATTCTTTCGACCCTGACTCGTGCTTTTGGTTTTCTGCAATAATCACCTCAATGATGTCGAGTAGTATATCATTTGGCTAGCGAACGCCCTTCCAGTCGATATTAATATCATCCGTGACTTCTAACACATGATAAGATGTGAGAAAGTGACATTCGTTGCTTAGGGGAGCTTGGAGTGAAGCAAATTCAACAACTCTTGATTTGACATCAAATGTTGCATGTGTCCTGTTGGCGATGACGACCCGACGAACACGAACTTACCAATGCAATATATAGAGACTGACTCGCAATTGATGGACATTTTTACACATGTTGAGACCACTTGGCAATCAGCTCTAGTTGTAAACGTGAATCTTTGGGCTTTGAGCTTAAGATGTCGGTTCGTGAATAAGAAGAAGGATGCAACTTACAAAATCGAAATGAGTATAATGCATTTATGCGACTATTACCTCCTAGTTCCTCCACCAGTTCCACTTGTTTGAACAATCAACAACTGCAATATGACAGCTTCACGTTCAGTAATTCCTGTTTTGACTAGGAACCGAAGCATGCACGCGTAGTACACGTATACAAATCGTTGATTCGTCTTGAGGTCTACAGCTGACTTGCACCTTGTTACATTATCCAACAAATCACGAAAATTCTGTCGTAACTTCAACAAGGATGTATCGATTACGGCTTTTGGGGAGCAGCCTAAGCAGGCGGTCAAAGCAATATGCAGCTAGAACATATACCAGTGCTCCCGCTAAAGACTTGATTCAAGCACCAGGTCGAGAAGCAGTTTGGAGTGAACATCAAGCGAAAAGGGCTGATGCCATGGTTGGTCCAAGGTATAGTGAGACTGTTAAATACCAACCTGTAACAAGAGTATACCAACGTTTATATTATCCTTATCCTCCAGGTTTGAACAGACAAGGATGGAAGCACAGGTGAAGACATCAACCCTTTGTTGAACAGAAACGTTGGACTATATTGAACTTGTTCTAAACATATTCAAATCTTAGCCAAATCCACCAGCTGCTATTGAAATGATTCATAAAGTCCCTATTACTGTGGTTGAAACAAGAAGGGTTTGCTGTGATGGAGGTTTGTGAATTCGCCAATTGTCTTTGGATAGTACGACACCAATTGTGATTTCATGCATGGTAGGAGGAGGAGCATTGGGTCATCCCAAAGTGTATATCAACCTGGTAAGTTATCCGGTATCGCAAGAGTCGTCGTCTGTCCTTGAATGCGAGAGTTTGTATTTGTTATTTGACACGACCCTCTTGTAAACATTATTTTTAGGATCAAGGCATTCCGATAGCTTGTGGTGAGTCTTACTACGTTTGTAAAATATGATACTTGGCTGATGCAAATGCTTTGATAGGATACTGTGGACTCAAATACCAAATGAGCACACATCATTGAGAGGAATCCATGTTCGTTCACATAAGAATATTACAAAAGAGAACAGTCAAACTAATACAAGTAAAAGCTCTCCAAAGCTCTCTATAACTACGTCAACACAGATTATGTTATCAGCACCACAATGAAAGCAGAATGTTCCTGTTGAAACAAACACCCCATTGACATTGCGCTGCGTATATCAGTACTGAGCATCCATGCTTTCTATACTCTTTCGAATACTAGCCAACAATTCAGCCTTGACGTTTTCTGGTACCGATGCTATAGAAGAGAGTTTGGGGAATAAGGAAGATAGTCTTTGAATAAATACATTTAAACCAAACAGAAATCCGTATGTTGAATGGTTTACCTCGTACTCGTGGTGTTATTTCAGCAACTAGAGATTCTACCGTGACATTGGCCAATCCCTTCTTTTTGATCACGTCTAGATACATGGCAACTGTGAGTTCTTCAAGTTTTTGGAAAGCGAGTTCTGTGCACGCACCTTGACAGTATATCTTGAGATCATCTCTCCATCCTGATTCCGCTAGCCTTTGCCGTAATCTCTGCTTGAGCCTAAGCAAGAAAAGGGTGAAGTTAACATCGTTGCTTTCATCTTTGATGATTGTTTGGTCTGACTCAATTAAATATAACAGTGACGAGACTGGTGATCAGATCATATCAATGGATAAACTTACCTATCACGCTCTCCGCTCCTTGCTAGCTTTTGTTCGATAGTTGCCACATATTGTTGTCTAAACGACGTTGCAGTTATTCGTTAGTGATTTTGCAGCTTATGTAACAATATGAAAAACCAAGCTTACTCGTCCATATCGTGTACCTACAGCCGCGAACGAGTGTTATGACGTCAGTCTCTTCAAGACGCGGATGGTTAGTCTTGAATCCCAAGCATCAAAACTGGCCTGAAACGACAATGCGGATTCCAATGCAACTCCAACAATAATATGTCCTCTATACGCGTCCAAATAGTCCAAATATGTAGTGTACTGTTGTAGAACTCCAAAGAGTATGCACAGCAGCAAGAATCACGTCGCAATGAATCTATTTCTGATCATTATCACGTCGATCCCACGATTGCAGACTCTGACTACTTTCTAGACGTCTGTTTCCCGCAGTTCAAAGCTGTCACATCATCTTCATTGAACTCTTATTACCGCCGAAAATCCAAACTTCATTCATTCTTTACATCGCCAAAAAACTTGAAAGGTCGTTCAACATTCAACTCTATATTCCAATAGGATGAGCACATTCGGAAGTCTATACCGCATCACGACATTTGGCGAGTCGCATTGCAAGGCTGTTGGAGTGGTCGTCGATGGAGTTCCTCCTGGTTTGTCAATCACTGAAGACGACATCCAACCTCAACTCAGCAGAAGACGACCTGGTCAAAGCGCACTCACTACTCCTGTAAGCATGACATTGCATTGAAAAGTGCATCACGCTGGATTGTGCTGCTTTTCATTTCACTGTCGAGTCATCATCAAACCCAGCGTTGCTCGCTTTTTTGTCAACGTCAGAGCTAACACTCTTCATTCCGTTCACGCCAGAGAGATGAAAAAGATCGAGTCGTCATCCTCTCAGGCACCGAAAAGGGCTTCACTCTCGGAACCCCAATAGCAATGAACGTCCCCAACGAAGATCAACGTCCTCACGATTATGGTGAAATGGACTTTTATCCACGTCCTTCCCACGCTGATGTCACATACCTCGACAAGTACGGCATCAAAGCCTCATCTGGTGGTGGGCGATCATCAGCTAGAGAAACTATTGGTCGTGTAGCTGCTGCTGCAATTGCTGAAAAATACTTGAAGGTCGCTACTGGGTTTGAATGTGTTGGATTTGTATCTTCTATTGGCCATGTAGACATGTCGCCGGATTTCCACGAGTCTGCTAATTCGGCTATGGTCGCTACTAGTGGTAGTAATGGGGCTGCAAAGTCGGTGAATGAACGTGAGGCTGCGTATGTGGCCAGATGGAGTGCTTGGTGGAAGCGTTTGGCTACGGTTACGAGAGCTGATGTGGATAGTAATGAAGTTAGGTGTCCTGATGCTGAGACGTGCAAGAAGATGCGTGAGGTCAGTGGACAGGTTAATTGAGTAACAGTCGTTTTTTTAAGTCGACGTGCCGAAACTCCAACTCAACGATAAATATACATATTTTTAGCGAGTCGTGCAGGCCAGAGATGCACACGACTCAATTGGTGGCACTGTGACTTGTATCCTACGAAACGTTCCAAAAGGGTTGGGTGAACCATGTTTTGATAAACTGGAAGCCCTACTCGCTCATGCCATGCTATCTATACCCGCTACCAAAGGATTTGAAATCGGATCTGGGTTTGCTGGTACAAATATTCCAGGTCATTTACATAATGATGCTTTCGTGAAAAAGGTTGATGGGAGTTTGGGTACTGTTACCAATTTCTCTGGTGGTATTCAGGTATGTGTTTTCGTAACCGTGCCGAGTCTGTATTGTAGAGAAAGATTTGTCGCACTGTAGTGGTTGCAATGCACAAACTTGGCTGCAGTATATTTGTCGATTGAAACATGACGATTCTTGAACCTTGATCATAGTCTTATGCTTTATCTCTATCTAGGGCGGTATTTCAAATGGGGAAAATATTTATTTCAAGGTCGCCTTCAAACCAGCAGCAACGATCTCGCTTCCACAGAACACAACTACTTATGACGGCACTGAAGGTATATTAGCTGCCAAAGGACGTCATGATCCATGTGTACTACCACGTGCCGTACCCATCGTTGAAGCTATGGCTACGTTGGTTATAATGGAGTAAGTTCCTATGCGTTGCTTAGTTTGAACGGCTCGTTTTATGCTGTCCATATGAAGCTAGAACATCACAGCTCACACCAACTTTGTTTAGTGCCTTCTTGTTACAACAATCACGAATAGCTGCTGCTTCAAGGATACCGCAATCTATTAAAGATGCTATTCCGCCTGTATTGAAGGGTGAGCTGAACAAGGTTCTCAAGAGGAAGGAACGTGATGATTAAGGAGAGCTTATATAGAACGAAAAAGCAAACCTTGTCTAGAAGAACTCTTTGTTGTGACAATTATTTGTTTGCATATTTTGGATAGACGTTTCATCTGCATCATCCTTTCATTTTTTTGGGGGGTCAGCTTCAAGAACTTAGAAGAGTTTGCGCTTGCCAACCTCCACTTCTATTGCTTCGAACACATGCCAACAACGCCATCAAGACTCAGCTCCCATCCTTGATCTGTTACACGTAAAAACAGGCCTTCGCAGAAGTTTAAGTTTGGAAGGTTCCATTTTTTTCGTCTGTGGTCATAAGAATGTTTGGCGTAATATCCGGTTCCGGTTGATCCGAGCAAAAGCCCCTAGCTACTAGCACATGCTAATCTACATCTCGTCTGTAAATTAAAGAATATCTGGGTCATCTAGCAGTGTTCTCAGACTCTGTAGCAAACGCAGCAAGTTTAGTTCGGGCAAGCTTGAGACTTTGGGTCGAAGGTAGGATGCAACAAATTCAGATTTTGCTTATCCTTGCTATATTTGAGCTCAATTCCAATATCAAAATCATACAAGGTTTCTGGTCTCAGAGATATATTCACACGCTATGGAAAGCACTAGTTCTTCGACGAGTTCTTTTTCGCCATCATCAGAGACTGCAAGGTCACCATTACACCCTCCAGAAGCATACACCTGTCCTCGTAAACCTAGGCAACGAACACGAGCCATTCATGTATCTGTCGACGAGATACCAAGTCTACTCGATAGACTGGGACGTTTATCAAATAACTTGTCACCGACAGCAATGATAAAACCGAACCATTTTGATGCAACTGGAACGTGAACAGTAAGGCATTATGTGTCTGTAACGGATGTCGTTGATTATGTCTCGTGTACCCCTGGAAAGCTTCTAATCAGTAGTCAAAATCAATATTGCAGTTCTGTAGTCGCCCAATAGTGTTTTAATAACCATCTTACGAGAATATCGATGCATAATGTACCTTTATATATCCAAATTATCGTACACCATAAATATGTTGGGTTTTCTTCACATGCTTGCTTTGGTTGGTTCTGTCGAGTAAACAAAAGGTAGTGTGGGTTGTAAGCGAGTGCCATTAAAACCGAGCTCAAGGAAAGGAAGATAATTGAAGAACGCATTTACATTTTACAATCAATTCAACCTTTTTGGCTGATCTTCACAAGCTGCGAGCCTTCATTCGATGTCAAACCGACGATTGCGGCATTTCGTTTTTTGTGACGGAAAGACGCTCTCGCGTTAAACAGAACGCAAGAACCCGAGACAGTCTTAGAATATCGACTGCAAGTCGTTTAAGACCTTGAAAGATTCAATAGACTGCATAATCAAAAGCAGTGTTTGGGTGTCGGGTGTTAACTTTTTAAAGAAATGACTCGAACACAGGGCTTTTCAAGTTCTCGAGAGACCAAAGATGTCAGAGAACTGAGTCACAGAACGGAATATCTATTCGTTAGTTGCAATTAGAGCTTTTGGTAGATGGATCTTGGATTCGAATCTTCAACGTTTGGAATATCGGCACCGTTTTCCGTTTGTGCCCTTTTGAAAAACACGGAGCAGAATAGCAAACCGGGACCTTAGTGTAGCCATTCTTTGGGATATCAGCACAAGATACTGTGAGAGACAGCATGTTTGTTTACTACAATCGTCGACGCGATCAAGCCGACGTGACCTTGAATTACAACCACTGCCAATCTCAACATGATGCCAAGCGCCAAAAACAAGAGTTCTGACTCGCTGAGTCAGCCTCGATCACACTTTGTCAAAAAACTTCCCACGTGAAAGATCAAGGCGCCAGTGCAAGATAGCAATTATTCTCCGTATATCGATTTCCGCCCTTTCGCAAATATCCAGTCGTCAAAAGCAACTAGGGAGCTTTGACGAGAATTGCGATCTGGTTAGTCCGAGATGTCTTGGTCTTCGCATTTCCCCCTCGTGCTAAATCTAAACTCTCAGCACTTAAAATTGTTAACAAACTCTAAGATCTAGACCACTACCGACTCAATAACGAGCATACAATGTGAGCTTCGTTTTCCTACTATGGTTGACGATACTGTCTAAAGGATTGGCTGACATTTCACAGCACTTTACAGAAACCCTTGAGCTTGGATTTTGAAATCTGTTATGGATACCATACACATAAAACCAGCGCGGACGAGGCCACTACAATATACAGACACTCGGAAGCCTAGGCAGCGCACAAAAGCTGTTGAAGTTGCTGTCAAACACGTACCGGAGAAACTGGAATCGCTGCAACACTGGGCAACAACTTCAACTGCAACCTCGATGATAAAAGCAACGTGTCATGCTGTGTCAGGCACATAATGTACTTATGGGCTCGATCTGGAACGTCTTTTATCATCTCTTATCACCGTATATATCAACATTCGCATCACGTGAAAAACACAGTCTAGTAGTAAATATTTTCGTAGTTTGTAAATAAAGTCATCTTAGTCTACATCAATACATGAATCGACAGTCTAATGGTATAAAGCTGTCCAATTCTTCACATGTGTGCTGAGTGTTTGTCCACCTTGTTTTACCGGATGGAGAAAGTGTGGTGGCATGTCAAGGCATCTAGATGCATTGACACAAATATCAATCCACCAAAAATGTAAACATCATTTGATTGCTGTGCAGGTAATTGCGAGACACGATCGTCTTCCAATTGGTCATATCCATCAACTGCTTCTTCATCGAGCAACTCTTAGAGCTCTATGGACTGCTCCAAAGTCTATTGCGGCGAATTCGTTTTGGGAAATTCCAGCAACGGATCATGTCAACACATACTGGGAGAGACACAATATGCATAGCCGAACGCCTCGGTGATCATATCCGTCATGCAGCAGCTTGTTAAATGCAGAAAAGGAGGTCTTTGGGAGGATGGTCTTTCGTCTTTAAAATAAGGCGACTTTTGCATAACTCGGAGGTGTCTTTTTTTGGTGTTTTCAAGAGTCTAGACGAAGACTTAGTCACGAATAATGCCATTGCATGTTCTAGAACCTTGGTGGAGAAGCTCTGTCTCGTGGATGCCATCATCAACCGATGAAACGTACTAGCAGGTTGTGTTGCAAGGTCTGGACTGCTTTTTCTTTTGTCAAAACATGGGCGCGCGCATGTCTTCTTCTGAGAGAGTTTACAAAAGAATTAATGAACATTTCATTTGTCATGACACGCACGCTCTTGACATGTCTCGTATCTCTTGTTGGTTACCATACTTTATTTTTGCTTGCTCCACAAACCAACCGCGCACACAGTTCCGAAAGCATGACATACAAGACTTTACGTAGTCCCATTATCCCTCGCCACGATCCCCGGCATGGAGAAAGCAGAACGACGATGCGCACGACGCTCCACCTGAATCTGGAACTGGCGATATCCGACTATACCCGCAGCTATCAAACCAACAACAGCAGCAATCACAATGCCTATAATTCCACCTGTAGAGAGCGGTGCACCTCCCGGAACAGGAGATCCGTTGATGGCGATCTGATTGGATCAGTGCCGGTATGTTGCGTAAACGAGTTTGAAGAAAGGCGAGAGGCAGTACTTACTTCTGCGACATTCATCTGACACGAAGTAGCAGGCGGAATCGGGACTGTATTCCAAGTAAACATGACTGATTGGACGTTTGTTACGGTGTTGAGATCGGTGAATTGGCATGTCGAGTTTCGGACATTTACACCAGCGTCAACAATCATTGCGTCAGTGCAATTGATGGGCACGTTCGTGCCGCCATTGATTGTTAATACGGGACCATTGACACCTTATATGAAATGCGGGTCAACCTTTCGTTTCTGCGTTTGATTTCAAGTTTTCGAGAATTGTTACCTGGAAAGCTGATATTGCCTATACTTCCATACTCAACATACCATGGATTTTGCAGAGTGTACCCAGAATTTAAAGCAACAGCAAGCCTTTGTGCGGAAATGTTTGATTAGAATCCCAATGTCACATCACCAACAAGTGAAGGAACGTCTTGTCAAGCCCCTCAATGCAAAAAAATCTCAAACATGCACCACTGAGGACCACATTTTGGATCAGCAGCTGACTGCCAGAATGAGAGATCTTCCTTTGTCGCCATATTGCCATTATCATTCAAGTTGGATGGTTTGCAGAGATTCCCGACACATCCGGGAGAGGTAGTGTCGGTAGAAGATGCCGTGGCGATACCACCTACAAGAATATCCATGGCCTTGATTTCTACTTTTCTGCTGGTTCCGTTCGTTGAAATGATTCGAGAACTGGTTGTAGACATAAGGAATCATGTACGCCTCGAACGATGAAAATTCAGTCACTTGTTCTACGCGTCAGGCAACGCGCTTCCCGACTTGGAAGTAGCAGCTTGGGTTTCTCATCTCTTCGAGGCCCTTCAAACAATTTGAGCATCATGGCGACAGTGAATTCAATTCATCTTGAACAAACACCTGAAACTTGATCCAGACCATGTCTAGATTTTTTTCTATCCGTCGTATTCTTGAGACAAAATGTACAATACTTTTAGTGTCGAGACTGGTCCTTCAACTTATTTGGAACCTGGTTTGGATGATGATGAAGTTGGAGCAGCATCTTCAATAAGCTTTTTGTCTTCAGCAGCCTTCTTCTCGTCAGCATCAGCCTTCTCCTTTGCGATTTCGACGACATCACTCTTCTTTTCAGCATCTCGATTGGCAATCTTGTCTGTTGGTGATAGTGAGGAATGGAGTTTTAGCAGTTTCCAAGTTTGTTTATGAAGAAAGCACAACATCAACGTTTCCGTAACATCTTCATCATTTGACCTCATTTAACAAGACACAAAACAAACTTTTGTTTCCAAACTGTGCTGAATACTTACTATCAATCAAGTTATGCAAAGCAATAACACCACGAATCAAAGAGGACAAGTAGATAACCAACAATTCATCATTGGTCTTGATAGAGAAGGCCGTAGATACATCCTGTACATTAAGATTCGGTAACAAGTTGAAGATGTTTTGCAGATTGTATACAATCTGATGATTTATGGGTAGTGTGCCATCAACGACTTTTGCCAAGTATGTTTTGATTTCTTCTAGATTGTGTTGTAGACCCTTTAAAGAGTTTAGTTGGTTTGTTATTCTGGTGGCGAGGGTTCCTACAGCATTGTCTTTAATGTCTCGTAGCAAGTGTTCTACACCGATTTCTTCTGCTTCTTCGGCTTCAATGAGAGATGGGATGTGGTTGAAGGTTTTGGTTGTTGCGGTACCGTCCTTGTAGAGTTGAGTATTTTGTGATTGTTAGTCAAGTGGGGATGCAAAGTGATGTCTGGAGTATCGGAATGCAACTCTCAAGCACCTCGCCCATTTGGCAAAAAGGACCAGATGACCAGCGAAATAGAAGCAAGGAAATTGGCGTATGCCTTGAATTGCATCGTGACACGCAACCCACACACACACGCAAGTCGTCTTCCAGAGCACTTACATCATGAATCTCCTCGACAGCAAAGTAAGCATCAGTAGGGATGCCGATATCGTGTGGTTTTACATCAATGATGACCAATACGGGGTTTGGAGTATATCGTTTAAATAGTTCATTGATTTCGAGATCCGAAGGACGTAGTTTTGGACCAGAATGATACCAGCCAATCATCTTTTCCCTTGCTATAGAGAGATGTGAGTGAGTAAGTGATATATGTGCGCAAAAAAGCCACATCCTGGTATAATGCTATGCCTTTCTCAACCAGACGTGGTCAAGGTTGAATACTTGCCATTTACTTTTTTGAACATGTCGTTCAAGTTTTCGTGATAATTGTGATCTAGAAACCATACCGATGGATCTCGTTCGTCTTCTTCGAATGGAACTAGGGTGCGAGATGTGTGTTCAAAGGTCGAATGTCAGTAGAATGCATTGTAATAGCTGCAGTAATGCAATAGCTTGAATAAATGCACAATAATAATCCACATGCGTACCAGCATAGCTGTTTGCGACATTGACCTTTCCCTGATTCCATTGTCCGAGGAGGACACCGACAACTCTCTTTTTGGTATTCTTTGCAACTCGATTGTAGTGGTCGACGACCGACAGCAGCACCAGCGGATGGACTGTCACCGACTCGGGCTGCAATTGCACCATGATGGCTGTATATCTGGATTTATATACGGTACCTTGTAGGTTTTGAAGTCTGAAGGTTGACGCGTCGTGTGGTCGACTGCATGTAGGAAGAGATACGAGCCAGGGATGCGAGGAGAGAGCATTCATGTACGCGTGTATTATATGTACAAATTATATTCCATCTTCAAATTATAACGTTGCAAGGCTGGTTTAAGAAAGGAGCAAAACGACAAGTCCCCTCAACGAATTGCTTTTTGCAGAAGAGCCCTGACAACCAACATTTCAACCGTGGATGCGATCAGTCTTCCAAAGCTTAAATCTATTCAGTAAGTCCCATCATCATTCCATTTGTCACTTGCTTGGATCTACTTCTAATCCTAACATGGTGCTCGCTGCTTAACATACATTAGGAAGCCTGCAATGTCGGAAGAACAAGCATCAATTCATTACTATTCCGCACTATTACTATTAACGGAATTGATCAACTTGTCTACATCACCCAATCCATCATCGAACGCTTCATCACTACAACATGCTCTCGCAGCATCAACTCTGAACGAGATCAACACAAACAACACCCTTCTCGACACGGATCTACTACTTTCTCATCTACATTCTAAACAGGTACATACTGGGGTAGTAACTTACCTGATTCGTCGTCATGATCTGCAGGAGCTTTGTTGTTCACACTTCACACCCTCTTAGACCCAAAACGATACAAAAAGGCTATATACAGAACTGGAAGCTGCCTTCGCAAAGAACGCTGCCACTATATCTTCATTTGCTACCATATGGCTGCAACATCAACCACAGCACCACACTCTTCCACAAGCAACCATCACCAAAATCAAGGCTATAAATGCCAACAAGAAGGCTGAGGAAGAACTACAGTTACAGGTCTCTCAATTGTATTCCAAGTTTGTTAATGTAAGCAGGGAGTTGATTCGCTGGTAATATGGTTAAAACCTAATTACTTCCATACAGACGATGTCTCTGATATTACAAGAGTTGGCTAATAATCAACTAGTCATACTGCGAGATCATGCACCACATGTATTGAATGCATTCACTAACTATCATGAAGGTGTGATGAGGAATGCTTCCTTGAAATTGAGGTAGGGCCCAATAATCTGTGTATTCTTTGCGCTCCCAAATCTCTGATCTTGAACGTAATCTCCTGGTATATAGATGTCTGCGTCTTGAAATACTTCTCAAGACATACAATCCTGTCACAGTCAAAGCCCTCAAACATAAAATGTAAGCTTGCTTATAATCTAATCTTGTGGTGTTTTATTGCTCAATGGTTTCTCTTAACAATCCAACCTTACCTACGTAGAACCAAACTAGAAGAAACCCGAAACGAAGTTGAATTCATGCATGCTGCTACAAGGAGTCATCTAGAATCATTTCAGGATTTGGGAGACGAGTTTGGCGAAGTCGTTGCATCCTATTCGACCATTCTGTCACATATAGATAAGGTTGCGGATGAAATAAAGAGACTTGCCAAGTAAGGACAAGATCAGGAAGTTTTGTGTAACTACGAGTTTGGTCAGTCGAAAGCTATATCAACGAGAGCAAATGGGTTTTGTTGGGTCCAATATCGAAGTACAACGGCCAGATTTTTTGGTGCGGAATCTTTTGTAGTCGAAATGAATCTATGCTTTCTTGAACATTGTGGTAGTGTTTCGGATACGATATTATGTCAACTTGTATTGGTTGACCTCTGACCCATCTTTCGTCACCGACACAGTTGTTTTTTGTTGATTTTACATACGTATCCCTTAAACTTCTGAGACTCCAAGGCAAAAAGAAACTGGCCATCCGAAATTCTAAATTCATTCCAACTTGCCATTCAAGCTCGACTTTGAAGGACTTGATAGTATGGTATGGTATGAAGAAATACTTGCTTGAACGATGGTACTTCTTGCAGAAGGGATCATAGGCCACCAGTCTGAACGTTCCTCTCCAACGGACGAAGCCACTGACACCAAGTAATATTGGTTGATGACTCCACTGTCAGGAAGTTTCAATTATGCCCTAGTATCTAAAAATATTTCGTGCTCAATACACGAATATTGCGATGGAGGACAGTGGCTTCTCGTATGGGAGTGGGAATTTATAGTTTTTTCTGATTGGTTTTTTTTCTGTTTGATACTCTAACCCATCCTTTGTCACAGGCTATCTCTACCGTGGAGTTTGCTCTTGATGAGCATTTCTTACTCCGTGACTGCTGCTGCAGTTGAAAATGTCCTTGTGAGAGTCTGGACAATGAAAGAACGAGGAGCACGTTCATCTCGGAGTTGAGCAGGGTTTCCCAAGTATAATGAGGAGGATCGTGAAGAATTGGCTCCTGACTGCTCTGGACCGAATGGTTGAGGATTTGCAGAGATCTGCTTGGCTGAAATAGGTATGAAGAAAGCACAACAGCCAATGCGTTCTCATTCTGTGCACCCAAAGTTTTGGTTTGCTGTTAGTCTAGCTGTGGAGTCATCCTTTCATAAGAGAATTCATCACTCTTTCAAAATCGGCAAGCTGGCTAATGGTCAATTGGTATGCACCTTGCACGACATGCATTGAATGAATTGACAAGCTATCATAAAGGTTGGATGAGAAATCCTTCCTTGAAATATGACGTATGGGGTAGCCATAATCTCCTTTTTTGGTGCCCCTTAAAGAGAGATGCTCAAACTGCGATCTTCTCGACGATGCGCTTAGATGTTTTGCGTCTCGAAATGCGTGTGAAATGCCTTTCAAGATACCCAATGCAAGCACGGTTAAAGTACTCAAACAGAAAAACGTGGGTTCACCTGTTTTCATCAAATCTAGGTTTTTACGCACACTCTCTGTCTTGAACACTCCATCCTTTCAAACTTGAGTCAAATAAGAAAAGATGAGAGACCGAGAATTCAGGCATACTGCTACAAGCGGGCATTTAGAGTCTTTCCGGATTCGAGAATTAACTTGGTGAAGGCGTTGCAGCATGTACGTCTTTCACATACATAGACAAGGTTGCTGATGGGAACAAGGAGGATCGTTCGAGGAAGGACGAGATGAGCCTGTTAGAGCTGCGTCAAACGAGTTGGTTGGACCGAATCCACCAGTATTGCGTTCTAGTTTTTTGGTCCTAGGCAATTGCGAACACCACAGCTAGCGTGAACATCCAGATATGAGCTGCTTGCAAGTGCCCTTGAGAAATTGCCTTTGGCGGATCTGAAACACTCCAACTGCGGCGTCGATTTCCTCTCTAATTCTAGCTTCCATCATTCCCTACTACGGGCAAAAAAGCACCAAACAGAAATCACGATACAATTTCTGTCCAACTTCATTTCCCCAGCTTCGAAAGTCACATGTTGATTTGATGGGTGTTGGATGGGTTGAGTGTATTCGGGAACTATATACTACAGAAATACGGTGTTGCTTCTCAAACGACGGTACCACTTGCAGAAGCAATCTTGGGCCACAAGTCTGCACATTCTTTTCCAACGGGACCAGTAATAGCAGAGCCCTTCATTTCACCCTTTGGGTTGACAATCACACCTGCGTTGTCTGATAAATGAAGTATAGGAGAGGACGAGAAAGTACGTGTGAGTACAATGCTTTTATAGTGGTGACTTTTTTTGGTGCATTCTAAATTTTACCTTCAAAGTAAAGGTATACACCATCCCTTCTGCGCCATGGCTTTCGTTGTCTGATGACGACAGCGGGCATAACTAGTGAAATAATATCTTAGAATCAGAATACAAAAAAGCACATTTATCGCCTATACACACCCTTCTTTCTCAATTCAGGCTTTCCCTTCTTGACGGTAGCCAAGACCATATCACCGACACCGGCAGCAGGTAGACGATTCAGACGACCTTTAATTCCCTTGACAGCCATAACATACAAGTTTTTGGCACCTGAGTTGTCTGCACAATTCATGACGGCAGCGACTGGGAGACCCAGAGTCATTCTGAATTTGGTACCTGTTGAACCACTTCGTCCTGTATAGAGAATGTAATTGTTAGATATGTGGTATATGGGTGTCTGGGGTCATATGTTGTGAAATGTCTGGGTGAATGTTTTTGGGAGGCAGATGCTTCACATCCATCCATCACATTTTAATAAGATGAATGGGTCCAGGACAATAATAGATCATGTATGTAATATCCCGATGTATTGATAAATCCACTCCTCTCTGTCCTCTTGTGATGGTCAAGCTTAACCCAACGTTGTCGTTTACGTCCAAATTGTCACTGGTTTTCCGGCAAGCACATAGTAAACCAATAACAACGTCCTAATACAGTCGACAGATTGACAGACGATGCACACTCTAAACGTTCACTCACCTCTTGCTGACATGGTTGGTTTTTATATTCACAGTCTGTGAGAATGAAGAAAGGTGTTTGGTTGTAGAGCTCCCTTCATGCGAAAACAAGCCACAAGCTTCTCTACTCCAAAAAACATTCATCTAAGCTTATAGTCTACAAAGATGGTCAAGTTCTTAAAGCCAAACAAGGTGTCATCACCACTGCATGCATCATGCATTATCTATCTCCTTCTTGGTTGTTTTTTGTGCATCAGTACAAGCTAACACATTCACCTACAACTAGGTTGTCATCATCCTCCATGGAAGGTATGCCGGAAAGAAGGCTGTCATTGTCAAAAACAGCGATGAAGGCACCTCAGCAAGACCCTACCCACACGCCGTCGTCGTCGGCATTGAAAAATATCCATTAAAAGTAAACAAGACTATGGGCCAAAAACGTATTGCAAAGAGGAGCATCGTAAAGACTTTTATCAAAACCATCAACTACAACCATCTGATGCCAACTAGGTATGTACCAAGGATGTGGGATGATGTGGGATATGACAGAGTTGTTATGTTAAGGGTGACTTGGCAGTTTCACACTCTATCATCCACACTTCCTCCAATCTATACTTCTGCAGCACTCTAACTCACTCATCCTACACAGGTACAACCTCGACATTGACTTGAAAAACATTGTCACCGCCGAAGTCGCAAAGGAACCATCGCAACGTGTCGAGGCCAAAAAGGCAATCAGAAAGCTCTTTGAAGAACGTTACAACTCGGGAAAGAACAGATGGTTCTTCCAAAAACTCCGTAAGTAGATTCTTCAGATAGTCTAGTTAATTAGATGAAGGAGTTGGATGTCGGACGTGTCGGTGTCGCGACATACATCTCTAGAGGCTTTTCGTTTCTTGCAATGACCGTGGCTCACTCTCATTACTTTCTGATACAGGATTCTAAGCTATAAAAGGAAAGGGAGGAGGATTGGTCTTGTACGTATACATATAGTGGGCCCCAAAATAAAAAAACAGAACCATTTTTTGCAGCAATCACAGTCTTTGTCTTGACTTTGTTGTCGTGGACGTATACCGTTTGCAACTACTCTTTTCTGTCGATCAGATCTCACACATCTTTCACACGTGTTTTTGATTTGGTGGCAAGAAAAACCTTCTTGACAGTGCTCTCATGAGAAAGCTTAAAGAACACCGTCTTGTTAAACAAAAAGCTATGTCTCCTCGGTCTTGATCAGTCAAAGCAGATCTGTTGCAAAAAAAATAAAAAATAAAAAACTACAGACACTTTGGTAATATGCAACAACGATTCTTTTTTATTTATCTATTAACAGCATTGAATGCAACACCGGCCCCCACATCCTCTTGTTGACAACTACTGGTTTTGAACCGCAGCATATACGTCTTGAGCCCAAATACCATAAAGTGCTGCATATGCAGGTGCAGAAGGTGACGCTCTTGGATTCGTCAACTTTTCATCTCGGAGTGCTTGACGAGCATGTTCAGTCAGCAATGTCTAAACGTGAAAGAGAGGGTGAAAAAGAGAACATTGACAGTTTGGACACGACATATTCTCACAAACACGACATACCTTCAACGCATCAAAACACTTTTGAGCTTCATCCTTCTTAATCCCAGCAGCCTCATTCAAATCAGGTTGCAATACCAAATCACCAAATACATTGACATGTGGGATTATAACGACCTTGACAGTCTCTTGTCCTAATTTACCCAGTCCAACTATGGCTCCATAATGAGATTGTCGTGGTTTTAGCGCTTCAAGATATGTTCGCAATAGCGTCTTTGTGATTCGTGGTTGGATGGTAGCATATGTTGTAGAGTATGTAATGCATATGTGTGATAGGAGGGCGGCAGAGTAGTCACGTAATGCCCAGTGATTCTCGGTTGGGTGTTCAGAGAGTCGTTTGCCGACTAGACATGTCATGACTATGGGGATCATCTTGTGGAGCTAAGAGAGTAAATATTTGGTGGCAAGTTGTCAATAGTGATGTTTTAAGTCAGAAGTTTTTTGGGTCCGAAAACATCCAAGCTCGCGAAAACTTACATATGGTTCAACGAATAAGTTAGGGTTTGTAAAGAGTGCACGCATCAACCTCATCATGGACCACAACACATCCAGCTTTCGAAGGTTCTTGGTCACCTATAATATTCAGGGCCAACAAAAAATTTAATCCTTCTTTGCAAATACGTACTCACTTTCAAAAACTTATAATCTCTCTTACCGTCTCTTCAATAAACTCGACAAAATAAGGTATTAGAGCCTGCAACCCTGGATCTTCAGCTATACCCGTCGTGGCCACTTGTCGTAGTTTTTGATCATCACCCAATAAGAATTCTGTAACCTTTTCGAAATAGACTTGTAATTCTCGTGATAACGATTGTTTGATTGTGGGTGCGTTTTCGACTGTGGTTGTGCCATTTGGTTCTGGTTTAGTGATCACTCCTGTTGTTTTCAGACTTGCTGCTTTCAATTCTGTTTGTAAAACAATGGTTGCAGATCATTTAAAGAGGACGAACAAAAGCGGCGCGTTTGAGGGTCGTATTGCCATACCAGCAGGAGTAGGATTCTGCACAATACTTGGTTGAACTCCATTTATCGCCAACCAATGACCTACAATTCGAGACGAGCTGTAAAATAATGTTCAAAGGAGAAGATGTACACAAACATTCCACTAACCAGTGTATGCGACGTGTAAAGGAACAGGAGGCAAGGGAGCAGCAATAACCTCCTCCAAATCAACTTCATGGTCGGCAGCATAGAACAACTTTTGAGCAGTGGATGTGGATCTGAACTTTGAATTGGTTCCTGGCCCAAATCCATATAGGGCCTATGCAGGCCAGGTAGTATCGAGTTATTTTTGTGGTTGAGCTTCGAAACACAACTCCAACCTAGTCAGTATGGTGGATGGCTACTGACCTCTACATTTCTAACTCGTAATGCCTGATTGATATCCTCGGTAGTGAGCTTTCGTCGCTTGCCATGATTCATGAATTTTGCAGCTTCCTGTTGTTTGATGTTGATGATTTAACAGTCAGTTTGACTTATAAGAGAGAGCAACAGCAGATAACAAGTAATATAGCAGGTATTCAAGACATACACATATGATTTCACGTAGCCTATATTCAGCATCAGCAAGCAATCGAGTTGCTATCTCGGGTCGAACATTCACTCCTGCTGAATCGGTAATGAACTAGAAGGGAACAAGAGGGTGAGTAGAGTAAATACGATATTTGACTATTCTCAAGCTTACTTGTATTGTCTCGGTTGAAAAGATGGACATTTTCGCAGTTTGGCTGTTGCGACTTGGCAAACTGTGGTGAGAAAGCAAGCTAATGAATTTATACAGTCTATTAGGTCAAAATACGCGATTAGAGCTCGTGAAAGGCATCTTTGGTCACTTTTATATCGCGTTCAGACGTGGTGAGTGTGCTAAATTCCAAGCACATTGAAGCTCTTGTGTTTGGAGTTTGCATCCTTGCCTTGTCGTCAACAGGAATGGCGTTTTCTTTTTGCTTCCTTGACTGATTATATCAATATTCAATTTCGCTTATCTCTAGTGCCGAAACGTTTGCTAGAAAGGTGGTTGATTGGAGCTGTGCGGCGACGTTTGAAGCACTATGTCTCAACCATCTACGTTGTCGTATCTGGTACCAGACCGTAAAGGTATTCAGCTGCCAATTCTTTGAATCTGAGACATGCAATGGTGGATAGAGTCGCTTTGTTGTCGCTGGTTTTAGAAACTGAAAAGATATCTCCTTTAGAATCAATGTCATTCGTGGTGCTTTGAACTTTTGAAAGGACGGTCTTCTCAAAATCTGTGTGGGCGTATTCTGACTCGAATGTGAATGTCTGCGTCGGGTAATTGGGAAAGGACAAAACATGTTTTCGCAACTATCCGCTATCTCATTACGACCACGCAATATGTACATCCAACCCCAGTCTAGCACGCACCACCAGCCTCACAATTCGGCCTTCAGAACTGGTTCTGTGTAATGGTCTTACTCATTTTATAAGTCTGAAGAAACTAGAGCTCACAATGGACGATGAACACACCGTCGATTGGAGTTATCTGTCCTGCAGCCTTCAAGAGCTTTCATTGAAATCTTGTTTCTTGTACCGAGAAAATATGACTCCTGTACGGGTGTTGTGGGAGCAAGCAGATTGGGAGGTGAGTTCCATTTTAGGTTGCCAAAGACCCCAGCATTCCAGACGTATGTTATCCCCATAGGTTATTGCAGCTAGAACACCCAATATCTCTACTCTGGCATTGTCAACAATCTGGACAAACATATGTTCAAGCTTGACTCCACTAGCCTCGAAGCTGACTTTGTCGAGTTTGACACATAGTGATTCTTCAAACTCTTGTCAGGATGGTCGAACTCCCAAAGTTTGCACGTTTCCTTATGGCACTTGATCAGCGTAGTAGTAATAGTCCACTCATATGGAACTGGAAAATTGCTCAGCGGAGCACTACTCTCCCTCTGAACTTACTCGGGACTTCCAAAGTTTTCGGTTAAGAGAAGGTCCAAATCTCTGACTGTGTCGCTACTCCTAGCTGTGAATCGAGCCAAGGCATCGTTGGACTCTCCATCAAGTATCCCGCAGCCATTAAATACAACTACTTGGTGATTCAACGAGTTCAATATGGTGAGGTAGTATCTTACTTTTCGAAGTGTTTAATACTTCAACACGTCTGAGCCGCCCCTTTTGAAGCCAGTGAAGCATTGGAAATTTTAACAGTGTCTTCAGACCAGGCTGAACATGGACGTCCACAGGATGCCATAGTGTCTCACTGTCATATAGTTAGGTTGCCTTTCAATCTCCTTCTCATCCAGCAACACTGCACCAATATGACGCATCTCCAACTAAATGGAGGTTGCTTGACGGACGACATATTGGGTAGTATAGTCGCAACAATGCCGCGCTTGGTTGATTTGACGTATTTTGATGGTGCTGGGCATAACGGACATCGTTTCTCTGTCAACACATTGTTATGTGCCAGTCCAACACGAAGAGGGTTTAATACTGCAAGTTCAATAGTAATGAGCATGGATTTGTTGACCTTCTCGGGAGAGATTACTGAAGGGCTGGCCAGATCAGACCACTCAAGCTCTGAGCAAGCCAAACGATTCTACAAGACTTTTAAGGGCGTCCTCGAGTTTTTTCGTCTTGGAACTTGCTGTTACTTTACACAGGAACCAGACGAATAAGAAATCTCCATAGAAATGAAAATATAGCAAATCATATTTAATAAACGATAACATAGAATGCAATGTAGAACAAAAGCTCTCTTGTTTGTGTTTTGAGTTTCAGTATGAGTGAAGGGGGGTAGTAACAAAAAGTCCACAACAGAATGTATGAAGGGGGAAGTAACTCAAAGTCCACAACAGAATGTATAACGTTCTTGACTTGCTTTGAGAGTTCTGGCCCAAAACAGCAATGCAAGTTCAACCATGCGTTTTGAAATCAACTTCCAAATGTTTATGATACTAACTTGCAATATGTACAAAAATATCCATTGCGTCTGTGCGAGGATGCTAGACAACCAACTAATTACTTCCACTACCACAACCGCAAGACTTTTAATCTTCAGTTCTAGGTTTAGGTGGACGCTTGTATCTTCCAACATTGGCATTCCTTTGTTCAACTTTACCTATTACCATAGTAGGATTATACATAAGTAATTCAGATAAAGAAATAGAAGTGAAAACAAATGAGATCGACATACGTTTTCGGGCATCTTTCTTGAGCTCATGTTTATGCATTTTGCGTTTGGCGTGTAAAACTGGTTCCGTTACAGCCTGCGAAAAAGGACGTAGAAGGTGAAGGTAAGCTCATGCGGTGAGCGTCCTTGATCGTCTTTATCCACACCACACATACCTCAATCTTTCGTTTAGTCTTTCGTTCACGACGGATATCTGCAATCTCGGCGTGAACCAAGTTGAAGATTTGCAAGTATGCCGATGCTCCAACTCGTTTCTGCAACATTTCTAGAACTTCCGTTCCTAGGATCTTGAGATCTAGATGGACGAAATGGAAAGTGTTTAGTTCTTATCGAGGAGATATAGTCCTTTTTTCGAGTTGATTTTTCTCACCTGCAGCATCATGCTCAACAGCATCATCATTGATTGCTCGATATACAGTCGTAACGATAGGTCGTAGTAGAGTCAATAGCCTTTCTGGAGAGACAAAGGCTGACACAGCTGCGAACCACTTGTATGTGTTGTTGACCTGTATCGGAAAAACAACGTGTAAGAGAATTTCTGCCAAAAAAGAAACATCACGAAATCGGCAATAATACTCACAGCGAGATAATGTTTCCGCTGCCTTGCTCCATTACTCAATCCACACATCTTGACACACAACCCATCAAGAGTCAACACATCCTCATCAACCATAGTATCACCATAACTAGCTTCCAAGTGCTTGGCAATAAAGACCAAGTTTTTGACTGCCTGATGACCCATTTCAGGAGTCAAGCTAGCACTAGCCAGTTGTCCACACAACGATACAGTTAATGAACGTATGACACCATCTTTTCGTAGATATGGATGTGGTGATTTGGTCTTGACGACGACAAGTGTAGGATCTACTTGTGAAAACATCGATCCAAGTAGTCGAGCCGAGAGACCTCGTACCCATAAATGTGGATGTAAGAGTAACTGGCCCACACATTCCCATACTTTAGGCTGTGTATATCCGATTTCGGGAAACACTTCAAAAGCTTTTGATAGCGTGTTTAGCGGAAAGTATGCGTGATTCCATGGCATGGTGTCTGCAGTCTCCTGACTAGGCTCTATATGAATCCGTTCTACAGCCTGGTCTAAGAATGATTGGATATGCGGGATGACATCCGGCAACCATCTCCTCGATTTTTCTTTGACAGCTTCAATCAACAATCCATATGCTTGAATAGCAGTACGTAGCAGCTGCTCATTCTCGGGATCCGACAGCCACAGACTCAATAACCTAACTACCCGATCTGAATCTAGAGCCACAATACGCACAAATAGAGCCTTGATAAGTTCACCAGCCATGCGGCGACACTTGTTGCTACTATCATTCACCATCATGACTACCAACGACAGGAAGAAGGTTTCACCAAACTCAATGATATTCTCGTTGCTCATTTTCAAGATGAGACCATGAAGCATCTCGAGGACTGCTTCACGACCTGATTCATGCTCATATTTAAGATTATTTACAAGCGAGATAATGTTTCGTTGTAGTCGTTTCGGTCCGTGAGGATAATCTAGGAGATACGGCATGTATACCATCCGTGCTAGTTCTCGAGTCTGATTACTCTGTGATGTTACCAGTGCTGTTGCTATGATATCCATCAGGTCATATACTTCAGTAGCTACAACCTTGCGAGCCAAGATTGCTCGAGCCAGTGCAAAACCCGTAGACTGTCTCATCGTGTTTTCAATATCGACACGGATGAGAGACAAGAGAGCCAATAATTGTGTGTTTGATACATTAATGGTTGGGAAGTCTCGAATGATTATAGTCAAAAATCGTAACGAGTTTTGTACGATCTCGGAGTCCGTTGATGGCATTTTACTAACTATTTCAAAGACACGCTTCACAATGATGGGAAGCATGTCAGTGAATTGAGGCGGTGGATGCTGACATAGTAATGACAAGATCCGTATAGCTAGTGATGCGATTTCCGTGTTTTCAGAGTACGTGCATTTGCCTAAGACTGGCACGAGATCATTCATGAGCGGTGCATGTGTTGGATCCGTTAATCGGATACTTTGGCGTTTGGTACCCGATAGCAACAGATTAAGTCCAAATTCAACCAATACATGAGAGTTTTCAGATAATCTAGTTATGGCTTGACTCATATCCTTGGCAGCATGTTCATCTACTATACCTAAATGTTTCTTGACTCCGACTGCCTCAGTCAATCTCAGATTCTCTTCAATAAGAGATTTTAGGATACCTAATACATTTACGGGACTAAATGAGGTATTGGTGGTAAGACCACCACTAACTCTTTTCAAGATTTCCACAATCTTGTTTTTAATGTTTATAGAAGACACATCCAATAGCAATTCCTTTATCGGTGATAGTAAATCTTGCATGGCAGATGGTCCCATATTTGATGCAATCAATTCAAAAGAATGGAAACTCTTTGTGTTTTTAGTTTCTCTCATCTTTGTCTTGAATTCTTCGGCGTCACGTTCTTCGCTGGTTGATCCAAATATATCGTCAATCAAGATCCTAACTATTTGGGCTATACTGGCGTTGAGTGCTTCAGGTTTCAGTGTCGTCATTATAGCAGTCAATATATAATGCACGGTATATCCAAGCACGTGTAGCTGATAACCACGTAACAATGCATCCTTCAGATGTGTCAATAGAGCAGGCAAATACGATGGTCCAATCAACAATAAGATCTTGTTTATAGCATCTCGTGTCTGATCTCGCAGCTCGTTGACTCGACTACGTAACAATGCAGACAACCGAACCAAAAGTCGATGAATCTGTAATTCGCGACTGATTGCTGGCAAGAAGAGAGCTAGATTGGCTATACCTACAGCTATAGGAACCCGAAGATTGGTATATTTCTTTTCATCCTGCTTCGTCAGCAGAGATCCCAGTTCTGGCAACAAGACTCTTGTTACAGTGCTGTGGATCTTGTCCATTAACTTTTGCTTCTCTTCTTCGTCTCCTGCAGTTGTATCGGCGATGGGATCATCTAATACCATGTCTTCCACTACATCATCGTCAATCACTATAGGTGCTCCTTCTGCTACATCCATATCAGCATTTTCGGTGTCTGGATTATCGGCCTTGGCATCTTCAGTGACTCTCGGATCAACATCAACGTCCATTGACCCATTTATTACACCTGCATCTTCAACTGCAGCTATAGCATCTGCTTCAGCGACCTTGACATCAAGACTAACTTCATGATGCGTAAGATCAAAGTGGAAACTATCCAAAATCCTGACAACGGTTCGAATATATATAGCCTCTCCAGCCGGCTTCGTCTTCACAAGCGTTAGGCATTTCCTGAGCAATCCATAATACGGCCCCCATTTCAACGACTTCGTCAAACTACCAATACATACAACAGCCTCTTGTGCTAAATTCGGATCATACCTCTCCTTTTCATTATGGACGTACTGGAAGAGCAATGGTATAAAGATTTCCGATAGTGTAGAGCTACGTATAGTTCCAGTAGCACCATATTCAGCTAGCTTGCGCAGTGCTCGTGTACGACGATGTAATTGCAAGTGGAAGACATTATTAAAGAAATCGGATTCGTCGTCACCACCAGCCAAGAGTGGATTCAATTCAGCGAATATAGGGAGATGAGACATTTGTTTGACTACGATTCCTAATAATGTAGTCATGGCATGACGTACGAATTCTACTGGATTACTAACTCCACGTCGGATGCCTGGATATACTATTTGTAGCACTAGTACCTCTAGTTCTGGGCGTAGTAGAGAACTATCATCTTCAGATCGGGCAGTAGCATGCTCGATAAAGTTGGTGAGTGCATGTTCAGCTGCTGATCGTACCGAGAATTCCGCTGGATCTTCAGCACATCGTAACATGTTATGTAATATCGGAATCCACTGTAATGGTTGCAAGGCCCTTAGCACTGTCCTGTCGGTAATACGTTGCAAAGCACCAAATTTACGTCCGAAATCAGGCTCATCTAGTATACGTTTCGACCACGTATTCAAATCAACCAAGATGGCAACCGTGGATTCAAGACTGGCATCGACTCTAGCCAAGTCTTCGAACACTCGACATAACTGTTCACGACTTGTTCGTTGATACAACTGATAAAACAGTCGTGACAGTATCTCATATGTCGGCCTGTTACTACTTATACCATCAGCAAAGAGAATGGGTATGTAGCTTTGCACCACTCGCAAGATATCAATTTTACGGTCTTCTGGTACGGCTTTATCGGATTTTCGTAAGAATGGGATTACGATATCAACCAATTTACGACCTTCAACTGGACTATTCAGTTTCGATGATAGACGTCCCAGACTGGATATAATTCGAGATATGAGATTATTTGATGTCAATTTCAGTCCACCTTGTCCATCATCTAGTACTCGTTCAACAATCATTCCGAGATTCGTAAGGAAGAGCGATGCGTGTGGTAGAATCACCATTTCAATCATACTGCTACTACTACTATCGTCTTCGATTTCTTCATCAAGCCGTTGAATGTTCTCAACAAGACTCAATACAGACGATACGGCAGATTCTTTGACACCTTTGGCAGCAAGTATCTTGAATATCTGAGGCACAATCTCCGCCGACAGATTCACCAAATACGGTGCGTAATTCCTATTTTGTGACCACGCTATACACAAATCCATGAGAGCAGATGGGCCATAACTCAATTCAATATGAAAGAGTTCTAGGCGTGGCTCTAATACGATACTAAATAGAGACGGCATGAATTCATCAAAATTGAAGTCAAAGTGGAAGTTAAATATTTGAGATAATCGACGAATGGCTTGTTGGCGGATGGTTCGGAGACGGGATTCTACTTGTTTACTATCGTCTTCCATGGCTCGGGATTTACTACTCATGGCTGCCATTTTTAAGATGATGGTCATGACGTTGGGTAATATTGGGATAACAAGACTTCCAAGGATGCGGATAAAGTCTTCTAATACAGCTAGGAAGCCTCCACTTCGAGCGATGAATTGCTGTCTAATACTATTACTGCTACTATTAGTTTCTTCATCAGTACCATCAGGATTATTTGATTCAAAATATCCAGACAAGAGTCCAAAAAAGAATCTCAAATCACCCTCCGACAGTGTAGCAATAAACGTCAATATAGCCACTCGATGCGACTTCATCTTTGAAAAGCTTTTGCCACTTCTCGCCAACAGTTTCCCGTACAAGATTCGTAGAAGCACTATACACGCAGTCTGACGATCTTGTGGATCTATACTGTCGAGTTCCAAAACACTCCAATTCGTCATGACGTCTCTAAACTTGGAGTCATCCGTCATGTCTCGCAGTTGACTCAAGTATCTAATTATTCCAGGCTGTTTCCATCCTGCTATACAATCTAGTGCTGCTCGTTGCAGTTTGGGATCATCTTTGAGGAGCAAGTGTAAGCATACTTGATGTACTTGTTCAAACATGTCTGCCTTTTCTGGGTGTCGGAATTTGGCAAAGACGGAGAGGTACTCGATTACGAAGGTTGCTAGAGTACGTCTTGACATACGTTGCCGTCTAGACTCTACCAAGACTGGAGTAGCAACAGCATCCGCGTCCGTGTCTGTTGATTCATCAACTCCTTCTCCATCGTCATGTTTAACGAGTTCGAGAAACAGCGGAACAACAAATTGCGACCTCTGTTCGACTATGCCACATAATGGTACAAGGGTTTTGATCAACCATTTGTAGTTTATCGCTGGATCAACAGATCTAGATGACTTTGTTGTTGCCTAGGAGGTTATGCTTTTAGGTGACATACAAAGGGCAAAATAGGTGAGAAGGGAAAACGCTATACCTCAACAAGCAGTTTATCCAAATCTGATGACGGATCAACAACAATAGCAGCATTATCTTCGCTCATTTGTTTGAAATCAGACCAATGTGGATCATGAATTACCCATTCAATTCCATCATTGCGTATTTGAAACTTTGGCTTTGAATCCATGTCAGAAGTTGAAGCCGATACCACTAAAACACCGCAAGTTGTAAGACAATCTGTCATATCGATTAAACACGCCATGATTTTTTTGGCTCGCACGTTTTCTTACCTTGCCGATGCACAACTTCCAACACTGACAAAAGTATCTGACTCCCAACCTTGACATTAGCAGACACAGCCGCAGACAAACAGGTCGACACTGGCTGCCAAAGCGGACTAAATGCTACAGTCAACAATGCAATACAGTATCTCACTGCTATCTCTGTAATCAGTGGATTCCCATGTTGTGATAAACAGAGCGTTTCTACTTGTCTCAACAACATGGTCTTTTCTCGGAGAGTGTTTGGATTGTTTTCCATTTCTTCCATTTTGAGGCAGAGTTGTAGTGTTTTTGTGAGGCCTTGTAGATTATTTGTGGTGAGTTGGTCGAGGTCTGGTTCGGTGAAGAGAGTAATGTATCGTAGTGATGCGAGGCGTAGATGGTGATTTGGGTGGTTGAGGTTTATAATGTATGTGGTGAGTGCTGATGATAGTTTGCTTAGACCAAACATGGATTTACGTCTAATGTCGTGTGACAAAAAAAAACCTGTGAGCTCTTGCGATGTTAAATTTCAACCGGCTCCACTCTGACGCACCCATAACTCTTCATAAGAACACCAAATTCAGCAAGCGACAACATGGCCGTAGCATCATTATGAAGATATGGCAACGCAGTTTCCAACGTATCAGCCCATACGTCCACCAACGACTCGCAAGTCTCTGGCTTACAAACCATAGCCATAGACTCTAGATGATATCCAAGAGCTGGACATGCTGAAGTTCTTGAATCCTCATCCTGTAGTAAATGCAATAGTGTTCTGAAATGCAGAGATAAGGCTGGGATGACTACTTGAGGTTCAACAAGACATGCTAGACCTCTTGATGCCAATGTTTTACACGTCGTACCCTACACGATACAAGGAAATGTTTTGTCAGCAAAAAGAAAAGTCGAAAGACGTGGAAAAAGTCGATACTCACATCTGCACCATCATCATCCACTTGCATTTCAGTCCCATTAAGCACAGCAAGTAATCCAGACACGATACGCGCCTCTGTTATTGAACGACCATGTACTGATTTCTGGACGTGAAGTTTCAACACTGACCCTTTGCCTTGCTGAATCATATATACAATGAATGCGATAAATAGGGTTGGCGAAAGTGACCAATGTTGGTTCATATATCTATATTGAGTTAGTGTGCGTGATTGTCAGAAAGCTGAGATCGAGGAGCTACAAACAAAGAACTGGGTGAACACGTGGATGTCTTACTTTACAAGATGTGGAATAATGACAGAATCATAACATTTCCAATTAGATTGTTGTAGTAACATCCTGCACAGAGATACAACCTTTTCTGGAGTCTAATATCACAAAAATGCAATAGAAATCAGCCATCATAAACAAGTTCACGTTTCAAAGCTCATCAGTACCTCAATCGAGAAGATAGTCTGCAACAAATCTCGTCCATTCAAATTTATATCCAGCTCTGACGAAGCCGCGAGAAGTGCTCCCACACAAATCACAAATTGATCTAGAGCAGTGGACCATTCTGGTGGTGATTGACCAGTCACGTTCAGGAATTGGTAGATTCCTTTACGATCTGTAAAAAAGAGCCGAATGAAAAACGAGCTCATCACAACAACCGGAATTTACTGACATACCTGCAAAGTCACTCCCATGACTAGCAACAGTCAAGCAAGGTGATAAAACTGCTAGACATTTTGCAGTATGGATTTCACTTGATTCGCCAGATTTGAAGAGGGTTAATAGGATGGCTACCGGTTCGTTCAGGTTTTCTGTGCTGGTGTGTTCGTAGAGTTGTATGTGGAGGAGCTCAATCAGAGATACCATATTGTCTGCAAAAAAGGGGTCACGTCAGTCATGCAGACAGTCATGAGGTCACATCTCGTTCAAACAACTTACCTTCATAGAATGGTATCGTACTATCCAGCGTTGATTTATACAAGTGTTCCAAAATGGGTGATGCTCTGGAATGTAAATTATGACGGACGGACTAATCGAAAACAAAAAAGCGTCATGAAAAGATCCAAATGTTTTGCCACATCTAACCAACACTTTACACTTACTCGTATAGTCTCAAAAAGCAACTGAGCCACACCTTGCTGGAAGTATGGTGTCGTATCTGGATTCCGTATTTTGTCAATGATATAATTCAATATGGTTGTGAGACTGTCTCCACGACATTTACGTAAGAGGAAGGCAAATGCTTCTGCCATAAATCCTCGTACGTAGGATCGTTTTTCTGCGAATAATGGGTGGAAGACACTGCACAACAAAAAGACTGTGGTGAGTACGTGAAATGGGGTTTGAACTCTGCTTTCAAATAATGCGCGTACTCGAATGTATGTATAATGTCTTGAATCAAGAGAGGAGTCAAGTACTTGAAGAGATGCGATATGGTGCTGAATGTCCACTGTACGAGGAGGATAAAAAGCATGAAGTTGGCTAAGCAAATATGTCAACACAATTAAGATTTGTTGTTCTTGTTGGTTACCTCGTATAATAGAGCTTCACCACCATCAGCTACCAGTTTTGAGAGACAAGCACATATACGATCAAAGTCAGAATACAATTCTTCTTGTAAGTCCTGTACAAAGGCAGTGAGCAACCTAGAATAAGAATATGAAATGAGCGGGAATAAGGGTTGATAAAGCTTTCGAAATTAGAAGCTCTGTTTCGGCCGTCCGAAGAGTTTCTTTTCTCCTCCCTGCGATCACCCGGCACTTACTCGAGCAGAGGGTGATACGCCATGGAGTCCTTGACAGCAATACTCTCTAGCAGGACATCTAGGATGCGATCCTTGTGGTATAGCTGTAGGGAGATTGTAGGACATAGTGGTTTGACCTGTCTTGCAAATGCCGTGTAGTGACGAGTCCGATTCAGCAAATGCCATTTTTGGAGAGTGAGGATAAAGTGGGATTCATCGTCCTGGAGTGGAATTGGTGGTTAATGTAGGTGATCAAATGTGTGTTCTGAATTTTGATGGAGCTTCTTAACAGTGACACTCACGTCAGGCTCTTGTAAGCGTTGGCGTATAGATTTGAAGCCGACATTGAGCTTTATGGATTCGACGTGTTCGCGGAAGGACCGAAACTATTCGCAACAAATAGTCGAGATTAGTTTTTTTTTTCAACATTTGACCAAAAGGAGAATTCACAATAGATCGCTTCAATTGAAGCCGGTTGATATACGAGTTCTGATAAGATGTAAGTTACCTTGAATCTATTCTTGCCTTCTCCCTTATTGAGCTGCTTCGACATTGCTTGCTGTTGGTTGTTGGGTCTCGTCAAAAAGTTGTAAGAAAGTGACTACTTAAAGCTCACTAGTTTATTTTATTTCCTTACTAGACTCGAAATAGGCATCTTGATTACCATCAATTTGGGTCGCTTATACCGTAATTAAGCTCGCATTTGGTTCGAAATTCACGTCGTAAGCTTCAACATCAAACGTGTGCAGCTCAACTATATTCGCACCAACAACAGCCTGAATATTACACACATCACCACACCACACATACATTTGGATTCAACATCCAAATACATTCATCCCATCCTTAAATTATAATGTCACAAATCGAACAAATGGCCGAACAATGGCAAAAACGTGTCAAGAAGGGAATAGATGGAAATCAACATAAACGCCCTTATGGAAGAACGAAAAAGGTATTCAATCGCCATCATGTCCTTACGTGGCAAGGGCCACGCGCTTTACTGTTTTGTTGTCGTCATGACTTCTTTCGGCCACCTCAGTCGCCAGTGTATTAAAGCACCTTACTCGTCTAGATTCGAACCATTGGTTGGAATGCCGATGGAAGGAAAATTGCATCGGGATCAACGGACGCGTATGTCAGAGTATACAATCTTGCAACTGACTCGGTAAGCTCAACAAGAACAAAAACGGATTCGCCAGGAACGCCTGATCTTAGCTTTCGCAAGTTCTTTTCAAACAATACGCAACGATCAACTCAACCTTCTCCCTCCTATGTAGAATGGAGAAAGTCCTCTAGAATTACGAGGTCATACTGGTGATATCGATCAAATAACATGGCATCCTTCTCAGCCTGAGCTCATTGCGTCAACGGGAAATGACAAGACTGTTAGATTATGGGATACCAGAAGTAAAACGAACTCGTCCGGGATTTTCCATGAAAGCTTTTTTGGTTAGCTTAACCTGACCTCTCGTAGAATCAGGCACAGCTCAAGTAATTGAAACAAAAGCTGGCAATATCAACATGGCGTGGCATCCAGATGGCGTTATTCTAGGTGTTGGTGATCAGGTAACAATTCATTTTTGTCATATGTGTCGCATCGACCAAAAAAATTAGAACAACACGGACTTATGCATCAGCATTGTTTTAGAACGATACAATCAACTTCATTGACATACGAGGAGGCAGCGGCTCGGAAGGTGCAAAAATCGTTAGAAAACTAGAACGGGATGGAGAGGTGCGTGTATGTACACGCGCGGTGACTTGTCACTCTGTTGATGATTTGGGTTTGCAAAAATTTAGGTCTTGCTCACATATATTTTCCCTTTTCAGACAAATGAATTCTCATGGAATTATGCTGGAAACTTGTTATATATTGCGAAGGGAGCTGATTTGCGAGGTATGTTGTTGAACCTTTTATGTCCTTCAGGGCTATTTTTTGGTAGTTCTCACCCCCTTTCTTTTATCGAACGCAAATGCTCAAACAGGAAGTGTCGAGATACTACCATACCCATTATTGAATACAGCAGAAACAGTAGAAGCACACACAGCCAGTTGTTATTGTATTGATTTTGATCCACGAGGAAGATATTGGGCTACTGGTAGTGCTGATTCAGTTATTGGATTATGGGACCTTGAAGAGTCGATTTGTGTGAGGACTTTTGCAAAGGGAGAGTAAGTTGGAGTAGTTTGTTGTTGTTCAGCATTCGACGAATGATAGTGTCTCCTTGTAGCACCTTTTTTTTGTGTTTGCGTTTAGATTTGAAGGACCAGGAAGAACCTCGCTGACCAATCCAATCGTATATAGTGAGCCGATACAGTCACTCGGATTTTCTCATGATGGTGAATTACTGGCTGTTGGAAGTCCTGACAAGCCTGTTTATATTGTAAGCCACAAGAAACGCCAAAAAGAATTCCGTTCACAATCACGATTGGACGCGACAATCCTTCCGAATATTTCCTCTCATCCAATTGTACTTTTATGAAATAGATACATGCAGACAGTGGTCAATATGTGGGCAGTATTGATACATTTGGAGGAACCACAAATACTGTTGCATGGCATCCAACCAAACATACACTAGCATATGCTGCAGTCAAAACTGAAGGGAATATACACTTGCTAAGTATACCCTCCTCTACATAAAGTTGGGAACTTTCGAAGTTTGCTTTGTACAGAAAAAAATGTATGGCTAAAACGTATAATTAAATAGAACTTTGCATCTTTGTATAACACAATCAGGTGGTGTTTTGGTTTGTTTTGACCCAAGTATTCTTCTAGGCAAAGCAACAAAAAATGCATTTCGATTCCATCAAATACGATAAAACGTGAGTGGTGAAGACTTACAAGTCTATTTCGTTTCTTCAGTAGAACTTCAAACAAGCCTTTCAATGGCTATGTGCTCGTGTTGCTTTGACTGGGAATAATCAGGAAGTTGGCTAGAAAGTCGTAAGCTCCAACATCAAATGTGTGTTGAAAGTTGGCTCACCAAGTACATTCGATTTAGCAAAACGTTCCAATTAGTCAAGTAGTAACCACACAATTTTGGATTCTACACAACCATCATCTGTCTTTGACGATAATGGCTCAAATCAAACACCAGTGGCAAATGAGGAGAGTGCCATTGATGGAGGCCAATATGTTTCTTTGGAAGAAAGAAAAGGGTTATTCAAAGCTGGATATCGACATTTTCATTTACAATTTGGTATGCTTTCTGTATCGGGTGAGTTGATTAATGGGTTAAGGCTACCACAAGACACATTGAACTCAATACCGTTCTTGTTCTATAATTTATTAGCTATAGATGGTGGCATAGAGAGATGAGGTCTACAGATCTTTTTGATTGAATATTAAGGCAACTTTCTCAACCTGAACCCGTGGCATCAACTGGGAATGACCAGTTGGTTCATGGGATCCTAGAAGTAAAGTCTGCTCTGGCAGGACCTTTCCAATGTGAGTTTTTTTGTGGTGTGGCGCATACGGAACAGAATTTAACGGAAATTGTTACCTGACCACCAACATCCAGAACAAACATTTCTGATACCATTTTGAATAACCAGCTTTTGTGTCAATTACACAGCGGCACTTGTGTGTACGAGAGGGAAAGCTAGCGAGAAACATAATGGTCGATACAATGCACTTACAACGCCACCGTCGTTAGATTGATACGATCATTTTTGTTGAAAAACTGGGCCACAATACCGGTTCAATCCCCTTGCAACCGATGAGTGCTGATAGTGGTTAATATGTTGAGAGTGCTTCTAAATTTTGGAAGGATTACGTGGCATTCAGCCAAGTAGACATTGGCATGCCACCAAGAATGATGGGCATATACACTAGCTCACTATACCCTCCTCTGCATGAAATGTCGAAACGTGGCGCGTTTGCTTTGTACAGTAACAAACAGTGATGTATGAGAGTAAAATTGTAATTAAATAGAATTTTGGACCTTTATATTACAAAATATGAGTTTTATTGAGTTGTGAGGTGCTTGTTTGGAGCCAGACATGCTTCTAAAAGAGGACCGAAGAAAGGTTACGATATATCTCTGAGCAAGGAATCTGGTCGACTAGTGGACCAGGAACAAGACACGAGACGCGAGACATACCTCTAAACTCTGGCATAACATCATAAACAATCCCAGCCTCCTTCAATTTCGCCTCCCCGACCGTCTGGGATATGAAATTAGGAGGTTCACTAGCGCCAATAACGACCCTCCGTATCCTCGCCTTTATAATCAGATCAGCACATGGCATCTTTCCGGATAGACGTTCGCCACATGGTTCCATTGTGCTGTATATAGTTGCACCGGTGGTTGATGGGGAAGGAAGAGATTCGGCAGCTAGGGTGTCACTGGTTGTGTTGGCGAGTAGTTTCAAGAAGCAGCATTCCTCGGCATGAGTGTTTCCAGGCAGTTCACGAGAGTGGGCATGTATGATAGTGGTGTTGTCGTCTGAGACTAGGATTGCGCCGACGTTGAAAGCACCGACCGAGGGGATGCATTTGTGGGCTTGGATGATTGCGAGGTTCATGTAGTGTTTGTCTAGTCCTGAGTAGAGACGAGGAGGAGATCAGATTGATTTGTATATCAAATACGACAAGATGTGACGGTAAGCAGTTAATCATTCGCACCATTGTCTGCCATAATGTGTCAAAATGTTTGGTTTTCGAGTATGAGCTTTGTGATGGCTAGAGAGGAAGAGGACGTGTTTTATACGTGTCAATCTACGTGATTTGAGGCGCGTAATATAGAAGAATCAAGCTCTCGTACCAGAATTCCTTGTTTATAAAGCTTACTCCTGTTTGGTCACTTTCAACATTCAGAAGAAACAACGACACAATCACAACTGGTATTTATTTAACGATTACCACATATACCGCACGTAGATAGGCAGGAATACACAATATGAGCCAGCAAGCTCCGTCGTCACGAGAAGGCACGCCCATCAAGAAACCAAAGGGCAAACGCAAGGCAGACAGCAACGAACCGTCCATACAACAAAAACCACCAAAGAAACCTAGGGCTAAACCAAAACCAAAACCACCTGCATCCAATCCTATAGACTCTCGCGACCCATCTCCTGCACCACTACTCGACAGCAACGATTTGGACGACCTGGATTTGACCGATGCCGATGATGTCGTCGTAAACAATAACAGAGGAGGCCAAGTCACTTCTGGTGACGAAGGAATGTCTACTGAGGCTGAAGGAGGTGCCGATGATAAGGATGCAGGAGCTGATGATTGGGATGATGAGGATGGTGATGATGATGCTTTTGGAATCATGTTGAGGGATCCGGATCCATTGGCTATGAGGTATGCTATCGTCCTGTTATCGGCCGATTTTCTTTGAGTCGCCTTATGTTTGAGAAAAAGCTTGGATCTTTGTTGGTGGACCAAAAAAACGCAACCCTACGTGATAGTGAGCTCGTCTCACATATTTCTTCTCTTTACGTATAGTGCTATAATGGCTAGACTATCTCCCGATCAAATGTCACGATACGAACACTTTCGTCGCTCAAAACTTCCAAAGAATCATGTCAACAAGGTATTGTAAATTGGTTGAAATCAGACCATCCGTCTTTTTTATTGTTTTTTTTCGCTCACTCAAAATACCACCACCACTAGGTCATCCAAAACGTCCTCTCCCAAAAACCACCACCAAGTGCCAGCTTTGTAGTCCAATCGGCCGGTAAACTATTCGTAGGCGACATGACGGAACGTGCTCTCACCGTACAAGCTGAAATGGGTGACATTGGAGCTCTGCAACCAAAGCATTTACGTGAAGCTTATCGTCGCTATCGCAAAGGGCCTACTTCTTATGCTTCGACGTCTACTTCGCTATTCAAAAAGGATAAAAATCACTTGTAATGTATAAAGGCCTCTATTCTTGATGAAACACAACACAACCCGCAGTCTCTTTTGTACAATGCTATCTTTGTAGAGTATATATGAACATTCTTGCTAAGCTCTTCGACAGTTGTTTGGCGAAAGCGATCATGAAGGCAGTCTTAGTTATTTGCTGTTACTTGCACCACTAGATGATGGGAATGATGGTCCTGTCTAACGACAGGTGAGGCTCCAACTGACACACTAACATAAGCAGATGGCAAATCCAGCCAGTTTTCAATTGTATACAATCGTGTGTGATCCTTTGAATCGCTATGAAACTCGGTGATGTTCAATTTTGTAACTCGATTAACGATACACCGATGATGATGGCAAAGAGTAAAATCGATGATTCATAAGTCCTGTGTATAGCATAATTTTTTTGTTGGTCGTTTGAAAATTATTTCTTAGGCACAAAGAAAATGAACTTACCACAGAGAGTTTGCTCTTCCTTGATTTTGATAGGTCGCGGCTTAAAGAAGCCATGAGTTTCGTCTACTTTTGGGAGACTGCCTTCAGTTCAGAGTGTGGAAAAGCCATCAAATTCCCCTTCCACCAGGCCCAGTCTCCATAACAGCAATATTCAAACACCTTCTAGTTATAAACCTAGTTAGTCGA